CCACCCGGTATCTGTCCCCCTCACCCGATCACCCGATACTCAGTCACGAAGGCCAAGAGGTCCCTCTTGAACCTTCTAGCTACTAGAAACTTTGGTGACACAGTTGCCAGGATAGAAGAAGAAATCGCATACAACCAACCGCCTGTACAGGCATCCATTGTCGAGCGTACTGCCGAGTGCAGTGCTCCAACTCCTCCTCCTGAATGATCCAACCTCATCCCCACCGACCTCACATCAGAAGAAATCGACAAAATGTTCGCAGAACACGAAGAAGAGCAGTACAGGATGATGACCAGTGACGAGCTCGAGGAACTCCAAGCTGCCATCATCAACGACGAGGTCATAGCCAACGACCCGCTACCTGCTCCCTACAAAGGGAAGAAGAAGCACGAAGAAGAAAAGTCGAGTAAGGAAACTCACACACCACCTTGGAGAAAGACGAACAAAGAAGACAAACCGAGCTTGGAAGCTCGTCTTACCACTCCCCCTCCAGGGTTCACCTCTACCGATGACATACCAATATTATCTATCGGGTCACCCATCATAAGGGATGACACCCCTATTCCTGTCCCCCCACCTACGCATACCCCTTGATGAAGCCGCCGACTGAATACCGAGCGTATCCTCGCGCTCAGGTTACCCATCACCCGACATGTACCGGGCCAAGACCCCACTAGGCAACAGATACTTAACGACACGCACACTAGGACGACCCCACAACCCTACCAGTGCAACTTTAAGTGCAGGGTCTGCCACCAGTACGGCCACAAACAGAAACAATGTGAGCGATATTTTTGCCGCATTTGTAGACGGTTCGCCCCCGGACATCTTACCCCCTTCTGCCCTCGCCTTCACAGCAAGAAGATCCTTTGTCGAGGAATATCCTCTGAGACGTTCTACACTGACATGCATCAGTTAGAAGCAGCGTATGATCACGACGCTGCACAACTCAAACAAGATAGAGAAGAAAATGCCTTGGAAGCCATGAATGCACTCCGAGACCTCGATTGCAACCCCTCCTGGTATGACAACATGGATGACTGAACTCGTTGATTTCAGTCCTAGAAACCAGGGTAATGTTACAAGAACATCTAGATGCTTGGGCCCCTACCATTTTTCTCCTAATCCTCCTCGTATCAGCCCTCGCGTCATACCCTGACCCCGACCTTACCCTTGTCATCCTCGTCATCCTCGCATTCCCCTTCGCTCTCTACCTGTCGCTTCAGCAGAGCCAGTACATCTGGCCAGATCCTTTCACTGACGAAGCATACCCATGCTCCGTTCCACCACCTGACTGATCCTGTGGATAGTCCCCTTGCCCTTACTGTCTGGATGGTAACCTATGATATGATGCACAACGCATCCCCATTGCCCTTTTCCCTTTTTCGATCTCTGACTCAGTGTGTTACGACTTGGATGGTATCTGTTGGCGACGCTCAAACAGAGCATGTGTTGTCAACGGTCGAGGACGTCCTTGGGCTAGCCCAAGGTTAGGGGTCTTACTTGGTGAGGCTTTGGCAAGTAAGATTTGACGCCTATGTCCGAATCGGGTAGCTTACGTCAAGCGGATGCTAGACGATGAGCTGTATTTGCCAAGACTTACGACACCCAAAGGTTAATCGTAAGATCGTCGTTAATTAGAAGGACGGAAGTCCGACTAGTTAACAGGGGCTTTGCTCGTCGACGAAGTCGATGAGTAAAGATCGAGACTAAGGACTTATCCGCGAAGAGCAGATAAGAAGATAGAATATAGACTGCTGGCTAGGCAGAAAGGATCACTCTGGTGAGAGTAGGAGGTCAAGAACCAAGTAGATTCAAGTTAGGGAATATAGTACATGGTAGCGAGTTTATATAGAGGACAGGAGAAGTATTAGTGGATGATAACTCGTACTACCAAGAGAAGCAATCGGTAAAGGGCATAACCATAAAAGGAAAGCACGTTTGCGTTGAGACACGGGCGAAGCAGAATGTGCAGGATAAGAAAGTGAGCCAAAGGTCAAGACAGGAGGTGAAACGCGCAGGGGCATGATCGTGCAACTGCGGATCTAAGTATAAGTAACATGTGCGACTGAGCACTGAGTCAGAGATCGAAAAAGGGAAAAGGGCAACGGGGATGTGTCGTGCATCGTATCATAGGTTACCGTCCAGATGGTAAGGGCAAGGGGACTATCCACAGGATCAGTCAGGTGGTGGAACGGAGCATGGGTATGCTTCGTCAGTGAAAGGATCTGGCCAGATGTACTGGCTCTGCTGAAGCGACAGGTAGAGAGCGAAGGGGAATGCGAGGATGACGAGGATGACAAGGGTAAGGTCGGGGTCAGGGTATGACGCGAGGGCTGATACGAGGAGGATTAGGAGAAAAATGGTAGGGGCCCAAGCATCTAGATGTTCTTGTAACACAGTGCGCAGTCGCATATGTTACTTATACTTAGATCCGCAGTTGCACGATCGTGCCCCTGCACGTTTCACTTCCTGTTTTGACCTTTGGCTCACTTTCTTATCCTGCACGTTCTGCCTCGCCCGTGTCTCAATGTGAACGTGCTTTCCTTTTATGGTTATGCCCTTTACCGATTGCTTCTCTTGGTAGTACGAGTTATCATCCACTAATACTTCTCCTGTCCTCTATATAAACTCGCTACCATGTACTATATTCCCTAACTTGAATCTACTTGGTTCTTGACCTCCTACTCTCACCAGAGTGATCCTTTCTGCCTAGCCAGCAGTCTATATTCTATCTTCTTATCTGCTCTTCACGGATAAGTCCTTAGTCTCGATCTTTACTCATCGACTTCGTCGACGAGCAAAGCCCCTGTTAACTAGTCGGACTTCCGTCCTTCTAATTAACGACGATCTTACAATTAACCTTTGGGTGTCGTAAGTCTTGGCAGATACAGCTCATCGTCTAGCATCCGCTTGACGTAAGCTACCCGATTCGGACATAGGCGTCAAATCTTACTTGCCAAAGCCTCGCCAAGTAAGACCCCTAACCTTGGGCTAGCCCAAGGACGTCCTCAACCGTTGACGACACACGCTCTGTTTGAGCATCGCCAACAGATACCATCCAAGTCGTAACATGATGTATGAATCATCATTGCGTAGTATTGGAGCTGGTCCAGACATCCTTGTCGAGATTGCTGACCAAGAACTCGCTCGCATTGGGCTCACCCCAGGTGACATCATTTGTTTGAAAAAAGGAAGCATCACTTGGTGGAATGGCCCTCTTGCGAAGAATGAGCTAATGGACAGTACAAAACGTAAATGTAGTGATACTACCAATTCCGAGATTCCTGAGGACTGGAGATACCAGTATGAAAAAAGATACCATGATGGAGGACGAGCACGCATCAATGGGAGTAGAATGAGAATCGAAGAGCGGCCACCTGGTGAGTTTGATGGTATGATTGTCATGCAATCTGGACTCACGAGATTTAGGGGAGTGTCCTGATCTTGATTATGATCTTTATCACTTTTGCGGCAACAGATGAGAGTGGGTTCCCTTTCCACCAGGGTATACATTTGATGCAGAAGGTAGTCGCGAAGATGAAGATCCATTCAGGCAGAAATACATCAGAAATATTTAGGCAATATAACCAGAAGCACGGAAATACTCTTCTGCTTTATCAGGTGTAATGTTTTGGCATGCTCGTACAATAACAGTCAAGGACTTATCGAGAAAATGATGATGTAAGTAAGACTTGATAGAAGAAAAAGCCTGCTCAATGGGGTTATAGTCTGGTGAGTACGGAGGTAGAAACACGAGTTTACACATAGCCTCATCCTCTACAACACATCGAACTTCTTCGCTGTGGTGGATATGACAATTGTCCAATACGAGAACACTACGAGGACCAGGGTAGGGGTTGGTCAAGGGCAGCTATTCATAAATCAATCAGTGAGAATCACAAAATTATTACAAGCCATACCACATGTTCTTGTAAGAACTGCACAAATCTCTCGCTTGTCACAGGCCCTTTGATGATATCATAGGCAATGATTCCATCGAGTGTGAGGATGGGCAAAATGGAGTACCGTTTGCCTTGCATGAAACATTTCCTCTGGATACACCGGGTATGAATTAGCCAAAACTGATACTGATCTGTAAACAAAGCAAACCTTGTTCCAATTTTCGAGTGTCCAAATTTACGAATCAATGTCCTTTCATCTTTCGCAGCTTCATCACCAAACATCAACATTTCAGGGTCTGGCACGATCTCGGCAATATTGTTCATAAATATAGCATGTCGTTCCTCATCTCATTCAAGAGCACGAGCCGAGATATTCTTGTGGCTGTAATGTAGCCTGTGCAAGGTGCGGAACAGTGTGTGTACAGATACAAAAACACCACAGCGAGCCTGCAACTCGTGTTGTAGTTCATCGAGGTACATAGTGGGATTTCGACGAAGGATAGTAGTGAGAAAGGCAATATTGTCTATACTGAGGTTGCGACGGCGACCACGAAGCCCATGGTTTGCATGTTGAGATGAGGTGCCAGTCAATTTGATGGTTTTGTAGACGAGAGTCTTCTTGATACCAAGTAAATGGCAAATTCGTGTGACAGAATACCCACGTCGGTGCAAAACAGGTATGCGAGCCTTTAGATCTGGTGAAACTGTGTGTGGCGGCATGGTGAGTGCGTCGTTGAATGAGATGCAGTAAGCCAAACACTTACGGGGTCTTACTTCGGGTGTTTCCGAGACGCAAATTCAACTTGTGCGTTTCCGCATAATATTGCAATCAGCTGTAAGCGCAAAGTTGTTGAAAGTCTGCCGGATCCGGCCCGGCACGGCTAGGTCCAAGTTTGTTCGAGTTAATAATGCCAGGTTGGTACAGTGGCCGATGGGCTAAGGGAATCCATGCATCTAACAGCCATGTAGCAGAGGTAAACATGGTTGCAGGCATTCAACAACGTACAATTTCTTCATCCATAAACGGCTGTCTCGGGGAGATTATAACAGTAATAGTACAAGACAACTTTGTGTCAAATCATAAATGATGGCAGCTCAAGCGAGTTCCCACTGTTCCCCATTCTCTGTGTAGAGGAGCTCCTTCACGTTCTCCCCATTCTCAACCAAGGAAGGCCCAACCATGAAGTTGCTTAGAAGGGCACTAAACGTCAACCCTGACAGAGGAGCAGGTGAAAGAATGACTTGGCCAGTGACGGTGTTGACGTTCACGGACAGATTGACGGTGGTCAACGCGATAGCAATGTTATCAGAACCAATCATGACGGTCCCTGAGGTACCAGTGTTGGTACGACTAACGGTGAAGCGAGTGCGTTCGGTGCGCGAAACATAGACCGTGTTTGTCGCGTTAGACGATGGATAGTACCAATAGTCGTAAGGAGCGACTTTAGAGCGAATGAAGAAACTTTGGTAGGGCTATAATCAGGAAAATGTAGAACATACTGCAAGGAACTAACTCACGAGTTTCCGCTAATGTTTTCCGTTGAATTATCAAGCGGCGGGATAATGCTCAACCCACGACCACCTAAGTCGTTTTCCAAGGTGAAAAACACCTTGCCAAGGAATTGGGTAGCAACCCCATTCGTGGTGAGGGAGTCGGGGGCGTTGGCCAGGCCTGGGTTATGGGTGTAGAACTGGGCGTTGACGCGCTGAATGCTGTTCACGAAACTAGTGATGGCGGAAGTGGACACGGCGCGCCACCACTCATCGGCCACTGCACGACTAGCAAAGGTAATCACATATCGATAGGTCACGTTGTCTGTCACCTGAATGGCGATTTAGCACGACATTGCAGACACTGAAGAATGAATCTTGGGCCTACATTCTTTACATATGCGTAGAAGACCATGACTGTATGTTCCGTAGGAGAAATGACTTGTTGGTTGTGGTTGGATTGAAATGAGTCGTTTAAACACTGCACATTATATAGGGAGAGAAAGTTATTTGGTCGAGTTAATCATAGCATCTCGACTAACTGCGATTTGAAAATAAAAAGGGGGTGGAGTAAAAGAAATACTATTCGAGTGAGGAACTGGTGCGAGGTACCACAAACTCGACCGCAACTTTCCAAACTGGACATTCCGGTAGGCTGCATCACCCGGCACCTGGACATGCAGAGTCAACAACCTCGTCCGATAGGTGTGTAAAGATAACAACCGGCATTCGATATAGCCCTGATCGCCGTCCTGGACCAGGTGTCCTTAGTATCACAGTCGTCGGTGGTGGCATGTCTACTGTTCTGCAAAAGGAACGTGCAACATGTAATTGTTAAAACGTGTGCGAGACACTTATTAGAACTGTAAGAAAGTTATTTGCAGAAGTTACGACTTACCTTCATGTACACCTGAATCAGACCAAGCTTGCTTCGTGTTCCGTCTGAAGCGCGAGTTACGAGTGTCAAAGAAGAGCGACTCGTGACCAGGAAGATGGGCTCACGGCGGCTCGGGATCCCCCATGTCTTCTTGCGCCCAACTGACACCAGATATGGGACGCCGGATACGCATTTTGTGCGATTTACCGTCCTTCGCTCTGTGCGATCTTCTCTTCCTCTCTAAGTCCAGGTTCCAGACTCTTATGATAAGTGGGGGAGACCCGGCTGTCTGTAACAGATGTGCCTCTACAAATCCCTCCAAGCCCCGACATGATATCGTCTTCACTTTGGAAATGAATTGATGACCGCTGATGATTTGAGAGCCAGCCGACTGCAGGAATAAAGGTGCTCCCGAATGTGAATTACCAGATCATTACCAGTCTTAGTACGAGAACGAGGATGGACAATTGGATGACCCTGTGGTGGGTGCGACTACCAGAGAGGGGAGGGGAAGCGCAAAGAACCAGAAGGGGGGGGGCATCAAAGTGCACAAATATTTTGCGATTATAGCGGAGCTGTACCGGAAACAATAAGTGAAATGATTTTGAATGCAATAACAAATGACACCGCATCAGAACATTGGTCATGAGCCGGCCGATACGCACGACACAGTAGATATGATTGGATGCCTGAAAGACAGGGAGAGACGATAACACGGACACCTTACTGTGAGCCACCACAATCGACTCGCCGTCAAACTACACCCAACCTGCAAACAGCTCAGTGCACAAACGACAAAGGCTGCAGTGCTCACGAAAGCCGAGAACATAAGTCTTCAAGGGATTCGACACACGACAGATGATATTCAGGGTAATGACGTGCATCATAGTGAATGAGATAATCTGAGGTGGTATGGGCAACCACATGCGATGCGGCACGCGACTTTGCGGACGATCGCACACTGCGGGAACATGAGCTCTTTGCAGAAAGAACACAATGGAGAGAGCCTACGAGTAAGCAGTGTAAAATACAACAGTGACAATGCTCTACAGCGTGGAGAAAAGATAGTGACCCTGCAGCTTAAATGTCATTAGTAACATCAAACATCAATCTCGACGAATGAGCAATGAAAGATTCAAAGGCGGAACATAGTCAGCTGGGAGAATTGGGGTTATGGTCATATAGAAGTGCACAACTGGGACCTTCTTCACAGAGCAGAGGCGATATCATGATGGGTTAACCCCTGGGTGTGTTGACTCTTGGCAAACGAGTTGAAAACGTTGAAAATTGGTCACGGTGATGCATGTAGCGTCTCAAAAGTTCACTCCGTCCGCCGTATCCGGCCACAAATAGCACCAAACATCACATTGCGATTCAGTTCAGCTATGAAATAACTTAAACGAGCATTACGGCAAAACTTGGAATACATAAAAACAGAAGTCGCTCTCTACAGACTATCCACTAATTGTAAAACACATCTAGTAAACATCGAGCATCTCTCGTTCTACATGCTTGTACATGGATACGTTCCTGGAAAGCTATTGAAGCCATAGCGCTTGCTGTATCGGAATCGGCCGCGAACTGATATTCTCGAACACCAGGGACGAGGCGGCGTGATCACAGCACAGTCATCTGTGCCGTCTCGAAACCGAGATAAATCTGAGTGCCTGGAGAATATATGTCCCATAGAAACGATGAATCATGGTCGCACGTAGAGGTCGGTGACAGATCGGCAAACCGCTGAGAGCGTTGGAGAGAAAAAACCAATCTGGAAGCAAGAGATAAGAAACTAGCGCACGCAACACTTCAGCAGAACAAGAGAGCCTCACTCGCGTTATGAGCTTACCTCTAACTGACGTGAGTTTGCATCAACAGTTCGTGATAATACTTCTTGTTGAGTGTCTTCGTAGTTAACGGAAGTGGTCCAGACCGCGGACACAGAGCAAGGACCTACACAACTTCCCTACCACGCTTGGAAACACAAGCTGCATATAAGACGATAAAAAAACGGTCATTATAGACCACCGTTGCCTCTGCCACAGATTAGCTGAGGTATTTTCACATCGTTCTTTTGATGTGGAAGACTGACCCGGACCAGCTGCACCTATAAGACTGTTGTCAGCGAGATCGCTGATCCTGTAAGGGTGTTGACCTACCGAACGTTAGTCCTGGAAATCTCATGAGGTCACTAGTCGTCTCATACTTAATCTTGCTCGCCCCAATCCACAGCCAAGGTGAACTGGGCCATCACGATGAACATATGGCTGGATTGAACAAACCTACAAAAAATAGCTGCCAATAAGATTCCCATTGATGGCTGGCCACCAACTGGGATCGTTCGAGACTAGGGTTGCTATACTATTGACTACGACAGAGAGATGTGAGGGCTTTGTACATCGAATCAAACAAGAACGAAATGGACCTGCCGGACTTTCGAGAATTCCAGGTTCTTGTAACTCATCGCCAGTTCCAACTTCACCGAGACATTCGTTACTCTTGGTAGTACAGTAAGAATATGCCAATGATTATCGGAGGAAATTATCACTTGAAAAAAGAAAGCTTACTATTCACCATGAGGACTCAGTCTCTGGGTGACGCTGTCCTTTAGAAGGGACAGCTCGGCATCAGCTCGATGAAAAGATTTTGTCCCTACCGTAGGTGACAGAAACGTATGCGGCATCTGTCTTGACAGATGTCAGTTTCTGACGAACGACGAAGGCAAAAGTATTAAGTTGTGTTCATTTTCCAGCGACTTGGCTTCGTTGAACAAACTGTGTATTAGGTGGGCGCCTGCAGTGACTCGAGTACACACCATTCGTTGCTACATGCGTGACCCGACGCAGAGGAATTACTACAACGGCGAACATGCATCCGAGATTCCGAATGTGGCGTGACTCAGACAAACTTGGACACATAATCAAACGCCACAACGACGAGTTCGCAATTTATCCTCCTGGCTCCATCTGTTACAACGCCCCACACGACATGCATGGTTCCTCGACAGAATTCGTGTACACGATGAACAAGGCATCCCGATTCTATTAGCATAAAAATCGTCTGGCTGACACTCACAGCCGAACGAGCACGATATAACACCGTTCCGCGCCCCATCGTACTGGACCAGTATGGATATATCAACCTCACTCGTCCATCTTGCGGGATATAGAGTCACATCTGCCATGTCCCAATCAATATTAGATGTTAAATCATGACGCCGCCGGTCATTATTGAATACAGTCAATCGTCTGGTAGTCCCGGTCACGGATTGCAATATTTCGACGGCCTTATCGATTATTGGAATACTCGAACACGATGATACCTTGTCCAGAGTCTCCTGGGCTCAACGATTTAACATCAAGAGGGAAGGTACTCGATCCATTTTTGGTGTCCTTTGGCCAACGTTCTGTATGATTGATTTCTCCCAAACGAGTGTCTGACTTATATTCTGGTCCTCCTGTTTGTCGGCATAGAATATCCACGGACTTACAATGCTAGCGATCGCCGATCGCACCCAGAAAGGCAAGTGTAGTATTGCACTTGCAGTTTAAAACTCCATTACTGAAGACTATAAAATCAACTGCCCGCCCGCTCGTTCAGTTTCAGCAAACTTTTCTCCCTTGCCAACGTACCCCTAATAGCATATATTCCTGCATAAGCTCAATCGCCTTGCCCACTTTCGATTTTATCTTAGCATAATGTCCTCTCCAGGATCGTCTCCGCGAGATTTGTCCCTCAGACTGGTGTCGCCATCTTCCACCCCGCTAGATTTTGTTTCTTCTCCGCTCATTTCCTCCCCGCTCAAACCACCTTTGTCCCCTCGTCTTTGGCAGGCTCCACTGCAGAGCCCAGGCGGCGGGACTCACTCACACCAGCGCAGGCAGTCACTTAGCCAGTCGTATTTCAACGTCATTCCGCCGTACCCCATCCTGGATTCGGATGTCGCTCGTCGCACTATGGAATCCTCCAGTCCACAGAGTTCACCTAGACAGCGCATTGTTGAACAGCTGTCGATGTCCATCGGAGGTTCTTCCGCTGGGTCGACTCCCTATATGCGCCCTCGCTTGTCCTCTGGCTCATCTAACCAATATTCGTCACCCTCTTTATCTGGTTATCGGCCACCGTCACTTGCGGCCTCTCCCATACTAGAAACCCCACCGCCTTATGGTTGTGCGCATTCTCCATATCCAAGTCATAAACGTTCGGCATCATACAACCTCCCTGCGACAGCTGCTGGTCCTTACGCCCGTTTGAGGTCTAACTCTTCCGTGCAAAGTCCCTCGACATCAGGCCATAGAAATTCGCACTCCCTTTCTTACTCACCATTCCGTCGTTCTCAGTCATCATTCCAAGCCAGTGGTTCATTTGCTGATCACGACTATGACAATGAAGATTTCGCTCATTTAAAGGGCGACACCACACCTCCAGGACGCCCGCCAAGGCGCCGGTGGAATATGACAGCTCCATGGAATCCCGCCGATGAGTGGTGGAACCCCGCAGATTTTGTATATCAAGATGAGCCCAGGGTTAAGCCTGATGCACGATCAAATTCTATCGGGCCCGGTACGCGGCTGCATCTCCCACCCAGCGACGCGACATCTAATGCAGAACCTGGCGAGTTCATACGCAGGCCACTGGGTGTCGGAATCGCGGAAGCTGAGAGAGAGACAGCGAAACGCAATAGTATCTTTGCTCCCTTTCGACGGTATTCATTTTCGCAGCATACAATGGCATGCGATGATGACCAAGGGAAAAATGGTGATAAGGAAAGGTGCCACAAATCGAAAGTGTTCTCTCGCTTCACTGGCGCCGAGATAGATGGTTTTAAAAGGGCACAGAAGGTGAGCATTCCCTGTCTACGTCTCATTCTGTATCTTCTCTTACAGAGCTTTGCAGAATGTCATCCTGGCGTGTCATTCAATACTGACACGAGATGGGCTAACTTCTGAACACGTGAAAAAGGATTCCAGAGCGTCCTGTACGTCTTCTCTCTTCGTGAATGAGAAATGAAGTTGAATTTAAGTCCATTAGGCATTGTCTCGACAGCTGGGACAATTCTTGATGAAGCACTCCCTGTTTTGAAGACTATCCTGGAGTGTACGTACGATGCGGCCGCTCTGGTTCCACTACCGTTTTTCTTGGAGGCGTCGCGGACCCTCCTAATTATTTGGGAGGCGTGCGAGCAGCTTTCGGTGAGTTGCTTACACCAATCGTCCCCATCGTTACTGATATCACATACTCCAATATCGTTCTGCAGTCGAATCGACTTTCTTGTCTTCGCATCGTCGAACGCTGTGCAGGAATGCTTTATTTTGTGCGTGAGCAGATCGAAGGAGTCGGTCCTATAGTTGGCAAGGAACTCGATGCGGCCTTCCATGTCTTTAGAGAAGTCATCTTCCAAGTAGGTTCTTGCTACTTGTATGCCTCCGCTATAGTATTGATGCCAGCGTAAATCATAGATCGAAAGGTTTCTCTGCAGAATCAGCCGCCGCCCGATGCTCAAACGCTTCATTAGGAGAGCTGAAATTGCAAAAGAACTTTGCAATTGCGATCAGGCTTTGATGGATGCTTGGTTAAGATTCACTGTATGCCATTTTTCTTGCCACATAATCACCATCTGAAACTGCAGCTCGCGGTGCAGGCAACGGTATCAGTGAGGATCGTCAAGAATGTCTCGTGTCTTGATGGGAAAATTCAAAACTTGGGGTCGGTCCTTTCGGATAACGCCACTACGCTCTGTGCGGACCTAGCACATACACTATCAACTCCGGATACAGATACCTCCGCAGCATGCAATTCAAGCCAGAAGCACAATATATGTTATCCTCTTGCAGAGACCGTCCCATCTGTGCCAGAGTGTCTGACCACCGCGGAGGGCAATGTTCGTCGCGAGCTGCTTCCTATCTTTTCTGAAGACAATTCGGACAAGGAACTCCGACACGACCAATTTCAGCTCGAACATCTTCCTGGCTTTATCAATACTGCACTGTGCGATGCTGACGTCCTCAATGGTTTGGAAATTGAACGGAACGAAGTTGCCGAGATAATGAAGGCCATGCGGCGACAGCTGGAGTCCCTGCGCCATGTATTCCCGCGGACGACCACCGTCAGTGAAAGTACTCTCGCCGAGATGGAGCTTCTGGATGCTAGCATTGTCTCTATGTCGAAGCTGCGCTGCATGCAGGTGCGAGGGGCTGGCACTGACGACCCTTTTTTGCCATGGGAACTTCCTTCATGGACAATCACGCGGTGGGTGCCTTTTTGTTTCATATTTTTCTTTTGTATTGATATAGTTATACAGATATGAGGTCGACCGGTTCGAGATGATCGATCAAGGGTCATTCTCTAGAGTTTACGCTGGATCCTGGCGCGATAGATTGGTCGCAATCAAAGTTCTCCATGACTTTACCCCAGCTTCAACATTTTGTCGAGAGGTCGAGCTGTGGCGCAGACTCAAGCACCCTCAGGTTGTTCGCATGTTCGGGGCGAGCAGTGCTCACGGTGCCAAGCCATGGTTCATCGTGAGCGAGCTATACGAACGCGGAAGCCTCGTGGAGTGGTTACTAACTGCAGCACGCGATGATTACGCCACGCCACACGAAGTCGACCAGTTCCGATTCATCTCTCAGATCGCTGGCGGCATGGAATACTTGCATGCCCAAGGAATGGTGCATGGCGATTTGAAGGTTTGTGAGCCCCATGATATCCATACATGTTTTTCTCATGTATTGGAACAGTGCGCGAATGTTTTCGTTAATACAGAAGGAAACTGTGCCATTGCTGACTTCGGTCAGAGCGAACTCAAGGATGATGCCTACAGGCTGAGCGGGCGTCAACGGCCGAGTATGTTGGCTCTTGAAGTAGCGTTTTGTTTCTGACTACCTGATTGCACAGATGGGACACCAAGGTGGAAAGCGCCAGAAGTTTTGGACGGTGCCGCAAGTCCGACAATGCAAGCGGACGTCTATGCTTTTGCGATATGCTGCGTGGAGATCCTCAATATGGGCAGCATTCCTTACGGCACCCGAGATGACGAAGATATAAAGCGGATCGTGCTCGGTACGTCCAGGGCACCTTGTTCAATTTTCAAACTTGCTCATGTCTCTATAGAGCACGATGCTCGCCCAGAGGTGTCTGATACCCCTCTTTCCAGGATTGTTCTCCCAGTCATCACCTGCTGCTGGGCGCGCGACCCCGCTTGCCGTTCGCCATTTTCCATGACGGTGTTTTGGCTTCGAGGCTGTCGGAATCTCTTACATCCCTATGGCGCGGACGGCTTAGCAACCCCTTGTACGCCGAATGGTCCCATGAACTCGCCGGTCGTTGGCTTTTCAGACCGTCCCTCGCGTGGCTTACGAGGTTTCAATACACCCCCTTCTGAAGGCCATTCTTGGCTAGCCCGAGCATCCATGCCTGACTATTACAGCGCGTCATCTGGATTTGGATCTGAGTTTGGACATTCAGAACCTGATCTAGACTTGCCGGACGTTCCAGAATCGTCTATGTCCAGCAGGACATCAGGTTTTAAGGATTCGAACGATGTCGGTGAGGTTGGCACCGTCTTCGAGTACACCACCGAAAACCATCTCCTTCTTGAGATGATGGCCACGTCCACGTGGGCACGTGCTATGCAGAATGAGAGGTGCTATAGGCTTTTAGCCAAGGACACCCATGGGTATGGAGATTTGTGTAAGACATAGCTCTGTTTACCCTTGTGATGCGATCGTGTGCGCTGATACTCATTGTTTGCTAGTCACGACGCCTCTTTGGTATCCATCACCTATCGAGGTGGGTGCTGTGGGGTATGTATCCAAACCTGACGGGGAGTTCATAACCCTGTGCAACGTCAATGAGATTGGAGGAAAGAAGAAGGCCGAGGGCGACGTGGCAAAATGTATGCCTTCCTTGCGGGATTACGGTAGCATCAACGTTGGGAAGGCACGTCGTGTTCACAACAATAGTTCGAGTATGCTGAGCAGATTCAAATTTGGCGGCAACCGTCACGAGTAAGTTTTACTAGCTTATGCCTATGGCTATATGTCACAGTATGCTGAACATTCACAGCAGCGAGAACGTATCTCGCAGGCAAGCATTTCCCCTGGAAGCTGGTAAGAAGACAGCTGCGGTCTACGCTGAGTCCTTCGAACTCCGGGATTTCTCCCATGGCAGTATTCCTGCAGTTTCACAGTGGTTTAAGGATAACATTCAAGTAATCCTGCAAGAATACGCACCGAATCACCCTATTCAGAAAGAAGACGTCTTCCTTGGTACGTGCATGTTGATGTCTACATCCCTGGCTTAGTCTGAGTAGCGTTGTTTGCCAGTGACGGGCACCGTAAACGCGTGCGACTACGCTCTATTTGTGGCCGATCCCGCCTCGTCAGGGGAGGCATACTTCAACGTTTTCTCTTCTCGCAGAGCGAATCATCCATGGGGCACTTTCACGATCAAGTCTGATGGCAAAGAGTTCTTCCCCGCCCGAAACAACTTTACGAGTAAGGTATCACGAACCCACAAGATATGGGATACCGTACTCCTTGCACGACTTCGCTTCGCGCCTGATGCAGAGGAGCCGACCATGGACTAGGAGGCATCATCTCTCAGCTTATCCAACAAATTAATTGGTTCTATACATTTTTGTACTGTTACCGTTTCAGCGGATATATCATCGTTTTCCATTGTATGCATGATATGAAATGTTGTTTTGTATTTCACGCATGTACCATATCAAGTATGATGATGACATGATCTAATTGCCATAGGTGATTCAGATAACATGTTTCTCAAAGTGCGCATTACTATGAGGAATGCGTAACGTGTATTCCTCGCACCGGACGGTTTCAGAACTCTCAGAAGAACTACATGTGGTGCCTGTGACAAAAGCTTTTCAGCCGACTATAGCAGAAGCTTTGAGAGAGTGGGATAATTGATGATGAGTTCATCCACGTCTTAAATGATGGCGAAAGGAAGTTCCCGACGGTGTGACAATTTTGTTGTAGCAGCGGATACGGTGGCTGTTGCTGCAAGGTCTTTCTTAGCTTTCCGACCCTTACCCCAAAGTGTTCTACCTTCCGTCCCACCCTCTGGCTGCATGCAATGTTCTCGATCGTGAGTAAGCGAACGTGGAAGTCCGACGCAGGCAGGATTATCGCAGGGTATCCCCTTAGGGTTGTGCTTGTGTATACGTACACCCGTAGCTGCATGCGTTTTCCTCTCGAATCACGAAGGCGTAGTATTAATGGAGTTTGTGTATTCAGAGCGTGGTCCAGCTAATTTGAGCTGCCTGTGTTGTCGATTCGCCTCGTGGATGAATGATGTGGCGACATGTTCAAACAACACCTTCGACGTGACTGAGGATGTGGTAGAACCGGTGAGTGCATTAACATTCGACGAGTCGATCATTCTGATGGTGAGACTGCGATACATCGCCCATTGCGGAGTATCCGGGAGTCCATGAAGTAACATCCAGATGAATTCTTCATCGGTGAACATGATTTGCATCTCTGCGAATCGTCGACGACCATTCTCGAATACTTCGAGATATCTTGCGGCGTCATCGGGGTTCTTGAGCTTCTCCGCAAAGAGTTGAGTACGTAACTCAAATTGGCAGTTCGCATCAAGGCGCGCGAATCTCTTTGCTAGCATGTCCCACTGTTCTCGTGCGGTGAGCGCTTCGTCGAGCATGTTCTGCACGACGGCAGACAACTTCCGGTAGATGATGACCTTTGTCTGTGCGTCCTCTTTTATCCATTCCTTCATCAGCTTTAATTCGTCCGAGGTTGAACTACCTGCGATTGCGGGTTTGGGCATAACGCTCGCGAACTCGGCAATGTCGTTCGGGTCGGTCCCACTGCTGCAGTGGTTCCAAAGACCCTCACTCGCAAGTGCGAGTTTGACTGATCTTCGCCAACTAGGGTAGGTGTCTGCACCAAGAAGTTCAATGATATGATCGAATTTCCCCATTTTTGACGGAGTGAGTAGTTGATTTGAAATAAGCCAGAAGATGAGCGTTTTTCGAGTTCGAGTTCTAATCTGATTAAGTGAGCTACTTGAGCTCAGGGGTCATAACCTGATAGCTAGAACAATGAGTGAGTCTAGCCTACCGTGACGTGAGTACGAGTTTGGGTGCATGTACAAGAATAAACATACCTCAGCGAGTGGGAACAAAAGCTAGGGAAACAAACATACGAGCGCATGCTACTAATATGATGTGAAACGGAATGATACAGTGGCTGAGTGATGATGGTGAATCGCTGTATAGTACCAAGAAGCAAGAGTATCTGGAAGCCCACCTGTCAATTAAGTTATGCCTTGACGATGAAAACGACAGTTAGAGCACCAGTAACTTCCATACTTCGCAATCAACCTTGACTTGGTCCATGGAAAATTTCAGTGTTGCTGGGATCCATGGGATAACGAATGGTAGTACTGAATAACCGCCACAAAGGTTAACCGTTTGTTTGTTTGGTCTATATATACAAACTGATGCTTATGTACGATTGTTACTATGTTGATGTGACTTGCTATCGTTACCCTAGATCTCCATCATCATGGCACCCAGAATTAATGCACGGGATAGAGAGGCTCTTAGGGCTCTGCCTCGGTTGATGCAGGTGCGCTCGAATCCATGAAAGAAGGCATCACAGCGCTGATTTCTCGTTTCTCCCCATCACAGCGTAAAGTCGATGGAGCATTGCGTGGCTCAGTCGAAGATCTCCGAGACGTCGTCGGGAGCCTCAATCAACTCAAGAACGCCACGCCACTTTTGCTTCCCGTGTTTCACGCACAACTGGAGGCATACCCTGTTCCGGACAGAATTTGTCCTGATGTCGTAACAGTAATCATGCTCGCCAAATGGTCCATGGGTGGCATCGTGCAAATCTGTCATAACCTCGGCAACAGTATGAGTGTTGGAGAGCGCATTGTTCACGATGCTATCGCTTCAAAGTGGGATATGCTCTTCCCTTGGATGCAGTTCTTCAGCAACAACTTCCTTCCACCTTCGCAAAGACCTGCTGCCCTCCCACATGGCCTGTCTGTTAGCACTTACGAGGCCCTTAGGATTACCATACACCCACTATCAACCTTGTGTCAATTCACGACAATCGGCAGGCAGTTGATGAGGACAAACCCCACTGTTCAAGCATTCTTCTTCCGGGCTTGGGTCATCGTCGATGGGTTGAAGAGTAATGATTTCGCTGATCCTCTTCGAGCAGGCGACAAAAATCTCAGTGCACTGATACGGGCGAATATGTGCTCGCTCAGCGTTATCTGTATGGAAGACACCCCGGCGTCTTTGCCAGTATCCGTTATCGCCTCTACTGCCGGCGGAACTTTCCCCATGGCCTCACTAGCCCTCCGATATATCCGTCGTATGACTAAAGAAGTCTCCAATATGCCAGAACCTCAGTTACGAGCAAGAGAAAATGTCGACTTCTCGTCCATGACAGTATGTGCTACTGGTTTGGCTCAAGCCATACTTTTCATGCAATCATTGGGTGACAGAGAGGGCGGTTGTCACGAATTGCTCCTCCAAATCGGCTCAATTCGTACTGTCATGCATGCTGTCTCGACACTCTGGGAACGACTCCTAACCCCTGCTTGGAATAGTTCGGATAATGAACCAGATATAGGGCTGGCGGCGCGACGCAGAGTGTTATATATAGCATATCGCTATATTGGCTATTCAATGAATTGCGCAAATGACTCTGCTTTGGTTATATCCCAGGCCATTCATCATGGTCTACTCGAATGTCTCCTACGGACTGGGTCATCACGAGCCGAACGTGTTGACAACACCAAACGCTTTGAAGATGACCATGACATTCAATTGCTCAAAGAGCTTCCCCGGTTCTTCGTATTCTCAAAAGTGCTACGTGTTCTTCAACCCGCCCTTCAGAGACTAGATCGGTTAAACCTTGAAGAACGAGCGTCCCAAGACCCTGTGCTATGGGAGGTATGGCAAGCCGTTGACTCTGCGGCCCGTACCTTCACCAATTTCCACGAGCTGCCTGAAGGAGCCCCCTTCTACCGGTATCAGTGTTGTAGCCCAAAAGTGCGTTCGAGGACGCCTGGTTCTCTTCGTCAGCTGAAATCCTTTATCGTTAGTGCTCTCTCGATTTCTTCGAAGACGATGTCACAGCATATCGTTGTTCGGGGTGCATGCTGACACGTTACTGCTCAAAAGATTGCCAGAAGGACGCTTGGGAATCCGGCCACCGTGTTCACTGCCGCATGCTGCGCTCTACTCTCGGTCAGATTCTTTTCCTGCGCATTTAAAAGTCTTATCTAATGACCAAACTTAAGCCAATCAAGATGTACGCGAGATCCGAAAAAGCCTGCCTGTTATTGCGATGATCGAGTCTTGGATATGTGAAGAACGCGTCAATGAAATCAGGGCGCTCGATAAAGATGTGGTGAAAGCCTCCCCCTCCGATCGCTCCATCGTAGAGGTGGATTTGTCCGTTTATCCCATCGAATTGAATATGTATTCCTTGCGGGGTTATTTCCTTGTTGGCGGCTCTCATACCTTCGAACGAGAAGTTGTTGAGTCGATCACAAGCTCAGAAGATAGCCCATACGATCTGGTTACAGTCAAGGTCAGACTTGGGAAAGAGTACTATTCTTTGTTCAGCCCAGCAACCGCATTGGGCGTCGCGTTTGGGTGGACGTCAGGCATTCAAGGAGGACGATACGTCCATGACCATTCTCAAACGCCTCATACATGAGAATGCATGAGAACTTCAGTTTGGCAATACCGCCAACCAAGGTATAGTCACTTGGGACTCGCATTCTGGAGCTCGGACGAGGCGCATTACTGAAATTTGAATCAGCAGTTAAAGGTCGGTAGGTTTTTGAAAGACTTACGTTCACGTATTGACTTTGTTATCAAAGGAAAATCGTATAGTCCACAGGACTGCATGGACCCTCGGAGGCCTTCAGCATCGTGGATGAACGGTATCTAGTGCTGTGACGCGCATCAGAAGATGAAAAGATCGGGTCCCTTAGAAATATACCTACACCTCTTCTCCAATGACTTACACTATAGCTTAGTTAGAAACGGATACTTACCATACCCATACTTGACTTCACCTTCCGCAATTCGTTGTAAGCAAGGCCGAAAAAGAGTTGCGCCATATGCGGCTTGTCCACTGAATAGCTCGGTTGAAGAGTCTCAAGACAGTGCGACGATGATTAGTACCACCACCATGCAAAGGAGGGAAATGGAACCACCAGCTCCATTGTACTGTTCGAAAGCTTCCATATCGATATGTTCCGTTATGGTCCGCTGTCAAGGTCGACGGTGTGCCGGGTTTCCGTTCTCTTGGGTTCTTGACTAATGCTCGAAGCCAGGTCAAAAAGTAGCACGTAAGATTAAACGCCGGGAGTACTCACTAACAAGTCATCTCACTATACCCCCCGACCAAAAAAAGGAACGCGCCAGTGGTACGCGGCGCCTGTCCCACGTGAAAAACTTCCCAGTCACACTGGCACACTGGGCGCGTACCTGCGTACATGTACACGTACACCTTTGGGAATGATTGATATAGGTTCCTCAGAGCAGAAGCGCAAGTCGTCATCGTTAATCCCACTGTGGGTTGGCACTTGGTTCTGGCATCCAAATTCCTAGAAGATAGATCGTTGTTCACAGTACTATTTGTGCAGAAAAGTCTTTTGATTCCAGAGTTCAAGTGACTTTCGGCGGAGCGGAAGCAGTTTAGAGACCGGATAACGTTGGAGTGGGTACTCGTGTTTGCCTCCATTTGGGTGTTTAACATGGGTAGGGCCTTAGGGCGTTGTCGTAGATAGCATTTTCATCAGGTTGAGGTTCCGTCTGCCAAAGGCAGGCACATATTGCCAGCTGCACCAGTCAAACGTGCTAGGAACATCGGTTGATGATAGATCATAATACTGGAAGAGTGCAGATAGGTGCGGATCTTAGGATTGCTCGCGCTGTGTCTGAAATGTCCAAATTTGAACATGGCGCATCCCGGAAGTTATATCGCGCAGTGCCGATGCTTGAGTAATTCACGACTATGTTTACCCACCTTGGCCTTCAGTATGCACCCTGAATTCTTCAGCAATGAACAAAAAATCTCTACGTGTGATGACAGTGCTGATGATCTAATCGCTATACACATGCTGGTGGGAGGCGCACCACGAATTACGATTATGCTACTTCTCATTGACTTTGTCTGATTCGACTGCTTCTTGGTGCTGCGAACTGGCATTGACAGCGCTGAGGTACGTGTCTAAAAGGCGATGATCAAGAAAGAATGGCTTTCAACAAACTCAAACTTACTCCAAAACAAGCTGACAACGCTCACGACAACAAAGCGGAGGTGATGCGGTACAATAGCAAAGTTGATGATTTGGGTGGGTATGAAGACGCCCCTAGATCTATTTGAGTGCACGATACTTAGGCAACAACGCGAATCTCACCAGTTACGAATTAATGTTGGGGTATACGCCTGGGAGGAATGCCACATGTAAGGTAGCTGCACATTACAAAGGGAAATTAACTCACAGTACTGATGCGTTCCTGTGCACCAGAGATACCCTTTCCCTCCATGATACTCATCGTGCCAAAAAAGAATCCAACAGCCACTAGAAGAAAGTAAAGGGTAAGAAAGACAGTAGATCCACGTGTAGTCAACGAACCAGGGGTCAGAATCGCCTGGTCCAGCCAGACCTGCAAAAAGGCGATCATTCCCTCATGAAACTCCAGAAGACAGTATACCCCATACACGATATATCACAGCCTTGGTAGGACTAGAGAACTTGATGCGGTTCAGAAGTTGATACCATTTTGTCAAGGCCGGCCCAAAGAACGCTCCTGATAAAATTAGAACATGAATCAGGCCAAGGCCGCTTACAATCGAATCATGTTACCTCCATAAAAAGTGAGGCGTGCAGTGCGCATGAACTGCGCAGATATGATCAAAACCAGTTCCTTCCATAGTGGACTATCAATACTCACATCATGATTCTTCCCCTGGCGTTCGATGACTTGCTGAGCGATCACATCACCTGCGCCAAATAAAAAGGCAGCAGTGGCGGACTGTGCGAACATGGGTCTTCGGATGAGAGCCGCACTGAGATACTTGAGCAAAACAAAACTAAGGATGGGGAATTTGAAGCCACCGACTTGTACAACCGGAGAACTGAGGCCATTGTTGAAGAGATCGCTTGGTATAATTGGAGTCTTAGAGAACCCCAACTTACCAAGTTCAAGTTGTGTATAGACACGGAGTCTCGGAAGTTGAATTCAACGTGTGATATTCCTGCTACTTAGGTTGTACAATGTACGTAACTCGATGCAGAGAACTTCTATATTTGTATACCGCTACCGCGAGTGTTACTTGGAATCAACACTCGAAAATATCTGAATGCTTGAGTCTAAGTAGATATCTGCAGTCAAGTCACAAAAGTTTGGTATCCATTATGTGTAGTGTCTGAGTGAAGTAGCATCTATTCAATTTTTTGATCTCATGTCGATACCATACCCAGTACTCAGCCTCATGAGTCAATGTCCAAGACTTACTAAATCACTAAGCGTATAGAAAAGTCTGTAGTATTAGCGACTGGCTTGGATAAGCGAAATCAAGCCAAAGCGCCAAGAAGAATTTCGCGAGGCATACCACGTTCCTAATGCCCGCTGCAGTCACCCGACCGCACCGGCCTGCTCGTTCTGTTTAGTATAATACTACCGAGCCTATATACTTAGGGGGATTACAGGACCTGTTGCACGACTGAAACTGCGAAATGACGACCGGCCACCTGCGCCAAGTGACCATGACCCGCGGCGGGGTAGTTTTCTTTATGGTTGGGGAGGCTAGTGGGGGTAGGAAGCTTCAGACCTCGAATCTTTAGCAAGACTCACCATGGAGCCCTTTTCGGCCGTTTCCGAGCCGAAATGGGATCTTACGATGCTGTGCGTCTGGGGGCAGGCGCGAAAAGCGGCTTTTTCGCTCGCAAAGAGTGCATGTCTGAGATGCCGCCAATATTCCTGGACCAAAAATAATGTCTTGGGACCTTGAACGAAGGGGAAATGTTGCCTCTTGCGTCGATTGAAGCATTTGAGCGGGCCAAGTGCGCACATGGATATTTCTAGTCGTCCGCATGCAATGGCGGACTCGTCGGCATTGGCTTTGGTCCTCCAAGTGATGCTCTATTCATATTTGCTGTCCATCGAATGGTCGCTGTAAAATGGCGGACAAAGGAGAACTATGTTTGTGTTCGCAATCATATGCATTCTGCATCCCAAATTAGTATGAGTTCGAGGTACCCGACTTGTAAACATTGCCGGTAAACGCACACTGCTGCTGTTACAAATTCGACCGGCAATCTGGTCCTTCGAGCGTCTACTCAGAACATCCAAATTTCGGTTACCGTCAGCCACGTGTGATAGACTGGAATGAAAATTTGATCAAATCCATTGATTGATGAATGGGATGGTCCAACGCAACCGACTAGCCATGTGGCGATAAGATAAAAGAACACGCGACACCAGTAGCGTGGATTAGTGGGTTTGCGTAGTCATCTTATGTCGAGCAGAATTCCGTACCTTTGGTTTTTGGATGCCTCTTGCTACTTGCCAAGCTTCAAGTTAGTGGAGAGTTTGTATATTTTGAGACAATATGTGGGTGTGGGTGGGTGTGTGAATCCCCACGCCTTTCCCCAAGACAACCGAGATAAAACACCAAACTTCAAATACTCACAGTCAATCAGGGCCGCTGAGCAGCTCTCGATAATACGGGGCATCAGTACCAGTATCGCTGCCTTGTGGCGCGACAGTTAAGCGGACGAGAGAGTTGACTACTGCCGCTGACCTTCATAAATGTCGCTAAAGGTTACCAGCAATATGAATTAATATTAATATTGTTTTTAAATCTCGTGCACGTACCTCCTTTTTGGGAACAAGGTTGAGTCGACTCGTGGGATGCCGCAAAGGTCTATGCGACAAATGTCGATCACTTCTTGACTTTTTACCATCTGTACAACTGCAGAAACGCAATCATGATCTTTCCCCAACAAAGTCCTGAATGCTTCAGGCTGATTGTTTTATGCAGATCACCCACTCGCGACTAACATGTACATTGTAGTCACCCTTAGGCAGATCAACGGCCTGGGAAGGAAGATTGTCGTTTCTTCAATCAAAATAACAAGGACGATCTGACTTGGATAGAGATGCCATAGCCCAGGCCTGCACAGGCTGCAATAAGGGACAAATTGTAAAACTAAAAACAAAGAAAAAAACCCGATATCATGTCTCGCGATTTTTTTCCAGTTTAGACTCTTCCTCGCGGAGCTTTGCTCGAGATAATCGGGATTAATCGGATAGTGAGTGAGAAGTGAACAGTTCCTGGAAGCTCATCGGTCCTCGAACTCTATATTGACAGAGTTTGCTCCCTCACTCAAATTAGATCTAAATCACACTATTCACTGCAGTGGAGTGCATGCGCACAATTGCCACCGCGTTCCAGTGAATGGCATTATGGAGATATGCCATCTCTACTAGTAGTATAAAGGACTGAAGTAGATGTGCTAAACTGACCTTGCCCCCGCTCTCTAAAGCATTATAGCACCACAAGTCGACATCGGTCATACAGTCATGTCTTCAAACTCTATAACTGAAAAAGAGGGCCCAAGGGACAACTACTACGTCCAGACTGTCAACATGGACGCCCAAGCACCCCCTGCAGCACAGATGCAGCCCTTCCAGAGGACGTATGGTAACCCTGTACGTTTTTCATGTTTTGCTACTAGTATGTCGACAGGATGTAATTGGTTTTCAGGTACCCTTGGGCATGCTAGCTTACGGGACCGTCTTGCTGTGCTCGTCAATATTGACGCTTGCCTCCAAGGATGTTGGTCAACCCAACCTGGTTATGGTTTTCGCCACCTTGTTGGTTTTTGTCATTATTCGCAAATGATCCTGAATGTAACCTAGTCATCTTCAGCTTCGGTGGTATCTCTCAAACAATTGTGGGCATGTGGGAGATGTTCCTTGGGTATGGTTCTGACCTCTGTATGGAGAGCTACTTCTGAGACTTTTCCACAGTAACACGTTCACGGCAACAGTCTTCGGCACCTACGGAGGTTTCAATTTTTCTTTTGGTGCTATCTACCTGCCTCAACTAGGCCTTGCGTATGTTGTCTTCAAGTATTGATGCATGTCCTCCCTCACATACATTTCAGGGCCGCATACACCGTTGACGGTGTTCTCGGACAGGAGTTTTACAACGCCATCGGGATCTACCTCGCCATCTGGGACTTGATCACGTTCCTCTTCCTGTGAGTCTGAGCAAGTATACTATGTTGACACATCCCTAATAATCTTACAGCCTTGGCGCGATCCGTACAACTTTCCCTATCGTTATAACACTCGCATTTACCGTTTGCGCGCTCACTTGTCTTTCCCTAAATGCCTTTACCGGTGCGTTTTCACCCTTCTAGTATCATGTTCTATCTGACAGCCAATATGCAGGCAACCCACACTTGGCAACTGCGGGTGGTGCCCTTGGTGTCATCGCTTCCTTCGGTGCATACTACGGTGCTCTCGCGCTCTTCTGGACCCAACAAACCACGTACTCGTTTATTCGCCTCCCCGCTCTCGTCATAGGCCCTTCCAATGTATAAGTACTGAGCTGTTAGTCCTCAGTCAATCGCTCTTTCTTTCCTTCAGTTCTCAATCTCAACTACATCCCCAGTATTGATATGTTATTTTGTTTGTATTAGATTCTACCTGTTCAGCTGTAGAGTGGAGCGAAATACAACTATTTGGCAGTGCCAGCTTTGTTTCCGGGTTGATCATACTAGCATCATGCACATGGGAGTCACGCAAATTGTTTCCGCGGAAACAGATGTTCCGTCCTTACACATGTTAGATAACAAATTGATATGACTCTTCGTCGCTAATTCTAAGCTGTGAAAGGTCAATCACAAAGTGGCATGGTCTCAGGAATAGACGCGGACGCAGTTCTTCTAATAGTCCGTGAGTATTAAGCTTCGTCAAGGGAACTATACAGTGGGAATCTTCGATGGTAATCGCTATCAGACAGGTGATGGGTAAGTTTGCGCGAAGCGCTGAAAGCGACCACGACATCCGAGAGTGTCGTTACTAATACCACTTCGATGACATCGACATCTTAACATGTATTGAGCACCAAACTTAGGCTGAGACGTCAAGCACATCCACGACGTCAGTTTTCCAAATGCTAGGTTCGAAGTATCATCCAAGGTCTCAGGTCTTGAACGTTCAGCGACCCCACGGGGGAGTGTATCATGATGCTCAGGCACATTAATCAAAAAATAATATTAATGTACCTGGATTAACGCAAAATCAAATTGTAATTCATATTTGTACATGCTTGGTCCAATCCGTACCCTCAACAACTTTATGACGAGCGCCAGTACACAAAATATTGTCAGTATAAATATCTGTGCCAGCTGGTTTCTCGTGCTCGACGTAGTCAACCATTCTCTCAAAATGCCCTCGAAATCCTCAACCGTGTCTGGAATCACCTCCCAGAGCAACAAGTCGATGTGGCCGCTCGGTGACGAGCCAAGACAGACTGCTATCGCGCCAAAGACTGTTGAGTCGAAAATCTGATCGGTATCCGGTCATACCAATTCGCTCGCGAGCGATATTTTCATTGCAAAGTAGTCTGGCATGGTCTGCCTGACGGGTGTTCTGGCTCCAGTGTAAGTATACCTCGATGGCGATCACTATCAGGGTTCACTTGCCAGGTCATGGATAAAGTTTGAATCAGGATGACTCCGCGCCAATTTTAGGCTAAAACATCAATGCCGGCCTCGACGTTCGAAAACGACGGCGCCTGATACTAGGGAAGAGTAGGCTCGTGGGTTACGAGTCTATGGGAAGAGACCATATCATATCTGCGCTATTGTATGCTCAGACCTAGATTGGATTGCTCGACGTCGCGGGCGAACAGGAATTCTTCAGTGGACACCTAAAGCAAGGAGGAAACATGAAACACCGGGACGAGGAGAGTGCGAAACTGGATCCCTCACCCACGCAATCGCAGAACCCGAAGCAAGGGAATGCTCGAGACACTACTAGCACTAAGCGCAAAGTCAGGGTACTGTGTAGAGGCCGGGGTGAAGGTGGAGAAGATCTAAGTCAAATTTTAGAACATTAGATATATCTTGAGGTCTTGTTCGATTATACAGCGAACATACGTATGTGTGTAATCTACAAGACGTTAAGCATTCTGCCTTTGCTGTTGACTTAACCTTGCTTCCGTGACTCGGCATTGATTGTCATCGGCGGTGATTCGTCGAGGTTGTACAGCGCAGAAGGCCTGAGGCTTGGACACTTTAAACTTGAAGGATTCCTATGACTGGAAGGCGTGAGTCGGCTCCTACTTACAGCTACTAGGTCCTCAGGCAAAGAACGAAGTTACAAATGAGTTGACCACACAAGAACTTCAGTAAACGTTCCAGTCGACAAAGATACAACAGAGTATACGAAAATCAGAGAGCTAGAGCGTAAGATATCAAGGTCATGAGTACAACATAATGAAAGAGGATCACAGATGAACAATATGCGAATATCTACCAGACGACAGCAATACGATGTAGAACTACACACCAATATGAATAAAAACCATCCTCTGCTCGAGCGGCACTGTCTTCTTCACGGCGTGCGTAGCACGATTCAGTGCCCAGGCCGCCTTCGTACAGTCCATCACACCACCGTTCTTCACATGGCCAAACATACTCGTGTAGAAGGCTTTGACGACGTGTTTTGCGACAGCGTCGTCCACCTGCCACAGCGTGCCAATCACGCTCTTAAACCCCGAAAACTGGAGACCAGCTGCGAGGTGAATCACTTCGTCGGGCGTCTCCTCATCCCCGACGGCAGTATGACACGCTGATAAGAACGCGAACTCAGCGTGTGGAATATTTCTCTCCATGATATCGAGCAGCGTCAGATCCTCGTCTCTCATGACGAAATGCGAATGGTAAGGCTGCTTAGGATCCTGCTTGCCATGACAAGCGAGGTGCACCCAGTTGTTTTGTTGCAAAGCTTCGAGTGCACCTGCTCGTGTAGCTGCGTCGCCAGAGATAGTGGTGCGGTTGGCTGTCGCAGGAACGAGCTTATGGACAAGGACGAGCTCACTGTCGACGGCCAGCAGTGCCTTTCCCTTCCCTGCACCCGGTTGACCTTGTCCGATCGCCACGAAGGACGGAGGGATATGTTTCTTCATCAACTGTCTGGATCTCACCAGAGCTGCCAGTGTCGGCGTGTAAGAGCAGATATAGAGATCCTCCAGGCATGGCTCCTTAGAACAATCTGCCTTTGTCTTGAAGGGGTGAGCTGCATGGAGAGGAATGGACGTGAAAGCCGCAGTTGGACATAGCCAGATTCGAGAGCGGGGCTTTAGTTTCAGGACGTGCTCGAGTACATCGACGATGGGTAGCATGATGTTGTCCCATATGGTCCGCAAGAGCGCTATCAGATCCTTCCTCGGCTCGGCTGGGTCCATCCTACATGCGTCTCTTATTGCCCTGGTGAAGCGATCCTTGAGTTTTGTCAGATCTGCGAGACTAATAGACGGAAAGGGAACGTGATGGGGGTCTCCTGAGGTCGGGACAATGATGGCGCTGCAGGAGCATTCACTGGCAATGAGGACGATGACCGGGCCCTGGCGCGCTGCCTCTTGGAGGTCTTTGTATGAAGGTGGAAGCAAGAATCGCGAGAACGCCGGAAGATCGCGTATCTTTGCCACAGCGGCTTCCCATTGCCTTGTAAGTTTCCTATATTCTATTGCTGCCCGATCAACAGCAGCTCTGTCGCGATCGGAGATGGTTGCAGAACTCTGAGCGGCATCGGAAATAAGTTTGCTCAGCTCCAAATAATTTTGCGCCAATGTCGGATTTGCTGACTGGAGGTCTTCAACTGGGGTCCTGAGTCGAGATGCCAGCGACCATTGCTGGCCACGGCCCTGCTCCACAAGTTCTACTGCGTGTTGAAGGTTGCCACTGCGGGTGGCATACGATGCTGCATCGACAGGCAGTGATCTGGCATAATGGAAGGCGGCAGCAGCTTCCCGCCGTGAGATGGTGGATGATCGCGTCGCCAAGTGGGCATCAAGAAGCTCCAAAAATGTCATGTAGGCTTCCAGCGCGGAAGCATGACCATGCTTCTCCGCTGCGACGGTCCACTTATATGCCCCAAGGATGCGAATTGGGAACCCTTGAGTAGGGTGCCTTGAAGCGAGTCTGAAAGTTTCTATAGCGAGCGACAAATCAGCAGCGTCGTGGAGAATCTCATAACGAGACAAATAGGCCTCCTGCATGCACATGTAGCTCGAACACCTGTCCGGGTGCATTGAAGACAGAGTCGCCAACGATTCTTGGCAAAGAGTGATGGCCTCCTCGATATCTTCATTCTTCTGAGATTGTGTGAAATGAGAGCTGAGCGCCAAGCTCAAACTGTAAAGATTTTTATGGCGGAATGGATGGTCAAGCGGCCTTGACCGAAGGGATTCGCGATGAAGGTCAATGGCCTCATCAAGATCCTCGCTAACATGCAATTCATCATATCTGGTTTTGAGCGCGTTGGCAAGGTTGTGAAGCATGGTGTCATGATCTGGATGCCCAGGTGGGCACAATGTCAGTGCCTCACGACGGAGAATAATAGCTCGATTCATGTCATCAATGTCGCCGCGTTTCTTAAAACGTTGGAGGAGGACGCCCCCTAGGCTGTCTAATGGGTTATCTCGATATTCGTTCCCAACAGGGCACAGGCGCAGCGCTTCTTCAAGCAGAGAGATGGCCTCGTCAAGGTCATTAGGGTTACCTTGGTGGCGGAAGCGCGACTGGAGGGAGCAAGCCAAATTGTAAAGGTTGGCATCGTGTTCCTCGGAACACAGAGACACGGCTTCACGACCAAGCTGTATGCTCGTGTCAAGATCATCGATGCTGCCGTGTTGATCAAAGCGTGCTTCAACTGCTCGTGCAAGCTCGTTGAGGGCTCTGAGACGAAGGCGATGGCCCAGAGGACAGAGCTCGAGGACGACTCTTCGAAGGTGGATGACTTCATCAGATGCGTCTGGTGGAAGATCGTTGCATTCATCGATCACATAATCGACACCATCTTCCCCTGCCACGATGCTACGAAGGTAGGTGCCCTCTGGACAGAGAGGCAGTAGCTCATGATAGAGTTGGGCTAATTCGCGGATGTCGGCAACAGTACTTTTCTTCTTGTGGCGCCAAGTCAGCGCTAGGGTGAGATTATATAGAGATAAGGGATGATCGGGATGGGGCTGCGGACGCAATGCAAGGGCGTCGCGGAAGAGGGAAGTGGTGGTATCGATTTCTTGAAGAACATCTCGGATGCAGCCTATAAGGCGGGCCCAAGCGAGGTCGGTGAGAGCTGTTGCGTGGTCTGGATGGCTGACCGGACACTTGTCCAGAACAAACTGAAAATGCATTACAGCATTGTTCAGGTGAGAGACCGTCTTGCTCATCACGTATTTAGCGAATTGTGCGTGGCCCGCGTCTGTGTGTCGAACAATCTTGCAGTCTATGAGGGACTACAGTTGGCATTCTGTCAGAAAAAAAAAAGCTAACAGGACGGAGTCCATGGTCACTCACATCAAACAGTGCGCCGTCCTGATCATCGCAAGCGTGTACAACGACAGCCTTTAGCGTGAGGGAAGGGCGGACACCACGCACGCGTGGGAAGGTTACTTCTACGATGTGTTAGCATATGTGCATGAATGAAAAGTGAATCACTCACCGAATGGTTCATCTCCATGATTGAGTAGCTCATCCCACGGCACTTCAAGTTCCCCGATGACCTCTCCACCGCCTAGGATTCGACCAAGCTCAAAGGACGCCCTGATCTCCACTGACAACGAAGGTGAGGTATGCGACGATCTATAAACCAAAGATGAGTTCTCGCATTGCGTCAGAAAGTCTACAGGAACTTTTACAGAGTTACAGTATTCCCCCACGTTACAGATTGATCAGATGATAAGACACTGGTGACCGATTTCCAGTACCTCCTCGAGTCGACTTTGACAGAAATGTAAATGCCAGCGGGAACACGCCAGGAGGGGACTTGAATATTCTTTCCGCTTATGACTATAAATAGAGCATGGAAGAAATACAAGGGTGATATGGTGAAACTTGCCTTCAAGTCTGATGTATCGGTGTTTTGAGCTACCAAACATGATGGTGCGATTTGAAGAGAATCGAGGATGGGCTGAGTAGGGGACGGAATGAGAAAGGGAAGAAGGGGGTTAAGGATATGAACACTGTGGATAGAGTTCGCCTGCGAGGGTTCAGGTCATGCTACACGTGTATTTCCATATCGTTGTGGAAGGCTGTTGGCTATTCGGCACGGTATAGACGCTGGTATGAGGGTGAGGTCATCAACCAGGATTGTGCTAATGTCATTATCGGTCCATTCGAGTTTCGAAGACTTGGCAGGCACACCAAGACCAGATTTTATTGAGGCGTTAGTCGGCGCTTGGACTTGTGCGTTCACTACCGTCACGGTTTTGAGTCCCTTCCTTCCCTTAGTTTTGCAACTGAAATGCTTTGATGAAGGCATCTGCAAGTTCTCATCTGAAAGTATGTATTGTGGATGAATGAATGGTTCCCTCTACGATTACTGATCAGATGAATTGAAAGTGGATATTGATGTGTTCCGTTCGAGCGTGGAATTTGATTGTCGCAGTGGAGGTGAGTCCTCTCGTTCATATAATTGTTTCATATATATACGAGTGACTGAAGGTATACCACTAGTACTGCTCCTCCCTTGCTACAGACATTAGGGCGATATATCCGACCTCTGCTGTTGATAGCGCAATTACCGATTGTTTCGATGTACTCAATGCTACTAGGGATTCAATGAAATAGGAAAACGTATCCTGATATTGAGTATCTATGGGCTTGGCTTGCCCAAATCCGCCTCCACATATGCTTCTACGTCTGCATCCTTTGCTCCCAGGGTAAGTTTCGCATTCTTTGTTCATTTTACATAGCATATACTGCGGCTGACCCTTCCAGTGTCCTCTTGCTGGTTCTCGCATGAACTGTGATGGAATAGATACTCCTAGTGCAATACCTGGCCTTGTGCCGGTTGCTGCATACATCAGCGATACAATCGCTCTTTGGTACAGCGAATAATATTTTAATTGTGGTTCCTAGCGGACGGTCTGACTGCTCTTTGGTGAGGATTACTCCGGTCCTCATTGGTATCTGCGTACTATTAGGCTGACTGCAAGTTTTAGGGCGAACACCACTGCGCCAGCACACAATATTTCCAGGATCTTTGTGCCAGCTGGGTTCTTGCTCGGTGTCACAACGCACTCGACATCCTCGACCGCATCTGTAATCAACTTCAAATGCAAGAAGTTGACGTGGCCGCTAGGTAAGGAGCCAAGACAGACTGTTGAGTCGAAAATTCAATCAATCAGTCATACCGGTTCACTCGCGAGCGAGAGTTTCGCTTCCTTTGCAAGTGTTCTGGCTCCAGTGTATAAGAATGTAGGCAAGTACTCAAATTTCTAGGCAGCCTCTTCGTAATATTACTTCTGAATCAAGCCTGATACACATATTACGGCACGTGTAGTTTTTTCTGCTACCGCTATTAACTTCGTGACCGTGTCCACAAGCTGCTAACTGATGTCCGTTACACGAGATTTGTTTCATAACCTGCCCGGCACACGACTCCTCAGTTTAGACGAAGACATTCAGCTTGTTCAAGCAATATGTTCGCAACCTTGCACGGGCCATGCTCGATGATGTGATATACGTGACGGAGCACGAAGATAATATGGCTGTCTTGGCGTGCCTGCTGGCTGGCCGCTATCTTCCCTGCTTGCAGCCTGCACTTATACTCCTCTTGTCAGCTTTTCTCGGTTCAATATCGAGACATGATGCTGATAATCCACAGCCTTCCACGAGTCTGCTCATGAGGCAGAAACAACTTGAGTTCGTATGGACGTTGTCGCCTTGTAAACATTTCGTCGAGCTCCAGCTGACGCTAGGGAAGCTCAACCAATAGACGAACGTAGCCATGTCTGTCATCAATTGCGGAGTAGGCTACACCCCAACAGGCTCAGTTTGCAAGTCATGCACTTTCTCGCCTCGGAGCTGTTTATTCACGTACCTGCTTCTCATCTGCAGTGGGTGTTTTTACATCGATGCCTTTGTCGGATCTGACCTTAATCGACTCAACAACCAGGTTAAATCATGGATTGTGATGAGGTATGGTCGGGCTTCAGCCACGGCAAGATATCATATATCTTGGTGCATACCACGCTCGTGGACCTTGAGTATGTTTCGCAATTCCAGAAGATCTTCTGCAGTCGTATGGAGGCTCGTGGTTGTAGACTTTGGAAATATTTGATTTGGTGATTATTTATATCTTGTTTTATGCCTCACCCACGCAATCGCAGAACCCGAAGCAAGGGAATGCTCGAGACTGGAGAAGATCTCAGTCAAATTTTAGAACATTCGATATATCTTGAGGTCTTGTTCAATTATACAGCGAACGTACGTACTGATAGTATGTGTGTCTACAAGACGTCAAGTATTCTGCCTTTGCTATTGACTTGACCTTGCTTCTGGAATGCATCAGTGGTGATTCGTCGAGGTTGTACAGTGCAGAAAGCCTGAGGCTTGGACACTTTAAACTTGAAGAATTCCTGTGACTGGAAGGCGTGAGTCGGCTCCTACAGCTACTAAGTACTCAAGCAAAGAACGAAGTTACAAATGAGTCGACCACACAAGAACTTTAGTAAACATTCCAGGCGACAAAAATACAACAGAGTATACGAAAATCAGATAGCTAGAGCGTAAGATATCAAGGTCATGTGTATAGCATAATGAAAAAGGATTGCGAATCAATAACATGCGAATATGTACCAGACGACAGCAATACGATGTAGAGCTACACACCAATATGAACGAAAACCATCCTCTGCTCGAGCGGCACTTTCGTCTTCACAGCAGTGCGTAGCACGGTTCAGTGCCCAGGCCGCCTTCGTACAGTCCATCACACCATCCTTCTTGAAACTCTCGAACATACTCTGGTAGAAAGCTTCGACGACGTGTTTTGCGACAGCGTCGTCCACCTGCCACAGCGTGCCAATCACGCTCTTGAACCCCGAAAACTGGAGACCAGCTGCGAGGTGAATCACTTCGTCGGGCGTCTCCTCATCCCCGACAGGCAGTATGACACGCTGATAAGAACGCGAAACTCGGCGTGTGGAATGTCTCTCTCCATGATATCGAGCAGCGTCAGATTCTCGTCTCTCATGACGAAATGCGAATGGTAGGGCTGCTCGGGATCCTGCTTGCCATGACAAGCGAGGTGCACCCAGTTGTTTTGTTGCAAAGCTTCGAGTGCACCTGCTCGTGTAGCTGCATCGCCAGAGATGGTGGTGTGGTGGGCTGTCGCTGGGATGAGTTTATGAACAAGCTCAAGCTCGCTGTCGACGGCCAGCAGTGCCTTGCCCTTTCCTGCCCCTGGTTGACCTTGTCCGATCGCCACGAAGGATGGAGAGATACGTTTCTTCATCAACTGTCTGGATCTCACCAGAGCCGAAAGTGTCGGCGTGTAAGAGCAGATGTAGAGATCCTCCAGGCATGGCTCCTTAGAACGATCTGGTTTTGTCTTGAAGGGGTGAGCTGCATGGAGAGGGATGGACGTGAAAGCTGCAGTTGGACATAGCCAGATTCGAGAGCGGCGCTCTATTTTTAGGACCTGCTCGAGTACATTGACGATGGGTAGCATGATCTCGTCCCATACTGTCCGCAGAAGCGCCATCAGATCCTTCCTCGGCTCCGCTGGGTCCATCCTAGATGCATCTCTTATTGCCCTGGCGAAGCGATCCTTGAGTGTTGTCAGATCTGCGAGTGTTACGATCCAACCCACGCTAAGAGATAACTCAAAGAATAGGTTGCGAGCTGTTACAATAACATTTACTCCTATTTCATTTTCCTTTTTCTTGTAACCATGCCACCGATTCTAGACTCATCTAGACTCGGCCGTTCTCTTATCAAGCGGGCTGTCCGCCTCCTCTTCTATCTTGATTGTAACATAGATACTATCTTGCGCCGCATGGCGGTTTCACCTATCTTTACTATCTTGATAGGTCGTACTCTTTTCCTATCTTTGTTACCATTCTTGTCGCGGCTACGCCGCTTCCTTTTACCTATATAAACCCCATGTACCATAGATGTATCCCTTAACTTAATCTACTGGGTTTTCCCCTTGAATCCTGATCTACTAAGGTCTCCACCCTTAGTAGCCTGAACTCTGATTCTAAGGCAGTCACTCACTGTCTTAGTCTGAAACCTTTGATTGCGGTAGAAGTGCTAAAACCACTCACCGCCTAGGCAGAAGTGCTAAAACCACTCGCCGCTGATCCTGCATAGAAGCCGCGGCTCGTGCAGTAGGAACCACCAGAAACCTTCCTTGTATTAGGAAGGCCGACGAACTGTTCGCCCGACAGGTCTATCTTGACCGGCAACAGCAGAACTATCCCAGTCGTAACACGAGCCAGGTATGTTTGGCAAGGTCAAGTTAGAGAATACATGAAGTATCTACAGGTCTTATATACGAGTATTGAAGCGGAGCTACAATGTAAACATCCAATAGGAATAATCGTAGAAGTATCGTACGATAGAAGGTCGTGGAATGTGGTGGAATGTTCTGTGATATGTGAAGATGTGAAGTGGTGCATATGTGAAGAGGTGAAAGGTGAAAAGGTGTCAGTGTGAAAGGTGACACTGTGACAAAGTAAAGTGTGAAGGGTAGAACCATAACAGCGAGACTGACAGATGGAAAGGGAACGTGATGGGGGTCTCCTGAGGTCGGGACGATGATGGCGCTGCAGGAGTATTGACTCGCAATGAGGACGATGACCAGGCCCTGGCGCGCTGCCTCTTGGAGGTCTTTGTATGAAGGTGGAAGCAAGAATCGCGAGAACGCCGGAAGATCACGTATCTTAGCTACAGCATCTTCCCATTCCTTTACGAATTTCCTATATTCTGTTGCTGCCCGATCAGCAGCAGCTCTGTCAGTGATGGTTGCAGAACTCTGTGCGGCATCGGAAACGCGCTTGCTCAGCTGTAAATAATTGTGGGCTAGTGTCGGATTTGCCGACTCAAGGGCTTCAACTGGAGTCCTGAGTCGAGATGCCAGTGACCATTGCTGGCCACGGCCGTGCTCTACGAGTTCCACTGCGTGTTGAAGGTTGTCGTAGTGAATAGCATATGATGCTGCATCGACAGGCAGTGATCTGGCATAATGGAAGGCGGCGGCAGCTTCGCGCCGTGAGATGGTGGATGATCGCGTCGTCAGATGGCTGTCGAACAGCTCAAAGCACATTTGATATGCTTCAAGGGCAGAGTCATGTTGATATGCTTCTGCTTGGTAAGCCCAGTCAATGGCCTCCAGTATGCGATCCGGATATCCTTGAGTAGGGTGCCTTGAAGCGAGTCTGAAGTTTTCTATAGCGAGCAACAAATCAGCCGGGTCGTGGAGAATCTCATAACGAGACAAATAGGCCTCCTGCAGCCGCGTGTAGCTGAAATACCTGTTCGGGTGCAGTGAAGACAGATCCGCCAACGATTCTTGGCAAAGAGTGATGGCCTCCTTGACATCTTCATTCTTCTGTGATTGTGTGAAACGAGAGCGGAGCGCCGAGCTCAAATTGTGGAGATTTACATGGCGGTCTGGATCGTCAAGCGGCCTTGACCGAAGGGATTCGCGAAACAGGTCAATGGCCTCGTTAAGATCCTCGCTAACATGTGATTCTTTATATCTGGTATTGAGCGCGAGGGCAAGGTTGTTAAGTGTGGTGTGACGATATGGATGCCCAGGCGGGCACAACGTCAGTGCCTCACGAAGGAGGCTAATAGCTCGATTAATGTCATCAATGTCGCCGCGTTTCTTAAAACGGTCGAGGAGGATACCCCCTAGGTTGTCTAATGAGGAATCTCGAGATTCATGCCCAAGAGGGCGCAGGCGTAGCGCTTCTTCATGCAGAGAGATAGCCTCGTCGAGGTCATTAGGGTTGCCTTGGTGTTCGAAGCGTAACATGAGGGAGTAAGCCAAATTGTTCAGGTAGGTATCATGCTCCTCGGAACACAGAGACACGGCTTCACGACGAAGCTCTATGCTCGTGTCGAGATCATCGATGCTGCCATGCTGTATAAAGCGTGCTCTAACTGCTCCTGCAAGCTCGTCGAGGGCTCTGGGACGAAGACGATGGCCTAGAGGACAGAGCTCGAGGACGACTCTTCGAAGGTGGATCCCTTCATCAGATGCGTCTGTTGGAAGATCGTTGCATTCAGTCGATCACATAATCGACACCATTTTCCCCTGCCGCGATGCTACGAAGGTAGGTGCCCTCTGGACAGAGAGGCAGTAGCTCATGATAGAGTTGGGCGGATTCGCGGATGTCGGCATCAGTACTTTTCTTGTCGTGGCGCCAATTCAGCGCTTCGGTGAGATTATATAGAGATAAGGGATGATCGGGATGGGGCTGCGGACGCAATGCAAGGGCGTCGCGGAAGAGGGAAGTGGTGGCATCGATCTCTTGAAGATCATCTCGGCTGTAGCCTTTAAGGCGGGCCCACGCGAGGTTGGTGAGAGCGGTTGCATGGTCTGGATGGCTGACCGGACACTTTCCCAGAACCAACCGAAAATGCTCTACAGCATTGTTCAGGTGAGAGACTGTCTCGCTTGTCACGTATTTTGCGAATTGTGCGTGGCCCGCGTCTGTGTGTCGAGCAATCTCGCAGTCTATGAGGGACTACAGTTGGGATTCTGTCAGAAAAAGCCAACAGGACAGAGCCTGGGGTCACTCACATTCAACAGTGCACCGTCCTGATCGTCGCAAGCATGTACAACAGTAGCCTTTAGCGTGAGGGAAGGGCGGACACCACGAACGCGTGGGAAGAATACATCTACGATATGTTAGTATATGTGCATGAATGAAAAGCGAATCACTGACCGAATGGTTCATCTCCATGATCGAGGAGCTCATCCCACGACATTTTGAGTTTCTCTATGACCTCTCCACCGCCTAGCATTCGACGAAGCTCAAAGGACGCCCTGATCTCCACTGACAACGAAGGTGAGGTATGCGACGATCTATAAAGCCAAAGATGAGTTCTCGCATTGCGTCAGAAAGTCTACAGGAACTTTTACAGAGTTACAGTATTCCCCCACGTTACAGATCGATCAGATGATAAGACACTGGTGACCGATTTCCAGTGCCTCCTCGAGTCGACTTTGACAGATATGTAAATGCCAGCGGGAATGCGACAGGAGCGGACTCGAAGATTCTTTCCGCTGATGACTGTAAATAGAGCATGAATATCATGGAAAAAATACAAGGGTAATAGGGTGGAATTCGCCTTCAAGTCTGATGTATCGGTGTTCTGAGCTACCAAGCATGATGGTGCGATTTGATGAGAATCGAGGATGGGCTGAGTAGGGGACGGAATGAGAAAGGGAAGAAGGGGGTTAAGGATATGAACACTGTGGATAGAGTTCGCCTGCGAGGGTTCAGGTCATGCTACACGTGTATTTCCATATCGTTATGGAAGGCTGTCAGTGGCTGTTCGGCGAGGTATAGACGCTGGTATGATTGCAGTAAGCGCTGAGAATTTCTTGAACGGAAGTGACCAGCCAACGTACGTCAAAGAGGACATCCGAGTTTCAGAGACACACCAAGACAAGAGTTTATTTCATACCACCAAAGAGAAGCGCGAACTGACGGGTGCGGAGAAATTCCGAGCGTACTATCAGGCTAACTTCAAGTTTCAAAGGGCGAACGCCAGCACACGCAATATGATTCCCGGGCCCCTGATCCACTTAGACAAATATTTTCAAGATTTTAGAAATTTTATTCAGCTAACAATGCTCAAATTGTTAGCCCAAGCCACTATGAGCTGTGGCAACACTAACATTGTCGTTGTCATAGAGAATACTCGGGATTCCGTTGTCGCAAGTTCATCTTTGCCGTTGAAGGGCGCAGCCGACTTCTCAACATCTCCCGCACAATCAGAATCAATAGTGGTGTGTGATACACCCACACAATCTCAAAGCAGCACGTCCAAAATGGGTGCCATACCGCGGAGATATAAGCCAGGGCGTCGTGAATTCCAGGGAAGGTCTGCACGACATGAACCTCCCGCATTGTTCCAGGGGTGGGTGGACATCTCTAGCAGTATGCTCTGAATGCTCCGGTTACTTTAGTATTATGATCGATGATAATGATGACATGTGTACGCATATATTCGCCTTCAGAAGTGCAAGACATGCGAAATCCTCGACGATAAAGATACACTCGGGTTGTTTCTTTCAGTGAGATAACATTCCTATGAGGAAACCACGAACGAGCCCGGATATGAGTGACGAGTTCAAATCAAAGTCTTTCACTGTAGGAGATGATGCACAGACAAGGGAAAGAACACTTTATTACAGGCCATTTGGCTAGATACAGTTTGTGTGAACAACATGATGGAATACAATGCCGACAGTTCCTTCGCATCAGTTATGTTCCAGAGGGCCACAGCTGGGCGACAGCGATGTTGCTGATAGTTCGATATGTTGTGCCCATGGTCTACGAAAACAATGTCAGACTCGACGCCCTGGGTAGTTATCCTGCAATTTCGTGGTCTCGAAGTAGAATATCCATTTGTCTTCGCCACTCCTCAACGGATGCGTGCCCCAGTAGAATTGTTTGCGTCGTCCGTACGTCCATTTCCGTCGCTCTGCAAATCACCAACAAACACAATTAGCCCCAACAGTGAATTTGAAAAGTTGGGTTTGTAACGAGATGGACAAACAAAACAGAAGATGCAGCTCCTTACCGCCAACAAGAACGTATCCCAGTAGCCTGTCTTCTCGAATGACCACGCGTTTTGGGAGTTTCTCTGAGTCGGAACTGGCATTGACGTGTCCAAGAAGTAGTGTCTCTATAGCCGTCTGCCAAGATATGAATCGAATATGTAAGTGACTTCAGGTTTGGCCGAGCTCGCCAGCATGCGCCAAGGATGCGTACTTACCGTGATATCGCGCTGCTCTATAGCAAATATGGCTAGTTCCACCTTCGAAGGACTGGAAAAAAGAAGATAAAATTGAAGTTATCCTCGGTAGTTGTCTTGTAACACTCTTGTTACCTTGGATTTCTGCTTCTGATGGTGACCTGAACGACTGTCCCGACGTGATCGCCGAGATTGAACAATTCGGCTGTAGCGCTGTTGTGTGGTTCGGTCTCCAAGTATAACAGTCGAGTCTTGTTGAGAGGTAGCGCCATCGTTGTGTCTTTGCCAGCCGATCGTCGATGTCTAATTCAAAGAAATTAGCTGACTAATAAGTCACAGGTATGATTTTCGATTCTATGTTAGGCAAGGTAATCCTTCAACTACCTAGTGACGTGTCCGTGATTCATTGGTTCATTATACCCATGTTTGAATCTCCCTCCAAGGAAGGAGTGCACTAGCATGAGACTTGGGTCGGCTGTTCAGGTCAGGTGGGAACAAAACTATGTGCAATGACCTTCCTTTTCTTCGACGCGACATTAATATTGCAGGGCCTTGGACAGTTGACACAGCCTCAGCGCTCTGCTTGACATAACCATGACATATATATATGGATCTGTCCCAGGCAGTCGCTCGCAGCGTCCTAACAATGGATTACAGTAAGTTCTCATCTGCCCACTCTGTCTGGAATCGTGCTAACAGGCTTACCTCCAAGTCCATACATCGTCTGCTAACGACGCACGGAGGAGTCTATGCAGTGTCGTAGAACACAGCGGTATTTTTGACTCTGAAAAACGCCAGCCCCATTTACGATGCATGGAGAACACGCGAGTTGCGCTTCGGGAGAGTCTGAGAAGCGTCCTCGACCGACACGATCAAACGAATATCTGGCTCAATGGCCTCGCCGGCGTTGAAAAGACGTCCATCGCATTCACCATAGCTGAGGAGATGAAAAGAGGTGGAAGACTTGCCGCCACTTTCTTCTTCTTCTCGCACAAGCATGCACAACTTGCTGGCAAGATTATTCCTACCATCGCATACCAGCTCGCACTGACTTTCCCGCGCATTCGGGGCGATATCACGCAAGCGATCGAGAAAGACGAGATTCTCTTATCGTCTGAAAAATCGCGTGTTGACCAGATGCGGGAGCTGGTTATCAATCCGCTGCACACGTTGAGATTTCGTCGAGAGACGCCTTATGTCATCATCATCGATGCTCTTGATGAATGCTTTTCTTCTGAAGAGGCGGCGAGACTGGCTACGCTTTTTATGGAGATGCTCTCGGGCCCAGACTTGCCTATCGTTCACCTGATATTTACGAGTCGCCCCGAGGCTCATATACGCGCGGCTATGCCACCTAGCGTCCGCCAGATTTCACTCACCACACGTGATGCAGATGTTGTACAAGATGTTCGTTTCTTTCTGCGAGCATCACTTGAAAACATACGGACAAGTCGTCCCGACATTTTTGGATGGCCTCCGAGACCTTGGCCGTCAGAGGCTGAATTCGAGACCTTGGCCTTCAAGGCAGGCGGTCTTTTTGTCTATGCTGCTATGGCCGTCAATTTTTTATCTCCAATCGGCCAATATCCTCAGCAGAGGCTAGATCTCTTACTTCGCGAGAGGTCAAATGTCGGCGCTGACATAGACCAGCTTTATCGACAGATTATTGCAACTTCGGAGAATCCAGCCTTACACTGCCGGATGTTAGCGTCCATTATCCATCTGGTTCAACCGCTCACTCTTAAAGACCTCCAAAAACTCTTCCACGCGGATAAGGAGAGCTTAGGTGTGATGCTGGAAATATTTTCACCCGTGATCTTGAATCCACCCGATGGAGTTGGAAACGTCGAGATTTACCACGCTTCGCTCAACGACTTTATGAAGGATCCTCGTCGCTCGAAAGAACACCACGTGAACGAGGCTCATGCTCACGAGCATCTTGCATGTCGCTGCCTTAACTTGCTGACACGAACAGGACCGGCATATGGAGCAGCACACCATGCACACCAGTATGCACGTTTTTTGGTGGGGTACGCACATTTCTTCGGCCTATCCTAGCAGCGAACTTCGGCAACTGCTCGCTGGGTTTAAAAAGGAGAATTTGAAACGATTGGTAGCAGTCGCGGAAGAAGATCAATCGCTTGGTTTTCTCGTAGTGAATTTGCGTGAAGCGAGAAAGGCTTGTTTTTCTTGGGTGACTGTTTTGAATATTGGTAAGAGGTGCAAACTAATCGTATTTTTGTTTAGAAATGGATCAGAAACTTGTCTGACGTTGTCGTAGCGTGGCGGATCGTCCAAGCGTCGAGAAAAGTTCATAAAAGGGTGAAAAACTCAAATAGTGAGTGACCAGTGAACGTAGCGACGCGTATGTTGATCTGACTTCTTTAGCTAACGTATCAATACATAACAGGCCGAGTGGCAACTTGAATCGCCCTGCAATGCGAGCTTAGCATGTTTAAAGTGCAAAATCTTTGGTTGCGAGCGATTGGAAGGGTGACTGATCGTGAGACGTCTGACTGGGGTCTACTTGTAGGTAGGCGATGGGATTTTATACTCACGCGCATTGACTGTATCAATGATGTTACTGCGCTGGAGCGTGATGCTGTATTTGTTTCCTGTGGGGATTCAGGTTGCATTTCATATTTCTGGTGCTAGGCAACGCCGATGCTGTGGGACATGAGCTTGACATGAGTATTGTAATACAGCATGAGCGCATAACTGTCGGAGGCCGACAAAATCCCAGTGAATGATGACTGAGGAAAGAGTAACCTACTTATTGAGTAGACGCATTCCAACTCAGAAAGACGCTAGGGCCTAGTCTTTTGAAACCTTAAGAAAGATGAGTATTTCAAATAACCAGATCTGTGGTGCGACGTGAGATTTAAACTCTGTTTGGCACAAGGAGATGCGGACGCTGTGCTCAAAGAGCCGCAGGTATTGCGGTACCATTTGGCAAGCTGTGGTGACGGAAGTGATGCGCCGGTGATCAGTTGTCGTGTACTTGGAACTTGATGTGACAACACGTACGATGATATTGGGCTCGGTCAATCCGAGGATGTCCAAGTGGCTATTCAAATATCACAACTCGCATAGATCACCGGTTTGATCGTGATGCACAGCTTGATGGATGAAATAAAAGTTCCTTAAGTGACGTCAGTAGTAGGTACGACGACCAGATGAAACACTGCATCCAAGGCTGCTCGTGATCTTGGCTCTCATCATGATCAACTTGAAACCGCTCACACCGCGCGCGCGCTAGGACTTGGAAAGTTCTGCGGGAGCAAAAAAATGATTAAAAATGAAAACGGACACAAACAAGCGGTTGCACCTGCCAAGAATGTCCTGACGGGGGCCTAACGTTAACAACCGATTCGCCTGAGCTGCATAGGGTACATTTCTGCATGCTGCTTGCTGTGTCTGTCTGATAAATAACCATTCATTCATTTTACACCATTCACAACACGATCCTATAATCCTAGATGCTAATTGACGCTGAACAGTAGCAACTGCCAACTGACAATGAGTACGCTTCCTTCCAAGACCACGTCAGGTGTCCCTGAAGTTCGTCTTACTACCTCATCATCACCGCACTTCCCCACCCAATCCTTACCCCCTGCAGACGAAATTCAAAAATTCTCCGCTTTCCCTCCAGAGCCTCTTCACAGTGTGCATTCATCCTCAGGAGATAGCACCACCTGTCCATCTCGCGACGATGACTATACCAGACACTTCAATCCAATCCCAATCAGGTCCAGTTTCTCCCAAGGCGGTGGAGGTCATGCAAGTAATAACACGAGTGCTAACACACCTCATGACTCCATTCTTCTGTCACCGGCCAACACGAGATTCGATACATTCCCCACCCCATCTGTCATACTGACTCTACATCACCATAATGACGGAAAGGCCTCGTCGGCACCGCCATCACCCACAGATAGGATGTCACCTCCAGCGTGTGTTAGCCCTATGTCTTTGAACGAACACTCAGATTTACATCGTTACTTACTACGAGGACAACAGCATCGTGAACCCCACGGAGATACAACACCACCGAATGGAGTCCCTAGGAGATGGTGGTCACGTTCACCTTCAAGCGAGAGGGGAAGGTCCGTCTCTCCTTCAAGAGGGAGGAGTGTCCCCTTCCTTAGAAGCATATTCGGAGACCCAGTAGTATTTGCGCCCGGGTCGGACTCAAGTCTCCCGGTGTCACATGATTTTGCTGAACGGGAAACTCCATTATCTTCTTCGTCGCCCAATGATCTGTCTCCCGCTCCTTGGTCCAACGACTTTCTTTCCTTTTCCCGTGATGGTATCCAAATCCACGATCTCGACGAGAGCTTCAGCGATGAAGATGGAGGGAACGATAATTCAATTTTGTTATCATCTCCCGATACTACTCATGACACCCTTGTATCGCCTACTCTCCCCATTATTCCACATGTATATCCGCAGACCCTCAGGTCACTAGGTATAGGAATCGAAGAGAGTCTGCGGAGGGATGACATGGAACATAGCTATTGGCCGAATCTATTCAAGATATCTCCAAAGTCGTCTCCCAACTCCCTCAGTGTTGATTTGGGGTCAAACGTCTCTGCAAGCGAGACTGATCTGCAAGTTGAAGAGGGTCTTGTTGTCTCAATGGAGACTTGGGACGGAAAGTCCCTAGATGTCCCTCCTTTGGTCGTGTCCCTTGATTCGTCATCGCCTACGAAAGGCAAGGCACCTGCGCTGCCGAATCAAGCAGTATCTTCGACACTCCCTCGTATGTTCTCTTATTTTTTCTCTGTGACTGGTGACCTCACTCTCATTAGAAAAACCTACCTATCCCGGGAAAGGAAAAGGGAAAGCTCAAGATGCACCCCACAAGGAGCCTTCCACCCCTACACCGCAAGCTCGAAGTAAATACCTGGAATCATGGTATGATAAGATCACTGGTCGTCAAAGCACAAAAGGTCAGGAGAAGGGGAGTAAGGAGAGTGATAGTTGGCGTCGGGCGAGGGAGGTGAGTTCCGTCTATTTTGTACTTTTATAAATTCCGTGTCGTCTTCCGGTTCTCACTGGACGAAGAACTCAACCAAGTGATTCAAAATCTCTCCTTTCTTTCGTTTGAGCTCAAAATCAGCAGGACGATGTGCTCATGTGTATCCTTCCCAACAGAACGTATCCTTAGCGTTGAATGCGGTACTGTCCACTTCTGAGCTCGCAGACCTTTCAGAAACAGGAAAGGCATTTGCGATGGAGGGCCATGCTGCTCGTGCCACCGTTGAGCAGGGCAATGGTAAAGCGGTAGAGGCAGCTTGGGGTATCGAGAAAGGTCCTATAACCGAGAATAACCAGGGTACAGAGAGCAAGATCGGGACCAGCCAGAAGGTTTGGTACACGGGTGAGTCCTCCTTAGATGAAATTGGATTTCTCTGATCTCGTATTCACTATCAGTGACATCCGCAGCAACGGTTGTCTCGCCTGTGCTTCGAACCTCCCTTATGATTCTTGGTGACGTCGCCAAACTTACACCTATTCCTGGGCTCCATGAAGCTGCGAGGACCTTACTGGCAGTGTGGGAGGCCGTAGATGCAGTAGAGGTAAGTGTTTGTTCTCATTTTGGTTCTATTCGGAGCAGAGGTTGAGATAGAACTTAAATGGCTTTCAACAGACCAACCGCCTGCAATGTCTCCGCCTTACTGAACGCTGTGCGCTGGCTATTTACTCTGTGCGCGCTGAGATCGCAGATGCTGAGAGGGATATGCAGTCTCAGCAAGGTCAAAATGGAAATGCTGATGTCGTGGGACTGGCAGAGGAGATGCAAGGCCCCGTCAGGAAGCTGAACGACTGCGTTGAGATGGTAAGTATCGCTGTGCTCTGATTTCGTCGTAGATCGAGCAGTCATTTTGTTCGGGTGCTAATACTCATTCTCTAGGTGTATGACTTCCTTCTGAAGCTCAACCGTCGTCCGTTCATCAAGCGGTTTCTGCGTAGCGACGAGATCCAGCAGGAAATTCAAGCATGCGACAAGGCGCTTGGCGATGCGATGCAGATGTTTAGCGTGAGTGTCTTTTTTTGCTCTTTTGCTTCCATCTTCGGTTAAAGTCCATCTAACTTTGATTTGATGTAGATTTCAATCCAACTAAGAATCCTCAAAGAATGTAAACGCCTCGCGAGAGAGACGCATCTTGGCGTTGGGTACCATGCGCAGGGGCACACTCCTCCACCTATATATGCATCTCCCTCGTCACAGACCCTACCCATTTCCCTAGACCGCACCCCAAGGGTCGAGATATCAGCACTTCCTAAACCGCATGACATTCTCCCAGCGGTACCTGGGATAAGCAGGAGTCCTCCAGCACAGAATCCACCATTATCCGCACTCCAATCCACACAAACACAAACTGACAACACTGTCTCACCCTCCGATGCTCCGATCTCCCCTCTCACTGAGCTTCAGGACCTTCACATTGCCGAAAATGCTTCTGACAGAGAACAAGATCGTGCACTGTTCCACAGCACACTCCAACGTGCCATTAGTGCTCGAAGGGACGACGAGGTGTTACAGGTACTAGAAGTGCGCCCTGGAGAGGTGCCCGAGGCACTAAAGGCGCTTCGGAGGGCTGAGGAAACTTTGAGAAGGGAAAGGGAGGCTAATGCAAGACGAGGGGGAGACGTAATTGACGAAGGCCTGGAGAGAGTGTTCATGGAGACTGGGATTGAGGCTATGACGAGGATGAGTAGCGTTGCCCTACAGAAGGCAAAGGATCAAGATGTGGATGTTCCCTGGGATTTACCACCTTGGACTATTACCCGGTACGTCTAGAGTCAGTTCCGTTTAAGCAAAGTTGACTAAGCTAATGATATTTTTTATGAACAGCTACGAAGTTGACCGCTTGACCATGATCGGTAGGGGCTCCTTCTCCAAAGTCTACCTTGGGAGCTGGTCTGGGCGGCGTGTCGCCATCAAAGTCCTCTCGCTTCACACCCCTGCACCCCTCTTCAGGAAAGCGGTGGAGATATGGAGGAAACTGAAGCATGAGAACGTGTTGAGAATGTGGGGTGCGAGCAGCGCGCAAGGTGAACGACCGTGGTTCATCGTGAGCGAGTATTGTGGCGGCGGGAGTTTGGTGGGGTGGTTGCGAGAGAGGAAGGGGAGAGTTGGTGAAGGGGGCGCGTTGACTCCTCCGAGTGCAGGTGTCAAGGGTGATGTGGATCTTCTCCGGTGCATGCACCACATCTCGAAGGGGATGATGTACTTGCATGATCAGAATGTGTTGCATGAAGATCTCAAGGTAAGTGTTGATCATTACCCGGTATATAAATTTCAAGTCTGAGCTTGGATTGTGTAGGCTTCGAATGTGTTGGTTGATGACAACGGGCGGTGTGTCATCTCTGACTTTGGGCAGAGCGAGATGAAGTGGGAGGCGTCAAGTGGGAGCAGGAAGCCCATTATCAGTGCGTTTAACTCGTCTCTCTTCTATCCTTCTTCCTTCGACTGAAGCTCCGTATAGACGGGACGTTACGCTGGCAAGCACCAGAACTACTCGATGGACCCATGAAGTTGTCGACAGCTACGGATGTCTATGCGTTCTCCATCTGCTGCATCGAGATTCTTGGTATGGGCGACCTTCCATACGGACATCGCGACGACAAGCTTGTTGCATTCCTTGTCCAATGTAAGTCCCGACCTATACAATACACACGTTACTAACACCTTCACAGACCAAAACAAGCGTGCCGAGATTCCCTCGACACCCATCACTTCACTTGTGGAACCTCTCATTCAGGAATGTTGGGTTCGGGATCCAGAGCAACGTCCTGTGTTTACACACATTGCTGCGACGCTCAGGCGACTTCGTAAGCATCACGGAGGGGTGGAGGAATCTCCTATCCCAGTGCAGGCCGAGCTGCTTTCGAAGGCTTTGTCAGAGGCGGCCTATCACTCCCCAACCATGCATCCTCAAGAGCTACCAGAGACGTCTCCATCTACCCTGCAAGAGGGTCAGGACATGTTGGACAATGACCAGGATGCAAGTGTGGGAGACGAGTTTGGTACTGCGTCTGAGGGTACGGGAAATCTCGTTCCTGGCGATACGGAGTCGTTGTCAACGACATCGTGTGTATCGCAGCCAGAACCCTTCCATCCAATCGGACAGCCATGCAGCAATCCGTCGCATCATTGGGAACCTACCGTGGACGCTCATACGGGGAATATGGAGATGCCCGACAGCAGGTATTCGGGGATCGCTATATATACGCCGTCTCGCAAATTATCTTTGGCGGAGAGTGATTCGATAAGTAGTGCCTCGTCGCATCTCACGTCAAGTCCAGAACTTGAACACAGCGCGTTGGAGGAGGCTCGACATCGTCGTCGTTCGCACCATGTTGCCTTGGGGTACGATTTGTCTCTGCCGATGGATGAGCAACTCGCAGAGAGGAGAAACGAGTTGCGGTTCAGATCATTAGCGCAGTCGTGTCATGGGTTCCATCATTCCCGTATGTCCTTTTCTCCTGTGTTATAACCGTTCTCAAGTATCCTGGCACTGTTCGCAGTTACCTTACCACTTTGGTCACCTTCTCATGTCGAGCTGGGTGCGGTGGGATATCTCTCTGCACCAAAAGGGGAGTTTATCACGCTCTTCAACGCCATGAAGCCCCACCAAACAGCGGGGAGCAAAATCATGAATATTCCTTCGTTAGGCGGATACCTCGAGGGACCTATTCCCAGAGGGCAGAAGTTTGATTCGATGCGCACGATGAAGCAGAGGGGGCTTGAGCTCATTTCCGGGTTGTTGACATTCCCGCTGATAGATCGTGATGGGTCATATTCGTGAGTGTACAGCAAGTGTATTTTTGAGTGGTTTGTTCTAAGCGCGCACGTTCAGGGAACGCATTTCGAGGCGTCACCCGTTCCCCCTTCGAGCGGGTCATAAGGCAGCATTTATTTATTCGGAGTCAACGATGTACCGATTCATAGAGGACCTCGCAGCACCAAAAGAATGGTTCAAGGCTAATGTCAATGCCGTTGTCAAGGAGTATGCTCCTTATCATCCCATCCAAAAAGAAGACGTTATTTTGGGTGAGCGTCCCTGACAGTCCTGCTAAAGAGTATGCTGACTTTCGCCGACAGTTTTCGGTACTTTGTCTGCACCGGAATATGCGCTCTTCGTGAGCCACTCCCATCCGAACGGCCAAGCTCATTTCAACGTCTTTTCGGATCGTCAGAGTGGTCGACCATGGGGCACCTTCACCACAGATACCGAGTACCCTTCTGATGAGGGCGGGCCCTCGTACATTGAGGAGATACCCCGAAAGGCAGTGTTTGCGAGTAAAGTGTCGCCAGTGCGGTTGAATGGTGGATCTGACGACAAGGACTGGGACACGTTGGTGTTAGCCAGGCTTCGCTTCCCTACGGACGCGATGGAGCCTACTTCGCAGTAGTGACTCTTTTCTATTTGTTGATCTGATCTTGTCACGGACTACTTGTATCATTTAATCTTTATTTGTTATTGCTGTATGTATCTTATATATGGAGCGTTAACTATGAGCCTTGTTTTACTACGTACGTGATTGGTATCATTATCATCTGGATATTTAATTTACTGCTTCATGTATGTATGATACCCATCAACTGTTGTTCCCTGCCGGTAAATTTGCAGCTTGTGAGTTCGGGACAACACATCCGAGTCGTTTGGGTGTTTGATTGTGCCTGTCACGCTGGATGCGAAAATGTATATACTTTCGAGAGTGCACCGGTACAGTCTGCTTCGATTTTCAGTGAGAGTCGCGATGCACAAGTCAGACCTGAGGTCGTGAGCGCTAGCGGTTGCATGCCTCTTTCAGACAACGATCAGTGACCAGAGAATTGAAAGGACACGCACTCTTCTTATCTTTCCTCGACCATGCCGCGAGCTGCGCATCGCGCCAAGTACCTGTTGTCCCTGTTTCTATTAATTCCTGTATTCAAGGAGAGCTTTCCTCGTGTGATACCTTGGGAAGAATAATGTTGATTACAATATCGACACTGTGACCCGTCGGTTGAACCGTTGGGGAGTCTCGGGCTGTACGATGTGTGATCGCGGGCTAGAGTGTTATTCTTGATTTGGTGCCATATTTGCTGCAGAGACGGACGAACTGGCCAGACTGTCAGTTACGCCATGAAATAGGAGGGAGTGCCAAGTATGGAAATATCGGAACTACTATGATTCCTCTGATCAGCGCTCGGCCAGCAACACTTGGTTGAACCACCACATTCACGTGTATACCTGAGGTGCACACGGTCGCCGTCTAAAATTCTAGCCTGAGCATCGCAGGTCTCGATATATATAGAACTCTGGCAGGAATAGCACAGGCTGCCACCTACCACGCCGGTATGTCAATTTTCTCGCCTGTCTTTTGACCCTCAACTGTTGCCAACTCGAAAGCTCAAACCGACTCCGAGGGTGTCTAGGTCATTGAAAAACACCGCAAACAGCTGTTTTGAATCGGAAATTTCTCTTATAAAAGATGGATGTTCGCTGTTGACCTCGTTTCATGACATGCATGACACCTGGATGTCTTCCCACAAATATAGCCTTGGCTGTGGCATGCAGTTCTCAGGACAAGAGGAAAGGCTTACATGTTGGGCCATTGTGAGTGCGGCTATATGTCATGATTCAAATCCTACTTACCAGACGCTTCTGTCTTTTCGACCAGCACTTCACAATGAAAACACTTCCAAAGTCTCGATCGTCCCTATGTAAACACGAGTCTATCCATTACTTCATGAACGGTGCTCGTATTACTACATCATACTACATTATAAAGGTACGTTGCGGTTCAATGGATGAGCCAGGGGACACATGAGCTCCCGGCAGTCAGGACAGCCTGACTCAGTATCTCCGATCACACATTCCAGCTTATCGACGATTTTAGAACCTCGGTCTCAACCATATCATTGCCGAGCCATTCACCACGATGGGCTAATTTGAGGACGCTGCGGCGTGCATGTCAGGAATTCCAACCCGGTATTTACTTGGAAGAAATGCTTGCACTGCCGCGGCGTGTATAAGGGCTCCCATTGTCCAACGTCCAACACCCACCACTGGAGGCATTCCCTCTATCACAATGTCCTTCGGCTCCGTGCTTGCTACGACTGGTAAGTGCCTCAATATGAAATTTCCCTCTGTGACTTTTACGAATAAGTGCGTCAGCAGTGCCAGTCACTGTTGGCCCGTATCACTATGTCCCTACAGAGTGGATCTGTATCCTTGTGAGTTGTGTTGTTTGTGCAGTTTGCATCTATTTCACACCCTTCCCTAGTTCGTGGTGTTGTACAGTATCTCAACTGGTATGGATTTCGACTGTTGACGATGCACAGTCATGGCTTAATGTTCTCAGTCCTCCACTTGGGACAGGCGCTCAAGTATAGACTATGGTGGATGATCCCCACAGCGACGTTCGCGGGTATCCTGGAAATACTAGGATGGAGTGCTAGATTATGGTCGAGTCGGAGCCCCAAGCTTTTGACGCCTTATGAGATGCAGTGAGTGTTTATCCAAAAGAATCATTCGTATGTACACTTGAACAATTTTGCTGCAGGATCGTTGGCACTATAATAGCACCTACTCCGCTCGTCGCAGCCAACTTTATCATCCTTGGCAGGATAATTGGTCAAGTTGGACCCCAGTTTAGCCGTCTGACTCCAAGGTTATGTTAGTGTTGCTCTGATGCTGCTAGCGTTCAGTTACTAATCCTGTGCAGATACCATTGTTTTTTGTTGCTTTGTTAGTACCGCACATTTAAGTGGTGTTCATTCTTCATGTCTCGTCTTCTCGTAGGACATTGTTTGCTTGATCGTACAAGCTGTGGGAGGAGCATCCGCTGCGCACGCCGCTAACACCAAGACAAGCGCTTCGATGGTATGTACATCATCCCGTGTTTCGTTTGACAATCACATTATACATCGAGACAGGGCGCGAACATCATGCTAGGAGGAATTGCTGCTCAACTTTGTGCGTGATCAGTAATCTCGCAACACTTGTCTTATTGAAATTCACGTCCTTCGCTTTCCAGTTGCAATAGTGCTCTATGTCGCTTTGGCTTCTGAGACTCTCTTGCGCTTGAGATATGATATGCCCTTCCGCTACGTTGAACAGCCTCGCATGTTGGAGAAAGGCCAACGTGCTGTGAGTAAGAAGTTGCGACTTATGATTTATGGCATGGCCTTTTGCACCCTTTGCATCTTCATTCGGTTAGCATTCAACATATATTGTTATCAGCAGTGATGATGTGCTTAAATTCGTCCTTAGATCGGTGTACCGTACTATAGAGCTCGCCAATGGATGGAATGGGCCAGTGATCTCGACGGAGCGCTACTTTGGTACGTCGTCTCTATCTTCACTAGGAATATGCTAACAATGCTGTAGACTGGCTCGATGGTGGCATGGTGACTCTCGCCATTTACACTCTCAATTTCTTCCACCCGGGTATCTTCGTGAAGAAGGACAATCCCATGGCTTACGATTCACAGCAATCCATCGACGAAGCTAGTTCGGCCTAGATTTTAAACTTTGGTTGCTTTTGGATTCTACTGCGAAGAGACAATGGACCGTCACATTTATTAGTAGAGCAGCTGTTAGGACTACTACTTCCAATCAAGTATCTACTTACCAGCTTGTGCGATTGTCGGACGTATCTGACATATCTTGGATAATAACTTTTTTTTTCTGTTTCCTGTCAGCTGGCATACCGGCGATTCCCATTTTCTCACTTATCCTGAGCAACTCAAGGTCCGTCAGAGCTCCCTCATGTTCCCCTATGGGAGGAATGAAACTTGACCCTTCTTCTAGTTTTGCATTGATTACCCTGGGGTCAGCTAGTCTCTTATTTCTTATAAATAAGTTGAAAACCAATTGAGATGGATAAATATCGGCAACACTATGATGCTTAGCTGGATGATGATCATGATGGAACGTTTCACTGACTGATTTACAGAATGTCAGCCACGCACGACAGAAGTTGACAAGCTGTGACAAGTAATCAATCCAACTACCCTGCTATACATCATTAGATTTGATCGACACAATGTTGATTCGGACAGGTGTCCTTGATTGATATGATCGATGATTCTTGGTTCTGAAGTTTGAAACACCATCAGTCCTTGAAACACGCAGCCATCGTGGGGGGACTTATATTTTTGGAGGAAATGAGTACATTATAAGGAATGACAAATTTATGATCAGCCTTGTCTTCGAAACGCAGCCCTAGTGTGACAGAGTGGTCTAGGTAGATTTTAATTTTAATTGCTCTTGGATTCTACCACGAAGAGAATATGGACCCAGCGCTATGGTTTGAATGTAGTGTTTCTGCCATGATTAACAACGAGATCGCGCACCAGGCATGGAACCTCCTCGACATCGTCTGTCACATCCTCGAGCTTACCTTCAATCCATACCATGCGGAAGCAGGATATGTGCAGGAAGATTCATTCACAAGCAAAGATCATCCGAACAAGATGATGCCTCGTTTTTGCTGGCATTCTACGTACTAGGTAGCATCACTTACGTGGACAGTGACATACCTCAACATGCACGCCATGCCACCCTTTGCGCTTAATGCTCGAGGGGAAATAGCAAATAGCCCAGATTGATGCCACCAGTGATGCGAGGCTACAGGTCATGAGTCTAGACCAAGTGTGCTTTGTCCGCACCAATGAATATATTCACGACTTGCGCTGAGTCTTGGACCTCGTGAGTAATTTCGACTGGTACCCATTTGGCCTTATCGATTCATTATGATTCCGAAGTACTGCGAATCACCCGTGGAGCATTCCTGATGAGTCGTCTAAATCGCACCTGAACAGACATCGGATAGCCTGAGAGTAGCAGTGGTGCGACATGCGTGGAACTTTCCTCTTTGCCTTTCACAACACACGTGACGTGGTGAACTCTTGATTCATGAAGACTCGGACAAGAGTTCGAAAGGCAAGGAGGTATGGATTTTTTGTGATGGAACGCATGACAAAATAATATTTTAATGCCAGGGGATCCGAATTGTTACTAGTGGAATGGTTATGATATGCACGAAGTGCACGCATGACTGAAGAGTCATATTCGGCTGAAAATTCTTCTCGCCGAATCATTAACGACCCGGTCTGACCCGAAGAGAAGGTAGATGAAATCCTGCTGTTGGACATGCGTTTGGCCTTGTCAACTGCAGTCAGACAGCGAGGTAATATAACAGACGCTTATTACATGTACGTGATCGACTTGGAACATTCATGCACATGTCACATTTAGTTTGGCCCCATCAAACCCCGCTCTTCTCGAGGCGCTAGTAGGTGTTCCATTACCATTCTGAACTACTTTGGCTCATTGTACTGCCTTGAGATGACGCCCGCCAGTAGAATTCAAATAGTGAACACCTCTGATCCAGTGAACAGGATGCATACCGTGATACACCCCACAGTGATATCCAATGACGCGCTTATTATCTCTTTGCGTCTTCCTCTACCTTGTTGAAGTCATTCAAGCTGCACCTACAACAAATACAACAACTACTACTACTACTAGCGACAGTGTCAAAGACCCGTCATTCACGACCAGAACCATATGGTCTATCATTTCCAGCTCCGTTCTCACTCTTTTTGCATGCATATACAGTGCCATCCATCCTAATATTCCGAATCCTAAAGATAGTCCTAGTCGTATCCTACTGCGGCGACTTAGCATGATGGTCATGGCACTAATCGCTCCTGAACTGATTGTCACATGGGCTATGCGTCAATGGTTCAGTTCTCGCCTTATTACAAGAGAGTTCAATGATGCGGGGTATCCCAACGTTTGTCCGGAGTCCGAGTCTCCCAGTGAGTCGTGCTTTTGGAAGCTCTGCATCTCATAGCTTACTGTAAACGTCCTTGGAAATGAATTTTGTTGAAGTACCTGCGACAGGAAATCGACATTGGTTCCTTCAACTTCTCGCAGCACTTGTTAGAGGTGTACCATCTTTGCCGGTGTTTCTTTTGCGTTGCCCTGGCTCTTTTGCGAGGTCCGTCAAAAAGTTCGTCAAGGCATATTTCTCAGAACAATCTGAAGGTGAGTCGGATTCACGCTCGCTTCAACGTTAGCTCATGTGCATCCCTAGATCCAACGTGGACTCAGACGCACAGCTTCTTTATGCTGATGGGTGGTTTCATGCTTTATGTGGATGGGAAACCCTACTGTACACTACGGCATGGTGACATTCTCAAACTGATACGTAAGAAGTGTATCGACGTCCCTACCCTAACGGCAAACCAGATCCATGACAAGAGCAAAGGCGATGGGATATCGAAAGGATTGATCATCCTTCAAGCGGCCTGGTTTGTTATGGAACTCATCACTCGCACCATCTATCGCCTCGAAACCACCCAGCTTGAAGTGGGAACACTCGCTTTTGCAGTTCTCAATTTCCTCACTTATGCTGTGTGGTGGGACAAGCCTCTCAATGTGCAATGTACACATCCAGTGTACTGGAAGTTGACCGAGTCAAGGCCAGAGGATCACATTGATCAGTATGTATGCGCCTCAACAATTATACCGCTGCTGATTATGTCAACCTTAGTTTCCGCGACAGAGATGAGCCAGATAAGCCAGATGAGCAGTATCATTCTTACTATCATAAGCTCGCTGTCGCTGTCCTTTATTTCATGGTTCTAGTCTTGCGCTCAATCAAGGAGCTGCTAGGTTTTCGGTCAATCCCCACATCTCGAAGGTTCTATGTTCCAACATTTGATGGTAGCGTTAATCTCGAGGATGCGGACAAAAAAGTTCTTCTGCTTGCTGGATTGCTAATGGCATCCATATTTGGCGGCGTCCATTGCATGGCTTGGTTTTTTGCCTTCACCACATACCGGGAACAGGTGCTATGGCGCATGAGTGCTGTCGCTATAACTTTCATACCTTGGTATTTTTATTGTGTGAAGTTCTTAATACCCGCTTCAGTAAAGCATTACGTCCAGTCGGCGTACAGTCCACTGCTAGAACATTTCTCCTTCTTCACTTTAGTACGGGCCGTCTTGGCCTTTGCATATAATTTGATTTTTTCGGGATGTTTTTGGTTGTACATCGGGACTCGTGTCATTCTCTTGGTACTTATGTTCACCACTTTACGCAATCTTCCCCCTGACGCATACAAAGCGGTGTCGTGGACTAGTTTGGTGCCGCACTTATAGTTTCTGATGACAGTACTGGTGATACACTTCATACTTTTGTAATGATGATGCAGGTACGGTACACCTAACCTTGCTACTCAGTTCGGGCGCATGTTTTGGGCCAAAAGATCCGGAGGGTCTTTTCACAAAAAACTTTCACTGACCTCTGGTTGCACTGGTCACGAGTGCACGCTGCCTTAGTTCTCGTTTGACACTTGGCGCCGACACGCATAGATCCGCTACCTTGGCATTGCTTACATTAGCAGTAGACAGAGCATGCAAAAGAAAGAGATAGGCTATAGCTAGAGCGCAGGAATATAACAGGCCTGATTTGCACAACAGGATGAAAGAAGATTGCAGATCAACAACTTGTAGATAGTAGGTACCAGACGACAGCAATACGATGTAGAAACTATACACCGATATGAATGAAGACCATCCTCTGCTCGAGCGGCACCTTCGTCTTCACAGCGTGCGTAGCACGGTTCAGTGCCCAGGCTGCTTTTGTACAGTCCATCATACCACCATCCTTCTTAAAACTCTCGAACATACTCTGGTAGAAAGCTTTGACGATGTGTTTTGCGACAGAGTCGTCCACCTGCCACAATGTGCCAATGACGCTCTTGAACCCCGAAAACTGCAGACCAGCTGCGAGGTGAATCACTTCGTCGGGCGTCTCCTCATCGCCCACGGCGGTATGACACGCTGATAAAAACGCAAATTCGGCATGTGGGATGTCTCTCTCCATGATATCGAGCAGCGTCAAGTCTGCGTCTTTCATGACGAAATGGGAATTATAAGGCTGCGCAGGGTCCTGCTTGCCATGACAAGCTAGGTGCACCCAAGTGTTCTGCTGCAAAGCTTCGAGTGCATTTGTGCGTGTAGCTTTGTCGCCAGAAATAATGGTGCGTTGGGTTGTCGCAGGGATGAGCTTATGGACAAGCTCGAGCTCACTGTCGACAGCCAAGAGTGCCTTGCCCTTACCTGCACCCGGTTGACCTTGTCCGATCGCCACGAAGGACGGAGGCACACGCGTCTTCATCAACTGTCTGGACCTGACCAGAGCCGAAAGTGTCGGTGTGTAAGAGCAGATGTAGAGATCCTCCAGGCATGGCTCCCTAGAACGATCTGGGTTCGTTCGAAAAGGGTGGGCCGCGTGAAGCGGAATAGACGTGAAAGCTGCAGTCGGACACAGCCAGATTCGAGTGTGGTATCTTAATTTCAGATCATGCTGGAGGACATTGACGATGGGTAGCATGATCTCGTTCCATATTATACGCAACAGTACTATTAGATCCGTCCTCGACTCTGCTGGGGTCATTTGAGATGCATCTCGTATTGCCCTGGCGAAGCGATCCTTGAGTGTGGTCAGATCTGCCAGAGAGACAGATGACAATGGGACATGATGAGGATCTCCTGACGTCGGGACGATGATGGCGCCGCATGAGTATTCACTCGCAATGAAGATGATGACCGGGCCCTGGCGTGCTGCTGTTTGCAAGTCCTCATACAAAGGTGGGAGCAGGAACCGCGAGAACGCCCGAAGATCGCGTATTTCAGCTACAACAGCTTCCCATTGCATTGAAAGTCTCCTATACTCTGTTGCTGCCCGATCAGCAGCAGCCCTGTCGGTGATAGCTACAGAACCCTGGGCTGCATTGGAAACAAGTTTGCTCAGCTCCAAGTAATTGTGCGCCAGTGTCGGATTTTCTGACTTGAGGTCTTCAACTGGAGTTCTGAGTCGAGATGCCAGTGACCACTGCTGGCCACGACCCTGCTCTGCAAGCTCAACTGCCTTTCGTATATTGTCATGGCGGATGGCACATGATGCTGCATCTACAGGTAGTGATCTGATATCATAGAAGGCAGCAGAAGCTTCGCGTCGTGAGATCGTCGATGATCGCGTTGCAAAATGACTGTCAAGAAGGTCGAAGCATGTGCTGTAGGCCTCTAGTGCGGATCCATGACCATGCTGCTCCGCTGCAACGGTCCAATTATATGCTCCTGTAATACGGTTCGGAAAGCCCTGGGTAAAGTGCCTTGACGCCAGTTGGAAGTTCTCCACTGCGAGCGACATATCAGCAGGGTCGTGCAGAATCTCATAGCGAGACAAATAGGCCTCCTGCAGCCGCCCATAGCTGAAATACCTGTCCGGGTGTAGTGAAGACAGAGCCGCCAATGATTCCTGGCAAAGAATGATGGCCTCCTCGATATCTTCATTCTTCCGAGTTTGCGTGAAACGAATGCAGAGTGCCGAGCTCAAATTATGAAGAATTTTACTGCGCTCTGGATCGTCAAGCCGTTTTAACTGAAGGGCTTCGCGATACCAATCAATGGCCGTGTCAAGATGCTCGCTGACATGCGATTCTACATATCCGGTTTTGAGCGCGAGGGCAAGGTTGCTGAGAGTGGTGTCACGACGTGGATGCCCAGGTAGGCACAACGTCAGTGCCTCGCTATGGAAGTTGATAGCTCGGGTGATGTCATCAATGTCGCCGCGTTCATGAAAGCGGGCGATGAGGGCGGCCCCTATGTTGTTCAATGAGATATCACGGGATTCGTTCCCAATAGGGCACAGGAGTAGCGCTTCTTCGTAAAAAGAAATGGCCTCGTTGAGGTCATTAAGTTTGCCTTGGTGGTGAAAGCGGGACATGAGTGAAAGGGCCAAGTTGTTGAGGTAGGTACCACGGCTAGCATGTCTCTGGAGGCACAGAGACACGGCTTCACGACCATGTTGTATACTCGTCTCAAGATCATCGATGCTGCCATGCTGATAATAGCGGGCTTCAACTGCTTGTGCAAATCTGTCGAGGGCTCTGGGACGGAGTTTATGGCCCAGAGGACAGAGTTCGAGGATGACTCTTCGAAGGTGGATGCCTTCATCAGATGGATCTTTTGGAAAATTGTTGCATCCGCCGATCACATAGTCCACACCATTGTTTCCTGCCGCAATGCTATGAAGGTACGTTCCCTCTGGACAGAGAGGCAGTAACTCATAATAGAGGTAGGCGGCTTCGCGGATGTCGGCAGCAGTACTTTTTTTGTTGTGGCGCCAAGTCAGTGCTTCAGTGAGATTATACAGAGATAACAGATGATCAGGATGGGGCTGCGGACGTAATGCAAGGGCGACGCGGAAGAGAGAAGTAGTAGTATCAATGTCTTGAAGATCATTTAGAATGTAACCTCGAAGGCGGGCCCACGCGAGGTTTGTGAGAGCCGTTGCATGGTCTGGATGGCTGACCGGACATTGGTCTAGAACTGACTGAAAATGCTGTACAGCATCATGGAGGTGAGAGTCATTCTTGCTTGTCACGTATGTGGCAAATTGTGCGTGGCCCGCATCTGTGTCTCGGAAAATATTGCCGTCTACGAGGGACTATGGTTGACGTTTCATCAGCAAAAGCTAACAGGACCGTGTCGGGCCACTCACATCAAACAGTGTGTCGTTTTGATTGTCGCAAGCATGTACAACAGCAACCTTCAGTGTGATGGAAGGTTGGACACCGCGCACGTGTGGACAGGACAAATCTAGAAGATGTTAGTACATGTACATGAATGAGAAGCGGATCACTCACCAAATGGCTCGTCTCCATGATCGAGAAGTTCATCCCACGACACCTCAAGTTCTCCGATGACCTCCCCACCGCCTAGCATTCGACCAAGCTCATAGGATGCCCTGATCTCTAATGACAACGCAGGTGAGGTATATGATGATCTATAAACCAAAGATCAGTTCTCGCATCCTGTCAGAAGTTCACCATGGACTTTACAGAGTCACAGTATTCCCCCACGCCACACATTCACCAGATGATAAAACACTGATGGCCGATTTCCAGTGTCTCCCCGAGTCGAAATTAACGGAGATGTAGATGCCAGCGGGAATGCGCCAGGAGGGGACTCGAAGATTCTTTCCGCTGATGACTGCAGATAGAGCGTGAGGATCATGAAACAGATACAAAGGTAATATAGAGGGACTCGCCTTCAAGTCTGATATATTGGCTTTCTGAGCCACCAGGCATGATGTTGCAATGCAGCAAAATGATTAGGATCGCGGATAGGCTGAGTGGTGGACAGAATGGGGGCTATGGATAGAGGGAGGTTGAGAGGGAGGTTGAGGGATCCAGGGCTGTTCGGCACGATAGACGCTGGTACGGTCGAACCAAGCGCTGGGATGACTAGGATTAGCAGAAATATCTGTGCTAAAGAGGTAGACAACATCATGAACAGTTTTCAGCCAAAGTGGCTTGCCAATGGCAAGGTTAAAGGAAACATGCGAGTCTCAGAGTGATTGCTGACCCTGAACTTAGAATCGTACTACTCAGTTAGCACGCAAAGGCAAATGTACTAGAATAGGGTGTATTTCGTAAGGTAATAGCAATGCAAACAATGTTTGCACCGCTGAAGACAGCGCGCAGAGAAAAGCCGAATGACGATTATGAATCGACGTCCGCCGAGTGAGCTGACACTGCCATAAGAAGAGGATGATCTAGCCTGCACTGAGGAATAAGAAAAGAATATCGACTGCAAAAGTGAGAACTAACTATATGTTCGCTCAGTAAAGGATGATTGACGAACAAAGTACTCTGGAAGTTGTGACTGCTGCCATATTCACCCACCGCTAAGAGATGTCAAAGTGAACTCGAGCTCTGCGAGAGGTAGCTTATTGGAATTCGTGTAGTTTGAGACTGAAAAAAAATTGCACGGGTTGTGAATCACCGATTCACCGAATACGGGACGTGTCTCCTGGAAGATGGACGTCGACTCCAATCGTGCAAATGAGGAAGAGGTTATGCGGATGGCCACTTTACGGAGCGTAGTAAATCCTCGCGCAGTACGTCGCTCAAGTCCATCGAAACGAGATCGGGCAAGTCGGGCAAAGGAAAAGACGAATAGCGATCCGAACACGAACGAGAACAGACGTAAGTACAGATCCGAGTCCCAGAATCATGATGTCGACTGTCGAGACCGTTCCCACAGTCTTTCGAACCCGTGTTGATCAGAATCATATCATAGTCAGTGATGACCTCCCCAATCGTCAAACTGCACAATATTGTTTGCCAGTAAAGTTTGAACATGTGATTTGTGACTTACTAATCTTCTGCAGGCGCTTCATCAATCCGCAGTCAGTGCGCACCGCTACTTCCCCACTAGCCCGACAATATGGCTGCTCCAGTCATTCCCAGTAGCTTTCAGATTTACAAGTATGTCTCAGATTTTCGATCCTGCATACTAAAACGCATGCATGAATTGCTACAGCTCGTACGTTGTAGATCCCCAATGGCAAATTAACTTCACCATAATTTGGTGCTCTGGCTTGGCACTGGCTGTGGCTGTCTCTGTTCCGACTTTGATTCTCGGTCTGAGACATGGCAGGTCCCTCAAGGGAATCACTGGAATATCAGAGACCAATGGATATCAGTCCGCCCATTCCGATGGCAAGGAGCCGCCGCCTACCCGTCGAAGAGGTCGCAGGTTGATTGGAGCTTGGAATGCTCTTATCTCACCAATGTATTGGTCTCCTCCGAAACTCGGGCTCAGTCTTGGACAAAGTGCGCATCGAAGGTGTTTGTTAATGATGGGAAATACTAACACATCTCAACATTCAGTCATAGTCGTATCGGCATACCTTGCAGCTGTACTTGTCTGCATTATAAAGGACGCCCCTCTCATCTCGAATCCGAACAGAGCTGGTGAGTCAACGAGACACGCTGTCGAACAATGTAACTTATCTCAGCTACGTAGGATTTCTCGCTCTGGCACAGTTTCCAGTCGTCTTTTTGTTCGCAACAAAAAATTCAATTCTGTCCTTACTGTTAGGACCAGGGAATGGCTACGAGAAACTCAATTTTATGCATAGGATGGCAGGAAGAGCTATGTTCCTTGGCGGATGTATTCACGGGTCCCTGTGGATTCGCAACCACCTGCAGTATGGGCTCCCAATTCTAGGTCCACAGAAAGAGACTTCGGGAGTAGCTTCGATGGCCCTCCTCGGCATCATTGTCCTTACGTCGTTAAGGCCAGTAAGGAGGCTGTTTTATGAATGTTTTTTCGTCATACAGTGAGCTTTGTCGCTTTGCATCACCCCATGGCTAACATTTCTTGCAGCGTATTAACATATGTGGCATTTTTCGTTACCATATGCTACCATACATTGTATGCATCGCCGTGGATATTCCCTCCCCTTGCATTTTACGGCGCAGATGTTTTATTGCGCCTGTTCCGGTATCGAATCAAAGATGCCACGCTTACTGCTCACGACGCGCACATGACTCTGGTAGACTTTTGAGCGTTTTGCCATAAACTATTGACTTCATCTTTAACAGATCCGCGTTCATAATTGTGACGATGGTTGGCTTGCTGGTCAGCACATCAGACTGCGCGTTTTCTTCTCGAACAGGGTCTTTGAATCCCATGCCCTCACTATTCTCTCGGCACCGCCTTCACATTCGTGCCTCTCCTCACCCGGATTACTTCTCGCTGCACGAAGCAACGGAGACTGGACGCGGGCACTGAATAGCTATACCAGAAAGGAACAAGAACGTTTACAAATCAATGAGAAGTCCGAGGGCGACTCTGGTGCTTTCGTTCAAGTCATGCTGGATGGTCCTTACGGCGGGTCGAGTGTCGACCTGGGTTTATATGAAAGCGTGTTTCTTATAGCAGGAGGGTCTGGCATCACATTCACTATTGGTCTGCTGGACGACATCGTCGGTAGGTGTATCAAACTAGGTCGCAGTCAGGGGGAACGAACAAGAAGAATCGAATTCACTTGGTGTATTGGATCTTTCGGTAATTCGTTTTTAACAACCAGTATCACATCATCTTGATCCATTTGCACACAGGTCAGATAGAATGGTTTGCTCCGATGCTGATAGATATTGCTACGGCAGCGTCTAATAGCACGATCGACCTGCACATCTCTATTTTCGTGACGTGCCTTTGCAATCCAGAGGCGGTCCCTCACATTCCCAACTCCATCGTCACACTCTCGCGTCCGTCTGTTCAAGATCTTCTCAAGGACTTCGTCAGTCTTTCGTCATCGTCTGAGAAGGAAGGTTCGATCGAAATCTCGTGTGATGAAAGCCAGACATCGTTGCATTCGGGTGGGGGAGTGGCTGTCTGCGCTAGCGGCCCAGAGAGCTTGACGAGAGATGTGCAGAATGCCGTCGCGGGATTGGGTTTGACAAATAATATGGATGTGGGTGGGATTGCTTTACACACAGAACAGTTTACTTTGTAACGCTGAGGTAGATGTCATCTTGGTTGCTTGACACCAGCGTTTTTCAACAGATCATGTTCTGTTTTGTAGTTATAAACTTAAGACATCGTATGTATCGTGTAGCGTTATACGCTATTCATTGCGGAAACGAGATTTATGTAGAGCGGACCGGAATGGTATATGTTCGGTGACAGAATGTTAATGATCAAGGTAAAAGGAGGGTATTTCTACTTGTCTAGACCAAAAAGTACTCGTTCACACATTTTTGAGTTGTTGACTGCTAGGATTTTGACAAGTTACAAAGTAAAGCGCTCTGTATGTAGAGCAACCCCGCCTACATCCATACTCATTTTCAAACCCAATCTTGCGACTGCATTCTGTACATCTCTCGTCAAGCTCTCTGGACCGCTAGCGCAGACCGCGACTCCCCCACCCGAATGCAGTGATTTCTGGCTTTCATCACATGAGGTTTTAATCAAATATTCTTTCTCAGATAATGACGAAAGACTGATGAAGTCCTTGAGAAGATCTTGAACAGACGGACGTGATAGTGCGATGATGGAGTTTGGGATGTGAGGGACCGCCTCTGGATTGCAAAGGTACGTCACGAAAATAGAGATGTGCAGGTCGATCGTGCTATTGGACGCTGCCGTAGCAATATCTATCAGCATCGGAGCAAACCATTCTATCTGACCTGTGCAAATGAATCAAGATGATGTAATGCCTGTTGTTGAAAATGAATTACCGAAAGATCTAATGTACCAAGTGAATTCGATTCTCCTCGTTCGTTCTCCCTGATTGCGGCCTAGTTTGACACACTTGCCGACGATATCGTCCAGTAGACCAAGAGCGAATGTGACACCAGACCCGCCAGCTATAAGAAACACGCTTTCATATAGACCTAGGTCGACGCTCGACCCTCCGTAAGGACCATCCAGCATGACTCGAACGAAAGCACCCGAGTCGCCCTTGGACGTTTTATTGATTTTTGAACGTTCTTGTTTCTTTCGGGTATAGCTATTCAGTGCCCGCGTCCAGTCTCCATCGCTCCGTGCAGCGAGAAGTAATCCGGGTGACGATAGGCATGAATGTGAAGGTGGCGCCGAGAGGACAGTGAAGGGATGTAATTCAAACACTCTGTGGGAGAAGAGAATGCGCAGTCTGACATGCTGGCCAGCAAGCCAGCCATTATCGCAATTATGAACACGGATCTATCAAAGATGAAGTTAACAGTTTATCAAATAATATTCAAATAATTGTTGTACCAGAGTCATGTGAGCGTCCTGGGCAGTAAGTGTGGCAGCCTTGATTCGATAGCGGAATAAGCGCCATAAAACATCTGCGCCATAAAATGCAAGGGGAGGGAATATCCACGGTGATGCATATGTCGTATGGTAGTATATAGCGTAAAATAATAACACGTATGCCAATGTGCTAGCAAGAAATGTTAGCTGTGGCGTGACACGAAGAAACAAAACCTACTGGATGATGAGGAAAGACTCATAAAAAAGTCTCCTAACTGGCCTCAAAGATGTCAGGACGATGATGCAGAGGAGGGCCATCGAAGCTACTCCCGAAGTCTCTTTCTGCGGACCCAGAATTGGGAGTTCATACTGTACACGGTTGCGAATCCACAAGAACCCGTGAATCCATGCGGCAAGGAACATAGCTCTTCCTGCCATCCTATGCATAAAATTGAGTTTCTCGTAGCCATTCCCTGGTCCTAACAGTAAGGACAGAATTGAATTTTTTGTTGCGAACAAAAAGACGACTGGAAACTGTGCCAGAGCGAGAAATCCTACGTAGCTGAGATAAATTCCATTGTTCGACAGCGTGTCTCGTTGACTCACCAGCTCTGTTCGGATTCGAAACGAGAGGGGCATCCTTTATGATGCAGACAAGTACAGCTGCAAGGTATGACGATACGACTATGACTGAATGTTGAAATGTGTTAGTGTTTCCTATCAGTAACAAACACCCTCGATGCGCACTTTGTCCAAGACTAAGCCCGAGTTTCGGAGGAGACCAATACATTGGTGAGATTAGAGCATTCCAAGCTCCAATCAACCTGCGACCTCTTCGACGGGTAGGCGGCGGCTCCTTACCATCGGATCGGGTGGACTGATATCCATTGGTCTCTGATATTCCAGTGATTCCCTTGAGGGACCTGCCATGTCTCAGACCGAGAATCAAAGTCGGAATAGAGACAGCTACAGCCAGTGCCACGCCAGTGCACCAGATTATGGTAAATTTGACTTGCCATTTGGGATCTTCGACGTATGAGCTGTCAATTCATGCATGCGTTTCAGTGGGCAGAATCAGATTTTTCAAATATACTTGTAAATTTGGAAGTCGCTGGGAACGACAGGAGCAGCCATGTTGTTCGAGTTGAGGGTTGAGGAGACGCGGATAGTGATAACGATAACTTATCAGTTGCGCTCTAGCACTGATTAGTAAAATAATACGGCGAGGACCGCGAGGTTAGTGCGATCACGTACGTTCACATTGATCGTGCTATCAATAAGTATAAGGTGCTTTGAATGTGGTAAGTACAAAAGGCCAAGATAAACTTAGCTTAAGATTTTCGGCTGGAAGTGGATAGTCATAAGACTCCGGAAACCCTGCCAAAAGGTTAACGTTGACTACCCTGCATGCCCTATCTCATGCCGTATTCTACCACTGATCGTCATGCTTGCATGCACTCTCCGAATCATGCTTACCCACAGCAAGTGATGCTATATTTGTATTGTTAGAGAGTTGTCCGTATCATACACTGCATCCCAGCTTGGCATGCATGATCATAACCAAGGAAAACATGATGCTTTACGGCCATTCTATACTTACAAAACGAACGTGCGGAAATTAATGCGCATGCGCAACACTTCCAAACCTTCCAAAAAGAGTCTCTCCCACTCCGAGTCCCACCACAAGGGAGAATATGAAACCTAGCTGGAATGTCCTGTCCATGTCCGTCACATCAACAACTCGAAGAACAAAAGGAGCCACGTACATAACTGTCAGCATAAAGAGGTAATCCAGCAGCGTCTGCACTGCAAACATGACCCCGCGCGAGATATCATGTGCGGGGATAAAGGGGGGCGAGAAGCGCTTTAGGAATCCAATGGGAGATGACTGAGTTGGCAGAGTGTCGAGTTTGTCCGACGCAGCGATAATCGCCCTGATCATGCGTAAGAAATAAATCATGCAAAAAAGGCAAAGGACATACTGTTGGTCCCAGTGGAATTCCATCACTCCTCGGCAAGCCGCTACCCAGCGCTCGATCACCGCCAACATAAACAGTGCGATACATGTGCCAACCATGGCTCCTGAGCTCTTAGGAACCCAGCCAGTGAACCAGACTGTATGCAAACCTGTTAAAAGAGCTCATTGTGTACGAGTGAGAAGATATAACCCACGAGTGTCTCCTGGCGTAAAGTGCAGATACGAAAGCATGTTCCCTACGGCAAGAGTAATGCCATCATCCATGGACATAACCATGCCATTGTCGGCGAAACAAACTTGACTTAAACACAAGAGACAGAGCGTCAATGATTGCCAGTTCATCCTGTAGGCGTTTGCAGACAGTGCGCAGTAGGCAACCCTGAGACTAGTAATATTAGACTGAACCATTCGTGGGAACTACCTTCCCCTAGCGGAAAGATACCAAGTCGAAGGGGGGCAGACGACTAGCTGATCCTTGGACTGCCAGTGGGCGATAGACGGAATCATCCCAAATCGTTTCAACCAGGTGGAGAAAAACAGGGTGTCAAGACGTAGACATATCGGGGTTCATGAAACTACGCTTTTGCTCAAGTTAGTCTACGTCTTGACAATCCTGAGGAACACCATTTGGATTGTGTTTCCACATACAACTCCGGTTGTAATATATGGATGTCGAGTTGACTGTTTCGAGTTGACTTGGTGGGCAAGAGATACCGAAAAGCTCGCATACAGTGTGCATCGCGTTGCCGGCAACGTAGACGGAAGTGCAACTTATCACGACGGCCCATCGCTCCAAAGTAGATCGTATATCTTGCAGTTGAGGACCTGAAATTCCCTGCGCTAATTTTGCAGAACTTCGGGCTGCAAGAAGTCAAAGAAAGAAGCGCAAAACTGGTGGGGGTTACGTTGAACGTTGAAAGGACACAAGAGTCCTGGTGAGGCATTTTAGCGCATCGTGGGAATTTAGTGCTTTGAACGCTTTCAATTACTAATTGGTTGTGCAAAAGACTCCGTACAAACCTCATTATACATGATGAGTTGGAAGGCGGCAGTGATTAATATTTGCCGTCAATATTTCTGCGGGATGAATGATGGATGTGCTTGTACATTGTCCCGTTGGTTATCTCATAACACTTTCTGGAGATGGAGGATCACATAAAATATCCCATCGTTACAGAACGTTAGTCTATAGTAAGTGCCGAAGTATGATTGTGGTTGTGAGGGACCATCATAATAAGAGTCCATACATACGACACTATCACACTCTATACCAATCTCTTGGAGTCTTCTGAGTCGCCACCCGAGCTCTTGCTTTCGATAGCCTTGGTATCCTTTTGAACCACATTAGCAACACTTTGCACCTCCTTCTTCACTTCCTGTGCCCATCCCATAGCTTTTAGGTTCAGCCCCGTCCCTTGTTCAATGCTCTCCACAATGCTCTTCACACCTTTATTAACCGACTCTCGTCCAGCAGTAGCACCTTCTTTCGCGCGCTCCCAGGCAATCCCGCTGTGTGCAACAGAGGTTCTTCTGATTTCTCCAAAGCGAGGAACATAACGATCTTCGAGCTCCTCAGCATATGCACCGACCCGAGAAGCGGTACCCGGAAGGAAATATGCGAATGCGCTACATAGGGCTGCGGGAGGAAGAAGGATACGTATAGGGAGTGCGCGCGAGCGAGTGAGGACAGACGTCGTCAGGGCAGAAATTCCAGTATAGAGTAGTCCAGGATTTAAGGGCTCTGTAGGATCACGGAAAGATTTTATGCGAGCTGTTCGAGGTCCAATGGTCAATGAATGCGTAGTATTCAACGCAAGACGATATTACTCACTCTCCACCTTCTCTTCGACAGAAATCCACCGGTCTATAATACCTTGCGCTTTGGAGTGGACGCCGGTATAATAACCCGTGATCTCCCGCCGCACCATCCCGATTCGCTTCTCTAATGCCGACGGGGTGTCGAGTAGAATAAGCTCGGGTATGGGTGTAGGGTATATGGAGAGCTATACGATGGTAGTAATTGAGGACGACATGCTGTAGGGGAAGTAGATACCTTCGTTTGGTCAGAGCTCGAAGCCCAAGATCCCGAACCTTCAGCTGCATTTTCAACTACGCCCGCCTCTACAGCCATTTCAGTGATTTCCTAGAGTGTATATTGAGTGTGAGTGTGTTCAATGTCTCATAAAAAAAAGTCTTACGTTTGGTCTGGAGGTGGTATGTGTCGAATACCAAGTCGATGTTTACGCGCAAGGCGGCGAAAGTTAAAGGGAGCGTGGGAAACGCATTTTGTCGAAAATGCTCAACTCCAGTTACTCCACTATGATGTGCATGAACTTTCAACCGGCCTGATGAGCGTCGACGTCTCTACATCTACCCTATACAGGACCAGGTATCTAGCTAGGGAATGCTGTAAAATGTGCGCACAAATCATGCATTTTCTAGAGTAACACAATAACAGATTGTCATGACTCTGGGCCATCACTCCGATTCACTCGCCAGCACGCATCAGCAGCATCACCCACATACTCCGCATACTGAGTTTCTGTCGTCGAAGGTGAGATGAATTCCATAGGAATTCTGGCTTTGGACATGTTATCCGATGATAGCATGCTCCTCCGAGTTGATATCTGTGATGAGAGTCAAATCGCGCCTTTACTGTAGCATCTGCTGGAGCATGTCTCTGCCGCTTCAGTGGCTGCTGCTCGTATTGGTGTTGATGTATCCTTCTCAGCTCACCTTGGCGGGAGTCCTTCATAGAGTAGTGTTCTACCCCCCGTCATCCTCGCACGCGGTCAAAAAGGTGACGAGGCGATGAAACAATTTGTGATTCCCTTACTTAATTTTCTTTCTACAATATGTCCGTCCCTTGTCATCGTTGATTAGGTGCACTGCGCTCGATGAACTCACCCTATAAATTGACAGGTACACAAATCGCATCCTCGCTCTCGAGATGCTGCTCTTTTTATGTGTCCTTTCAGAAGTTCGCACCAAGCCAGCGCAAAAACACGGACAAGTGGCTTTTTGTCGCCACAATACTTTCTTCCCCCGTATTTGCAAGCAATTTATACGAGAGCAGCGGTATCAGACTTGAAGAGTCTACTGCTCAATGCTTCGGTGATTATCGCCCCTCCCACAAAGACCTTGTGCCGTGTGGAAAAGTGCGCTTGTGGATAGGTGAGCATTATCAGTTTTTACCTCTGCTGCGATGCATCTTAGGTATCTTATTGTGGGGGGTTCCACACCTGTTTTGTCGGTGCACTCTCCGATCTCGTATATTTCTGTTATATTGGTCACGTGCCACAACACATTGTCTTGGAACCACTCTTCCACTGGTGCTTAGGCATTCACACTCCTACCTTCCACATTTCGCCAATACGCTTGTATCTTCCGTATCGTATATAAGCCTCCATGTCTTATCGCCACTCACTTATCGTCTACAACCGCTGAAATTTTCCAGCAGTTTTCGTCTTTCAAAGTACTACTCTTCTCCTTACATATTTAATTTCTGCTTGAATCATGCAACAAGTGTGTTCAATCCTGAAGTGCTCTGCAGTCATCCCTGTTGCGGAGGTATGCTCTTCCTGTTCTGTTGTAGTCTTGATTCACATTTCTTCGTGTGTAGGGTCAAGAGGCAGCGGTGTTCGATTGCAAGTCGATTTGCGAAAAGTGCTATGGCAAGCCGATTTGCGCAAAATGCGATCGTTTGTTGCACGTAAGATGATTATCTTTTGGTCTTTGGATATCATGCTGATTGAGAGTTCCACCTGCAGACGCCGCTCCCAATCATCCCCGCAAGACAGAGCGAGCCGGTAAGTGTTTGACTGATTCCCTTCATTTTGTCGCTAGGGTACTGACTCCTACAGAAGGCACACGAAGAACCAGGGGCTTATCGGATAGAAGCAATCCACGCGTATCTCCCGAGTCCCAAGCCGGGCTATACGATCAGGCTTATAGAAGTTCCTGACGGCGAGGGTGGTATGCGGTACGAATATATTTCCCGCCGTGTGAAATCTGAGAAGAGATGCACCGACGCCAAGCTGTGGAAGCGTATGAAAAAGTTGTTACATTTTACCCAGTAGGGCTCTCAGAACTAGGAGACGAAGTTGTCTGCCGAGTGTTTGCACCGATTCTTGATTAGTATGGACCGTATTCTCATGTCTGCTTCATATGTATGTACAACATTGCATAACCTCAGAATTTATTTTGTACTACGAGCTTGCGCGTATTGTATAAATGTGGGCTGGCTGACACAGTGACATTCACATCCCACCACGCTCTGGCCTTGCTCTGGCCATGGCGAACCGAGTTCAAATTATTCAAGGAAGATATATATTTAGATTTATTAAGCCCCATTTAGGACGGCGGATAAACAAAAAAAACTATAATGATAGTCCATTAATTTCACGACTGCCACCATGAGAATGATGTCATTTGGGTGCCTTGATATCAGCAGACTTCCCAAACAACTCGATGCAGTGAACCTCTGGGAACACATCTCAGTAGTTGGGTCTGTTGAATACACTTTAAGACAATATTTGGGTGTTTTCGCGCACAAGTCTCGCAAAATAAAAAGTTATTTTCAAAAATCAAATCATTCGTGAGTATACAATTCACTCGCATCGACCTTTGTAAGATTTGTACCTGCAGATGTCGTTGCCTCGGTGCGAAGCATCTTGTCTTCCAAATCGAGCCTTATTTCCAATAAGAATGTTCGGCCTTCTGGGAGCGCTTTCAGCCACCTTCGGCACGATTCTATGCTCGTGATGTCATACACCAACAGAGCGTCGACAGCGTCATGCGATAACTGATAAAACCGCAAGTCGTTAGCATAAACGATGGCTATGTAAAGCGACTGCGTACTAGAAGGCAATCGCATCAAAACGCTTCAAACCTGCAGTATAATACATTAGACATGCCTTCACTCGTTTGTAAAGGCCATCTGAATATTCAACCTCGAGACCAAGATACTGATTTCGGTTCTTGGAGAATTTGAAATGTACGAGTTGTAATGAGACTGAGTATCGTATAGGGCTACGTATCTCCTGATAAGTGGAACAGTTCCTGTTGGCAATGCAAGCTAGGCAGTGAAAACGAATAAGAAACATACTTACGATCTGCTGACTTCAAAATCACCTATCAGAACAGGCTTTATAAACAAGTGTGTGCATAATGTACCCAATCATAGGGGAAGCTAGTTAGAAATAGGACGTAGCACCGGACAGCAGACGGCGAGTTTTTGATGAACCGTGCTGACTCTAGTGACTTCTTGCGGGCCCTGGTCTTCAACCACAATTGTTGGTTTCAACACCCGAAAAAAAGTTAAACTCACTCCCTCACTTGATATGAAATTCGTTCATCATGGAGGAGATTAGTGACAGAATGAAAAGTGCTAACCAAAGTAGGCTTGCAGCTGATTCTGATGCGAGAAGCTGTAAACTGTCATTAAGATATGATTTTCAGTTATTCCGGGGGTAAACGTACCCCCAAGAGCTCAAGAGAGACGACTCAGGCACCGGCTCACACATTTCCGCGGGGTAACCTTCTGTTTTTTGCTCGATGGAGCCTCCACTTCAGCCTCGATAACATCTTAAATCTCAGCCCACTCTCCTGTGTCGACTTCCTGTCTATACCTTCTCCTGGAGCGTCCCAAACGACCAGTGCCCACCTGTTTTTCAACTTCTATGCGTCCCTCCCTGACTGCTCACCTCAGACGTTGGATATCGTTCAAAAGGGGGTTATTTGTTGTATTGTGCGTTATAGTTGTTCATGAGTGTAGCGATGTCGTGCATGTACGGTGAACCGTCCGCACGAACGACACGCTGAGGGAAAAACGAACTACAGTGCGTTGAAGTTTGGGTAGACGTTGTTTGAAGACATGCGAACTACCGTACGGGGAAGTAAAAATAGTTCTTGTCTGCGAAAATGGTAAGAGCCTGCAGAAGGACGTTCGCAGAATAAAGACATGGTTTCCGATGATAGCAGGTGATGAGCGTAAGTCACATGACTTGGAAACCTTGAGCCACGCTGACAGTGACCAACGCTTACTGTCAAGCATAACGACCAGTCCTCGTTCACCATTCGCAAACCCACTTTTCTGTGAGGACACTCTGTTGTATCTAATCATGACTCGCTTGCATCAAGTCTCAATATACTCATCCATCCTTATTTCGATCTATATACTAGTGTTGTTTGAGATTTTGCCCATACCACTCATCGACGCCAGTGTGGCTCAAGAGATTCTTCCTGTTGTGCGTTCTTCTCATGGGCTGACTGGAACGGATACCTCAACTTACGCTCCAATTCCATAATTTAGATTCCATGGTGGCTTTTGGTGTCATTCGGGTCATATTCCCTTTGGAGTCTCGGCTGGGGGGTGCTTACATTCCGTGACTGTCCCGAAGCCTATCACGAGCTGCTGCAGGTGAGCATGAGTTATATTTCTCTCAAGAAATTGTATGATTACCGTTGTCTGTAGGAAATAAATGAAGCCAAAAACGATCTCCGAAGTCGGGGTGTCACTGTCGACTGAAGCGTCTCATTTACATATATCCTACACCTTTATTCGAGACTCGCCTTAAATGATGTACTCAAATATTAAACCCATGAGTCTCAGTACCATCCAATTCTCCGTTAATGCAACGGTGAGGGTCAAGCCCGTCCTCGCCAATTCATTCACTTCACATCCCTACCTCGGTCCTGGTTTGTGTGGTACGTGATCATAGATAGGCTGTATGTGTCCTTGTATCATTTACACATTATAGCTTATCTCTCTTGTTCTGTAGGGTCCAGTGAAAACATAATTTTGGCTCGCAGATGTCACCGAATGGGTGTGGGGTGAATTCCACTCTACATCGAATGATTACTCAGAAGTACTGTATCGTACACAGGGCATGCATGCGAGTGTCCGAATCAACTTTGTGCTGATCAAATCTAATTATAGTGTGCCTACACGTGCGTTAAACCGGTGGTAACTGCCAGTGCAAAGTGTGGCAAACTCCATCATGAATTCATGATCATCATCCAGCCAAGTCACTGGTTTTGCCAATTTTACAGCCACATCTCGATGGGTTTCTAGCTCATTTATAAGAGATAAGAGAGTTGTGTGATGTATCCTTTTCCTCTCGAACGAAAGCAGATGGATTCGTCTTCGGCTGACGATGTTGCAGCGGTCTGGAGTCTGCATTACTTAGCGGTGCGTCGCTTTCTTGATACGAGGGCAAGATAATCATATCATGTGCGGCTAAAAGTGCATGTGTAGTGCGTGTGGTCTCAATTGCTTTTCTCTCGTTCTAACTTGACAACTCAGTAACGCTGGCCACGATTTGGGTAGGCTTGCCTCAATTTATTCTCGTCTGCCGTTAAACCTGTTTACCCAGACATATGATTATATTAGTTCACTTCACGATGAGGTAAGTCATGCACTTAAACGTCTCGCTTTGGATACTGATAACCGCTGTTCAAAGTGGACGTTCCTACTCCGATCGCGCTGTACTAAGGTAAAAGCCCTTTATGTCATTGCACGATATGTCCCCTTTTTCCTCGTCGCCACGGACCTATGTAGTGCGTTCATTCCAAGCGGCGAGCACACATCCCCACGATAATGAACTGACATTTACTTCAGGGACCTTCACCCCGAATGAGAACCCTAATGTGAGCGTGCAGCAGGCTTACTCGCTGATGAATGACACCTATTGCATGAATTACCCAGACATGTCGGATGTTGATCGATATCTACTCATGTGCGTGCACGGTATATGTTGCTTGCACTTCCTGGCTGAGCGCTGCTCTTTCCTCTCACAGGTTTTGGAGTGATATCACTCGCTTGCTCTGAATGTATATCCCCTTGACCTATGACATATACGTGCTCCTGATATGATTCCTTCAGACATTTTTGTGCTCAGAACATATGCGCTTTGGAACAAAAATCGAATTGTACTCGTAGCCATGCTGTCCTCTCTTTTTGTGAGTCCCATGCCTTGACCACACTCAAGCTCGTAGTCGCAAAGTTGATGAATTATTCAGGCTATCATCGCATCCTTCATCGGCATCTGGTTTACCACTGTTGCCACTTCTCTTGGTTTGTACTCTTACCTTCTTCCACTGTTATTGACACGTATACACTCCACTTTCACAGTTACGACTGGCACGATTCCAGGCACCACAGGCTGCTACCGGAACTCGCCCAGTGTCGATTTCTCCATGTCATTTCTTCTCTTGTTTGTGTTTGCACTGGGTATGTCGCCAGGAACTGGGAACGTACATCACAGACGTGCGCTGATCAACGCACTCCCCAGGATTGTTCTTCCTCACAGTCATAAAAAGCTGGCGGACGGCCAACGGCCTTCTCCATGCCGTCCTGGTGAAGCATGATATGTTCTACTATGCATGTGGTTTGTGTGAGTCAGGGTTTAAATAAGTTTTCGTTCTCATCGGTGATGATTATTGTTCTGAAAGTTCTCTCGACCGTGAACGTCCTCGCGCCAGTGCTATTTTCCTATGTTGTGAGCAAATCCAGCAATACCCTTCAATATGATCGAACTGTTCATGTTCCGCACACCTAGTCTGTGAACTTCCTCGAACGGTATGCACTTCCAACCTCCGTTGAAAATTCGTATTCACAACACCTCTAAAACACTATAGCTTGCAGGTCCTTATCCTTGCGATCCTCGCCACGCGCATGCACCTCGATCTCTGGCATAGCGACTGGCGCGCGCACGCCTCTGGTGCCATTATTTCCATGTCCAACGTGTGACCTGCAAGCCGTACGGTGTCGTGTGTTTTATATGGCGCTATTGATGGAATGTGATTTGAACTCTTTGATTACGAGATGACTGGTCCAGGTGGCTTGGTCGCGTTTTAATGGATGTTTTTGGAATGATTTTTTTTTTTTTCAGGACAAAGAATCTGAGGCAAGGAGAAATTTGAAACTTGAAGGGTATGTAGTACTGGCAGCGCGGCGCTGTCACTCTCCTGTCCTTCAGAGTCTGCTTCAGCTTGACCAGGGCAAGACGCGTAGTCTTTTGGATACTGTAAGCAAGTATGACGGAGATGTGTGAATACGCACGATGTTATGTCGATGACCTCATTTACTTCAGTGTTTCCCTTCTTTCGTACGAAATTGAATGTCATTGTCACTGCCAATCTATCTCGCGAGAGAGTTTGCACTCGACATTTGTAAAACGCCACGACGCATCAGGCCATGACTTTGACATTATGACATAATTCATTTGTAATTGTGCGAGCCTATCTTCGCCGCGGACAAATACTTGTGTATTGTTAGAACGAACCGGGTCGCGAGCCACACAAAAATAATCGATTTCTGTCACTTCAATATCGGGCTCAATTCTACTCTCACCCGTCGGCCGGCGCATCCGTGAAATAACAAAAATACATGATAAGCGAAGAACATCTGCCAGACAGACAGTAAATTCTCGCCGTGGCTTTGTTGTGCAGCTAGAAAGACACTGTAGCGTTGATATCGGTGGCAGTGCATCATTCGATCTCTCAATTGCCCTCCCTGCTCATCCGTTCCATGGACCAGTCGACCATGGGTGAATCCACCAGCACTTGGAATTTCATCTCATCTCTCCTCCAAAGTTTTCTTATCCATCAGATCGGCATCCCGCGTCAGCTCGACTCGGTCTTTCGGTTTTTCTTTGGTGGTTTTGCCATCATGAACTTATGAAATAAACTCTTGTCTTGGTGTGCTAATCAAGTCTCTGAAACTCGCATGTCCTCTGGCTGGTCACTTCCGTTGAAGACTAGCATTAATATTAGCACAGATTCTTCTGTCAATCCTGGTCGGTGACCTTAATTCCCAGCGCTTACTGCAATCATACCAGCGTCTATACCGTGCCGAACGGCAAACAGCCTTCCACAACATGGAAATACACGTGTAGCATGACCTGAGCGCTTGAGCCCTTAACCGCACTCGCAAACGAACTCTCTTAGTCTCTAGATCCTTACCCCTTCTTCCCTTTCAACTCATTTTGTCCACCACTCAGCCCATTCTCAATGTTCATCAAATCGCATTATCACAACATAATGTCTCGTCGCTCAAAACGCCGATACATCAGACTTGAAGGCGAGTTTCACCATATCACCCTTTTATCTCTTCCATAATCCTCATGCTCTATTTACAGTCATAAGCGGAAATAATATTCAAGTCCCTTCCGAGCGCATTCCCGCTGGCATTTACATATCTGTCAAAGTCGACTCGAGGAGGCGCTGGAAATCGGTCACCAGTGCCTTATCATCTGATCAATCTGTAACGTGGGGGAATACTGTAACTCTGTAAAAGTTCATGTAGACTTTCTGACGCAATGCGAGAACTCATCTTTGGTTTATAGATCGTCGCATACCTCACCTTCGTTGTCAGTGGAGATCAGGGCGTCCTTTGAGCTTGGTCGAATCCTAGGCGGTGGAGAGGTCATAGGGAAACTCAAAAGGTCGTGGGATGAGCTCCTCGATCATGGAGATGAACCATTCGGTCAGTGATTCGCTTTTCATTCATGCACATATGCTAACATATCATAGATATACCCTTCCCACGCGTGCGTGGTGTCCGCCCTTCCCTCACGCTAAAGGCTGCTGTTGTACATGCTTGCGATGATCAGGACGACGCACTGTTTGATGTGAGTGACCACGTACACTGTTCTGTCAGCTTTTTCTGACAGAATGCCAACTATAGTCCCTCATAGACTGCGAGATTGCTCGACACACAGATGCGGGCCACGCACAATTCGCCAAATACGTGGCGAGCAAGACGGTGTCTCGGCTGAACAATGCTGTACAGCATTTTCAGTTGGTTCTGGACAAGTGTCCGGTCAGCCATCCAGACCACGCAACCGCTCTCACCAACCTCGCGTGGGTCCGCCTTGAAGGCTACATCCGAGATGATCTTCAAGACATCGATGCCACCACTTCCCTCTTCCGCAACGCCCTTGCATTGCGTCCGCAGCCCCATCCCGATCATCCCTTATCTCTATATAATCTCACCGAAGCCCTGACTTGGCGCCACATCAAGAAAAGTACTGCTGCCGACATCCGCGAATCCGCCCAACTCTATCATGAGCTACTGCCTCTCTGTCCAGAGGGTACCTACCTTCGTAGCATCGCGGCAGGGGAAAATGGTGTCGAGCATGTGATCGTTGGATGCAACGGTCTTCCAAGAGACGCATCTGATGAAAGCATCCACCTTCGAAGAGTCGTCCTCAAGCTATGTCCTCTGGGCCATCGCCTTCGTCCCAGAGCCCTCGACGAGCTTGCAGGAGCAGTTAGAGCACGCTTTATACAGCATGGCAGCATCGATGATCTTGACACGAGCATACAGCTTCGTCGTGAAGCCATGTCTCTGTGTTCCGAGGAACGTGATATTTACCTGAACAATTTGGCTGCTTCCCTCGAGTTGCGCTTCGAACACCAAGGCAACCCTAATGACCTCGACGAGGCCATCTCTCTGCATGAAGAAGCGCTGCGCCTGTGCCCTGTTGGGCATACATCTCGAGATACCTCATTAGGCAACCTAGGGGGCGTCCTCGTGGACCGTTTTGCGAAACGCGGCCACATTGAAGACATTAATCTAGCTATTAGCCTCATTCGTGAGGTGCTGACGTTGCGCCCACCTGGGCACCCAACTCGTGACACCACGCTTAACAACCTTGCCACCGCGTTCATAACCAGATATGACAAATTGCATGTTAGCGAGGATCTTAACGAGGCCATTGACCTGTATCGCGAATGCCATCGGTCAAGGCCGCTTGACCATCCAGAGCGCCATATAAATCTTTTCAATTTGAGCTCGGCGCTCTGCTCTCGTTTCACGAAATCTCAGAAGAATGAAGATGTCGAGGAGGCCATCACTCTTTGCCAAGAATCGTTGGCGGCTCTGACTTCACTGCACCCAGACAGGTATTTCAGCTACATGCAGCTGCAGCAGGCCTATTTGTCCCGTTATGAGATTCTCCACGACCCGGCTGATTTGTTACTCGCTATAGAGAACTTCAGACTCGCTTCAAGGCACCCTACTCAAGGATATCCACGACGCATACTGGAGGCTATTGACTGGGCTCGCCAAGCAGAAGCATATCAACATGACTCTGCCCTCGAAGCATACCAAATGTGCTTTGAGCTGTTTGACAGCCACGTGATGATGCGAACGTCGATCATTTCACGGCGTGAGGCTACAACCGCATTTCGTAGTGCACGATCACTTCCTGTAGATGCTGCTTCATGTGCCATACGCCGTAACGATCTACGACAGGCAGTTGAACTTGTGGAGCAGGGCCGTGGTCAACAATGGTCGCTGGCATCTCGACTCAGGACTCCAGTTGAAGACCTCCAGTCAGCAAATCCGACACTAGCCCACAATTATTTAGAGCTGAGCAAGCGCATTTCCGATGCCGCACAGAGTTCTGCAACCATCACTGACAGAGCTACTGCTGATCGGGCAGCAACAGAATATAGGAAATTCGTAAAGGAATGGGAAGCTGCTGTAGCTAAGATACGTGATCTTCCGGCGTTCTCGCGATTTTTGCTTCCACCTTCGTACAAAGACCTCCAAGAGGCAGCACGCCAAGGTCCGGTCATCATCCTCATTGCGAGTCAATACTCCTGCAGCGCCATCATCGTCCCGACGTCAGGAGACCCCCATCACGTCCCCTTTCCGTCTGTCAGTCTTGCAGATCTGACAACACTCAAGGATCGCTTCGCCAGGGCAATAAGAGACGCATCTAGGATGGACCCAGCGGAGCCGAGGAAGGATCTGATAGCACTCTTGCGGACAGTATGGGACGAGATCATGCTACCCATCGTCAATGTACTCGAGCAGGTCCTAAAAATAGAGCGCCGCTCTCGAATCTGGCTATGTCCAACTGCAGCTTTCACGTCCATCCCTCTCCATGCAGCTCACCCCTTCAAGACAAAGGCAGATCGTTCTAAGGAGCCATGCCTGGAGGATCTCTACATCTGCTCTTACACGCCGACACTTTCAGCTCTTGTCAGATCTAGACAGTTGATGAAGAAGCGTGTGTCTCCCTCCTTCGTGGCGGTTGGACAAGGTCAACCAGGTGCAGGGAAGGGCAAGGCACTGCTGGCCGTTGACAGCGAGCTCGAGCTTGTCTGTAAGCTCGTTCCTGCGACAGCCAATCGCACCACTGTTTCTGGCAACGCAGCCACACGAGCAGGTACACTTGAAGCTTTGCAACAAAACAACTGGGTGCACCTCGCTTGTCATGGCAAGCAGGACCCCGAGCAGCCTTACCATTCACATTTCGTCATGAGAGACGAGGATCTGACGCTGCTTGATATCATGGAGAGAGAGATTCCGCACGCCGAGTTCGCGTTTTTATCAGCCTGTCATACTGCCGTTGGGGACGAGGAGACCCCCGACGAAGTGATTCACCTTGCAGCTGGTCTCCAGTTTTCGGGGTTCAAGAGCGTGATTGGCACGCTGTGGCAGGTCGACGACGCTGTCGCAAAACACGTCGTCAAAGCCTTCTACACAAGTATGTTCGAACATATGAAGGACGGTGGTGAGATGGACTGTACGAAGGCGGCCTGGGCACTGAACCGTGCTACGCACGCTGTGAAAACGAAAGTGCCGCTCGAGCAGAGAATGGTTTTTGTTCATATTGGTGTGTAGCTCTACATTGTATTGCTTTCGTCTGGTACATATTCGCATGTTGTTGATTTGCGATCCTCTTTCATTATGCTGTACACATGACCTTGATATATTCTTACGCTCTAGCTATCTTATTTTCGTATCTATTGACGAATCACCACCGATGCAATCAATGTATATAGAGTAGTAGAAGCAAGGTCAAGTTCAAGTTAAGAGCATTCCCTTGCTTTGATTGCGTGGGTGAGGGATCCAGTTTCACACGCCGACTATCCACTATCCGCGTCTTGGCGTTTCATATTTTCTCCTTGCTTTAGGTCCACTAAAAAATTCTTGTTCGCCCGCGACGTTGAGCAATCCAATCTAGGTACGGTATTTTTCAATGTGGCAGAGCATAAACTGGCGCAGATAGTATGATATGTTCTCTTCCCTATCAGGCACCGTCGTTTTCGAACGTTGAGACGTTTCAGCCTAAAATTGGCCTGGAGTCATCATGATTCAAAATTTATCCATGACCTGGCCAGTGAACTCTGATAGTGATCGCCATCGTGGTATACATATACACTGGAGCCAGAAAACCCGTCAAGTAGACCATGCCAGACTTTGCAATGATAATATCGCTCGCGAGTGAATTGGTATGACCGATCGGATTTTCAACTCAACAGTCTTTGGCGCGATAGCAGTCTGTCCTGGCTCACCCAGTGGCCACATCGAGTTGTTGCTATGGGAGTTGATTTCAGACACGGTTGAGGATTTTGAGGGCATTGCGAGAGAATGGTGGACTACACGGTGTGTGACATTGCCAGCAGCAGGTCACCGTTCTCAACTGTCTACTGAGTACTCCTTCACTTTATTTCAAAAAGACCACCTCCTTGCGAGTGCGGCATGGGATTATACAGCGCGTCTCGACACAACCATTCAAGTCGGACCACCTCCGAGTCTTCAACACAAAAATGACGTCAATTGTAGTACCGGCCTTTTCCGCTGTGGTGGAAAGCTGCTATCCACAACTTGTGCTGATGCAAGCGTGTAAAATGGGACATTCAAGATATTCTCAAAGCATCTGGTCTTAAAGACCTCATGTACATACCTGATTCGAGTACCAACTCGACTCTCCCACTCGCTATTTCATTCCCAATGGCTATTAGGCACAAATATATGAACTGCCAAGAAAGAAGGTATGTATGATTTTGTAATCTTTCAAGAATGAGACTTGATATCTCACTCGCACAAGTCGTCATAAGGTGTACGTTGTGTCTTTTTCTGACCTTGATGTTGATATTGATCGTGATATCGACATTTCAGGCTGATGCTACGCAACATCCACTCATTCGTCCTGCCCTACATCAAGTGCCACCAGGATTTTCGATAACATGCAAGACAGTGATCCTGTGTTATCACTATTCACTTGTATTATTTGATCTGATAATATTTTCAGTCCTCCACTACTCGTCATCTCTGTCTACATTGCCGCCGTCTAACCCTCCTGGCGATCACGTCCACCGCCCACCGTACCGAGTGTTTCGCTGTTCCAAACCCAACGCCAATGAACCAGTCGAATTCCAATAACGCACAGGACCTAATACTTCCTCTCGTCGTAGTACTAGTCCTCCTATTCTTGCACTACATGACAAGAAGGTAGGTCGTTTTGACACATACTTGATGATTGGTATCTCAAGTTTTATCTACAGGCGCTGTGTGTCGTTCAGCGGCAGGAACGGGCTAGCGAAACGTGTCAAGCACACAAAATGGTGTGTTCATACAGTTTTATTTCTCTGCTGCGTGTCTATTAATGGACGCAGCACATAGATGATTTAGTTGTAATGTATCTTTCGCTATACCATCAATGATTTCTCGCATCCTAATTCGTCCGTCCAATTTACACAGCGGGTGAATTGTCGATATAGCCTGTAGGAGCCCGAGAGTTTGTTTCATGTCTAGTATCTCGATCTGTGCATGATTGTCGACTATCTGGAACACTGGCACGCAAACCAAGAACTACTTATATACACATCAGCTAACTTCATCCACGAGCGAGGTTACCACCTCGTCGGGTAAACTGTTGACACTTTATTAATTTCTAGAATCCGGTAGCGAGTCATCCATTCAACCAAGATTATCGTCAAACTCCACAGTGCGTCGAAGAACGCGAAACAATCCAGGTTTTTCCTCGAGTTCATATGACGTGTGAGTCACTGCCCTGCTAGGCTAAGTTTTTTCGTATGAGAGTTTACTAATTCCCCGATTTAAGGCGGTGATTCCGTTGAGGATGAAGTTTTTGCGATTTCAAATTGCACTTCAGCTCGGACGTGACGGAGCATCAGCAGACATTGCACCATCTGCTCACTGAGAAGTAAAGTTTCAGCCACGCTACCATCGACTATGAAGTAGCTTTCAGCCTACAGCTTCTGCCTAAATTTGTGCCATTCAACAGCAATAACCGTTCTTCCAAACTGACCGGTCGGAGTCTGCGTCCTCCATTACTACACTCGGTATATAACAGCAAGCAATCTTTTTATTGTGTCTTCCCATCCTCAGAGTTATCATTCTAGCAGATTCATCACCTTGCACAACAATGCGTTTCCGTTTCTCCTTCCTCACACGATCGTTGCTTTGACAGTGTCTACGGCCATCAGTGCTGGGTGCGTCGACGGACACTTACCCTGCACCGTGGACAGTGAATGTTGCAGCCTGAAATGTGTAACGTTTGTGAGTATGATGGTGTTTTTGTATCCGGATTCAGCAATGGCATGACTGACTCCTCGCCCTAACATTTAGCGTGGCAAAAGACAATGCGATCTTGCGTAGTGGCCAGAGCAGTGCATCACCACAGTGAATTATCTCGAGCTTTGGTATCATGGTTGTAAGTTGATTGTGCGTACGTAGTTGGGGGTCGCTGCTTCTGTACAGATTTCAATGCTGCTTACACAATGGGTATTGTAGGGGGACATTTGAAGACCTTTGAACTTATCTGAGATGCTTCACAACAGTGAGATTGGCCTGAAAGCATGAAGTATTTATCCATGTCTTCTCCTACTGCTGAGATGAAAAAGACGTCAGCAGTAACTCGACATTCGAATTGAGAGGAAGCTCACCACGACGTCACGATTTCCTGACTTGGGCACTGTTAATTCATTTGAAATTAAAGAGATGATCGATGATCACTAGAATCTTCGCCACACAAAAATATATAGTCGACTTCAACTCGTGGGCTCAATTCCAAATACCTCAGTTTCACCCATCGGCCGGCGCGAAATGACAAAAATACATGAGACAAGCGAAGAACATCTCCCAGATAGTGGATTCTCGCCGTGGCTTTATTCAGCGACAAGGCCTCCGTCGCGTACATGAGTCAGACTATAACGTCACGGCACCTGGCCAAGAACACAGCCTGTGGTGGATACGGATTTGCAGGATTTCAAGACATTGTGCGGTTTCTGACTAGACGAGCATTACCTGGAAACGAAATCGTACAAGGATGATGCTCTATTGTCGACATGAAACCTCTGCCAAATTAAGGCTGCCACTGCAGACCATCGCCCTTGTGCCTCAGCCACATCATCAGAAAAATGTCTCGCTCTGAAATTCGGTGACACTGTGCAGCCAGAAAACAATACAACCACAATTGGTGTTGGTGTGTGGTTTGACCACGCATGCGATAGGTATATAAGGTCGCGAACAGCTCAGGAAAAATAAGTTGCCAACCCACCAACCTCTCAATACCTCCTTTACCACCACCGACTAACAGCAACGAGCAGCGTACTGTGGGCTACGGGGGCTGCCTCACTGCAAGCAACTGCAAGGACAGTCGTTGCTGGTACCCGGCGCACTGGTACAGCACATTTAACGGTGTGCGCAGATACTGCTCCTTCTGGATGGCATCGCACTATAATTTTCAAGGTTCGTTAAAAGCAATTATTGGATCGTATAACCACGAACTTACCATGCGCCAGGCTTATAGGAAATAAGTAAGCCGTAATATTAGGCTTGCGCTGAAGGGCGAGATTTTGAGACTTGAGACTCCCGTTTAGCGCCAGCTCCGCTCTATCATCCTTGCTACTTGGGTTCTGACGTACTGCACCATGCCAGGACACAACTAGCAAGGATGGGTAGAAGAAGTGGGCGCCGTAGCAAAACACACAGCACGCCAGTGCAGACTAGGTCTTTACATAAACTGCTGCTTCTAGTCGGCATTAATTACGCCCCGAATGGTCTAGGACTTTTTTCGAAGGTAAGTGTCATATCGTATGACCGACAACTCGTTATGTGCGCAGCACAGCCTACAGGATATAAGTTAGCCTTATGAAGACTAGCCTTGCGCTGATGAGTCGGCGAGCACCTTCGGTCTTCGGGTCTCATCGCTGTGGCATGCGCTAGAATGTAGAAGTCAAGATCACGCAAACGAATTAGGGCTAGCTAACGTACAGCTGCACTAAATAGCTTCTGGATGTTCTGTGGTGAACTGTGAACGATGATTGTGTAAAATCGTGATGCATCGGTATCCCCTTGGAAGGATGAGCAAACTCATTATCCGAGTAGTGACATTAAGTCGAAATGGATTTAACCTTACATTGCCTGGCAGAAGATCACCGAGTCCAGCTTCTTTGACGATAGCAAAGATATGCCGCGTGTATGCGCAGAGGCCGATGTCAACAGTGGCGGGGAATTTTCCATCTAAAGAAAATGCTGCGCATCTCACCCGGATTTCATGGCGCCTTTTGCGTAGCTTCAACGTGTATATGGATTATTGATGAGCTCCCATATCTGATCAGGCGAGATTTTCCAAGTGATAGCAGCCTGATCTCGCCTTTCAAAAGCTGGAGATACTCGGAATCGAACCCCCGATTGTTAGAAGATCGTGAGGTATATATACACACTGAGAGTTGAGGTCAGGGCAAGTTGAGGTTGAACGCCGGGAACTGTATGAGAAGACTGAGAGCGAACCAAACCAGGGTCCAGCGCTTTTAAATGTTTGGGTATATGTCAGGGCGTACGTGTTTGTGCACGCCTCGGAGCATTCACAGGGATGAAGAGAAAAAGACACGGGTGTCCCCTCTCCTGAACACCACGCCCATATAAGGCACCCGCCCCAAATGGACGATGTTGAATTCAAGGGCGTGCAGTGTCGCTCAAGCTGTGGTGTGTACACATGCATTGCAGAGCATTGGTGAACAGTATTGTTTGTATCCGCAAAGTATCCCATAGATTTGATTGATGACAAGAGATATATTCCTGCTAGCAGAAAACAAGGAACATATTCACAACCCCTTCAGTCAAGGCAAATGCCCAAGTAAATATTTTACTTTCACAAGATCAAGCAATACACCTACAGGATGAGTTTTCAGCGACGGAGTTGCTACTCCACGCTTGTCATGCCACAAATGAAACGGAAACAGAATATGCCTCCGCTATCCCCTGATAATTTACCAGGACGACGGCTTGTTTTAATTAGTACGGAAACACGTGTTCACTTACCTTGTAGAATCGGCAGTACCTCGCCGAGAGCCGAACTGTCATATCGACCTCATCATGTCAGGGCCATGGACTCGCTGAGGCAATAGTCTGAGACTGAATCCACGCTGTTCGGTATCAACCGGGGAGTAATGATAGCATCATACACGATCGATGCGTGGCATGTTTGCAAAGGATATTGGATTTCCTTGGATGAGGCCGGACGGGCCACGTTTCGGTGCAGTGATCATTGAGAAGCCTCGAAGAGACGTGGATGATTAAATTTTTGCCATCATGGGTCATGCAGCTCGCTGGAAGTGTGCGAATTAATTTCGCAATTTTCCGTGAATAGCGTTCACCGAGGTTGATATCGAATGCGAACGTCGATCAGTGCGACCAGGTCGTCGCTGTAGACGACGACGAAACATTTACGCGCACGTTTCTTCGACTGTCTCACTTTTGTGCCCTTGTATTCTCAAGACCTCACGCATTAAAAAATCTCCGACGATTTACTCCCACTTACTCCTCAAACTGTCAACCAGTTCGGCACTCGAAATGTCGAGCACTTCATCACCATTATTTCTATCCTCCTTTACTGGTTCTCCTACCGCTTCAATGAGTGATACCAGTAGTACGAACAGTGCCGAACCCAGCTTAACTTCGAGCGCTGCCTTGTATCGTGAGTCTATTTGATTGTTATGGTGACATGGCTAAACCATTTCTCACACTGCTCCTCAATGTTTCCCTCACTCCTCTGTTTTTGACCTCTACTCACCTGTTCCCGTGGCCTCGGAATTTCTTCGCTTGCGTTATCCTACATCCCCGAACCGGTTCGGTTTCATATGCATTAAATCACATTGCCCTAAACTTATCCCCATAATACCAAAATGATCGCTTCGCCACTCACAGTTTACACCTTTCTTGGTGCGTGTCTCCCGTTTCTTGCTTTCACTACCATTGACGACTCGCAATGTCTACTTCCATTCAAAATCCACCATATGGTTCTACATCTATGTCCTATACGGCGTTAATAGCTACACTCGTGCTTCTCCTTGCTGTCTCATCCGCCATTGTTATTCGCAGCCTTGTACTCCGACGACGTCATCAACGCATTGTAGAAGAAGCTATCCGGGCAGGGACATGGCTCCCTCACCAAGCATACGATCCCAGAGGGAGTCGTAGACGAAGAGACATTGGAAAGAAACCCAAGTTGTGGGAAGCATGGCTTCGCAGTGGCGAAGAGGAGAGTCCAGCTGACGTGAAATGTTCTTGGGATGACATAATGGTATGCTTCTTTGGTGCAGAACCTTCTCCAAGTGCTGTCGCTAACTTCATGTGACAGCCTGTCTACGCCGCTCATATTAAATCTTCTCCAACTCCACGGTCCTCGAGGTCACAGTCACCTCAAACCCGATCTGACTCGTCGTCTCGCACGATGCGCTTCCTACGACCTTACCGTACAACATTTTCATCAGCACCGGCAACATCATCTCCGATTGCCCCTCCAACACCTGTATCTTCATCTCCGTCAACATCGGCACCCTCTTCTGTAAGCGTAGCTGTCCTCATTGCCATGCCCACGGCACAGCACACACGGGAGGTGGACGGACCACCTGTCGTTGAGCTTGGTGTCGTCGATGTCACTCTGCGAGACATGAGCCCAAGCGGTGACCACCCATGACAAGCACCATATTGGTTACGGGCTTTGTATGTATAGTTATTGTTTCTAGCGCTTGTACTATTTAATACAACATGTTCCATCAACATGTCACATAGATGTTATGTACTACTGACTGCCACCTCACCGCCATGTATTCAGACGCAACGCAGACAACATCATCACTTACGTGGGCGTTGATCCATCCGTTCGTCCCTAATATAGCTTCTTTGATGAAATTGACGCTTTGATGATCAGAATGGAATGGTCGCCGTTTTGTGCTTGCAGCAATCAAACGGTGTGATCAAGAATGGGAAAGTTCATGCAATGGATGATTTAATACTTGGTGACTTTAAACTTTATCTTATCGAAGTACTTACATGCTTGAGCCTCGAGGCGTCTCATAATAGCGTATCGATGAATGATCTACGCCCCGTGTCTGTCCGATAATTTGAATGATGTCATTCCATTTTTGGAGTGAACTGGTTCAAGAATCCGACTCGTCCGCGGTGAGCTGTCCAATATGGCCAGGCCTATTTATAGCATCAATCATCTAGACCCAATGCTGATTTCCAACTTTCGCCTGCCAATGAAACATGAAACTAGGAAGTTAACGGGCCTGCGAGACTATATATCACATATCTACCACGTCAGCGCAAGCCTGCCCCGGAAATGCGAGTAATACTTGCTTACGCCGACTGTGGCTCATGGTAAGTGATCGGTTCGACACACGATGTTTGCCTCTAAAAAACAGTACTAGAACATTGGCTTCCATGTCGACCTGAAACAGCACTTCTTGCAATCGTGCATGCTGAGTGCGGCGATTCCTGACTTCTTGCGCCATGGCGTCCAATACATCCACCTACCCTCGCTGGGCAGTTCCGTGCATCAAAGAAGTTTTAGCGGGAATAATGAAGGACTGGACTGGCCCGGCCTGCGCTGACATGAGATCTACGTACTGTGCATCTCCCAGCGCAACTTGAAGGCCGTTGTTCCCCGTGCGCTGCACGTAGCCTATAGCACAGTGAGTCATCAATATGACATTTACTTCTAAAAAGCTATGTAAAGACTCTGTGTCCTTTTACGCACAGACCCGTGCTTCATATCAAAACACCGCGTCAATACGAAGAGCTTCACTCTTCGTATCCGAAACACACGGATACATTCTTATTTCTTTCATCTCCCTTTGACGCACATCGCCTTGTATTTTTAAAAACGCTCGTATCAAGTCACCTGACACGACCTTCTTATCAAATGACCTCGTCGTCGACGCTCATCACTTGTTCTTTCATTTCCCTTTCATCATAAAACAACCCTTTGTCTTCATCGTACCATCTCGAGCTACTCATTTGGTAGGCATACCTTATCTCTTGATGCTCGTACTGATAAAAGACCGCATCTAGGTCGTCAAATCCAGAGAGTTTCACCCAGCGTCGCAAAGTCTCCAAACGTCTCAAAGTTCTCGCCTCGCCTCCTTCCAATTTTCGCACTCGTTTCCGGCATCAAGCCTTACAACTACCTGGAAAACATCGGGGGCAGTTGCCATCCTGAAGTATCAGAGTCAGTTCTCTATGTGTGGTTCCTGGCCACCATGTGCAGCTCCTCCTCGCTGGACTGTCCTCTCTTGCGATTGCATAAAAAGTACTGCCAGCAAGGATTTCAGACAGGACTGAGCTTGCGATGGCACGGGCGGAATAAATGCTGACCAGAAGCAGCAAAAGTGTTACTGTATCAGGCAGAGGCAGCTGCGCATGCTGTCTTATCCGTACCGCTGGAAACGTTCGTAATGCATGTTAGGATTCGTCCTTGCGTTTATTATAGATACCCAATGCGAGGGTTACATTGGCTGTCTATAATAAACGCAAGAATGATCATCCACTGTACCAACGAGGATCACGACGGACAAGGCCGGACCTATAGTTGTGATTAAGTTATACCTTGCTATGAGCTGGCAAGAGAGGTACGAGGTGAGTGGGTTCGCAATTTACGTGTTTCGTAAGATGTTCGCGACCTTATATACCTTTGACAGTACCACACACGATCCACAACCGTGGTATTGTTTTGCTTTCATCGTTGGTCGTAAGCGTTCGATACACGTCAGAGTTAGACATATTTGCTAACAATGATGTGGCTGAAGCACAATGGTCCCAAATTCGTCTAGATTTCAAATCGGCAATAGAGCATTTATCCTTGTACACAAGGTCTGCCCAGCTAGTCAGAAATCGCACGATATCTCCATTCCGTAAGACTTTGTCAAGGTATTGACTTGGTCTTGTTCATCGATGATAGCAATAGATTAGAATTCAATTCAGATAGTACCAGAACATCAGTTACGGGATAGAGACACTTTTTTGGTTTCGACGAGTGCGATGAATGGGGTCAGCAGCACAAAATTGATAAATGCGGACACGGGCCTCAGCGAGTTCCGAGTAGAGTCCAGTCTCTGCATCCAGTAAATTGTATGCGCGGCGTGACCGAGTTCGCATGGCAAGATATCATGGGACTCCATCAGCCATGCGAATGATTCGTTGGGTACCCCTGAACCTGGCGTCAGGTTCACAGCGGCGTCCTCTCCGCTATAACTTCTCCGCCTTCTCCGCATCGCCTTCTGACGTCCCGGTACTCGATGCAACGCCGGGTTGGATGTAGATGAAACACCATATATAGCTAAACGAGCCGAAAAGCTTGCTCACTGGCAGCACATTATTAGAGGTCATATTATGTTGAACAAGGAGGAATGTAGTATCGTTGTCGCCAGATGGAAAGGAGGCAGTAGGTCGGTGTGTTCGCGACGCCATGAGATTATGGGACGTCGACATAGGCGAGGTCATTAATAATGGACATGGCAGTGGACACTGGACAGGACGATAAACTGCAATTTGGATGAAGCGAAAGTGCAAAACCCTGACTTCAGAATGTGGAACCGGAAGTGAAAATCAGCACGTCAAACGGATACCAACATCAAGCCTGGCGACAAAATAAATTGCAGTGGAGTATGGTGATAAAAAAACAAGTGCTTAGAATTCAATTGATTGGTCATCGTCAACTGCAACTGCCAGTGGTCGTAATAGTCATTAGTGTGCTTGCTCACCATCCTTTCAACTTTGACGTAAGCAATATTGCTGCATCCTTCTCTGCTTTCATGAAAGCCAGGACTGGTGTGAAGGAATTCTGTGCTTCGCCGAAGTACCCTTTCTCGTGACCCTTGCACTTTAAGTTCGTCCTATCGGGCGACGGGGGGACACCTGCCCGCGATAATTCCTTTTGCGACATCCGAATGAAGCTGTAACCGTTGTCATCCCACTCCCAGGGTTAACTAATTGGGAGGTGGCCCGTGGTGTACACGCTGAAGCTGTTGTGATTGATGTTGTGGTCGGTTGCTGTTTTAACATGCTTTCCGTGGTTGTCGCAATTGGAGGTGTGGGCGGCCGTCATGTAACATGTTGTGGTGTTTGACAAACCTAAATTCATAAGCTTCATTTAGGAATCGAGCTGATCATTACACGAGATGTGGGGATCAGTCAGCCAAGTACTGAGCCATCGAATCGATTATCCTCTCAAGCTCTCAAGATCTCAAGGATGGTTATGACAAGGTGCCGATTCGGAGCTTGCCGGAGAGTCAGCACCACGCGTCCAACTGAGCGTGACGCTTGGTCTTTCTACCTTCTCGTTACTATTCGAATCGTAGTATCTGCGTATCAGAATATCTATTACTATCCTCTCGTTTACTCGCCCCTCACATTCATAATACCATACCATACGTTATCACTTACTTTCTATCATAATCGCACCTCACTTGATCCAGTCTTATCCGCCTGATCAATGACCCATCAGCACCTAAACCTGCAACTTCCAGGCCTGCCGGCCCCTCATGCCAGTTCCTCAGGATCATCTGCACCTGTAGGGCCACTGCATCCATCCGACTCTGCAGAGCCTCCAGAAGAGCTAGGCCAAGGCGCGGCTCGCGCCAAAGCAGCAGCAACAAGGCAGTCAGCCAGACTCGCTAGCGTCGGTGCCGACGCAGACGACGATTCAGCGCCTCAAAGCAACGCACCCAGAGTAACACCCCTCCCTGGTGCTCCAGCAGCCAGAGCCGCAGCTGCAGCCGCAGCCGCAGCCAAACCGGCGGCCAAGCCAGCAGCCAAGCCAGCGGCTAAGCAGCCATCCAAGCAAGCAGCATCGAAGCAGCCAGCCCCGGCCAGCACACCATCTGCACCAAGTCCACCGAACCCACCTGCCGCAACACCAGTGCAGCAAACGGTTGACGTGGCAGCGCTGCTTGCCCGGATTGCTCAACTCGAGCAAGAGCAAGCAATAAGGACCACACAACCCGTTGAGCTCCTCCCTCAGGCTAAGGCTCCCGCACTTCCATTGTTTGCGTCGCCAGAGGAAGTAGAAAGAGCAAGGGCCGCCATCATCGAAGCCAAGAAGGACGAGCCCAAGGTCTCCCTCCCTGATGTGGTACCAGGCTTCAAAGCAAACCCCCTCGACACTGGTGAGGATCTCTATCTCGTTCTTAGCCAGATTTGCGAGTTTCGTGCTACGCGCACCAAGGAGGCAGTGCTCAGCGTCTTGGGTCCCAACCTTCTAACCCAAGCATGCAGATGCAGCTGCGCATCCAAGCGCACTCGATCTCAACACTGAGCTGAAGGCCAGTGCGAATTATCAGAGCTATAGGCTCAGTCGCTAAAGGCGACCCACTTGCTACGTCAGGCTGCAGGCCAAGCTAGCTTTTGTCTGGCCATAGAGTGGTCCGGGGCTGAATGCTGCCACAATTTCGTGTTCGCCTCGCCATTACCGAGGATTTCGAGAGCTAATGCCAGTCTCGTTGTTACAGCCGTTCCACCCAAAGTTGACGAGGCGTTCAAAGCCTTCAAATATGTCCCATACAGTACGCTCACTTCGTCGGCTCGATGGCAAGCGATTAGGACTGGCGAAGAAGCCTTCACCATCTCTGCGTCAGGCTCGCTGATGGCCAAAGGGCTCGATCGCCGGAATGAGAGGAGCATAACGTTGTCAGACTGGATAGGAGCGGCTGATGCAGCAGAAGATCGCACGGGTCATTACCACGGGGCCGCACGCGCGAAGGCACTGAAAGCCCACCACAGTGTAGTCCTGGGTTTGAGCCGCTCCCACTCATGGGATATTGCAGTCGAGTATGACATCCAACAACGTGAAACGGTAGCACAGCATCCGCAACACGACCTATCCCAGCTAGACGACAAAGCACTTACCATCATTGCAACTCGCATAGTAACCAGGCAACCCGCCGTCACTGCATCGTACAGCCAAGCACAACTTAAGAGGCCATCTCCGCCATCCTCGTCGCCATCCCATCATCCACAGAAGAAGAAGGCCAGACTGCAGTGCTTTCGGTGTGGAGGAGCAGACCACTTACCAGGCGACTGCACAGCAGAATCAACCGTCACCGGGCACCCAGTGGCCCGAATTGCAACCTCAGCTAAGAGCGCACATGCCCTTGCAGCCCCGGGCGGAAAGATTTTCTGCATCAGCTGGGCGAGATTCTCCAGTTGCCACTTTGCCAACGCATGCATCAATTACCATGGATGCAGCATCTGTGGAGATGCTGCCCATGGCGCAGGAACCTGCAGAGCAGTCCGTCCTAGATCCTAGGCAGGTGGTGACACCCCTCATCACATCGAAACTCGAAGAACTACTATATGAATATAATATATACGAGGAATGGGGACATATGATATCCAATATAAAGGAAGGCTTCGACGTAGGAGTCAGAGAAACACCGAAAACCACACTATCCTTTCGAGAACCACACATCTTCACAACTAAATGTCGATATCATAGACCAATATATAATCAGCGAGCAGAACGCTGGGCGTTACTCTCGCGCATACTCAATCTCGGAACTAGAATCCTTAATCGGCCCTTTTCGCACGTCCCCACTTGGCCTCGTACCGAAGCCTCATTCCACGAAATTCAGACTCGTTCAAGACATGTCATACCCACGCGACAATCCCGAAAGCCCCTCTGTCAATGCAGGCATAGACCCAGACGCATTCCCAACAGAATGGGGCACATTCGACAGTGTAGTGGAGTTGATTCTCTCGCTACCAGATGGGTGTGTCGCAGCGACATTCGACATCGCATCAGCGTACCGAATTATACCGGTCCACCCCAGCCAACAGTGGGCCCTGTGCATTCTATGGCGCGGTCGGGTTTACGTCGATCGAGCCCTCATGTTTGGCTTAAGCTCAAGCGCAGGAGTCTTCGGCTCAGTAGCAGACATGCTAGTGGCCATATACGAGAAAGCTGGTTTCGGCCCAATTCGAAAATGGGTAGACGACTTCTTCGTCATCCGCCTCCCGCACCAGAAGTGGACAGAAGAAGAATTCATCGAGCTGTCAGCCGCCTTCGGAGTACCATGGAGCTTAGAGAAACTGCGGGCCTTCGCAATTATCCAACGTTACATTGGCTTCGACTGGGACTTATCACGAAGAGTAGTCTCACTCCCGGAAGAGAAAATGGAAAAATCCTATCATTGTTACAATCGTGGCTAGCAAAGGGCACGCGTTTCACAGCAAACGAAGCAGCAAGCCTGCACGGCAAGCTAGTCCATGTATCATCGATATTCCCACTGATTCGCCCTTTCCTTCGATCAGTGGCCCTTTTCGCCAACAAATTCAAATCACGACGAGCGCGTCTTCATGTACCGAGCTCGCTTTCTGCCGACTTACACTGGGTAACAGAGATCCTATCAGTATCCCCACGCGAAAGACCTCTACGCACCCAACACCCAATCGACCCCCAGTGGTGGGGCGATGCGAGCACATCTTTCGGAGTAGGCATCGTGATCGGCCAGCATTGGGCAGCATGGAAATGGAAAGAGGGTTTCAAGGTGGGCCCAGGCTGCGAACACGACATTGGCTGGGCCGAAGCTACCGCAGTAGAGCTAGGTTTGAGGTTAGCCCTCCATCTTGGGCTATCCGAACGAGCAGATGTGAAAGGCCAATCCATCCTAGTCCGTTCGGACAATGCTGGAGTAGTCATGGCAATAAACAAAGGCCGCTCACGCAATCAGCCAACAAACATCATCCTCAAGGAAATCTATTTGCTACAGGTAATATCAACGAGCATGGATTTCAAGCTTACTTATCTTGATATAGGCGCACCATGGGATACATCTCAAAGTCGAGCACGTACCTGGTCAAATCAACATCTCAGATCCACTCTCGCGAGGCGACATTCAAACCTTTCTAGGCAATTCTTCTGGCCCATCATTCAAGACCGATTTTCCACTCCCGTCGCATCTCAGCGACAAAATGTCATTTGTTACAGTCTGACCTCCTCGTCAATTGAAACCACACCCCCCACACCCCAGAATTTATTATCCCTTCGAGAATCTCCCCTCCGCCCCCCCTGTGCAGCTGAGGAACGTATTTTTCATTGGCGTGGCATCAACACCCCTCCACCGTCAACGATAGACCACCCAGTCATACAGTTCCTCGCCAACATCTCCAACCAAGCATCGCTACGAGAAACGACTAGCTATGGCTCGGGTTTAAGAAAATTTCACATTTTTTGCGACATATTCTCCATCCCAGAAGCTGACCGTCTGCCAGCATCTTTCGAACTGCTGCACTCATTTGCCCTTTGGGCCGTTTCCGATCCTTCCGCAACAAAACATTTTCTAGAGTCTGCGACAACCGAAACAGTACCCTTTGAGCCAGTTTCCGTATCAGTCGCGAGAAAATACCTCTCTGCAATCCGCGCCTGGCATTTGGCACAAGGATGGCCACCTCCGCTATCACCAGAACACTTCACGCGGATCAACTGGTCACTTCGCGGAATGGAGAACCTGCAAGGAACTCGCCGTAGACCTATCCGACCCCCAATCACACTCCATATGCTAGCTGCCATCAAGGCCACCCTACGAATAGATCAACCATTTGACGCGTGCATATGGGCAATGTCCAGCTGTGCCTTCTTTGGGATGATGCGGTTCGGGGAAGTCGCAGTCAACACTCGCGCAAGTTTCGACAAGTCAAAACACATCACGCGAAAAGATGTTCACCTCGGATTCGATCTGACTGGGAAACCTTATGCCAGACTTGATCTCCCACAAGCCAAGACAGCAAAATCGGGAGAGCCTCAATCCGTTTTCATTGTAGAACAAGGAGATCTCTGCCCAATTCAGGCATTGCGAAACTTAGCAGAAGTAGTCCCAGCGCTACCAGACGACCCATTATTCTCGTGGAGGGACAACAAAGGAGTCATTCGCCCAATGGTCAAGACTCGCGCCATCGAAAGCATCAACAGCATATTAACCGCCTGGAACTGGGGAACAACGTTTGGACATTCATTTAGAATCGGCGGCGCCTCATTCTACCTCGCTAACAAAGTAGACCCAGAAATAGTGCGCATAGCGGGTCGATGGAAATCCCTAGCGTATGAGACTTACATCAGGGCATTCGAGCAAGTCGCAACGCAACACCTCGGCGGCCTGGCAAATATCCACACAAACCATTAATAAGCTAGATCGCTCTGTTGGGTTGGCCGCTGAGATCAGCCGCAGTTGGAGCTCACCAGCAGTGGGTAAGCGGCTCAATCCTTCAGCGTCCAGCCCGAGCTAACACTCGGACTCAGCCCAACCTCACAGGAGCCTTCGCGTCAGATCGTTTTCGTCAGTACAACAGTCGAAGTTGGAATGACAAGGTGCCGATTCGGAGCTTGCCGGAGAGTCAGCACCACGCGTCCAACTGAGCGTGACGCTTGGTCTTTCTACCTTCTCGTTACTATTCGAATCGTAGTATCTGCGTATCAGAATATCTATTACTATCCTCTCGTTTACTCGCCCCTCACATTCATAATACCATACCATACGTTAGTTCGTTCCACCCCACCCACCGCTACATCCATTGATTCTTTCGCACCATCAATTCATCTTATTCATCTATCCATCGTTCTTCCGCAAGGCTCCACACAAATCGCTGTTCGTTTGCCCGCCCACCCAGCGGCTCAATCCTTCAGCGTCCAGCCCGAGCTAACACTCGGACTCAGCCCAACCTCACAGGAGCCTTCGCGTCAGATCGTTTTCGTCAGTACAACAGTCGAAGTTGGATCTCCGCACCTGTTGTACTAATTACGTCACAATTTAGGACGCAGCCCCAGCAATACTCAGCGCTTACTAGAAGACCAGTGCTTGAATGCCGATCGGCAATCACATTTGATGTTCTTCAAATGGTCAAGTCTTGATGTTCACCGTGAGTCAGTGACTACTTTACAGTTCGAGTCATGCCAGTAATCACATAACATACCTGTGCTAGTTCTGAAATTGACCCCATGATGTAGAGGTCCAAATTGGGTTACGTTCGACCTGGTAGTACTCAATCACTGTCAAACGACATACAATAGCACGGTACTATCATACTCCCGATGGCAGGTGCACGGTGACCGCAGTCGCACTTCAGACAATCATAGCTGCGCCATCTGAAACGAAGTCACACACAAGCTACGCGTTTAATTATGGTTGAGGGTAGTGCGATGGTCATGGCTACATCTTCACTAAATATGGACAGTGTTCATTGCACAGTAGTAGACTGCGTGCACAGGTTGAATGTCACATGCTGTGTCGAGTCAGTGGTGCCGATACTACGGTACGGTATACGCCTCAATTCTACATTGCAGTATAAATGTTAAGGGCTATTCACTTATTCACTAAGAGAAATCCTAGGGCTCTATCATCTTCGCTGTTATCACTGAAAATGTTTCTTTTTAAATCATTTACATCATCAAGCACTGTGACCCCCAACACATCATCAGAAGCTCTGATCAAATCACAAAAGGACAAGAAGCAGACTTCCCCTGGGCAGTCACAGCCAAAAAATTATGAAGCGGCCTTTGGAGCGCTTCAAGCGTCGTACGGGTTTGGGTCGTTTCCAGGCTCTTCTCGCTCCAGTAAATAGGAGTCTTTGAGCGGATAGTGAGTACGCGCATATTTGATTGTGATGACAAGACTGATGATTCGGAAGGGTATAAGAGCCAAGTTCTGGGTGTACAAAACAAGTCGAGGAAGGTGGAGATGAGTCGCAGAATAACGCCAACGGCTGTAACAGTTACGGTGGATTGAGATGTGTTCTCCTTTATGATATTTCAGCCCTGCTACGTAAACCATAAACCACCGCATATATTAATGTAAAACAGTAATGGGGATAAAATGATCGCCAAACAAAAATTGGTATCACTTGAAATCAAGCGTACATACAGAACTCGTGTAGGGTGAGCAATACAAACGGAAGATCAGAAGTGTGTTAAATTAGATGCCAAAGGATGGTGTGAGAATGGGATAGAAAAACAGTGCGACCTTATGACATACACTTAAAGGTCATACCTACCTTTATGACTTCTAATTCTGTGGTTGTCACCGTCTAGCCACTCGCTTTCGTTCTCGTCCTTCATCTTCTACGTCCATGGCATCCCCCAAGTTGTTTTGGGTCTGTGTATGACTGGTGCTAAGGACAGACGTCCGTGAGCTCCGCGTTCGGCGTCTGGTATTTCCAGAGCCGGATGTGATTGTTGATGAGACGCTACTTCCTTGTGAAGATGACTCGGTAGCGCCTGAAGTAGTGGTGGAATCGAGCATCATCATGACAGCATGACGACGCTTAGCGCCAGCGGTATAGTCGGCGAATGCAGAGTCTCCTGTAACAGATGTTGCAGTAGTGACAGGAGACGTGCGGAATATATTCTCTGACGGGGTAAGACACGCTGTGATAGGTGGGCCGATGGAGAATGTTTCGGGGATGTCTTTCTTGGTGCCTGAGGCACGGGACTTGGATGGGCGTTGCCCTGCATATGGGTGGCTTGATTGGCGCGCGGGTGGCACAGCGGATGGCGTAGGCGAAGTTTGTCTGTTGGAAACATTGGTTATGTTAACTGTAAAAGGGGAATGCGGAGTCAAAGGCGCTGGAGCAGCCTAAGAAAAGGAGGGCACATCAATCAATGCGCAAAAAAAGGATGAGGAAGCATACAGTGTGCTGTTCCAGACGGGAAGAAGAGGGACCTGAATGTACAGTGTCCCTCGTAGTGTCCCCGGAAAAAAAATGACGGGGAGTGGAGTCCTTGTTTATGTCGGGGCGGCTTGCAGGGACGCTCCCTCTTACTCTTTCTTTTTCTTTTTCACGGTCTTCATCCTCATCCTCCTCTTCTTCGCGAGCCTTCACAGCCTCCATTCTAGCTTCAATCCAGTCCATGATTCGCCCGATCGTCATCACATCTCCGGGTGGGTTGCTTGACCCAGATAGTGCTACACCACCTGTAGAAACGCCCTGTTGGATCATAGACATGAGATCTTGGCAGGCCGTAGCATATCCTGCGTTGTAAGCACGTTTGGATGCATGCCTTGAGGATCGATAAAGGGTCGTTATACTTAGCGCAGCAGCTTGTTGTGCGTGTGTCGAACGTGAGTAACGCGGATGGAGCCTAAACAAAAAGCTCTTTACCTTTAAAGTTGTTCAACAAGTCCTTCTCGGCTTTCTCGAGGTTTGCTGCTGGTAGAGACTTTGCCAAACCGTTTAGATCTAGTGATGAGTCCATGGCCATATAGAGGTGTTGGCAGGTAAGCGTCAGGCACTCTGTGTGCGTACAGCTTGGAAACTTATATATTACGTAAGTTGATTTCAATCGCGTTGTTGTGCCAGTTTTAGCGTCTGAGAAGGAGTTCGCGGTTTGAGAGGGAGCAGAATCGTCGTGGAAGTTCTTGGTCAGTTGAGTGTGGAAGTCCAAGTGCTGCACGGCTTACATCGGGCCACCCGGTGAGCTAGTTTGTGACCGGCAGTCACGCTGCATACCTTATCAAGGGGAATTGATTGGTACCCTTACACGCATTGAACATGGATGAAGACGATGACTTTTGTAAGTTTTGAAGTCGTGATCTTGAAGTTCCACTTGACCTTATCTCACAATAGACGAAGGGAGTCTGGTGGACTCAGAGTCCGAATACACGGATGACTCTGAATCTGACGATGAAGAAGAGGAATCGGAAGTTGAAGATATTGAATTGCCTCAGAGTGTCCAGGCAGAGATTGATACTGATTTCAAGTGCATCCATCTCTCCCTTGAGACGGTTTTATGTATCTGAGCACTAGATGGCAGTCGACTAGTAAGCAACATTCGCATGACGGACGATGTCTCAAGCACAGCGATGCTTCATCGAGAATGGGATTTTAATATCGCCCAGCAAGACATGGAGTTTCGTGACGACCTTCGCGAAGCATCTGGGATAGGGAAGAAAAAAGGCAAGAAGGTGCGTGGTCTACGATAGCTCATTTTGGGCACACTCACAACTTGCTGCCGTTTCGCATCGTGTTTTTAGCGCGGTCGTCGGCTCGGACCCGTGCTCTCCCATCAAGTACGCGCCCTCATAGGTGAAGGGAACCAAGCATATGTCGATGTAAACATTCCAGAAGCGATACGAATCATGCAGGAAGTCATCCGCATTGAGCCTCGTGCGTCATCTGCGTGGTCCGTTATCGCTCAATGCTATGAAGATTCCAATGAAACGAAGAAGGCGCTTCAACTGCGCATCATGGCAGCGCATCTTCGGCATGATGCGGATGAGTGGGAGAGACTAGCCGCACAATCAAGGTGAGCGTCGTGATCTTGACATGAACCTTGACTGACGGCGCATTTTCTCAGAGATTTGGGTTATAACCAACAAGCCATATATTGCTACAGCAAGGTATATAGTCTTGACCCGACAAATGTCGATGCACTTTGGGACCGTGCTTGCTTAGCAAAGGAGATAAATGACCTTCGCGCCGTATGTCCCGTTGTTTCTCATTCACGTATCTCTAAACATATCAACCCAATCTAGGCTCGACACTCTCTTCTTGCAATTTTGAAACAGTTTCCACACGACATGACAGTTCTGGCAGAGCTTCGACCGATACTCATTGAAGTATCAGACCTTCCCCTTTGTGCCTCCCTTTACCAGGCTGCCTTTGAACACTATCAGACTGTTCAGCCCACGGGGCCTCCACAACCAATTGACCCCTCTCTGACTGGCCAACCGTCACAAAACCAAACATTCGGCTTCATTGACATCTTAGTTCTTGCCGACCTGTATAACACGATGGTAGAATGCGACCATGCAATCCAAATCATACGGAAAGGCTGCAGATGGTTGCAAGGTCGCGCAGGCCAACGCTTCTGGGATGGATGTGTAGACGACCGAGAATACGATCTACCTTCCGAAGATCGCGGCAATGTAATTATAGAACGAAGTGGCGATATTCAGCCTGGTTACTATCCTCTTGACGTCAACGCCCGACACCGACTCGCTATCGCGCGAATAAAGCTGGGAGACGTCGAAGAGGGCAAGGTGCGTATTTGCACATATAGTCAAAACCTATGGGTGTGTGACGAGTCATACAGATGCACGCGTCTATTGTTCTCTCACAAGATGTTCTCGATTACGCCGCTCTTTTTGGAGAGATCGCCGACTCGTATTTTGAGCGTGAAATGTATGCTGATGCCAGGCCGATATATGAGGTTCTTGGCTCAGAACCTGCGGTACATTTCCTTTCCTCGTCATATCGGTCTCTATACTGATCTTCTGTAAAGACCAGTAGCATGTACATACTGCTTCAGGTGGCTGTATGTCGTAGGATGCTTGGTGACCTGCAAGAGGCCGCGGAGGTCTATAAGCAAGGTGAGATACTTCTTAATAAGTTGTGTTAAAGTCTAATTTCCTGTTAGTCATCGATGCGGATCAAACTAATAATGATGCGAAGATGAAACTTGCCGAGCTGTACGAAATCATGGACGAGCCTCGGAAGGCCCTGGAACTCGTTTACCAAGGTTAGAACATTTCTCATGGTTCAAGCTGAAGAATCAAGCGTCTGTCCTTCCACAGTCATCGACACCCGCAAACGACGCCCCAACCAGCCTGAAGCCACGCCCACACCCGATACCGTTCCTCAACCTCAAGGCGCCTCTCTCTTCGAAGAGAAATCACGCACTAAAGCTAAAACTCCAGGTCCCGGTAAAAGTAGGCTTACCTTGGCCGAGCTCAAAGCGCTCGAAGAGCAACGTGAGCGAGAGGTGATCTTGGGGTACACCCGCGTCGAGGATCTGTGGCCGCGCATGCAGCATGGAGACGCGGAGGCGGAGAGGGAGTGGATGATTGAGGCTGAGAAACTTGTGGAGATGTTTAGGGAAACGAGGAATCTGTTTGTGACGACGAGGGTAATTGGATGGGTATCGATGTGCTTGTGCTGGAGTGACTGACTGGTTTTGTCAGGACCACGACTTTAAGGGCATGCTCCCGAAGAGAAGAATGCAACGAAGGGATGATACAGACGAGGATAGGATGGTGTCGAGGCTCGAGCTCAATGGTCGGTGATGGCATGCGGCTTGGTGACTATATGTTATCTTGACCTCCGTTCCCGCAGAACGCGACAGGCACACCCGCAGAGCCAAAGATGACAGTCAGACATCCGAGAAGGTTGATTCGTTCCGTGGCGTTACATTTTCAAGCTGGCTAAGGATTTTCATGCAAGTCAGTTTTCGCAGCTCATATGCGTCTGACTTTTGATTGATTTGACTTCACAGTATGCCTTCGTTCTTACCAAACGGGGAGACCTCGACCAGGCCGAAGAAGTCCTGCGCCATATCCTTTTGTCGAATGCCTATCGAGATTCCAATTCACAGAGCACGATTCGAATAACAATCATCAGTAAGGGTCTTATTTCTTTTAAGTCGACATCGTAACACGTCTTGCAGCATGCGCCATCCATGCTGGCAAGTTCTCTGTCGCAGTAGAACAATGCCGCAAAATCATCAACACCCACCAGTTCAACAACGAAGCTTTTCGCCTTCTGCTTGTTTCATTAGCCAGCGGACATCACCCTACTGATCCATTCGTTTCTTCTACATTGCAAAAGCATACGCTTCGTGAACTCCGAATTCACGATGCTGCGGTCAAGACTCCGGAGCTCATGAAATGGAATCCTGTCGGGCGCAAATATAATGTGTCGTCGTCGGGCAAGGAAGAGCCTTCGAAAGTCGACGAAGAAGTGGATGAAGAAGCGGAGATCCCTGGTCCAATGGAGAGTAACGCGACAGAAAAAACGGCGGTTCGGATGCCTACGAAGAACAATCCAATCATCGTCACTCTTTATGGTCAGATGTCTCTCGCTGCCAAAAGCTACCAGAGCGCGATATGCAAGTTAGTATCCCTTTTCAGGAGTTCCTAATAATTGTTTTCTTCAGTCTATTTGTTGCATGCATACGATTATTGCCCTGAAGATCCTGTTGTCTGCCTGTCTCTGGCCATCGCTTCTCTCGGTCGAGCTATGCAACGGCAGTCTGACAATCGACACCACACGATAGCACAAGTGAGACTTCTGTGCTCCTCATCGACTCCGTAGCTCACATTTTTAACAGGGGATGGCCTTCTTGTCTCAGTATCGAACACTCCGGAAATCTTGCGGTGATGAGGTGCTTGCAGAGGTCGACTACAATTTTGGTCGGGCGTTCCATCAGCTTGGTACGGATTTTCTCTTCTCATTTGACACATTATATCTTAGAAACTCTGTCAAGGTCTTCATACGCACGCTGTCTCGCATTACGAGCGTGTTCTGGAGATTGCCGAAAAGCAGGGAAACGAGGTGAGTGGCGCGTCTGCCGCGTTCGATTATGGTGGCTGACGTTTCTAGCAGTATGCATCCGTTGCAAAAGAGGCTGCGTACAATCTCTCTCTCATCTACGTGACTACTGGTGCCGTACCGTTGGCTGACGCGCTGTACAGACGATGGTTATCTATTTAACGGATTCCAATTTCTAAAATCTCTAACTTATACTATCCTTTATTACGTGTCACACCTTTGTTGATTTCGTCTGAGACCATCATCCGGAGAGACTGACATCAGCTATCTCCTGATGACGATGTCAGGCGAGTTCAGAATTGTCCCCTCCCAGGCGGACTATTTCATTTCGTCCTCTTCTTTGTCAACTTCCTACTTCATGCAACCATGTTAAACGCGAAACCTACAACCTCATCGTTGATTGTGCTAGTGAGCTTTCTGCTTGTGTCTACTGATGAGCTTCAAGATTGACAAACCTCCAGCGTGGCTCATCATTCAGCAGCGTATCCTCAGATAAAAGTTCGAGCTCATCGGACTTTTACAAATATTCCTCCCCGTCCTCTTCAGGACAGACTACTCCTGAAGATGATGAGAATAAGATGTTCCAACTTGACGTGCGGCATACTTCTTCCGCCTCTGAGAGCGATGCGAAGCTCCGTCCCGTTTTGAGAGGCAGTCTTGCTATGAAGAAGGCTGCAACTGCACTGCATTCCCGGCAGCGCACGTTGTCTGCTGCTGTGAAGACGGTGAGTAGGGCATTTACAGTCTTCAAGAAAAGGGTGAGATGGTCTCGTATTCATTTATCACGCTAAGCTAACCAGTTAACTCAGAGGTCGGACGAAGAAGAGCCGGTTTACATTGCCAGTCCATTGCGAGAAAGGTTTGGTAGGAGGATTTCGGTCAAAACCAAACCAGAAGAGGTCAGTTAGTACATCAGCAGTCGCATGCATACAGCACTAAGAAAGTTCTTGTGGACAGTTCTACAGTCTTCCCAACCGATACTTCTCTGTCCATGATTTGCCTATGCAAAAGGTGCGTTCGTGTTATTCATTTCAAGTCATCGAACCTCGCTGACATCCTCAGGCCAATACTATTGGACATAAGGCGGAAAGAAGGGTTGCATCCATCTCGGGGCCGCCGTCGTCACGCATCAATAAGCCATCCCGTAGACCACGCAACCTTGATTTCAGTCTTCCTGGGTTCGTTGAGGAACTACAGGCTGCTATGCCCTCGTCCCCACCTGCAGCCGCACAAGTCCCTCTCGCTGACTCTTCTCATGAAGAGCGTGAATCGTCCCAGCGCATCGTGGTTCTCACCAGTATTCTCCGCGGTGTGCTGTTTGTTCCCTGGTGCGCAACAGTAGGCGGTGCGGTGCTTCTATTCCCTCAGAAACTCGAGCTCGTGGTATTCCGCCCAGGCTATCTCGAGTCCTTACAAGGTATTCGCCGCTTCGCGCACTGGGCCGACTGCGTATTCCACCATGCCATGATCTTCCTGGCGCTCGTCGTTGCACTCATTTGGTACAAGGCCGCTGTGGGTGTTCCGGTGGCTTGTGGGCTCGTGTCCAGGTTCTTGTATGTTTGGACCGGCTTCCAAGTGGACTCGAACATCCCGTTGGGTTGGGATGATCGACAGAGCTTGTACTTGTTGGCGACGGGCACGGCGTTTGAGAAACAGACGGTTCTTATTAAAGGCTGTGAAGGAGAGCTGAGGATTGCGCAGTTGAGAGACGACTGATTGTCAGGAGTGCTTATACAGGGAAGGTCAGAAGTGCCTACAACCATAGAGGATGAGATTATAGTCACGGATCATGATGCAAACGAAGATGGGACTTGGGATATTGATTCTATGTTGCTGTCAAGTGGTCTCACATCCATGTAATTAGTACCTCTAGCACTATGAAAACGACATACAATTCTGTCACCTGCCACACTGGTAGAACATAGTTCTGCCCACAACATTGAGCGCTACTTGCTGGCTAAGCACAAAGAGGTACGCACAGGCTTACTTAAGCAATTGTATGTAAGATTATTGGAAGTCCATAAACATGACTAAGGGATATAGTGTCATGAATTGAAAGAACCAGTGCGAAGCTACTGCGCACGGTCACGGTATACCATACATTTTACAAGCAAGCTGGCGCTTGTCACATAGCATCTTGATCATACTTCATATCTTTACCAAGGAGCGTCGATGATGGAACTATTCCGATGCAGGCCTTATTCATCATGACCACTCACCAGTCAGCATTGACTTGAGCAATGCAATGACCACTACTGGCCCTTCTCATCAGTGCATGACGTGGTCTAAATGGCGTACTATTAAAGTCGGTCGAATTTGAATTCTCTTTGAATCTATTGCAAGCTTTCCGACTCAACATCATGAAGAAGTCATACCTCGAATATGTGATCGAGCAATGGTCCGTGGTGCCCCTAGTGGAGACCTATCTGGGAAAACAGTTCTTGTTGTCGGCGCAAATGTAGGCATTGGACTCGAGGCGTCAAAACACTTTGCCCGTATGCAACCAGCGCGATTGATAATCGCCTGCCGTAGCGAGGCCAAGGGGAAGGTCGCTTTGGCTGGTACGTATGACCGTTTATAATGAATTTGATGTGAGATGATTGACTTCTGCTTCTGAACTTGAAGAAATCGAACGAGAGACCGGATACAATGGATGCGAGCCCTGGATAGTCGACCTTGCTAATTTTGCATCAGTGATCGCATTTGCAGATAAATTCAAGAGGGAGGGCGGCGATTTGCATATACTGGTCATGAATGCAGCGATCGCGCTGCCCGTTTACCAACCTACCATTGATGGCTGGGAGACCATGTTGGTCTATTTTATTTTTCTGCGCGCAGTCGAGGCTCATATTCATCATTCAGACTACAAGTCAATTACCTGGCAACATCATTGCTTTCGTTGCTCCTCATTCCACAACTAGTTGCTGCAGGGAGAAAGTCTACAGTACCTTCACGGATGGTGATTGTGTCCAGTGGTGTCCTCTACTGGCTTACGCCCGCGAAAGAGATCGAGACTTCCTTGAAACCACTTGAAACGCTGGGCAGCGAAGAGTGGTGTATCCCCAAGTAAGCGAATAAATAAAACTTCACATTTATATGAATATCCCTTACTTGATATCTCTCAGCCACATGCAATCCCGGTATTCTGAATCAAAGCGTATGTTCCTCCTATTTTCTCTGCCGACTCCAGCCTGACAAACTCGACCAGTATTGAACCTCTTCTTCGTTCGTGCTTTGACGGACAGGTTACGATCCGTCACACCACTCAGTACCATAGCCGTGACTCCAGGATTCTGTTATTCACAACTACGGCGCGTCTGGTACGAGAAACCGACCTTTTCATTTGTCAAAATAGTGCTCGCTATTCATGAGCGTCTTCTGGCGTGGACGGCTGAACAAGGCAGCCGCCAGCTTATATTTGCTGCGGTGGGCGGACGAGACGATGAAGAGAATATGAAAGGCGGGTTTGTAAGCCGTGGTCGCCTCGTGGAGGTTGCCGATTTTGTGCTGAGCGACGAGGGTCATAGAATGCAGGACACTGTTTGGGTAGGAGTCCAAGTCTGCCTTCCATCCATGACACTGACCTTTTCTCTCAGAATGAAACGATAGACATTCTGAGCGGCGTTTCCGACAAGATTTCTCCAATAGTCCGGGATTATCTAGTAGTACCTGACTCGTCCATAAACTGATGGCATGTGTATCAGTTGTGCGCCTTTCGCTATCTTGAGTGTTCCTTTTATATTGTCTGCTCTGGTGATTTTGTCTCCTGAATGCCAGAAATATCAACCGTCGAGCTCGAGAAATATTCAGATCGAGGAGTTACGGGGTGTCAATTTGTAGTCCAGGAACTAATTCCCGCTACCTTTGTAGTGGGTCTCCTACCTCACTGATTTCAATGATCGCACAGCACTGACGAAGAATGCTAGCGGCCAGTGCACGTGAACTTCTCGCATCATGCCATGAAATCTCGACGTGGCACAGTATCGGGCGCAGTGCGGTTTCATGTATTCATCCTGCAACTTGGCACATGTCCTTTTGAGGCTGAAATTACCCTCCAGCCACTTGTAGGCCTCAACCTCACCGCGGCCCTGCAGCTTGTCCTTGAATTCGTGGGATCGCTGAGTACTCGCTGTATCATTTCTCTCGCACTGGAAGGCCTTTGGTATACCAGTACTGCATTTTGTTTCAGCTCCCACAGTATGTATTAAATCTGATCTCGCTCTATTTTGCACTCAATGCGAGACCTTTCACAGCGAGATGGGACAGTGATCATCTTGCACCACTAACTTAGTGTTTCAAGGTGCGTTGCAGCCTTGTACTCCAGGCCGCTCTCTCCGACCCTTACTTCTCAACAAACAGCCTTGGGAACAGATTCTGCAGCGGGGCATCATGTTTCGCCTTGATGGGGCCGTCAAGCTCCACCGGGCTGTATTATTCTTCAGTTCACCCGGTCATTCAAGACGATCCTCGTCTCTGAACAATCTTGCAAACAGCCTTCGAGATAGATTTCGGAAGCGGGGAATCATCTCTGACCTTGATGAGGCCATCTAGCTCCTTCGGGCTGCATTGCTCCTCAGTCCACCCGCAGGCTCATTGATGATTCAGGGAGATTGGACTGCACGCGCGCTGCGGCAGCGCTGCACAAGGCCGTGAAATTGTTGCGCAAGAAGAATGTTTCATTAGAACAGCAGATTGTATTTGTCCACATCGGTGTGTAGTTAAAGACTCGGTTTGCTACATTATTCCATTTTCTGTACATATTTCTAATTGTTTTCATTCCCTCTCTTTCTTGTTGCTCTGCATGATACTTTGGTGTTGTTTTGTACTGTACTAGAGCCATACACAGCGTCCTGTTGACTCAATCTGATTTACTTCTACATACATCTGGTGGGACCAGGTGGGTTGGAATGACGCGGCTGCAATTGGACTTTATGTAATTTGGCGCGCGAACCAACCATCTACACGTCCATTTCATATTCAGATTGATATCATTTATTTCTTCTAATCTACTTGATGCACGTAGTGCAAGGGGGTTTACACTCAATAGCGTGGCCCTCCGCACCACCTCAAGGAACCCCTCCCTTATTTGCACGATTGGAGTCGACGTCCATCTTCCAGGAGATACGCCTCGTTCATTTTTCATGGTTCCCTCATCGTATGTCTTTTCATCCGCTTTCTTTCACAATTGACTAGACAATCACTCTGCACCCCGTTCCATCGTCCCTACCTCGAGCACGACCCCTCTCCCTCGCCCAATCCCGCACTTGGGGCATTCACATGTTTACTGCAGAGTTCCGCTCCCATGCTATTTTTCTGTCTCAAACCACACCAGTGCAAATAATCATGTCCTCGACCAAAATATGATCCCATCACCCTCCCTACACGATGGACCTGCTAGTCTGACCTATAATGGATATTTCTCTTTTACAGGATTCAGTTTGATAACTCTCGGCGGTGGATGGCAACAGTTACGACTTCATGGATACTCCGTCCGTCAATCATCACATTGCTGAACGGGCATATAGTTATTTGAATTCTGGCTTCTGAAGTTGATGTTCTTTTCTTATTCCTCAGTACAGCCAAAATCATCCACCCCCACGGTACTGTAAGCTCATTCGGACGAGTCATATATAACTATTCAACTTGTCTTTGCGCGCTCTCTTCAACGATGTAAACATTGTTTGCATTGCCATTACCTTGCGAAATATACCCTATTATACATTTTGTCTTTGTGTGCTAACTGAGTAGTGCGATACAAGTCTAGGAGCAGCAATTACTATAAGACTCGCTCAACTTTGGCGGGCTACTTTCCCTCAAAACTGTTCATGACATTGTTTACTCAGCACAGATTGTTCCGCTAGTCCTGGTTAGTGATTTTGATTTTCAGCGCTTAGTGCAACAGTATCAGGCTACTATCAGCGTCTATCACGCCGATTCTAACCGTTGACAGTGGAAATACATGTGCAGCAGGACCTGAACCCTGAACCCTGGACCCGAGTCTCTCTCTCAGCCGAACTCCATCCGCAGTTTCCATAACCCCCATCTTCCTCTTTCACTCATTTCGTCCACCACTCAGTCTGTCCTCAATCCTCATCATTTCACTCCATCGCACTGCCATGTCTGGTAGCTCAGAAACCCGATATATCAGACTTGAAGGCGAGTTCATCTGTGTTACCCTCTTATCTGTTCATGATCCTCACACTCTATCTACAGTCATCAGCGGAAAGAATCTTCAAGTCCCTTCTGGGCGCATTCCCGCTGGAATTTACATATCCGTCAAGGTCGACTCAAGGAGATGCTGGAAATCGGCCATCAGTGTCTTATCATCTGGTGAATCTGTAGCTTGGGGGAATACTGTAACTCTGTAAAGTCCATGGTGCCTTTCTAGCCTGATCCGAGAATTGATTTTTTTTTGTTTATAGATCATCACACACCTCACCTACGTTGTCATTGGCGATCAGGGCATCCTATGAGCTTGGTCGAATGCTAGGCAGTGGAGAGGTCATTGGAGAACTTGAAATGTCGTGGGATGACCTACTCGACTATGGAGATGAGCCATTCAGTGAGAGATTCGCTTCTCATTCATACACGTGTACTAACTTCTTGTAGATCTACCCTTCCCACCCATGCCCGATGTCCAACCTTCCATCGCACTGAAGGTTGCCGTTGTGCATACTTGCGACGATCAAAATGGTGCACTGTCTGATGTGAGTAACGCTGGCCCCCGTTGTTAGCTTTTGCTGACAGAACACCTACTGCAGTCCCTTGTAGATTGCAAGATTGTTCGAGATACGGATGCGGGCCACCCGCGATTTGCCGAATATGTTAGACACAAAGGGCCTCTTACCTGAATGGTGCGATGTGGTATTTTCAGTTGGTTCTGGACCAGTGTCCGTTCAGCCATCCAGACCACATAACGGCTCTCACCAACCTTGCATATGCGCGCCTTCAAGGCTATATTCGCAAGCATCACCGAGACATCAACTCCACCATATGTCTCTTCCGTGATGCGCTTGCATTGCGTCCGCAGTGCCATCCGGACCATCCCTTATCTCTATACAATCTCATTGAAGCGCTGACTTGGCGCCACAACAAGAAAGGTACTGCTGCCGATATTAGCGAAGCCGCCCAACTCTATCATGAGCTACTCCCTCTCTGTCCAGAAGGCACCTACCTTCGTAGCATTGCGGCAGGGGAGAATGGTGTCGACTATGTAATCAACGGATGCAACAATCTTCCAACAGATGCATCTGATGAAGGCATCCACCTTCGAAGAGTCGTCCTCGAGCTCTGCCCTTCAGGCCATCAACTTCGTCCCAGTGCCCTCGACGAGCTTGCACAAGCAGTTGACGCACGCTTTGATCAGCATGGCAGTACCGATGATGTTGACACCAGCATACAACTTTGTCGTGAAGCTGTGTCTCTGTGCCCCGAGGGACATGTTGGCCGTGATGCCTACCTGAACAACTTGGCCGCCTTCCTCATGTCCCGTTTCAATCACCAAGGAAAACCTAACGACCTGGATGAGAGCATCTCTTTGCACGAAGAAGTGCTGCGCCTGTGCCCTGTTGGGCACATATATCGTGATTGCACATTGGACAACCTAGGGGGCGCCCTCCTCACCCGTTTCAGAAAATGCAACAATATCGATGACATCACTCGAGCTAGCAGCCTCTATCGCGAGGCACTGAAGTTGCGCCCACTTGGGCATCCATATCGAGACACCACGCTTAGCAACCTTGCCCTCGCCCTGCAAACCAGATATGACAATTCTCATGTTGGCGAGGAAATTAACGATGCCATTGACCAGTATCGCGAATGTCTTCGATTACAGCAGCTTGACCATCCAACGCGCCATAGAACTCTTTTCAATTTGAGCTCGGCGCTCTGCTCTCGTTTCACGCAAACCCAGAAGAACAAGGATGTCGAGGAGGCCATCACTCTTTGTCAAGAGTCATTGGCAGGTCTGTCTTCACTGCACCCGGACAGGTATTTCAGCTACATGTGGCTGCAGGAAGCCTATTTGTCTCGTTATCGGATTCTACACGATGCTGTTGATTTGTCGCTTGCAGTGGAGAACTTCAGACTTGCATCGCGGCACCCCACTCAAGGATTCCCGGGCCGCATTATTACAACATACAATTGGACTGTTGCAGCGGAGAAACATGGTCATGGATCTGCAATTGAGGCCTACTCCACATTTTTCGAGCTCATGGATGCTCATTTGGCAACTGCGATCTCTGGCAATTTCACTGGCGCGAAGCTGCTGCTGCCTTCAAAGATATCAGATCACTGCCAGTAGATGCAGCATCATCCGCCATCCGCCATGACAACCCACTGGCAGGCAGTCGAGCTCGCAGAGCAGGGTCGCGGCCAACAGTGGTCACTAGCATCTCGACTCAGGACTCCAGTTGAAGAACTTGAGTCAGCAAATCCTGACACTAGCGCACAATTATATAGAGCTAAGCAAGCGCGTTTCCAATGCAGCCCAGAGTTCAGCGACTATCGCCGACAGCGCTGCCGCTGATCGGGCAGCAACAGAGTATAGGAGACTTACAAGGCAATGGGAAGGTGCGGTAGCTGAGATACGTGATCTTCGGGCGTTTTCGCGGTTCCTACTCCCACCTTTGTACGAAGACCTGCAAGCGGCAGCGCGTCAGGGCCCGGTCATCATCCTCATTGCTAGTCAGTACTCGTGCAGCGCCATCATTGTGCCGACATCAGGAGGGCCCCATCATGTTCCCTTGCCTTCCGTCACTCTCGTGGATCTGACCAATCTCAAGGATCGCTTCGCCAGAGCAATACGACACGCATCCACCCTGGGCTCAAAAGTGCCGCGGAACGATCTAATAGTCCTCTTGCGGACAGTATGGGACGAGATTGTGCTGCCCATTGTCAACGTCCTCCAGCGTGTTTTGAAATTAAAATTTCTCTCTCGAATTTGGCTGTGTCCAACTGCAGCTTTCACGTCTATTCCTCTCCATGCAGCTCATCCATTTCGAACGAATCCAGATCGTTCTAGGGAGCCATGCTTGGAGGATCTCTACATCTGCTCTTACACACCGACACTCTCAGCTCTGGTCGGATCTAGACAGTTGATGAAGAAGCGCGTCACTCCATCATTCGTGACAATCGGACAAGGTCAGCCAGGTGCAGGGAAAGGCAAGGCGCTCTTGGCTGTCGAGAGTGAGCTCGAGCTCGTCCATAAGCTCGTTCCCGCAGGTGCCAACCACACCACTATTTCTCGCGATGCAGCCACGCGAGCAGGCGCACTCGAAGCTTTGCAGCAGAACACCTGGGTGCACCTAGCTTGTCATGGCAAGCAGGACCCTGCGCAGCCTTACAATTCACATTTCGTCATGAGAGACGAGGATCTGACACTGCTCGATATCATGGAAAGAGACATTCCGCACGCTGAGTTCGCATTCTTATCAGCGTGTCATACCGCCGTGGGCGATGAGGAAACGCCCGACGAAGTGATTCACCTTGCAGCTGGCCTCCAGTTTTCAGGGTTCAAGAGCGTTATTGGCACACTATGGCAGGTCGACGACGCTGTCGCCAAATACGTTGTTGAAGCCTTCTACACGAGCATGTTTGAACATTTGAAGGATGGTGGTGTGATGGACTGCACGAAGGCAGCCTGGGCACTGAATCGTGCTACACACACCGTGAAGACGAAAGTGCCGCTCGAGCAGAGGATGGTTTTCATTCATATCGGTGTGTAGTTCTATGTGGTATTGCTGTCGTCTGATACATATTCATAAGTTGTTCATCTTTCATTCTGTTGTAAAAATTCTTGTGGCCTATCTCGTTTTCGTATACTCTGTCATGTTTTTGGCGATTAGAATGTTCACCAAAGTCCTTATGCACTTGACTTGTTTGCAGCCTCGTCCTCTCCTTGAGTACTTAGATAGTTGGAGCCGGGGCCTGTCAAGCTAACTCACGCCTTCTAGTCATACCTTTCAATCGGTCAGGACTTTCTGCATCACAGAATATTAGCTAACTACTGTCAAGCTAGAAGTAGGACTCTTCCAACTCGATTTATGCACCCGTTGAAGTCGGTAGTTTCATCGACCCCGGATAGCTGCTCTGACTTATGGTCCACCTGTCATAAGGCACTGCTTGTTGCATCCGCTTCGACATGAATGCTAATCTGCCAATAAGGCATGCACTTAGTATATGACGACAAACAATATTCAATCTTCCATGGCAATACTTGTGAAGGGTTCGACCATATACCCCTCCTCGATCTACTCATCCTCAAGACCTCCTGTTGACGTTATAATGAAGGTGTAATTTTTCTTTGCGATGGCCGCATCCAATGATGGACCATCACTGCTTTATCTCCATCTCACTACATATGGACATGTGATCATGCGCTTCCCACTAGGCAAATGCGTAACGTCAAGTAGCTGGCATAGCCTCGCATCGTCTTCTGGGGAGTTACTACTGCTGACGTCTTTTTCATCTCAGCAGCAGGAGAAGATATGGATAAATCTCACTCATACTTCATGCTTTCAAGCCATTCTCATGTTATGAAGCATCTCAGATAAATTCAAAGGTCTTCAAATGTTCGCCTACAATACCCATTGTACAAGTAGCATTTAAATCTATACAGAAACAGCTGCGCTGACTGACCCCTAACTGCCCAATCAACTTCCAACCATGATACCCAAGCTCAAGATAATTCACTGCGGTGATGCACTGCTCTGGCCGCTACGGAAGATCGCATCGTTTTTTGCCACTCTAAATGTTAGTACAAGGAGTCAGTCATGCCATTGCTGAATCCTGGATACAAAAACACTATCATACTCACAGGCGTTGCTGTACATTTCATACTGCAACATTGCTCGGCCACCTCGCAGGGTAAGTGTTCATCAATGCAATCAGCACTGATGGCCGTAGACACTGTCAAAGCAACGATCATGGTGAGGAAGGAGAAACGCATTGTTGTGCAAGGTGATGAATCTGCTAGAGTATTCTCGAATAATAACTCTGGGGATGGGAAGACACAATAAAAAGACTACTTGCTTTTATATACCGAGTGTAGTAATGGAGGACACAGCTTCCGACCGGTCGGGTTGGAAGAATGCTCATTGCTATTGAATGGCACAAATTTAGGCAGAAGCTGTAAGCTAAAAGCCACTTCATATTCCGTGATGGCGTGGCTGAAACGTTACTTCTCAGTGAGCGGATAGTGTAATGTCCGCTGATGCTCCGTCGCGTCCGAGTTGAAGTGCGATTTAAAATCGCAAAAACTTCATCCTCAACGGAATCACCGCCTTAAATCGGGGAATGAGTAAGCTCTCATACGAAAAATACGTAGCCTAGCGGGGTGACTCACACGTTGTATGACCTCGAGGGAGTACCTGGATTGTTTTGCGTTCTTTGACGCACGGCGGAGTTTAACGATAATCTTGGTTGAATGGATGACTGGCTACCGGATTCTAGAAATTAATAAAGTGTCAAGAGTTTACCCGACGAAGTGGTTAACTCGTTCGTGGATGAATTTAGCCGATGTGTATATACTGCGTGCCAGTGTTCCAGATAGTTGACAGTCATGCACGGATGATACTAGACATGAAACAAACTCTCAGCCTCCTACAGGCTAGCCGCTATATCAATAACTCACCTGCTGTGTAAATTGGACGGACGAATTAGGATGCGAGAAATCATCGATGGTATAGCAAAGATACATTACAACTAAATTATCTATGTGCTGCGTCCATTAATAACTGCCATCGATGGAAGGAGACATGCAGCAGAGAAACAAACGCACCATTTTGTGTTCTTGACACGTTTCGCTAGCCCGTTCCTGCGGCTGAGCGACACACAGTGCCTGAAGATGAAACTTGAGATACCAACCATCGAGAATGTGTCAAAAAGGACGCACCTTCTTGTCATGGAATATTACTAGTACTTGCAAACAATTCTCAGGCTGCCCCCAGCGCTACACGTGATGTAGACGCGGCCGGTAATTGCCAGTGGGGAGGATCTCAAACGACATTAGAATTAAAGTCCACCTCACGATTGTTCGACCTCCAGTAAAATGTCGGAACCCATTCCAATCACTATACCCCTGCGAGAGTTCAAAGGTCATGAAAATGAAGTAAATGCAGTCACAGTGTTCCCCGATAATCGACGGATGGTTACGTGCTCCTATGACAAGACACTTCGTCTGTGGGACTTGAAGACAGGTGCTGTGTTGCAGAAGATGGAGGGGCATCGTGGTTGGGTGTTGAAATTGGTGGTATCACGAGATGGGCAATTAATAGCAAGTGGTGATACAGACGGAGTGTTCATCGTTTGGCACGGAGAAACTGGCGAATCTCTCACCCAACCTATCGAAGCTCACTCCTATCAGCCCATCTACTCGCTAGATTTTTCTCCTGATGGAACAGTGCTGGCTACTGGTTCATGGGACAACGCAACGAAGCTGTGGAACACCAAAACTTGGAAGCAACAAGGAGATTCAATCAAGTGTCGTAGAACTATCAACTGCATACAGTATTCGCCGTCTGGAGAACGTCTTGCCATCGCTACAAACGACAAGATCGAAATATATAATCCAGACACGACGGGACACGTCGCATCCTTCAAGGCCCACACATTATGGAACTTGTTCCTCGCGTGGACGCCCGATAGCGCACGGATCCTCACAGGTGGCGATAATTCTGATCCTACCATACGCGAATGGGATACAACAACCTGGAAACAGGTTGGTGATCCCTGGACCGGTCACACTCACTACATCTATTCCATCGCTGTCAATGCTACTGGCACACTTGTCGCATCATCATCTTTTGACAACCACATTCGTCTCTGGCGGCTCTCAGATCAACGAAACATTGCTACCTTCAAGCACTCCTCCATTGTTAAATGTGTCACTTTCTCCTTGGATGGCAACTACATCCTCAGCGGAGGTGTTGATAGGGTGATCTCGGAGTGGGCACTACCTCAGGGTTCCAATTCAAAGGCATGTTTCCATCCTTGACTCGCGTACCACAATTCGAGCATGTCTCGTGAAGAACATGATAGCCTGCGATGCATACATAGATGGAGATTTATCTACTGCCAAAGAACTACTTACGCAAGATACCAACACCAATCCAAACAACCATACTTCCTACGCCCATCACTCAAAGGCATGTTTCCGTCCTTGACTCGCATACTGAAATTGAGCATATTTTGCGCAGATCCTAGTCATCACGACAGCCCGCGATTCATGCATAGATGGAGACTTAACTACTGCCGAAGCACTACTCACGCAAGATATCGACAGAGATCCGAACAACCATACATCCTACGCCCATCGCTCATTTGTTATGGCCCGAAAATACAATTGGGGCGACGCCCTTCAGGATGCAATCAAAGTGAGTCATACGCGCTGATCATGGCTCCCTTACAAGGCTAACTCGATAGTGACGAAGTCCATCAGCATTCAGCCCTCATTGACAGGGTATATTTCCAAGGCTATCGCCCTCTGTGGACAAGGCCATATCCTGGACGCGAGGCCAGCATTTGATGTTGCATCAATTTACACGGACCAAGATTCGCAAACCATTTATTTCCTGCTCTTGATCAAAGTATGTTAATTTGCCTCCCATACTCTCCGTTTCATTGCGTATTTCAGGCCATCGCCTTTTTCAATGCAGATCAACATGACGAGGCAAACCTGCTCCTCAAAGAACTTGCTGCTGGTTGTCCGAATGCCGATACTCGCGCATGTCATATCGTGGAAGTCAGTATCAGGCAGCCACGCTGGCTCATCAACACTAATCTTTACAACTCGCACATTAGGCATATATATGTGTTCAACTCGGAATTAAAGCCTTAGATGGTGCACGCTACGAAGAAGCTGCTGACCATTTCACTGCCGCTCTCAACTCCAGCGCTTTATCATCGAAATCGGACATTCACGAAGTGTACCAGGATTTGGTGGTGGTACGTTAATACGCATTTGAGGCATTTTTAATAAACAGTCTCTTGTCCAGCTCTTCGGCTGGGATCTCAAATCGTTATGGCTCACTGCACACCAGAAATGTTGTCATGCACTTCTTCGGGCAGGTAAACTCCAAGATGCCGTGAAATCATACCAATATATGATGGCTTCGAGTGACGAAAACACCAAGACAGACTGTCTTGACTGGTCCAATGGCAAGTCTGGAGTTTGTAATGTCACACAGGCTACAATTCTCACCTGCATTTAATCAGCTTTCACAGAAGAATGCAGCGCGCTCTGCATTACCAAAGGAGATGCTGCCCTCGCTGCAAGCAAATATGACAGGGCTATTGACCTATACTCGGCATCGATTGGCCTGGATTCTGCATCCGATGTCGTCTTTATAAATCGTAGCAAGGCAAAGTTGGGAAAAATGTCATGGGAGGATGCGCTTCTCGATGCTCAAAAGGTGCGATGACATCTATGTTTTCCTAGTCCATGTTGACCTCAGCAATGCATAGGTTACCGAACTCAATCCTTCGTCTCATGTTGGATACCAGTTAGCACATACAGCGCTGCATGGCGCGCAACGTTATGACGAAGCTATCAAGGCCTTCACAATCATGTTGTCCAAATTGGACGATGCTCCCGAAGTGCAATTACGAAGTAAGCCATAAAACACTCCTGTGTAATCTCGATATGCCTATCTCATCTTGTAGATCTGCGTCAGCAGTATGTCTGTCCATCTGAAACAGAAGACGCTATTCGAAGAGCAGTTTGGATTGAACTCGAAAATGCTCCCCTTCGTCTGCTCAACACCTCTACGGGTCTTTTGTGTGACCGAGCAGCACAGCTAAACTCCTTCAAAATGAGTCTAGAGTACAACGAGCTTATTTCATTTCTCACAAATGATTCAAACCTGCGAATAGAGCGTATCAAAGACGTAGTAGCGACATACTTCCGCTGCGTTCTGCTATCACACAGGTGGGAAGAGACAGAGGTACTGCTGGACGACATTCAGAACAAAGATTTGCGCGAGTTGGATGGAATTGACGGCATCGCGAAGTTGCAGTCGTTCTGCAAAGTCGCTCGTGATGCTGGGTATCGCTGGGCATGGATGGACACATGCTGCATCGACAAGAAGAGCAATACCGAGCTTCAAGAATCGGTCAACTCCATGTTCGTCTGGTACCGCCACTCAGCGCTTACCATTGTCTACTTATGCGATGTCCCTCCTTTATCTCAGCCCGGTGCACTGGAAAGGAGTGTTTGGAACAAGCGAGGATGGACCTTTCAAGAATTCGTCGCTCCGAAAGTTGTTATCTTTTATCAGAATGATTGGTCATTATATCTCGACGATCGCTCTACCAACCACAAAGAGTCCCCTACAATCATGAAGGAGTTGGAGGATGCGATGGGTATAGATGCACGGGCCCTAGTGACCTTCTGTCCAGGGATGAGCGACGCCCGACAAAGACTTCAATGGGCCTCATCACGTGTCACTACATTGCAAGAAGACATCGCGTACTCGTTGTTTGGCATTTTCAGTGTCCACTTACCTGTAATCTATGGCGAGAAGAAGCAGAACGCGCTTGGGCGGCTTCTGCAGGAGATCGTGGCTCGGTCGGGCGACATCACTGTCCTCGACTGGATCGGACAACCTTCCGAGTTCAATAGCTGTCTTCCAGCCTATATTACCTCTTACGCCACTCCTCCACGCACCCTTCCATCTTTGTCTGAATATCAGATTCAGACAACTATCTCTTCACTGCGAACAAATTCCGTGGCTGTGGATTTGGCTTCGAAACTTTACGACCAACTTGATAACACGAGCGCTGCTCGGTTTGCGAACTGCAGACTACATCTTCCTTGCATGGTATTCCGTGTTACAGAAGTCAGTCTGGGCTACGATTCATCACAGGATACTCGATATGAAGTCAAAGCAGACGGGCTTCATGACCTGCTGATCACCACCAAAGAACCGATTCTTCAGCTCTCGCGGATGAGGCCTACCCAGCAAACCTTCATACTTGTCCGTCCCTGTAACCGGTCTCTCCTCGAGCTACCAGACTTTGCAGATCTACAAGACGATACAGAGAGCGAAGGGGATTACTTGACGCCACCTTCTTCTCCGTCAGACGACTTACCTAGCCCTTCTCTTGTAAAACAGGAGGTGGATGATTTAGAATCGCGAGCATTGCGATTGCTTGTTCAACTTGGGCAGCCTTTTAGCGCCTTTTTGCTAGCGCGACAGCGTGGCGGAGAATACAAGAGGGTCGCTTCAGATCGGGATATCATTGCTCAGGTCAAAGATTTCGCTTCTGCTCGAGATCTGATGGACTCCAGGACGATAGAAATACTGTAGGTTCAAATTTTTCCCAAAAAATCAGCCTAGGATCTGGGCGGCTTTCATTGGCACTTCGTATATATTCGAGAGTCATAGACATGCATGTGTAGCGGACTAACGATATTTTCCTTTCGAGGCGCGCCATCATGGACATGTCTGCGCTGCTGCAACTTGACCATTTCTGTGTCGGTTAGTGTCAATTGATACTTATCAAGTGGACCGCTGTTTCATGCCACTACGTATAGCTTATATATGTCATGAGGTCTGCTCTAGTTCGATCAACCTAGACTCGTGACCAATCTGTGATGTCTAAACCGTCGATAGATGGGCTTGTATGATAGCGCGAAATGCTCCATGCCGTGTCATGTCGCTAACGTCTAAGTTAGGCCAAAGAGCAATTTGATCTTTGTTACAGTTGATTGCAATAATATCCCGGATGACCCGCATATTCATGAGGTCTAGAATCATGTGCACTGCGCAAGTTCGATGCAGAAGTTCCGCAGCATATTTCTGGAGCCCACTAGCTCAGGTACTATTGCTGCCCCTTCCTTGATTTTACGAATGAGTGAATTTACATATTCCATCGACAGATCCAGCGCTGGCTCAACGTCATGAATCTAATGTTGCTACCCCTTTAAATACAGCCAGCGACTGTACTACATCTCCATTCTGCTTTGCTGGGTCTTTTCTATAACACCCTCACACGAAAGTCATACCGCAGCTACAAACGTCCAATCTCATATACCATGCCTCCCTATCCCAGTGCGCATCACTGCAAATGCGGCAAGTCGACGAAGAGAGCCGCACAACTTGGTTACTGCCCCAAATGTTCCGAAACTTGCGAGGGAAGAGGGTCAGCGACTACAAAGGGAGGCGTGACGCAGGCTATCACCCACAAGAAATGGGTGAAATACAAGACAGAGTCATGTTCTGCTTGCGCGGCCGCTAGACAGGCCATTGAGAGTAAGAAATAAGGAGGAATTGGTACGCTCAAAACAAACATCATTGTCATCGGTTCTACATCATGCATACTTTCCTACAGGACGTACAGCATATCTGTTTTGAAACTGGTCTGGAATTTTGGAGAGGAAGATGTTGGGGGATAGTTTATGGTGACTCTCCGTCTTGAATATGCTGAATGTGTGTTGCTTTCCGCTTGAGTTCTGCTCAAGAATATTATCAGTAGTGGTAACAGCAGTTGGCGATACCTGTGTGACTGTTAACATGTTCCAATCAAAACCAGGACATTATCTGAAAATTCCACGACGACCTCAGAAAAATCATCCTCTGGCACAATAGCGACAGCCAACTCACCATCAGATGGTTAGCTGGGCATATAGGTTTGATGATAAGACTTATATATACTAGGTGCATTTTGCGTCTGAATGGAGTACAGCTATGTTCTCAGAAATGACTGAACATTTCTGGCGCCGACACTGAGTTGCACATCGCCTACCAGTGCCACCTGTGAATTGGGTGATCGAATACGCCCAACTTGACATAGACGGGCTGCATAAATCCTGGATGAAGCCGCGACGCCTTTGACGGGTCCTCGATGTCGTAGAAGTGTATATGATCATCTGTCGAGAGAACTGTAACACAAGAAAACGGATGTCCAGTAACTCATTGCAACAAGTCCTGTTAAACGCTCAATCGAACCGACAGCGAAAGACAGGAGACACCCACGTCAAGGTTATTGCCAACTCAGGACGTGCATCGACTAGCACGGGTCTGTATTTTTGTCAAACCTAGGCTCATCATGATCCGACGGTGGTGTGTTCGTGTTTTGAGCCGCATAGCCTTTGCATGTAAATAATTACATAATTAATTAGGTACGGAGTCTGGCCTGCGGGGCTTCAAGTGAGCTTGAATCCCAAACTGAATGAACTGAGCAGCTACATTATGATATCAGTTCTTCGTGCAAAGTTTCCCACACCTTTTGACATACTGCGCCATTGCCAGTGCTAGTGATCACGAAGAACTCTTTCCAATCCAATCTCTTGTAGCATGGGCGATATCGATGATGACCGAATGTCTACATTTTCCTACGACGGAGACGGCGAACCGGATTCCTTTAACCTCGCTGAATTGCAGTCAGTCGTTGATCTTTATTTCTTGACGAGCTGCAAGCTGGAGAAACTGGCTGAAGGAGGTTATCACAAGGTCTGTCTGGCCTTACACGGCACAGATCATGTCTGATATTCTTTATAGATATATGATATCTTGCGTTCGGATGGCGCTCCTCTTGATGCTGTCGTTCGAGTGGCTTCTCCTGCGTTTCCAAAAGACAAACTTGAGTCGGAGGTAGCTAAGAATACACGTTGTGTTATTCATATCGGTATTGAAGACTTTACGTTCGTTTGAAAGGTCGCGACGTGCAAGATGATCGCTGCGTTCACAAATATACCTGTTCCGCGAATCCATGCATGGAACTCTGATGCGTCGAATCCTGTTGGAGCGGAATACATGATCTTGGATAAAGTAAGTCGCCAAATCTAACGTGTTCCATCTGGAATGTTTAACTCATAGATGGCGCACTAAAGATTAAAGGGTCCCCTGCTAGCCATAGCTGGGGGAATCTCTCCGAAGAAATCAAGAAGACTGTGGTGTTGCAGGTCGCACGCTATTTCTTGGAGATATTCGCTCTTCGATTTGAAAGCGCAGGATCTCTCTACTTGAGCCCTTCTTCACCTCAATTCTTCGTTGGACCAATAATCAGCACACCATTCTACCGTGCTCTCGATGGCGTTGTTCGAGTTCCCGAAGCGCCCATCTCAAAAAACGTCGATCCTAACAGAGGTCCTTTCTCTACCGTAACTGAATATCTTTCGAGCAATCTACGAGCAGAACTGGAATTTATTTCCAATCACCGTTCGGTCGTTCTCTCGGAGCTTCACGAATGCGACCCTACTGAGTCAGCAGAGAGCCGACTTGAACTCGGGGAGCGCATGATCAGAAAAGCTATTGAGCTGTGCTCCGTCTATCCGGGTGATATGTTGATACCTCCCAACATCACCACTCCACAAAAACCATTCTCCTTGAAGCTGGACGACTTCCGTTTATCAAATGTTATGGTATGTCTATGCATACCCCCTTATGATGCCTATATTTAACGCGCATGTATGTGGCAGATCGATACTGATTCAGGTCGAGTGACTGGCTTCATCGACTTTGAAGCAGCCACCATTGCGCCTCTATGGGAATGCGCAGTGATCCCACGATGGCTTCAAGATGCGGATGACCCAGAATCCAGTTACGAAGGCGGAACCAGTGAAGAAAGAAACGTTTTGCGTGCTGTGTTTCTTTCGACAATGGAAGGGTCTGCCCGATACCCGGAGTGGAGAGAGGCGTATAACATGGGTCGTCCTTTCCGTCGGCTTACAGACCTGTTGTGCTTCCAGGTAAACGTTTGGGCTTCTGACGACCGTGAGATCTGGGTGGATGAACGTCGTGAATGGGCCAAAACCCACCCCGGAATAGGGTTGCTTGAAAACAGACTTGAACTACAATGACACCCCGTAACACCTCAATATGAATACTTGAGCTCAACCATTGATAATACTAGAGCTGCGACTGTACTATTTCCGGCATCAAGGAGACAATTACACAGAATAAGATGCATAAGGCGCACATGTACATGTCAGTTGATGGAGGAGTTGGGTACTACTAGATAATCCCGGACTATTGGAGCAATCTTGTCAGAAATGCCGTTCAGAATAGCTATCGTCTCATCCTGATAAAAGAAATGTTAGTCATAGATGATAAGCAAAACAGTGGACTTGGACTCTTACCCATACAGTGTCCTGCATTTTAGAGCCCTCGTCGCTCAGCACGAAGTCGGCGACCTCCACGAGGCGACCAAGGCTTACGAACCCGCCTTTCATATTCTCTTCGTTGTCTCGTCCGCCCACCGCAGCAAATATAAGCTGACGACTACCTTGTTCGGCCGTCCACGCTAGGAGACGCTCCCAAATAGCGAGTCCTATTCTGGTAAAGGAAAAGGCCGGTTTCTCGTACCAGGTGCGCCGTATTTGTGAATAACAGAGCCCTGGGTTCACAGCTACGGCACTGAGCGGTGTGATAGATTGCAACCTGTCCGTCAAGGCGCGAACGAAAAGGACATTCAACACTGGGTACGAGTCAGGTTAAAATGGGAAACCAAGACAGGGGGTACGTACGCTTCGACTCATTATACCGGGATCGCATGTGCCTGAGAGAGATTAAGTAAAAGAAATTCGGATGAAGATGAAGATTGATTTGTGTGCTCACTCAGGGATGCACCACTCTCTACTGCTCAGTATTTCAAGTGGTTTCGAGGACTCCTTGACCTCCTTTGCGGGGGTAATCCAGTAGTGAACTTCGCTCGACACAATTACCATCCGTGAAGGTGTTGAAGACTTTCTCCCCGCAGCAACTAGTTGTGGAACGAGGAGCAACGAAAGCAACGATGTTGCCAGGTAATTGACTTGTAGTCTGCCAGTGAAGGATGAGTGTGAGCCACAGCACTGGGCATAAAGATGAAATAGACGAACATGGACTCCCAGCCATCAGTGGTGGTTTGGTAATCGAAATGCGCGATTCCTGCGTTCATGACCAGGATATGCAAATCGCCGCCCTCCCTCTCGAATTTATCAGCGAATGCGGTCACTGATGCAAAGTTAGCAAGGTCGACTATCCAGAGCTCGCATCCATTGTATCCGGTCTCTCGTTCGATTTCTTCAGGTTCAGGAGATAGAAGTCAACCAAATTCATTCTGAACGGGTGTACGTACCAGCCAAAGCGACCTTCCCCTTGGCCTCGCTACGGCAGGCAATTATCAACCTCGCTGGTTGCATACGGGCAAAGTGTTTTGAAGCCTCGAGTCCAATGCCTACATTGGCGCCGACGACAAGTACTGTTTTTCCAGATAGATCAGCCTTCTCCACTGGGGGTACCACCGACCATTGATCGATCACAAAATCGACGTATGACTTCTTCATGATGATTGAGAAAGAAAGCTTGCGAATTCAAAAAGAATCCATTCGAACGACCTTTAATAGTATGCCGTTCGGGCCCCGGCACACTACGTCATGGATCAAATTACTCAGTTGAATGTATGATATGGATAAGGCAATGAATAGCGTTCCTAAGGATAGCTCCGTCATCAACACAGGTGTGTTCAAGACGCTAGCAAGCGCCAGTGCTTGAGCGCTTGAGCCATGAATCAACTGTAGGGATATGTATCAGTTCAGAATTAATGGTGGTATACGTACTATACGGTTCTTTGTCCATGAGATTATACCCCTCAGGCTTGAGTCAGTGGTACTACACCGAAAAGTACGGCGCCAAGCGGATAAGTACTTATCCGCAGTCCGGCGGCGAGTGGCGGACTTTCAAAAAGATCAAGTCAAAAATAAGTAAATCAGCTCAAGTACTCGATCGTGCCCTACTAGGCCTTCGCTGCATCGCGTCCAGCCTTGGCTTTGGCAGCCGCTTCAAGCTCAGCAAAAGTGCCACTCTTGAGGCATATCGTCCGGAAGATGCCATCTTCCTTCTGAATCTGTGTCGATTCTCGAACTCCGCAATCTAGCGCGGTCATGCATGAGCGTGAGCCCGCATAACCTATTGTAACATGCACCTTTCCTGCATCGAGCACAATAAGACGGTCGTAATCAATCACGGTGCGTAATCTGTGCGCGACTAAGAAAATATACATAAGCATGCCAGCCAACCTCTCAAAGTAAATCACTAACCAGTGAGCAACAAGGAATCCGTGAACTCCTCCCTGATCGTTTGGCGTCGGTATTAAAGTCAATGCTGCTTGTTGCCTCATCAAGCACAATAATCGAGCTCCGCCTAAGCAGTGCGCGTGCCATCGCGATGAGCTGCCGTTGACCCTGTGAGAAGTTTGTCCCGCCTGCAGACACCTGTGTATCGAGCGTCTATGTCAGTGACAGCCGTGAATACTTCTTGAGCTCGACCATTGGTGATACTAGAGATGCAAATGTACTATTCCGGCATCAAGGAGACAAGATGATAATTGGCAAGAGTCGGTATAAATTACACAGAACAAGATAGGAAAAGGCGCACATATACATGTCAATTGATGGACGAGTTAGGTACTACTAGATTATCCCGAACTATTGGAGCGATCTTGTCAGAAACGCCATTCAAAATATCTATCGTCTCATTCTGATAGAAAAAAAGTCAGAAATGTCAGTCTTAGATGATAGGCGAACCAGCGGGCTTAGACTCTTACCCAAATAGTGTCCTGCATTTTATGACCCTCATCGCTCAGCTCGAAATCGGAGAGCTCCACGAGGCGACCAAGGTTTACAAACCCGCCCTTCATATTCTCTTCATTGTCTCGTCCGCCCACCGCAGCAAATACAAGCTGACGGCTGCCTTGTTCGGCTGTCCACGCCAGGAGACGCTCCCAAATAGCGACCCCTATTCTGATAAGTGAAAAGGTCGATTTCTCGTACCAGACGCGCCGTAGTTGTGAATAACAGAACCCTGGGTTCACGGCTACGGCACTGAGTGGTGTGATGGATTGCAACCTGTCCGTCAAGGCGCGAACAAAAAGGACATTTAACACTGGGTATGTGTCAGTTTAAGAAACAAAGATAGGAGGTACGTACGCTTCGACTCATGATATCGATGTCGCATGTGCCTGAGAGAAGTTAAGTAAAAGAAATTCGTTTGAAGATCAAGTTTGGTTTGTTTGCTTACTCAGGGATGCACCACTCTTTGCTACTCAGTGTTTTAAGTGGTTTGGAGGAAGCCCCGAGCTCTTTCGTGGGCGTGACCCAGTAGTGGACTTCGCTGGACACAATTACCATCCGTGAAGGCGTCGAAGACTTTCTCCCCGCAGCAACTAGCTGTGGAATGAGGAGCAACGAAAGCAAAGATGTTGCCAGGTGATTGACTTGTAGTCTGCCAGTGAAGGGTGAGTATGAGCCACAACGCTGGGCACAACAATGAAATAGACCAACATGGACTCCCAGCCATCAGTGGTGGTTTGGTAATCGAAATGCGCAATCCCTGCGTTCATGACCAGGATATGCAAATCGCCGCCCTCCTTCTCGAATTTATCAGCGAATGCGGTCACTGATGCAAAGTTAGCAAGGTCGACTATCCAGAGTTCGCATCTATTGTATCCAGTCTCTCGTTCGATTTCTTCAAGTCCAGAAAACAGAAGTCAATCGTCTTACATCAAGTTCATTCTAAACGGGTGTACGTACCAGCCAAAGCGACCTTCCCCTTGGCCTCGCTACGGCAGGCAATTATCAACCGCGCTGGTTGCATACGGGCAAAGTGTTTTGAAGCCTCGAGTCCAATGCCTACATTGGCGCCGACGACAAGAACTGTTTTTCCAGATAGATCAGCCGTCTCCACTGGGGGTACCACCGACCATTGATCAATCACAAAATCGACGTATGACCTCTTCATGATTGGGAAAGCTTGCAAATTCAAAGAGGATTCCGAATTCGAACAACCTTTAATAGTATGCCGCCGTTCGAGCTTCGGCAGACCACGTCATGGCCTGGCAGTAGAGATCGCATTACTCAATTGATTGTATGATGTGGATAAGGCACTGAATAGCCTTCGTAACGATAGCTCCGTCATCAACACCTCATAAAGTATGCTGAAGACGCTAGCAAGCGCCAGTGCTTGAGCCATGAATCAACTGTAGGAATATGTGTCAGTTCAGAATTAATGGTGGTATATACGTACTATACGGCTCTTTGTCTTATACCCCTCAGGCCTCATTGGTTACTAGACCGCCGAAAAGTAACCGCCACAGCATGGGTGACTTCCTGCATCCTTATGTGCCGAGGAGCCGCTGTAAAGCGTAAGCAATTTTCAACTCGGCACGTCAAACGCACCCCCTTCCAGTTTCAGATTTCAATGTCTGCGACGATCGTTTAGTGGCGGGAAGTCAACCACTTATCCGCAGTGGCGGACGTTCAAATCACCAATTAGTAATCTTATAACTCCTTAATGGCACGTCCTTGAGCTCAAGATAAAGTCGTTTTGCATACAAAATAAGTAAATCAACTCGTGAGCCACTCAATCAAGTACTCTATCATGCCCCAGCCTTCCCTGCATCGCGTTCAGCCTTGGCTTTGGCAGCCGCTTCAAGCTCAGCAAAAGTGCCACTCTTGAGGCACATCGTCCGGAAGATGCCCTCTTCCTTCTGAATCAGATTCAAAGGTGTGTCGAACTCCGCAATCTAGCACAGTCATATATGAGCGTGAGTCCGCATAGCTATTGTAATACGCACCTTTCCTGCATCGAGCACAATAAGACGGTCGTAATCAATCACGGTGCGTAATCTGTGCGCGACTAGGAAAATATAAATATGCATGACATCAGCCAACCTCCCAAAGTAAATCACTAACCGGTGAGCAATAAGGAATCCGTGAACTCCTCCCTGATTGTCGCCTGGATTTTGGCGTCGGTATTAAAATCAATGCTGCTTGTTGCCTCATCAAGCACAATAATCGAGCTCCGCCTAAGCAGTGCGCGTGCCATCGCGATGAGTTGCCGTTGACCCTGCGAAAAGTTCGTCCCGCCTGCAGACACCTGGGTATCGAGTGTGATGGTCGTCTTGGAGTCTATGTCAGTGACAGCCGTCGACGCAGCAGAAGAGGCGACATCGTCAGACGTGGATGCACGAGATGGTGCACGGGAGGTATGTTGAGATTCGTAAGCACTTTGACTGAGCATTTGTACGCGGTACAGCACGTCCAAACATTCGCTATCTTCATGCTCATCTGAAAGGGATTCGGCATCTATGCACCACAACCATAAATGTTAACGCACTGAACGGATCAAGGTTATCCCTCAATGTGCCCGAGAACAGAGTTGCATCCTGTCGCTAGATAAATCTCATGTGAAGCGCGGCACCACTATACAGACTCACCTGAGGAATGAAAGTCTGACATACAAGTCAGCAACAGGGTACACAAGCAATATATTGGAAACTCACCAAACGAGAGCGAAGATCATGGACACCAATAGTAGAGATATCGATCCCGTCAATCAGGATACGACCACTGACAGGATCAACCTAACAGATCAACTTAGCAAACATAGACCATCCCAACGAGCATCACCTACAAAGCGAAGAACACTCATCGCCAAAGTTGACTTTCCACTACCTGTGCGCCCCAAAAGCCCAACTCGCTCCTTCGCATTCAGAGTAAAGGAAACGTCATGCAAGACAGGAGGGAGCTCAGGTGCATATTTGATGACCAGGTCCTCGACAGTTAGCAACCCTTCCTTCGTCGAGCTAGAAGGCCAATAAGCAGGAGGACGACTAGACTCGATGATGGCGGGAGGCTCTTGCGGCAAGTCGAGATATTCTACAACACGCTCGACGGAGCTGAAAGAGCGAGACGGATGCGCATGAGTATAAGAACATCATAAGTCATCTCCACATACTTTAGATCAAGTTCAAGTGCGGTCCAGAACCGACAGGCCCAATAAACACTTGTAGTAAAGGTCATGGCACTGGTGATACACACACCCGCGGTACCAGCTGTGACATAGCCTGATAGCGCAAGGAGAGTGGTGACCAACACAGCCAACCCACCGAGCGCATCAAAGTTCAACAAGAGCCATCTATTTGTCATCCAGAAATTGTACCACATCTGTCACGGCAACCGTCAGTATTATCGTACAGTAAGTTCGAATTCGAGTCTACCTTGGTGGTAACGTCGATTTTGTCGTGTAGATCGTCCAAAAAGCGCTGTTCAGCAGAGAAAGCCCGAACTGTAACAATTCCTTCCAGTAACTCGCCAAAGCCAGAGAAGATAGGCGACCGGGAATTAGACTCCATACGGCGAAGATCTCTGCCAGTCTTGAGATACCCAAGAGCTAGCATGCGATAGAAGAAACCTATGACCACAGCAGGGATAAGGAAAATCGGGAAGAAAATACTAGGAATCAATGTATCAGTATATGATTTGTCGAAATGTGAGCAGTGACTTACACAACAGTGATAATCGCAGCCGCGAATGTCGCCAATGAAGAGTTGACAGTTGATAGCGAGCCCGCAAGATTACTGTCAATGGTTTCGATATCCTAGAGACCGTCATGTATTAGTTGAAGACCCAAAACTACAGTGCGTTTAGTCTCACTTTGCCGAATCTATTGAGCATGCGGCCAGCCGGGGTGACATCATGCCAGCGCATCGTGGCGCGCACAACACCCGTCAATAGCTTGCGGAAAATAGACCTCGACGCTTTCAATGCTCCGTTGTATTGAATAGCAGTCGACAACACACTGACTGCCGCGGTGGCGAAGCCGATCAGCCCGTAGATACCAACGTAAAATAGCGGGTGTTCATGGACGTCAGGCAACGTGATAGGGCTGAAGGCAGAGGAATTGACATGGAAGTAGCTGTTCGAGTAGTATTGAGAGTCATGGTAGGGCACGTAGCCGTTCATCAGCGCCTCATTCTCGATCAATACTGAGGATGCCATGATGTATGGAGCTAACTGGGAGTCATCGTCATATGCCTGACCCCATTTCTATAACAAACATAAAGTGCCAATAATGAAAAAGAGGGAGTCGACTAACCCGAACCCAGAGCTTCTCAATAACACCTAAGCTCTGCGAACAAACAATGAGAATCCCGAGCATAAACCACGTCCAGTACGACCTGCCCGCAGTCAGCCTACGCAACACCTGGAATGTAACGAAACCCTTACGATGCCTGCAAGTACGCATTATAAATCGACCACTTGACACCTCCAGCCTCCCGGTGTTCGTCCTTAATGAGCTTCCGAGGCTTTTTCTTTGGTTCTGCGGGTGTGTCTGCCCCAGCATTGTCCTCCTGCGCTTCAACAGGGGTCTCAGTGGCCGCTACAGGCTCCTCTTCTTGGACTTCTGCAGCGGAATCCTGCGCAATGTGGTCCAGAATGCCCTGCGCACGAAGATCCTTTACAGTACCCTTGGTATCGATGCGACCATCTAGCATGCGGACGAGGTAATAAGTGCCAGGGAGCACGAGCTCTACGTGATGAGTGACTAAAATCTGCGAATGGATTCAACAATGCGGTGTATCATCATGAACTACAGACATACCACTGTACGGTTTGCCATCAATGGTCCGCGAAGGAGTCTCTCGTACAAGAACAGGGCAGTGTGACTGTCCTATTCGCAATATAAGCACGAGAGCAGTAGGTGAACAGACAGATAGCAACACTCACGACAGCACTCAATGGATCATCCAACAGGACATACTTCGTGCGAGCATACACAGCGCGAGCAAGCGCAACACTGAAGACCATGAGCATCCCGCACAAATATTGACGACCCATGCCTCACCGAGCTTTTTGGCCACCAGACAAGCTGACCCCCCTGGCGCCAATCTCAGTATCGTCTCCATCCTCCAACATATTCAAGTCCGGCAGCAGCGCACAGCATTCGATAACATCGTTGTATCTCTCCTCGTCAAAAGGTTGCCCAAATAGAATGTTGTCTTTGATGGACTGATGACGCAGCCATGGTGATTGAGCAGCGTATGAGATTGAGTGCATCAGCCCATTCTCGTCGATCTTCGACGTATTCTTCGAAATGGTCAATTTGCCGCTGACGGTAGTCATCTCGCCCAGCAGTGCCATCTAACCAAGCATCATATGAAATGTGGATTCAATGGAAGGAATATTACTCACGAGCAAGGCAGTTTTGCCACTCGCCGTCGGTCCAGTAATTACAGACAGTTCACCATCAGGAAACCGTATCGAAATATCCTTGAGCTCGAATCTATGATCTTCGGGCGACGAACGGATGGACTCGGATTCGGAATCAACGACCGTCGCAGCTTCGTCGCTCGAACTAGCACGGGAGTGGCTTTTGCCTTTCACTTTTGAGTTTTCCTCAGGTGTCTCGGGAACCTCATTCCACTTGAAGAATCCATTCTCGATTGAAAGAGTGTCATCCTCTTCGTTGTCATAGGGTGCGCGAGCCTTCTTGATGGAAGACACCTGCTCGTCGACTTCGTCCTCCTCAAGGTATTTCTCGATACGTTTTAACGCAACTCCAGTCTGAAGCCCGCTATCGGATACAACTCTCGAAGAATTAATGATACTATCATACCTGTAGTATTTGAACAATCCAAGCTGGGATAACACCCAATGGCTGACTGACGCCCGCATAAGCTAGAGCACGAGATAAACGTGACATTGACCACTCACCGAATCATGCTGAAAAGGGCGATTGACTGAAAAACTGCATCAGCAATTTCGCCTGATTTCCACAATCACCGAACTAACCGTGAATGCAACCGACACAGTCAGCTGGTTACCTTGGTACACGAAAGTGAAGAACGATATGAGCGACACTAAAATAGGAGCAAAAGTCCAGATCAGGGAAAACAACACTGAGTTGATCCGAGCTGGTGAAATGGCACGTTAGTCGACCTCCAAAAAATGACAGTACGGCTACTTACCCTTCACCATCCAATTCATCTCCACCCCCCGTGCATCCATAGTACGTTTGATCCAGCGGTCCTCCCACGCGAAGAATTTGATGAACTTGACAGCACCGATGAGCTCGTTAAGGACAGCCATGCGTTTGTCTCGCGAAGCAGAGACACCCTTATGAATGCGAACGCTGCGTTTAGTGACAAAGCTGTTCAGGGGCCAGCCGGCGAGAAGTACGACAAAGCCCGCAAATGCAGACAGACCCAGAAGACTGTAAAGATAAGGTGAGACACATGAATTAATTGACATGAATGCACTTCATTACTTGTAGAGGAAGGTCGTGGCAATGATAATTTCAAATGGAGCTAGTAACAGCAATAAATCAGTTGTCAGAAAAAGGATCACAAGTATAACTGACCTCCATAGATGAAATATGCGCCAGATACCATCATGGCAATCCTGTTTGCATCTACAGCCATCAAATTGACGATCTTCCCAACATCCGCGCCAGCTTTGGGGTCATCCGAGGTCGAATTCTCAACAGGCTTGATTCCCGCTTTTTTGTCTGCCGCCTCTTTGGCTTTGTCCTTGTCGATAATGCCTGAGTAGTCCTGACGCTTAAGAGCTTTGTCATAGATGGCAGCCATCAGCTCTACACGCATCCTTGTCGCTGCTCGCCGTCCGAACCACAGGTGTTGGACATCGGCTTCTGCCTGATACGACATAAGTGATAGCTCCCAAGTAGATGACTTATGTGCATACCTTTAGCAACGTGCACAAGAAGGCCAAGAAAGCGTATATATATGCTTGGGACCGGTTCTCTGTGGTAGATACATCGATAGCATCAAGGATACGCCTGACGATCATTGAGCTCAGTAGCAAATCAATAAAAAGCATTACTCACTTTAAAAGGAATGGTGAGGCATATGCGAATACGACGCTAACATAAGTCAGGCAGAAATCCAGTCTAACTCAAGCGTTGAGTGACGTTTTCAATAGAAGAGGGCAGGGAGACTCACATAAGATCCTGCGAGTTGGCGGCCCACAGACGGCGAAGGAGAGAAGAACGACTAAAATTTAACGTCAACAAGGGGTTACCTCATAGCATGATATATACGTACATGATGGTGCTGAACTTGATGAACACCGGACGGGATTGCTGGGTAGGACTAAGGTTCCACACGTCATCCTCGCTCAAGGTCGTGTTCGAGCCGCGAGTGATGAGTGGGTAGACCCATGAGAACGTTATCCATTTCCACATAGTGGTATAATCTTCAGGCGAGTATTTAACATACTATGATGCGGGTAAGAAGATATGAAAGTAAGCAATTAAAGAAGATAGTGGCCTACAATATCTTCCTTCTTGATACGGTTGCTCGGCAGCTCAAAGGGCATATTTCCTACGACAGTCACGAGCACCAGAATGGCGATGATATTGGAAATGAGGCCCAATAATGGGAGCTGAGGCAATGGGACACCAAAAACCTCATACTCATACAAAGTACCACCAATCAGAATGGTGCCAAAGACGAAGTGTAGCACAAATAGGGCGAAGAGATCGAAGTGGATAGTTGGCTTTGGCCAGAAGACAGGCTTGCAGGAGGCATATATCCAAGTGGCAGAAATGAGAAGTTGCGCGATACCCGGCCAAATATAGTCCTTATTCGTGAGGATGTTGTATGCACCGGCAGCAGACCAAACGAGAGCTTGGACCAAAGCGATAAATGAGAGTAGTACGGTGCGCCATAAAGGAACAGTATTGTCGATGACAAGGTCGCCTGTTTTTTCCCCTTGAGCGTCTAGAGCTTCGGCCTCGCGTAAGGTCAAAAAACTGCGGAAGGGCGATTCAATAGCGTTAGTAAGTGGACGAGCGAATTCAGGAATACGGGGTATGGAGAATAGACATAGCGCTAAAACGAGCGCAGCGGGTACAATCGCACTAAGGGAGGTGCGTACGCAGGCGTCTGAGAAATCAAGTGCATTGATGCCTGGGCACAACTGGGTCACCATTGCCCTACAGAAATGCTTTTGGACGTCCTATCCCGTGCGACTTTCTGAAGTGATAGTCGTAAAGGTGGTCAACGGCCGGTGGTGAGTGAACCTGTCGTCCGAATTCTAGACTCAACAGCAAGGAACACGCGTTCAAGAATCAAACCTACCTTCAGCGCTAAGCGGTTATTCAATAGAATACCATTACATAAACGTTTTAATATCAATACCGTGACGGATACGTACGTAAGTGGAACTATGCAACGGTGCGCAGTATCAACAACCCGCATCAGCGGCGCTCCTCCAACTTGCCGTGCGCAAAGGCCTCTCACAAAGCCGCAGCAGATACCGGTAAATAAGACCATCATCCTAGCTAGCACACATGAATTTATCTGCTTTCCAGGATGGTCCTTTCGCACTATGGATTTCTGTGGGTCCTTTGACAGTGCACGCGACACTTGCAACTGCCGCCGCAGTAATATCCTCTTTTATCCCAAATACCCATCACATCATGTGCTGGACAATAGTGCTATCCACATTACAGGTTATATTTTAATATAATATTATTATTAATCATTATCTTGATTATAATACGGGCTCGCGGAGGGGCTCTGCATACACCGTACAATCCAGTACATTACATTATTGTATGATTACATTATAGTATGACCTGTGTATTTAATCATAATCTTTAAACTTTGAATGGAGCAATCAGATTGACGTGGATAAGGTGAAAACTGTACAGCTGGAGCAGTAGTAGTTCCCACGCTCCACCGTGGTCAGCGCTCAGCGCAGAATTTAATATCTTTGCGCTTCTTGTTATCAGGGCAGCACAACTTCATGGCGCAATTGGGCGAGCAGCAAAAACAGCTTGCCCAATCACTTGCTGATCTTCATTCTGTTATAGCCGAACTCCCTGGTTCATTGCCAGAAGCAGCTGAGGATGGTCCGATTGGCCATCACTTACGTGATTTCAGCGTTGATGAAGATGAAGGTCCGTTTTACTCATTCAACCGTGCCTGGGAACGAGTGTTTCAGCACTCCGAGAATGAACGACAAAAACTGGTCATGCGAGGAAGACACGGTGTCATTCTCGCACACGATTTTGCTGTGCACTTTGCTGCACTACCGAACATCGAGCAACACGATGGACTCGTCTTGATGAACGAGCGCATCAAAGCACTTATCAAACTGCTTCACGACGTGTATGTAATTTCCTGTATCCTGCTCACTATTATCGCGAAGGAATGGTTAAAACGTGATTTTGGGAATGGTGTAAATTTTCTCGAGGGCGTGAACATCCATTAAATACAATTAAATATGGTTACATTACCATTACATTTCAATACAATACCTATATGATTAAATACTCTTGCTCGCTGGCCCGTAATATTATGAATACATTATATTATGCTCCTCAGAGTATTATAATCATAATTGGACAGCACTACTGGACAATGATGTTGACAGTGGACTGCCAGCTGAGAATACGATCCTGTCCAAAGATTCAAGTTCGTACCTGAAGCACGTGTCAAGGCCTCCGAGTCTTTTGTTCTGCTATCGGCTTACTTCCGATGTGCCCTCGTCACATCAAAATACGCTGATGGGATCCTTTCAGTGAATCTTATTTGCCTATTTTGGCACCGATTAGCTAATGTGAATTCTGTAAAAGGGATTCGTCTCAGATTCGTTGAAGACAAGCTTGCACCTCATTGTACCAATTGTACCACCTCGAGTCCCCGCTCGGCGCTCATCGCGGTGACATCAATACCAGATATCAATCGATTCCTCTCGATGGGGCTAACTCAAACTTCTATCGATAGGAGGCTTCTGCGAGCACTTACGTTCGGTGGTAAACCAGTTTCGCGTGTAGGAATGGTGTCGATGAGGAGCCTTTCCATGCCTTAAATCTTTAGAATTCTATGTGGGAGTTCAAGTTAGCGCTTGTCACGTTCATTTACTATAGCTCAGCTTGAGTCCAGCGTTGAATTCATCAGTTGGAATTTTCCCCCCTTAAGCTTCGCCAACGGATGACGACCCCAGCCAGCCGTATGTGCCACGCCAACGACTCGTTACAATACCAAACGTTCCCCCGGAGTGAGCATTTTTCATTGCAACGTCACAGTGCTTGTGAAGATTGGGGATTAACTGCCATCATTCAAGTTCTGATCAAGGCCATCTCACGCAGATCCTAGAGGTCCTCCAGAACCTCACAATTACCGAGGGAGCAAACGATGCGCATTCCAAATTCTGGGCAGCGTATAAAACTGAGTCTGGCCAGTATGATGACGACATGTTAGAGAGGTGTAATGGAAATATGGATATAGTCCTGATCTTCGTACGTGAATCACATCATTATTTCAACACCGTGATCTAATGAGTGACTGGCAGGCTGGTCTATTCTCCGTTGTCATTATCGCGTTCATCATTGCAATGCAGCCAAATCCTATTGACACCACCAACGTTCTGTTGGTACAGCTTATCCAGAATATATCGGATGGTCGTTCTGCTACCCAGCCAATCATCTTTCCATCATCTACGGGTTTCTCTTCTTCCAAATTATGGATGCAGGCGCTTGCATACGCGAGCCTTGCATCTAATCTTCTTGCTGCCTATAGCGCTGTCATGGGCAAGCAATGGTTGAGTCACTATAAGACGACTCGTTTTGGTGGTGGATCTGTCAAAGACCGATATCAGCAGAGGCACCGCAAGTCTGAGGAGCTAGAGAGGTGGCACTTCGAAAGTGTGTTGCGGTCATTCCCAGTTCTTCTACACATATCTCTGCTTCTATTTGGTCTGTCCCTGGGAACCATGCTGTGGACGCAACAGCGGTCCATCTCCATCTTTGTTATTGCAATGGTTACTTTCGGCGGCTTTTGTCATGCCTTCTTCATCACGGCGTCGTTGATAAATCATGACAGTCCATTCCAGACGCCTGTATCCCTGGCCATCCAAGCTATCTTTGCTTCAACTTCTCGTGCGCGTGCGAGCCCCAAACATCAAAATGAAGATCCTACCAAACTCGCTATGGAGTGGATCTTGAAGACCTCGAGAAGCCCTGATGTCGTTAGGTCAGTGGTCGAGCTGATGCCTACAATGCCAGCACTGCCAGACGTGAAACTCGTGCCGTTATGCGAAGACGTTCGAGACATGTTCCAGGCATGTTTTAATCAGCGTGGCATTCCGATACTACGCGACAGCGCACTGGCATATGGGAAGGCATTGATCCACTTCTCTTCTAATTATGGTGATGTGAAGGCGTATGCTCCACACAACCACAAAGGAGTGGAATCCCTGGGAACGGTGGCGCGACCTGTATGTGCCTGAGGCGCTGGAACAATGTGGAATTTCCTACAACCGAATACTCAAGACCGGTGATCCAGGTTTGAAGGATTCCTTCCGACAAGACACCTGTACCGCTCTGCGTATGGTTGTGGCTGCTGGAATAGACCATTTCGCTTATCCCAATGACGACGACAAAGAATACACATGGATTTGGAACGGTAAATTTGGTCCGCTGACAGCTGACTGGTTGTTGGACTGCCCAAAAGAGATCCATAACATGCGTGTCATTGACATTGATGCAGTTGGAAACGCTCTGCTCTTGTTCAGTTACACGCAGATCGAACCATCACGCCTTGTCCAAGACCGCATCGCCCCATTTCTGAATGACGACCAGTCACTTAAATTTCGCCATATCGCACTTCGTGCTGCCTGGCAGCAAATTCACTGCGCGGACATGTACGAACCTTTTCATGCGACTGCTTCCTTCCTCCATGCTGTTCTGAAGGCCATCTTTCCCATGGTCCCAAATGAACAAGATCGGATTACCAATGCAATCGAATTGCTTAACTTCCCTGAATGGCCAGGAGGTAGCGATCTAGCGACTTTTCCCCTGCTTAAAATCCAGTTTCTTGTACTTCTTGTCTTACCTGCACCAAAGGTTGACAATCTCGCAAGCTATACTCCTTACTGCCGTGCCCTCATTCGCTGCATGGGTAGAGATCGACCTCATTACCTCCGCCGTTCCGCCTCAAATATTGTCTGTGACACCCGACGAGACCTTGTAAAGTTAGCCACCGCTACTAGAGCTAACAAGTCCTTACAAGATGAACTCTGCGGAGGCCTCATCACCGCACCCTTTACTTATCTCAATGATTTGCTCACTAATGAAGAAAACCCTCCTCTTATGCCCATTGTCCGTCTCGTCTTCATTCTTGCAAAGAGCTCCGACTGGCACCCTTACTTGACCCGGGATGGCTCTATTGAAGAGTGGACTTGCAGACATACTCACGCATTATGACTACGATCCCTTCGGAAACATCATCATCAGCCACCACTGACTATTAAAACAATGCATTGCCTCTTTTACCTCGCCGGAATTTCCCTCCGTATTGCTTCACCAGAGCAGGCCGCATCTTCCTTTAGCGCTGTCATGCCCAAGCAATGGTGGGACTTGATGAGGAATGCATGGCATATCTTCTATTTTTTCATTCCCAAGGGAATGGATGATCGTATTGGGAGGCTTTCAGATCGTGTCGTGGACATGCGGTACCCGCTACCAAATCCTTCGAAGGATAATCTCGAGGAGGTAGATGATGATCTTATTGAGAGCATTCCAGCTCTTGTCGTGGGGCACGAAGTGGCACATGCCACCAGATGCTTCGAAGAATGATCTCGAATCGCTCAATAAATCGTTGACTAGAGCACTGCATAGGTTGCAACAAAATTCAGATGAGAGTATCAGATCTGAAGTGGAGGGTTTGCAGAAATTCGTACAAGAGAAATTGAAGGCAGTTGAAGACGGCATGAAACATGGGCGAGTCTGGAGAACGAAGTACAGACTCTACAGAGTATGGTGGTCCTACGAGTTGTCATGACCACTTAACTATTCCGTTACCTGGCTTTCCCTTGTATTTTGTGGATTGAATTCCCCTCCAGTATGTAAGATAGGGCCTGCGATGTTGTATGTAGTCTATCATGTCGAGAAATTTACCTCCTTAGGTTCGTCTTTGATCTCATGTGTGTCAAGGCTGACAAACAGGAACGTGTTGGTGAGTATGAGACGTTAGATGGAAATAATAAAATAGTGTTGGATAACGAATGCGAGAGGGGACTTCGATACTGGTTATTGTTTCCTGGCAGTAGGGACTGCACATGAGCTACTTATGTTGCGAAACGCTAATGGTCCTCGGGTATGGATGGGCCGAACGATTATGTGAAGATTCAAGACGGACACTGAAGGGAGTGGCGTCGCGCCTGACAGTGTAGAGTAGAATAGAGAGAAAGAGAGTACGGAAATTGAGTGAGTGGCGGTATGAATGGGTCTAGTTTTGACAGAATAGTACCGAGAGTCATGGAGTTATTGACAGATTCTAGAGTGGCGAGCTGAGAATGGAGTAACGGTGACAAGGGGATCTGAGGGTCGGTGCATCAAAATACGCTGATGGGATCCTTTCAGTGAATCTTATGTATCTTGCGCAGCCGATTCAGAGCTCAATGCACCATCGCCCACTCAGCACACCATGTCGTCACATCTTGACCCTTCCTGATCCACCGGGGGAAACTATGGGCAGGTATAGAACGATCCACTTAGGTTACGCAACAATTCGGGAGTATCGGACGACACTTACTCAATCTTCACTGCAGGGCCTAATTGTTGTTAGGACGTGAAAATGGAGAGCACAAATAGCGGTACAAGTGACCATCCAGCGCTTAGAGTCTGCAAGACCCGTGATCACCACAGATCGCGTTCAGCTGCGGAGTACCTGCCAAGCGTTTCTGTGTCTCCGAGTTTGATCCACGGATCATAGCGTATGTTTATAGTCAATGACAATGGCAATAATAACAAAATAAACAGCAAAATATGAATAACCCTGCAGTATTGTCCCATAGCACAAAGTTCATAATTAGTCCATGACTTCGACGTCATCTACAGCTTCCATCTTAACCCACATACCACCCTACGAGTAGAACCTGATTAGATGGTTGCAAAACACCTCGGAGTAAGACTTGCCATGGCATAAAGCGTCAAATGGTTTCTCGGCCTGAATTGTTCGATAGCCTGCCGACCACCTTTTTCAGCCCACCAAGCAGGTGGGCGCATCGCAGGTTCGGGAGATAGTGTAATGTTGGAAAAGTTTTGCAGCAAACGAATGATCATGAACGACATTTCGTTGTATGCAAACTGAGGGAAAATGGGGGTAAAAGATTTGTGGCAGTAATGAACGAGCGACATACTTGTTGTCCTAAGCAAATTCTGGGGCCCGCGTTAAATGGCAGGAAAATGAAGGGATTGGGAACCAGGTATTTCTTGACGCGCTCGTCGAGCCATCTATCCGGATCGAATTCCAATGCTAGAACACGGGGTGGGTCCGATTGAATCGATAACGTATATGTAAACGAATTGAATTTACTTACCATCTGGTCCCCATAAATCAGTTCTTCGGTGCATGAGGAGCACTGAATAGCTGATCCTGAAATTGTTCAAGTAATTATGCGATGAATCTATATGATCGGATATGATGCATACATGGTACCCCGTGGGATGAACAGTGGCTTCTTTCCATGTTCGGGGGATGTCAATGTGGTGTCACGTATGTTTTCCCTAAAAGTTCGTGGCTAAAGTTTATAGCCTCTTTGACGTAACCTGAAAACATACCTCACATCAAAAGGGCTAGGCGGTTGTGGTATGACGTAAGATACATTCTGAGATCAAACTCCATCACTTACACAGCAGGAAAAAGGCGCAGTGTTTCTAAAAATGGGTGAGCAACATCCCCGCGAGCAATAGGAAACGAGAATATGCACCATTGAGAACAGCTCTGAGAAATTTCATCTCTTTGATTTCATCATATGTGGGTCTACGAGTTAGCCCAACCTTCGATATGATTTCTTCCCTGAGGCGAATGAGGAACTCTGGATACATTGCCAACAAATAAATAGCTGATGTTAATGTTGAGGCCGTCTATTAATTATCCTTCGTTACATGCCAGGATGATTCAAAAGTAAATGCAGCTTACCGTATCTCTTCCGGCCAGTAAGATATTCAATGTCTCGTCTTTGATAATTTTGAAGTCTGAAAAGGATATCTTAACAACAGAAATTCCGTGGCGATGTACTATCTCACCTGACGTCAAATTTACAAGATGATCCACAAGTGTTTGATCATCTGCGAGCTCATTTTTGTCAAATTCAACAGCCGAGGTTTGTTTTTTCTCCAGAGCGTCTTTGAGGATCGGATCTAAAAATGCGTTTACCACTTTCATGTGTTGCGCGGTACTGTCAGCAAGAATCTCATTGAGTGGCCAGGTCTGCCCGATAGAAACACGCCGATTTATTCCCTGTTGAGCTTGAGAGAAAGCATATGCGAAGGCTGCGGCGGCATTGTCTCCTTGAACGGCATTTGTAGTTTTTGTTGCGTTATTGGGGTAAGGGAGTCCAGCGAAAAGTGAATTGATACAGTGTCCGAATAGGAACTCCGATGCAGAGTCAAGCGTAAATCTGGATATGAGATCCTGTGGTCGGATTAAGGGATGTCAAAGTACCAGCTTGAGGAAACCCGTACTTGGAAGTCAATTGCTAAGCCCGCTCTGAAACGTTCCTTCGCCAAAGCGATAGCATGATCCGCATGACGGTCAAAGATCTCAAAGTGACTTATCCGATCATGAGTGAAGAAAGGCCGTGTCATGGTTCGGTGAAGCCTAGAAATATATTTAAGATTCCCCGTCAGACGTTATCTTCAAATTCATGGCTCACTTCCAGATTTCACCTGGTGGCATGACCAATCGGTCAATCAGTCACGACATAAGAGGCTCGCCAATGTGCGCTTACCATCTGAATTGAATACGCCCGTTCCAAGAACAGAGTCAGCTGCTTCTCTGAACTTGGCACCTGCATCAAGTCACATGTCACATGTCAACCGACGACATCCGACTTCAGGTGCATACCTTTAACATAGTTATCAAAGTCAGTTGCGAGAATAGTCTATGTGGCGTTCGATTATGAAATATCTTCTAATACACATTGAAACTTGCCTTAATGTGTTGTGGCTCCGTAGTCATGATGAGGTCCTCCCAAAAGAAACGAAAATTGATAGTCGGTCCAAGCACCTTGATCTCGTCCTCTATAGATTGTCCTAGATAAACGTATGATTTCGTAAAGCACGAGCATGGAATGCATGAAACGGGGACTGTACCTAGGTATTCATTCTCATTCCTCAAGACCATCTTCACTACCTTGTCCAAATTTCCAGGCAATTTTCCCTGGATACGAGGAACAAGTCTGGCACCGAGTCTATTGGCCTTTCGTTGTTGCAATATTCCATCCGCAAAAACATAAGCTGCGAATCCAAAAGGCGCTGCACCCAAAACCACCGCAGATACAAGCCATGGAGAAACTCGGATGCCTTTTAGAGAGGCCAGGCGAACCACGATAATGACGGAGGAAGCAGCCGGAACAACAACGGAAAGCAAGCCTCGTGCGAGGTAGGCTACGCCAGGACTGACCCAAGTTCGAGACATAGTAGCTAAATATTGAAGTTTGTTGCTAGTCGGAGACCCAGATAAAAAAAAATTGGCGCTTATATAGATAATGGGCGGTGTCAGCTGCCATAAAGTGTTTGTTACTGCGGTTTGCTCACAGGCTAGGGGTCACTCGGGGTGTGATCAATTTATATTCGCGTACCCGCCGGTACATTCGGAACCCCAGTTCCACCGGATCATAACAAGAAGCTTCTAACACCCTTGGCACCTCTTGGCACCACTTTTATCCCGTTCGCACGGTCTAAGAGACCCGGATTTCTTGTCGAGTCCAACCAGTCTCTGAGACCTACGGTCACCTACCCTCACCAGACCTCTCTGAAGACTCCCTTCCTGTGAGCCCATCCTTGGCCACTGGCCGGATCGTTTTTCGCCGTTGCAGTCGTGCAACAGGACCTGGACTCTCACTAGGTATTAGGCTCACTAGTAGCAACTCTAAATGGAACGAGAGGTCGGGTAGCGGTGGCCCCCCGACGAGAGCTTTCACAGGCTCGTAACCGTCAATCCCACCCCCAGCTGACGATAGTTAGTACTACCTTGTATCTGGATGAACGAATATTCCGCGAGGCGACGAAACGGGTCTTTACCTTGGTCCAAAGCGACGGAAGCGGGAATTCGAACAGCATCATTGAATCAACAACTCTAATCTTAGGAGACGGGCACCTGCAGCAGACTCTAAGGAGGTCAGACTCGATGGTGCTTTGCTGGACGCTTATGACATGGGCTTCACTTCTCTGTCAGTTCGTTAATGCTTGGTATCAAACTTTCCGCAAGAATTTCGTACTACTGGATTCTAGCTAGCTACACGCACAACTCTGCTTTTTGCGAGGCCGTACGGCGAACTGTGATGCAATAATCTCGCACGCTGTTATCATACCAACTGTTTCCCATCTATAGATGAAGATAAACCCATGCTTTAAAGTGTATAAATGCCCTGTGGACTTGCTGTAGTGCTAAAATGAGTTCTCGCTTTCTTCGGGGTGGATCTTAGAAGTTTGAGATCAGTACAAACAAGCAGGAAAAGAGGCGCCACTTGCCTGTATGAAAGCTTGTAATCCTAAGCTTGTCAATTCTTATACATAACCACTTGGCCTGTTGCATGATGACATATGACCCAATAGCTGGCGGTAATACTTGTCAGGGATATTCCATGTCCATTCAAGTCAAATAAATGAATCAGTTTGGCGGTCCTTGTTTAGGGTCAGTTGGAGGTTCGGCGTTAATCTGTCCGGAGAATCCGGGCGCTACCGACGGACATAAGGTGCTGCGGGTTCAGGACCATAGGATTGGGAGCACGGTCCGCCGCACTAGTTACTGATAGTCACCCTCGTACTTGAGTATACATATCTAGTAAATTGTAGATAATGTACTTACCTGAACTTGCGTAGAGCCTTGCTTGACTGCAGAGCTCCAGCCAATGTGACATGCTATTACCGTGACTTACAGTTACAGTCACATTTGCGTGACTACCGACTTCTAACTGCACTATGACCTCCCTGACGACCCTGGTCACTGATTTCTGCTCAAACCTTACCGCCCCTCAAATTTTCTATGCCCGGGACCTAAAGATAATGCCTGGCGACCTGCATCCGTCCTAGCGTTTGCGTAGACAGTGCAGGGGAGATCCGATTGTATTTCAAGCAAGGAACATTACATCCGAATCCTCTGAGAGTATTTGACAACTATATGTAATTCACATATGGTCAGGGAATGAAACCAACCTAGAAATAGAGATCTTTTCCCTATCCATGACTCGTGTATCGAGAGGCAACGGTTCATACGTGGCACAAGGAGAGAGAATTCAATTGTTTTGTAACTTGGTCTTAAACTATATAGCCTATATTCTGCTGACCCATCATGGCTCTTGTCCATCCTCCCTAGTCCGACCTGGATTTGAACTTGCCATCATCATCACTTGCCACCGCAAGTAAATCAATATGATTACACCAGGAATCTCTTTCCTTAGTCGCATAGTCGCATCGACAAGCTCTATATGCTTTGGCACTGTCTTCTTAGCGCGCTTGGCGACAAAGTCGGGTATATCCTTGCCACCATGGATTTTGCTACTGGGTGCGACCAGTAGTTTACCCATCGGGTTTGCATTGCGCATTCTGTACGTCGGCATTATGCGCCGCCGACAAGCTGCAAGGATGGGTGCCTGCCTTGCGTCCCCTCTTAGGGGCAAACGATTCGGTAATCTCGACATCATGCTCGCACTGGTCCATCAATTCAACAACGGTTATCCTGGTATAGCTATCTGTAAATTCTGCATGTTTTATTTTATATGAATTTTTTCCAGGTGATGGAATGGCAGAGATCGTTGCAGAGACAGGAACGTGCTTTAACTTTCGTGTCATGTTCGAGGACGCCATATTTACCGTGGAACCCAGCCACATCAAGGTATACAAATGTTTTTTTTTTCTCATCGAAGACACGGCACTGATACCGTTGGTTCCCAGACCATCTTAGTATCCGATTTTGAAAACTACGTCAAAGGTGATCAGTCGATCATATCCCCAGTGATTGGTGCCTTCTTAAACGTCTTGTACAGGGGATAAGTTTAAGAATTCGATGTCAAGTGTCCTCGGAACGGGTGTCTTCAATTCTGACGGTAAATGATCTTCTACTCGATTCCCGAGTGACTAATAGCACACTAAAAATAAGGTGAAATGTGGAAATTCCATCGTTCTATGACAAGGCCTTTCTTCAGCCATGACCGAATAAGTCACTTCAATATCTTTGATCTTCATGCAGAAAACGCCATTTCCCAGCTGAAAGCACGTTTCCGTTCTGGATATCCCGTCGACGTCCAGGTCAGCTTCATGTCAAATATATACTACTGTTATATCACACATTGACACAAAATCACAGGACTTGATGTCACGTTTCACGCTTGACTCCGCCACGGAATTTTTATTCGGAAATTGCGTGCATAGTCTTTCCGCAGGACTACCTTACCCGCATAACATTGCAACAACGGAAGCCCTTTCTAAGAAAGCAAAGATAGCTGAAGACTTTGCTCAGGCGTTTGCCGATGCACAGACAATTATTGCCCAGCGTCCCCTCAAAGGTTGGGTCTGGCCCGTTGTTTGAGATCTTCAAGGACGACACTACAGCACCTATGCGAACCGTGAACTCGTTCATTGATCCGATTTTGAAAGAGGCTATTGCCAAGAAGCAGTCGCATGCCAGTGGAGAAAAGAATCTTGATAACGAAGATGCGACATTACTGGACTATCTTGTACAGACGACTGACAGGTAGGACGCTAGCGCTCTTGCTTGTGGTGAAACTGATTTTTCTGAGAATAAGACCCCGTGGTACTAAGAGACGAGATCCTGAACATCCTGATCGCCGGAAGGGACACGGTAAATCTACTATTTGCGTTCGCTCGAATAATAGCTAATTACCATGTGCGTAGACTGCTGGGACGCTTACTGTTGCCCTGTATTTGCTTTCCACGCACCCGCATGTGATGACCCGCCTGAGAGAGGAGATCATGACAAAGGTTGGACCTACTGACAGGCCGACTTACGATCACATCCGTGATATGAAGTACCTTCGTGCTGTTATTAATGGTAGACTCGATTTTTGTGGCTTGTTTTGATTTGACCTCTGACATGTTCGCTTTTCAGAAACTATGAGGCTTTTTTCTCCTGTGTAAGCCATGTGAATCAGGAATCTTTGACCAGTCTAATTTCATTCTGCAGACCTTTCAATGTTCGGTACGCTCGACATCCTACATTCTTACGAAATACTCACATCGTGATAGCGAAAGTGTCAACGCATCCACTCTACCTGCAACCGGTCAATTGAATAAGCCAATATATGTCCCCCCAAAGACAAGGTACAGTAGTGGTTTTCTCTCAGAATTTCCAAAGTAACGCAGATAATGGGCTTAGTGTTAGCTACTGTGTTTTTCTAATGCATCGTAGAAAAGATCTTTGGGGCCCTGATGGTAAGCACGCCATTTTCTATTTCGGCTGATCTATCTGCACGCACTGTCATTTTGTCAGCTGATGAGTTCGATCCGGACCGCTTCCTCGATGAACGGCTGCATAAATATCTTACGCCTAAACCTTTCATCTTCCTCCCCTTCAACGCCGGCCCCCGCATCTGCCTTGGACAACAGGTGACTCTCCGCTCCCTATTCCTTACTTCGAAACTCCCCTGACCTCAGATCACAGTTTGCTTACAACGAGATGTCATTCATGCTCATCCGCCTCCTCCAATCCTTCTCTTCTCTCACTCTCCACCCCGAAGCGCAACCCCCAGGCACTCTTCCGCCCGCTGACTGGGCTCAAGCAGAAGGTCGTAAATCGCGCGAACAGTTCTGGCCGAAAGTACATTTGACGATCTATGCTCATGTACTGTGCTTTCCTCCTGCTTCGTTTATGCGTTAATAACTTGATTTATCAGGGCGGCCTATGGGTTCGCATGACTGAAGCTGAGAAGGCTGATTGAATGACATAATGGCATGTTGTGGAAGTGTACTACTAGTATTGCAATCGCAGACCTACATTCGAAATAATCTGTATTGTGATAAACTTTCTATCTCTCAAACTGTAGTTCTCTCGAATGCTGTCCTTTTCTTTCAATAGTGTGACCTGCGATGATTCGCAGAATCTTCATTGCATCATTGGTACCATGGATGTGTTGTATCGTAGTGTAATGTAAATATCGTCATGTAAATAGCAATCTCGCGTGTCCCACTTCTCACATAAAGAAAGACACCATTCAACTCCACATGCTAGTATCCATGCCTCATTCATCTGACGTCATCCTCCTTACCTGACAATGTTACGCTGGAGTCCCTAAGGGGTCCCACGGGCATAGCATAGCATAGGAGAGCTCAGCGGCTCGTTCCGAGGCTTAGTCAGCAGTCTTGGTTCGAGTCCAGCCACCTAGACAGGTCTCCTCCGTCGTATGTAGCATGGCGGTCCCAGCGCCCATGCATCGGATCGTGGAATGCCTTTTTTTTTAAAAAAAAAAACATATTTATTGTTCTTTAGAGTCGTGGACCCTATGTTGGACATAGCCCTTTTTGCGGGGGGCTTACTCCCGCTTATCTATCGTATGTACTAATATCTCAGGGCTAGTCTCACTTTTGGGCTCTACAAGAGCTTTTCGGCAGTTGGCAGTGTAACTGCGCCCTCGGAATGGATAGGTAGTGCTTACCAGATCAGTGTACTGCAGAGGCACTGACGACCCTGGTCACTATTTCTACTCAAACCTTATCGCTCCTCTTAAACTTTCTATGCCCTGGACCTCAAGATAATGCTCAGCGACCTGCATCCGTCCTAGCGTTTACGTAGACACTGAGACAGTGCAGGGGAGATCCGATTCTATCTCAGCCAGGGAACAAGTTACATCCATCCTCTTAACTATATATGTAATTCAGGGGACGGAATGAAACCAACCTATCTTTTCCCTGTCCACGACTCGTCATTGCTGTATCGAGAGGCAACGGTTCATACGTGGCACAAGGTGGGTGGAGAAATCAAATGTTTTGTAACTTGGTCTTATAGCCTAAAGTCTGCTGACCCATCATAGCTCTTGTCCATCCTCCCACCTGGATTCGAACTTGCCGTCATCATCACTTGCCACCGCAAGTAAATCAATATGATTACACCAGGAATCTCTTTCCTTGGTCGCATAGTCGTATCGACAGGCTCTATATGCTTTGGCACTGTCTTCTTAGCGCGCTTGGCGACAAAGTCGGGTATATCCTTGCCACCGTGGATTTTGCTACTAGGTGCGACCAGTAGTTTACCCATCGGGTTTGCATTGCGCATTCTGTACGTCAGCATTATGCGCCGCCGACAAGCTGCAAGGATGGGTGCCTGCCTTGCGTCCCCTCTTAGGGGCAAACAACTTGGTAACCTCGATATCATGCTCGCACTGGTCCATCAATTCAACAACGGTTATCCTGGTATAGCTATCTGTAAATTCTGCATGTTTTATTTTATATGAATTTTTTCCAGGTGATGGAATGGCAGAGATCGTTGCAGAGACAGGAACGTGCTTTAACTTTCGTGTCATGTTCGAGGACGTCATCTTTACCGTAGAACCCAGTCACATCAAGGTATGCAGATGGTTTTTTTTTCATCGAAGATACGTCACTGATACCATTGGTTTCCAGACCATCTTAGTATCCGATTTTGAAAACTACGTCAAAGGTGATCAGTCGATCATATCCCCAGTGATTGGTGCCTTCTTAAACATCCTGTACAGGGGATAAGTTTAAGAATTCGATGTCAAGTGTCCTCGGAACGGGTGTTTTCAATTCTGACGGTGAATGATCTTCTACTCGATTCCCGAGTGACTAACAACAATCTACAAATAAGGTGAAATGTGGAAATTTCATCGTTCTATGACAAGACCTTTCTTCAGCCATGACAGAATACGTCACTTCAATATCTTTGATCTTCATGCAGAAAACGCCATCTCCCAGATGAAAGCACGTTTCCGTTCTGGATATCCCGTCGACGTCCAGGTCAGCTTCATGTCAAATATATACTACTGTTGTGTCACACTTGACACAAAATCACAGGACTTGATGTCACGTTTCACGCTTGACTCTGCCACGGAATTTTTATTCGGAAATTGCGTGCATAGTCTTTCCGCAGGACTACCTTACCCGCATAACGTTGCAACAACGGAAGCCCTTACTAAGAAAACAAAGATAGCTGAAGACTTTGCTCAGGCGTTTGCCGATGCACAGACAATTGTTGCCCAGCGTTCCCTCAAAGGTTGGGTCTGGCCCTTGTTTGAGATCTTCAAGGACAACACCACAGCACCTATGCGAATCGTAAAATCGTTCATTGATCCGATCTTGAAAGAGGCTATTGCCAAGAAGCAGTCGCATGCCAGTGGAGAAAAGAATCTTGATAACGAAGATGCGACATTATTGGACCATCTTGTACAGACGACGACAGGTAGGACGCTAGCGCTCTCGCTTGTGGTGAAACTGATTTTTCTGACAATAAGACCCCGTGGTACTAAGAGACGAGATCCTGAACATCCTGATCGCCGGAAGGGACACGGTAAATATCCTATTTGCGTTCGCTCGAATAATAGCTAATTACCATGTGCGTAGACTGCTTCGACGCTTACTGTTGCCCTGTATTTGCTTTCCACGCACCCGCATGTGACGACCCGCCTGAGAGAGGAGATCATGACAAAGGTTGGACCTACTGACAGGCCGACTTACGATCACATCCGTGATATGAAGTACCTTCGTGCTGTTATTAATGGTATACTCGATTTTCTGGCTTGTGTTGATCTGACCTCTGACATGTTCGCTTTTCAGAAACTTTGAGGCTTTTTTCTCCTGTGTAAGCCATGTGAATCAGGAATCTTTGACCAGTCTAATTTCGTTCCCCAGACCTTTCAATGTTCGGTACGCTCGACATCCTACATCCTTACGAAATACTCACATCGTGATAGCGAAAGTGTCAACGCATCCACTCTACCTGCAACCGGTCACTTGAATAAGCCAATATATGTCCCCCCAAAGACAAGGTACAGTAGTGGTTTTCTCTCAGAATTTCCAAAGTAACGCAGATAATGGGCTTAGTGTTAGCTACTGTGTTTTTCTAATGCATCGTAGAAAAGATCTTTGGGGCCCTGATGGTACACACGCCATTTCCTGTTTCGATTGATCTATCTGCACTCACTGCCGTTTTGTCAGCTGATGAGTTCGATCCGGACCGCTTCCTCGATGAACGGCTGCATAAATATCTTACGCCTAAACCTTTCATCTTCCTCCCCTTCAACGCCGGCCCTCGCATCTGTCTTGGGCAACAGGTGACACGCCACTTCCTATTACTTACTTCGACACTCCCCTGACCTCAGATCACAGTTTGCTTACAACGAGATGTCATTCATGCTCATCCGCCTCCTCCAATCCTTCTCTTCTCTCACTCTCCATCTAGAAGCGCAACCCCCAGGCACTCTTCCGCCCGCTGACTGGGCTCAAGCAGAAGGTCGTAAATCACGCGAACAGTTCTGGCCGAAAGTACATTTGACGATCTATGCTCATGTACTGTGCTTTCCTCCTACTTCGTTTATGCGTCAATAACTTGATTTAATCAGGGCGGCCTATGGGTTCGCATGACTGAAGCTGAGAAGGCTGATTGAATGACATAATGGCATGTTGTGGAAGTGTACTACTAGTATTGCAATCGCAGACCTACATTCGAAATAATCTGTATTGTGATAAACTTTCTATCTCTCAAACTGTAGTTCTCTCGAATGCTGTCCTTTTCTTTCAATAGTGTGACCTGCGATGATTCGCAGAATCTTCATTGCATCATTGGTACCATGGATGTGTTGTATCGTAGTGTAATGTAAATATCGTCATGTAAATAGCAGTCTCGCGTGTCCCACTTCTCCCCACATAAAAGAAAGACTCCACTTTACGCCATTCAACTCCACATGCTAGTATCCATGCCTCGTGCATCCGATGTCATGCTTCTTACCTGACAATGTTACGCATAGACAGGTCTCCTCCGTAGTTTGTAGCACGGCGGTCCCAGCGCCCATGCATTGGATCGTGGAATGCCTTATTGGCAATCGCAAACAGTAATGACATCACGAAGAGGGCTAAGACCAGGAGCCAGCCCAGCCAAGCGAATGCAAGCAGCGCAGTGAGGATCCTACACGTGCTGTACACCCAGCAGGAAGAAAGGTTACCCCAGAAGACGTCGACGTCAGGTGGGTTGCTGGTGTGCTGCGCCACAGTGTGAGTGTCATCATAAGACAGTGGGTGTAATGACGTACTGTGGCAACGGCAGCGCCGACGAGCCAAAGGAGGAAAAGGACAAACAAGCCAACCAGCTCTGCGGTGAAGCTGTTCATCCTACGATGCTCATGTCTGCCGTGGATGGTCCGGGCACTGATGCGAGTGGAGTTAAACTTGGAGGAAATGCAGTGGATGTTATACATACATAAACAGGGACCAGAACATGGTGATGATGGATGTTACGATCAGTTCAATCACGATGTGGTCTTGATGAGCTTGAGTCAGGGATTGGGCAACTGCATCGTCGCGATAAACGTACCGTAAAATCGGACGCCTCCGTTCAGAGGATCGCGTGGTGACAAGTGTGAGGTATAGTGCAGCCTTACTGCGCACAGCGACATAAGGACGACTGAAAAGATAAACTGGACACTGGAATCAACATCTTGAAAGACATGCTGTGGACTCGCGACTTACCAGGAGGACGTATACGAAGACTCGTACGAAGTGGATCATGGCGGTGGTGTGCAAAGGATGGCTTGATGAGGTGTGTTTGCAGATAGGCGGGACTTTATATGTACGACAAGGGTAGGCACGAGGTAGCGGTCTTCTCTCTCACCTAAATGAAACACATGCGGCATGTTTCCATTCCCGCTGCCGATAAATTACAAATAAGGAGTGGGGCCTTGCGTAATGTGCTTGAAGGAGTGCGTGGCGATTCGGAGACATGGTGTGAACAAAAACGAGACTCCAGCGAACCTACTGAGGAGCGGTGAATACTTCACCATTGTCAAATCCATGGAGAGCGGGCTATGTTTGATCGCTGGACACGCCAATAGAGTTACCAGACGCAATGAGTTAAGAGCTGTGCTTCTCGGAGGTGCTTGTCACGTTCATTCGCCTCGAGGCCTTCCAATAGTGGCCTCGTTGAGGTCATGCGCCGTTTCACGTGGATTGGCAATTGTCATCGTTTGCGTAATTGGTTCCAGCGATCGCAATGAAATGTGTTGTGGATATCAGGTTAGTTGTGAAACCGTTGAAGTTCTAGTGAAACGGTGATCTGCTGAAGAGCAACATTAATTCAATCTGTTTGCTCTCCATGACGGAAAGATCAGAGTAAACCTCAAATTGACTGGCAGTCGTTGGCAATGCAGTGGTTAATTGCAAATATAACGGCCCGGATAGAAGCTCAAGAACGAAGCATCATGTGCTGGAGCTGGGCCTGCCGCTGTAGAAGACTTGAGATAAAATTGCATCAAAGATGAATTCACTGAATGTAAACCTTTCATGCGTTACGACTCCTTTCTTCAAGTTTCTTCTCTTGCACAAGTAAACGATCTTCTCGCACCTTCAATTCTCCCTCTCGAATGTTCAGATCTTCTTCTCGGAACTTTAAATCCTCTTTACGCAGCCTCAGACCCTCTTCTATCGTTGTCAGACCCTCCTCTCGTGCTATCACCTGATCCTCCCTGAGTCCCAACATCTTCTCAGCTACTTTTAGCCTCTCCTTAAGCATTTGGCTTTCGCTGTCAGATACATCACCTTGATTTTTCGGGTTTTGCTGTACATATCACATGTCAACGAGAATATATAGGCACACTGTATGAACGTACCAATTCCTTCAAAGGAGCTTCAGTAACACGAGCGTAAATGGTTTCCTGATCACTGTTGAGGGACATGGTGACAAAGTTAGTGAGCAAGCAGAAGAAGGGTTGTTCCTGATCTGATCTAAGCCTGGCCAAACCCATTTTGAATGTTGTCGTAATCTAAGTGGGAGATTTCGTTGCCACGTCGCTCGTGAAAACAGCGGTCTGCGTGCTAACTTCAAAATATCCTACAGCGAGCTACAAGTTTCTGTAGCCTGTGTGAGTTTTATTAACAATCTTGAAGAGATATTAACTGATTGCATGTACATTCAGTGCTAGCCGCGCGTTGGTACACGACTCTTACTGTTTATCATTATTCCCCGCATATCACTCACGCCGGCGCATACCCCTTCATTACTGACTGCCTAATTACCAACATTCGTCATGCCTGTAGTCTGGCAGAGACATCCTCGATATTTCCTCCTCGTGGCTTTGGTTCTGACATCAACTTTCATTCTACTAAGTCCGTACGGATCTCCGCTCTCCACTGACTCGTATGCTGCCTATATCCGTGACAATACACTTCCAGCACGACTCGAGCGAGCAGAGAGGGTCTATCAGAAAGTAATAGCTGGTCGCAAGAACCTAATACAGAGATATGGTCCAAGCTCTCGCGACATTGTCATGTACGTCCAACTGGCTCACTAGTTCTATTGTGGAGGGCTGAAGATGTTTCAGGTTCCCACCGGATAAAGATCCATGGCCAGCATACACTGTTTGTGAGTTTGGTCGACGAAGATTTCCATTTGCCATTAGGCATTTACCAACATTCCCAGGGAGCTTCTTTCCTCCGTCTTTTGACTGTCCGCACGAACTAGAGCGCATAGGTGCACTAGGGGATGGCGGAAAGTGGACATGTGGCATATCCCGACTGGAGCATAAACCTGACTGTATCATATACACGTTCGGTGTGCCTATTCATTTCATGTCATTTCGGACTAGCACTCATTTGCACCTGCATAGGTATGAACTATGAAACGACATTCGAGGCAGAACTCCTCGAACGGACGCGGCATTGTCAAGTCTGGGGATATGACTATCGCTCTAACTCGTTTGGATCCCACATCAAGCACAACTACCGCACACATTTCTTTTCATGGGGTCTTGCTAACGTTGATTCTCACGAGTCGCATAACAATCCTAAGCTATATACTCTCAAAACGCTGCTTGAGATGAACAGTTCGTATGCACTTTTATCTACATTCTATTTCTTGCTAATAAAATATTCTGATCAGGGCATGACCATATTGATTTACTCAAAATCGACATAGAAGGTTGGGAGTTCGAAACACTCTCACAGATCATTCAGCCGTACATCTCGTCCGGGGAACCATTACCATTCGGACAGCTTATAGTCGAAATTCACGCCTGGGACAAGAAATTTGAGAATTTCTTGCCTTGGTGGGAGATGCTAGAGCAAGCTGGACTGAGACCATTTATGAATGAGGTGTGTACTAGATTTTCGCACCGCATATTCCATCCAACATCGTACTATTCAGATAAACCTCGTATACCAGAACTACAATCGAGGAAAAGACACGGATCTCGCGGAGGTTTGTTGTGCTTCGATGTTCCTGTATATGAATTGACCAGCCCCGTAGTATTCCTTTATCAACATCAAAGGAAACAACATCTTCATCTCGGACCCACAAGGTGCTCCTGGGTATTCGGATGTTACATAGGTATTCCGCTGATTGCACCTTGGGATAAACACCACAAGGCAGAAACTGTATGGCGTGGATATATGACGACATAGTGGATAGTCATTGGTCAATTTTGTGTGAATACGCACACTATGGATATACGCATATATTAATGATGAAGTACATGTTCCAGGTCCAGTGTAAGACAAGCGCTGTGGTGTTCCTTACATCTAAAGAAAGGTACTGACCACAGCAAATATTGGCGAATTCCACGCGTGTCTATTACGTTCTTGCTGTAGCTGTCAGGCTTTCTCCGGGCATCGCTTCCTCCGTCCGAATCATTCCGAGCGACAAGTCGTGTTTTAAACTCAGAAACTACATAGGTCTGCAGGCTTACATAATATTCGGCCGAGGTGGTGTCTGGGATTTCGAAGCTTATCAAGGGATTAAATTGATTTCCTGGGGGGTCAAAGTCGCTAAAGGTTATTTAACAGTTTAACTTTCTATTCACACGCGGTGTCTATTCCATTTATGATGGTGTACACTGCTGTCCTGACTCGCTCATCGATTCTGGAGATCAAAACAGCTGATTTTTCGGCGCCCGCACAAGAAATGCATAGCCATTAGTCAAGTCCGACATTCAAAACCAATTTGAGGTGAGGACGATGAGAGGAAATGTCAACAGCGACCCTTATTTACTAATAGTCGAGGGCGTTTTGGGCGCCAAAATGATAGTCTAGTCCAGCCGGACAGGGCTGGACCCCCGTGAAATTCGCGCCAAAAAGTTTTAAAATGAACAAGTTCCTCGGGCCTTCCCCATCTTGTTTACTTGATTTGTTGGGACCTGAGACCCCATACCATAAATGCCGGGCATACAGCCTCTTCAAAACGTTTCCTTCTTCATCTCTCTATACACTGATTGTTTGCTACTATGTCGGTGGACATTCATGATACATTTGGTGAGTATCTTGTTCGCGTCTTTGTCCCTACTATAAGCGCAGTTGACCTTTCTTTTAGGCGCAGGGTTCATCGGGGGTATGGTGACTGCCATGTACGTCAAGAATCCGTCCTCTTCCGCCAGGACTTGACAGTGTGATTGCATAAATTGTAGCTTGTATGGCATCACGACTCTGCAAGTATGTCGTATCTTGTCTGTTGAAGGTGGTAGCACTTGCTGATTATCTGCGAACCCCTGCAAGACATACTTGTATTATGTGTATTATCCCACTGACCCTAACAACCTGAAAGTATTGGTACGTTGTGTTTAGTTTATGCTGGATTTTGACTTTTTATGAAACGTGATAGGTTGCATTCATCTGGTAATATTCTTTGCGTTTGGTGGATTATGCTTCCCTAATTGCTTTGTAGGGTCATCGACACTTTACACATCTCCTTTAGTGAGTGGTGGATTGGCGTCTAATTTGACAATTTACTCAATTAATCCCATTCAAGTGTGTCATGCTCTGTATTACTACCTTGTGGGTATTGACAATCAGATAAACGTCTTGACAGTTTTAATTCAGTATAGGTAACGAGTTTTGGTAACCCGGATAACCTTGGAACTGGAGTTTGGTATGTACTTCCCGAAGACCGCAATGATTCATTGCTGAGTCGTGCATCCTAGGTCACTTTTCGTGAGTGCTTAGCGTTGTGCAATTCGACATCTAACACAGGAATTAAAGGCCTCGCTTGGTCTAAATGCAAGTATTTTTTATCTGAGAGTCTTGTTGAAGCTAAGATGGAAGTAGCTTTGCATGGCTGTGCTCGTACAAACGTGCGTGCGCTTTCGATCAGTGATTTGTGGATTTGTATCCTGAATGTCTTTGTTAGATATTTTACTTTTCAAATATCCTGCCGTAAGCGTTTCATTTCAGTTGATTGGCTTGTCTTGAATCCTTTTGGGGTAGTAACCCGCTCCAATATCCGATGGTGGTTGACATCCTTCATTGTAAGTTAAAGCTCTCGGCTCTCGGGTTTATAGCGGTTTAATACTGAATGTGGTGTCTCGCCATCTCAAGATGTTGTTCGTTGTCGCACACTTTGGTAAGATTCCGTATATGACTCGTCTAGGCAGCTCATTGATCGGAGACCCAGCCTTTGGACTGGGTAGGCTTCCTTTTCCCATGCCACTCACAATACGCTGAGCCGACGTAGAGACAGTCATCCTCATGTTAGTGTTCTCTATTTAATCTGTATCAAAAAGTAACGAATCCACTTAGGTTCATCAAGCAGAAGTTCAGTGCGCTTTCGGAGATCACTGTACGTTGAAATACGAAATACTAGTTTGGCTGGGTGTCCTACTGACAGTTTCCAGCTCTATGCCGCTACGCCTTTCGCTATCGCGGCTGTTTTGTCTGATCTCTTCATTGCTGCTTCATTGTGCATTCTTCTGCACGGCAATCGCAGTCCTGTTGTCCAGTAGGTCCCAGTCCCGCATTGCTAGCATCACCAAGATTGATGTTGACCACCAGGACCAACGCACTCGTTAATACGTTGATCGTATACGCCATCAATCGTTGTCTACTGACTTCGTATGTATCTTATCTGATAGACATGGGTGATGTTAATTACCACCTTGTTTCTTATCTTCTAGAGTCGTTGCCGTGGCTGAAGTTATTGCAGTAAGTTTAGGCGAACGAGGCAGATCAATACCTTTTGAAATTGATATTCCTTTTTTTGTGCAGTTTTCTGTCAGCCCAGATAGTCTGTGGTTCATCGCAATAGATTTCGTCATCGGAAAGCGTGAGTGCAGATCCATGTATCTCGGGTGATGACGCGTACAGTCCTCACCCTTTTATTCTACAGTATATGCCAATTCCCTTCTTGCATCCTTAAATAGCCGAAGCGCCTTGCGAGCGCGCAGCCACACTCACAACGACAGCACTAGTTTCCGTGTCAACACCATCAATCTAACCGGCCTACAGTCCTCAAGCGACAACGAAGGCACGCAGAGTAAAACAACCACCAGCACTGTCTCCGCTCGTGTCCGTGTAAAATCAATTCCAGGTGGAGATATCGACGAGCTTGATGTGAGTTCGTGCTTCTTCGGTTTATCTCATCAATTAACGACGGAAATGAAGACGGGTACCTTGCGCGAAGTCTGATCTGATGTTTGTGTTTTGCTGTGTGTCGGCTGTTCATGATTGTAATATTATATATATCCTTCCCTGCCGACCTAACCCCATGGGCTAGCCTAGAGCGTTTCGTACTTTTGCCATCATTATTATTCACTCATTTTCATCATGTTCACATCAATCTGACTACTCTCTACTATCATGTTCATCACAAATTGTATCTTACTGCATGAGGTGTTTTGCCAGATCGGTGTCGTACAGCTTCATGAATCCTACCCACTAATCATCAGTGTACCTTGGGAGCGATAACCTCTGGCACCGAGGCAGCGAACCAGAGAATACAAATTGAAGTCAAAGTTGGGCGTACATATTGTGTAGGTATGCAGTCTCGAACTCTGAAATATTAAACGCTGGTTATCTTGGAAAAGGAAACAGTTGGGAGAGGGAGCAAAAGTCTCCGCACCAATTCCAACTTAGGTTTACACCATCCAAGGCACCGGCTGGGTGATTCTGACCAGTGGCGACGGAGGGCACCGATAGGAGCCTGTCATGACTTCCGCAAGCCTTCATCAACGCGGTGAGCGATGGCGTGTATGAAGAGATATACTGCTGCCCTTTGCCATGTACTCGCCAGCAGCATGCAACGGCAAGAAATTGAAGAGGAAGGTCAGGTACCACCATATCCGGGAACTTCCTAGTGCAAATCCGCCCAGATTCTCGACCACTGAGCCGACAACGTCCTTCCACAACCTTATCAAAGCTTTTATGAGCGCTATTTGGTTCCCTTTAGGACCGGTCTCTTTGTTAACTGCCTTTCGGAGTGCTAGTACCAATTTGACGAGTTTCCGCAAATCGCTAGGGAGTTGAATGCTAGTGGGAGGTTGCTGGTGCGGGATGATAATGGCATCGTAGGACGATCTACTTGCGATGAGCACTGTGATGGGTCCCTCACGAGCTGCATCTCGCAGATCAGAGAAGAAAGGGGGAAGTAGGAAGTCTTCTGGGTCTCTTCTACAGTTCTATTCCAGTCCTCCACTAGACGTCTGTACCGGGTATGCCATATCGACTCTTGGTGTCCCTTCTGTATGGCTCGCAAAAGGTTTATCAAGAAGGGACCTGAGGTCTCTTTCTTCATCAGAGTCATTGCATGATCGCCGCGAGTCAAGAGGCTAACAAGAAGCGTGCGAAGTCGGGTCATTTGGGTCCAGATAATGGTCCTTCCTTGTTCTAACAGCTCGACAGTGCAATACACGTCACCGCTACGAACAGCGCATGATGCAGCATCTGCGGCAACTGTACTTGGGAATTCCTTCATGGCATCATGACGAGAAGATACCGAAGCTGTCACGGACAGGTAAGCGTCCACAAGTTGTATAGAAGTTGCATAAGCCTCCAGGGCAGTACTATGTCTGTATTGATCAGCACGGCGAACCCAGAGCAGACTTGCCCGCAGGCGGGATAGCAAGCCTCCAGAGAGAACATGCCTTGAAATGATGCATGGCGGCATTCAAACTGCCTGTAATACCGCCCGTGTCAGTGGTAAAGTACTGCATTTTGATCAGAAAGTTGTTGTTCCACCGTCATGAATAATGAAGTACAAGCAGATACGACTTCCTCCTGCTTTGGCTGAAAGATTATGGCTGTTGAGGCATACACGCTGAACCGAACTTCATAAAATGGCTCGCACGGCCTGAAGTCTTTCTCAATACCTGCAGGACAGACGAGGGTAAGGACGACTTGCAGATGAATGCGCTCGTGCCACCCAACGACAGCCTGGTCTACGTTTACAGATTTATTGCTTGTCTGGTATTCAGCACCATCAGCCTTGACCACCGCATGGGATCCCTTGGAGACCAAGAGTGAGATCAGTCGCGCGAATGGCTTGAAGGACATCATCAATGCGAGCTGAGTGAAGATAGATATCAACATACCAACGATGACGACTCGTACTTTACTAAGGTGACTGAGGTGTATCTCTCCCGGGTCCTGGATATCCTCTGGGTAGCTTGGCTCCTCACTAAACATTGTCAGGCATTTAGACGATCGGTACTTCATACACTTACTAATCCTCTTTTTGCCTGAAAATGCGAAATCAAATTCATACACATGGTATACAACACAACGGCTTACGACCGTGGACGCTTTGAACTCTTCGTCTCGTTGTCGTTATCGTTGCCTGATGACCTACGATTTATTTTCTCCCTTTCGAGGGTTCCGAGTCGACATTGGTGGCAGAATCCACTACTCAAGGAGTTGTAGAAGTTTTTGCGACGATACATCTGATGAGCTTGGAGACTTGAAGGTGACACGACGACGACGGGCCATTGAGAATAAGATGTGTGATGAAGGTTACGAAACACCGCAGTACCTGTACGGTAAAGTGCTGAAGGATTATAAAGAAGAGAACCACAGCATGTATATGGCATTCGCGCTATGCAGCAGGACAGAAACGACTCGCGGAATATCGAGCCACCCACAGGCCTGGGCTTCAGAATTGTACAGCAGAGGCATGTTCTACTAGGGTGTGACATTGATTCGAACAGCCGAAACGATGCTGGAGAAGAGCAGGGCATTCCTTTGACTGGCCATCCTACTGCTGTTAGACAATATTATGTTGCGCGAGAAGAACTGATAGGAACTTATAATTGAACTTGTTTTGCTGCAAGGAGTCATCATGTCAAAAATGTTGAGGCGACCCATAGTGGCCCATTAGTGAACCGAAGAGTCGTTGATATGGTGGGGCCCATCATAAAAATTGCTCAGGTCAGACATTACCATGCATGATACTAATAGACGTCTTATGTGGTGTGGATGCCGGGCGCCGAGGGCCCATAAGTAGGTGCTGCAATACCAAGTCTTGTGCATGTACAGCAACAGCATTAGAACATTATATGTAATTTATACACCAATGAAAAGTATCTCGAAGATAGATTACCTATGCAAGTGGAGACTCGATCAAATTCTTGCATGATGGATCCTGGAGGACCGCGATGGGAAGTTGGAACTGATCTTTTTGCAAAGCTGCGTAAGATTAATCAAAGATCTGACGCCACGCCCCAAACACATGAACACTCACCGCCGCACGGATGGTAATGGCACAGCATCGAGTGATGCTGATGGCATTATACTCAAGCACTGCCTCTCTGACGTACTCATTTTTCGGCGCTGGAGGGTTTGTTGCCGCACAAGGTTCGCAAGGGCATTGCTCGACTTCCTGAGAACGTCTGTCATACAAGCCACGCAGATGTGGTGCCTGCCGAAAGAGACTAGACTGAATCTCGGATCGGGACAGTCTCTCGAGCTCGGAGTTAAAGGTCTTCGATAGTAAGGGACATCTACAAGTGTATCGGAGGTCGAACATGGCCAAGGACGACTGTAGTAAGTGGAGGAATACAACGCATCAGCAATCTCCGCACCATACAAAGGCGCATCACAGCAATGGCCAGATCATTGCCTGTGAGCGAAACGAGATGGGAGAATAGGTGATTTTTGAAAATTTCATGTAAACGTTATCGATGCAGACACATAACGAAACGCCATCAAATAGAACAGAAACTGAATGGAAGTGAGTGTCCGACGTTGGCAGGAAACTCCGAAACGACCCGTAGTACTGTAATGCATCAGAAAATAAATCCCACTCAGAGGCTAAAATTGAGATGTGTGAAACGAGAGAAAACTGGTGTGTGTGAGCTGACGTAAATATTTTCCGCGGCGCTACATAGACTCGTGATCAGTCCTATGGGGCAAGCCGCTGCGTACGTACAGCTGGTGCCTGCATGAATTTAACCGACAAAACCTCTTCCCACTAAAGGGTGTCGGGGATATCGCTTATTAGGCAGGCCTCAGCCAATCGGATGTGATTATACAATGTTTTAGACACGTTCACTCGCCGGGCCGCAGACATGGGGACGTTCACTGACTTCTGCGAACCTTCGGCGACCGAACACTGCGTGGAAAGTGCGAATGACTATATAGGAATCTAGGATATCAACATTTCAGGGACGGATCTGCAGAGCAGGGTATAAACGGTACATCACGTCAAACTACGTAGCAACAAGTGAAACTAGCTATGTCGCAAAAAGAATCAAAATACATAACTTAGATTGACTTTGTCTTCGTCTGGCAGTGAAGTGTCAACAGACTTCAGATATATACCTGGGTGAATAACGTTGAGAGTATACATAGCAACGACGACGAAACCCCCATCGAGCCAGTCTGTTGTCGATCAGTATTCTGTCGGCAACACGTGAAGATAATGCCACGACGTACTGAAGTAGGACTCGGTCGAAATCACCGTCCCAGACCACCCATCGGCGAGCTCCACTGTGCGGTACACGGATCTAAGGACGAAATTAGTACATTGTAACTGTTGATAAGAATATGTCCAGAGCACTAACCGAATGATAATGCAGATGGTGCAGAAGCCGAGTGCGTAAATCATGCATTGCACATCTTTACTCATAGAACGTTGACCTTTCCCAAATTTAATGACCTGGCGGCGGAAGGGTGCATTGTATTTCCGACGCAAGAAAAATTCGGCCGCCAAACCGAGATAGACCCATATAGCAACTAGAGAGCGGAGGGAATGAGAGAAGTGCTATAGGGCCACGTATCACTCACAAAGCTGAGCAGAAATCCCTCCTAACATAATGTTCCCGCCCTGTCTGCATGCAGTAAATGTCACAAGGTACGACAAGTGGCGCCTACCAGCGTGGGGCTTTTGTACTCATTCACGGCTTCTGCAGCGAATACGCTTCCAACAGCTTGTATGGTCAAGCATATAGTATCCTGCATGAACCGGAAAATATGAAGTATCGGCATCACTTGTATGTGAGGTACTCACCAATGAGAAAAAAACTATGATATCTGCGCCAAATTAGTAACTTGAAGCCAGTATATCGAAGTAACACCAACACATATTTGGGGTCAGACGACTGAACTGGGGCCCAAAATGAATGGTTATTCTGCCAAAGATAATAAAGTAAGCTGCAACTAGTGGAGTGGGTGCTAAGATAGTGCCGAAGAGCCTGCAGCGAAAATGTTCGAGTGTGAATACAAGCGATTCGTTCTCGATGAAAACTCACTGCATCTCAAAAGGCCTCAAAAGCTCGGGACTTTGGCTTGACCATAACCTGCAACTCCATCCGAATATTTCCAGAATGCCCGCAAAGGTCACTGTAGGAATCATCCACCAGAGTTTATATCTGAGCGCCTGGCCCATATGTATGGCTGGAAGTGTCACAATATCAGGACTGTGCGCCGTCAAGAGTAGAAATTCATACCGGTCGAGATACTATAAGCCGTCAAAAACTAAGGAAAATATGAGAGGAGTATAGGATGTCCAATTAAGATGACTCACAAAAATGCAGACCCACTCTGTAGGGACATAATTGTATGGGCTCTCACTGGCCTGTTCTGTTGACCACACTTGTTCATAGATGTCACAGCACAATAATACTGCGGCTCACGAGTCGTGTAGAGTATAGATCTGATGACCATCGTGACAGAAAAATTGCTCGCGTCAGTGGGCATCGATGGTTGAACAATGGGGCTTTAAGCAAAACCAGCTCCATTAATTTGGACCGCAAAGGATTTCAAATTAGTATTCTGGCTTTGCTAATGATATGGCTGCAGGGTCGCTGATACATCGATGAGCTGTCATGGTGAGCTAAGATAAGAGGATAAATAATAAAGTGAGTAAACTTTTACTCGTTTTAGATGCCGCAGGCAGCAGGAGTACCATTTGATTTGATGTTAACCTGCGGACGAGCACATGACACCCCCTCATACATAAGTCTATTGTGTCTCTGTTGTTTAGCAACTGTTACAACTCTTTTGGGAAATGATAACAGTCACGGTGTAGCAAATGCAGGAGCACGGCTCAATGCAACCCGCGTGTAACTTATGGTGCGCGACACCGTGTCATATCAGTGATCACTGCCAAGATCATGTAGGACATACCTCGGCCTTCCAAGCACAAATTCAATGATCATTGCTATGCAACTCACTTGGAAAATAGCTTCCTATATATCAATGGGGTAAAAACGTGCTTTGTACACAATCAGCACTTACATGTATGGTATGATTGTCATCTCAACCCCGTGCTGCACCACCTGACGAACAGGTCAATGTGACTCAGGCCGCGCGGCTGATCGTACGACAATACGATCCGTGGAGCTCATTAATGTTTATGAAATTGATTGAGAGAATATTTAATTATGCGGATGATTAATGTCAGGTGGATATGGAGTAATGGACAGCGCTCGAATAATCAGCATAATTGCGATAATTGCCAGCAAGAACTCAGAACTCCACCAAGGGAAGTTAGGTCACACAGTGATTGTCACAAGGGCCTACGCTCGTAATCGCGGAGTTTCAACAATGCGAGCGCGGGGGATGCTACTTGCCTAGGTACAATTATCTGCATCAACTTGTATCATATATCATTCATGCATGGCGCGTTTACGATGTACCCGAACTCAGCTATAAAGCCCCATCAGTCTACAGCTAAGCAGCTTGAAGTCCTTGCCGTGCACAACTGCAGAAGACGACGACGAACTTCTCGACCTCGCTCTCGCAGCCCCGCAGATCATAGACGGAAATCGCGAAGCAAGAAACGGAAATACACATCTGGTGGGCCTCTAGGGTATGTATTTTCGATGGCCATTGGGAACGTCCACGTGAATCCATCATCCATGGCTGTCGGCATTGTACTTCGAGCCCAAGTTCGAGCTGCGTCGTTCAATGTGCCGCCTGAGCATATTCTAATCTCAGCGCTCGCTGGTGTGCATCGGAAATCGAATAAAACACTTGATCTCAATCACAACACATCTTATTTCTCGCGTTATCAATCTGTCACTCATAAATTCCTCGAAAAAATAAAATGGGGGCGGAATAAAAGGGAATTGAGTGGGGCTATCATGCTCAGCATCATTAGCAATGCTATCATTTAGCGAACTGACCTTTGCAAATTAATATCAGGAACTCTGACACTATCGGAAACTCCCCGGCTTATCTGCACGTTTCCCTCGATGTCAACTGGTCGCTTCCTGAAGAGAGCTGATTGGTTGGCACTCTTTGACCAGGGCGGTCGTCTCTGATCGTGTAGGTTACGATGTAGATCATGCGTGCACGCTCTTAACCGCAGGTACCGAATTCTGGGTACTTCATTTTCGGTTGTTCCATTCGTGGATCACGACATCGTAGATGTATGCGCTCCGCGGCTACCACGTAAGGCGCAAGCGGCTAAGTCGCATGCAATGTTACGCTAAGCTCGGCGTTCAAACGTTCATTCCCCACATGCACGATGTCGCAGTGCACCCGGATCATGCGATAGTGCCATTGCCCGCCTAACACATCGTATGCGCCATTACCAAGGAGAAAGACTCAGTAAGCTAGGAGCCCATAACTTGAAGTCCTCCGTGTTCATATTCACGTACCGTTGACCAAAACTGGTTGTGGGAGAATATATCCTGAGCATGGTTACACCCACAGTTTTAGCCTTCGTTGACACTGTCACTATCGGAAGATTTGGCATATTCGATTGATGAATTTGAGTTAATGTACAAGTTATTTTGTGTTATCTACTCGCCCTTGTGTTATTTTGGTGACGAGTGTGATTATCTTTGCAATAAGTAGAATCGATCATTTTGTGGCGTGACGAGAACAATTGTTCCTGCTCATGAGATCAGTAAGCGACAGTTACCACTTGAGAAGTAGGCGATTCTCACCAAACAATAGAGAATTGCGCTAGCAGAGAATATTGAAAGCTGCCTAGAACGGCTGCTCCGCTAAAGTTTCAGAAATCTTGACAACCAGCTCATCGCGAGTTCGCAGTTCTGCGGCAAAATAGGCCTTGACCCCTCCGACACCCCTGGATTTCACCACGCGGACGATATCATCATACGCGTTCGTATTTCCAGCTCGTTCAACAGTACACATGAAATCTTTCTTTTTGCTATATATGAGCAAACTGCCCAGTCCCATTGATGTCGCAGTCGGAGAGAACGGATCAACAGGCACTTGCACCTTGATGATCATGGACCTCTGATCAAAGGACATCTGGGCACGAGGAGTGTTTTTAGGCGGCTTGGACTTGGAACTCGAGAGGCCGAGGGCTTCGCGAGTGAAATCAGCATGTGATATTGCAGACGAGAAGCTGCCGTAGGTTGGCTTCAGTGTGACCGTGGTTGACGTGGAGAATGGCTGGCACAATGGTTTATGGGTTTTCCAATGCATACCTGGTACAACTCGTGAGTGAGAAAAACGCCTGGACATGGTAGTAGGGGTCTCTTACGCTGGCAGTCAGATGAGCAATATCGGACTGTGTGACATCGTGCACACTGCTTCAAGCCTCTCCCTTTCTTCTTACAGTACTCGCATTCCTTCTCTTCCCATAGTGCTTTCTCCCCTGATCGTTTCCTTTCCCACCGGCGAACCGCAGCTGTGACTTGGGGACCAAACACAACACACAAAGCACGGGGAGAATCACCATTTCCGTCCTTGATGTCCAGATCAGCGTTGTGCTCCATCAGCAAATCTAGGATCTGTATGTCTTGTCCCTGGAATGGAAAGAAGAGAGGGACTTCACCATAACGGTTTTGAACATTCGGGTTAGCTCCGCCTTCGAGAAGTGCCCTGGCGAGTTCAAAATGCCCAAGCGGAGGAGTACATGCATGGTGGAGGGCTGTGTGACCGGATATATCCGGCAAATCCGGGGGTGCACCGTATTGAAGGAGATAGTTGATAACGTCAAGATGCTTAAGAGAATTTGGAGTGGCTCCTTTGATTCGCTGTGCGCCGAGAACGGTAAATGAAAGAAAACCAATTTTGAAAGGCGTTTCAGCTCCTGTTATATCCGGCGCAACCCCTCCGCTGACTGCCTTGACCGGAGAATCAGTATTTCAGCCATGACATGGAGATAGAGACGAACAGCTTTGACGTCTTGAATTTGCCCAGTCATGCATGCGAATGCGAATGGTGAAAGTTTATTGATATCCAGTTCGCCGAATTCTGCATGCTCAGCGTTAGTGTTGTTCTCAGGCAGGCTGCCAGTAGAGAACATATGACAGGTATAAACTGTCAATCAAAATCCGAGGAACTCACGTGTCTGAAACATGGCCCTAAGTTTCTCGCTACCCATTTTAATGCTAATATAGCCTTGTTGACTGAGGATAACCTCCATTTCCGCCGTCACTTTGAGCCCGCCATGACCTGGCGTGTCGTGATTTATCAAATTATCATGATGCTGGTGAGAACATATCTTGAGAATCTGTTGAGAGCAGTATTCTCACCTTGTTCCATATCAACCATATCTCCGTTCAGTTGAAAGTAGTGCACAAAAGGTCGCCGACACTTTGACCTCGGAGCAGCTCACTGGCAAGCGAACTGGATGTGGACATTTACGTAAACCATTGGGGCCGTCTTGACTCTGCATGTGCAACAACTTTTACACATCACCGTCACTAGTATGATTCAGCCTATAGCCCCGGCCCTATGAAATAGTCACCCAACAGCGAAAGTAAGCACTTAGGGTCGAGTTTGTGGTGTGGTATTTTGATGGTAGCCCTGCATTGACTCAGCCGGCGGGCGCACTGGCAGGCACATTTTGAAGTGCTTCTTTTGTCCCTCACTCTCATGAACTCTGAATCTATCCCATGGCGAGGCTTAAGTATTTTCCTCTATCACTGGTCGTCCGTCACTAGCGTGGCCTCCGAGTCTTGCTCCACGGATACTCTATCTCACTCGTGACCACGGCGGGCCCCAATGTCTTTTCAGGTTGTCTCTCCGCCGCTACAAGGACACTTAGCTCGCACCTCTAAAATGGTTGCACGACACTCACATGCTATGTAACATTCCCCATGGTCATGGAATACTGGTACTACGTGCGCCGGCCGTGACGGTTCTCTCCCGCAGCAACATGGTCTAATCTCGAGTAGTCCATTGGCTTGTCGATGTTTGTCAGCTTCGGCACCGAATTTTGTGGCTCAAACAACCAATGGCCTCTGGCTTTATTCATGCTCTACGTCATACGCCTAGAGCATGCAGACTTGCGGAGGTCCCACCTAGGTGCGAATTTTTGCAATTTTCGACGAGCGACCGCCGGATGCGGGACGCCTGGCAACATGCGCGGCACCCTCTTATCGTTTAATCCCAACAATACTTTTGTCATTGACATGGTTGCAATGGAGAGTTGTCGACCAATCACATTAGTTCGGATGTACGACATTTCAGGGTCATTAGGGAGATTTCTGCAATATTGTGGCGCCATATGGCCGCGGCAGGTAACAATTTTTATATTCAAAGTGGGGCCATTCTCTCTTTCTGATAGGCAAATGAAATTTGTAGAACCCTAGGGTCAAGAGCGAGATGTAGCAAAACTACCCTTGTTGCCGCATCATCTTTCAGTCGCACCTAGCTGTGATGTACAAGACAAAAATGGGTCAACCTATTTTGGCCACCGTTTATTTTTGGCATGATAGTAGCCGAGTTCATTACGCAAGATTACGCAAGCTCTCTTTAGGCGTGCCAATTGAGTTTGATGTCCTCTGTGCCCTGGGACACACTCGCTGATACTCGCGACGGTAGAGACGACAATGCCATATTTTCCAACTGTCACTGACCGACAGCCGAACGCTTAGATTCAATTGTATCTCTAGTCGTATCATGACTTAGACGAAGTCTGAAAGGAAGATGAGTCGGTCGCATTCACTTATGACATATATAAATGCACCTATCTCATCCCAGCCGCATCTAAGCTTGTCGACGATGAATCGGACCGCTGTGGGACACCTGTCATGACATCAGGATAAATTTGCATCTGCGCGGGCAGACCGGCGCACGAGACTCTGTACAGACGTTGGCCTCCTCACTTATGCGTTGGGCGGCAGTCTTAGAGATGCATGACGAACCAAGCGGTAGCAGCGCCTAATTCGTTGCCCCGGCTTGTTTTTTTGGAACGCTTACTTCCTCACAGTGAACTTCGACATGTTCTCATGTCCCTTTTTCCAAATGCTGGTTGCGGGGCCAGTGTGCCATTCGACCGGATGAATTATATCACCTAAATTCCTATCCGCAGCCTTAGGCCAGCTACCCATTCATCCTAAATATTCACCTGAAGTGAACTTAATTACCATACCCCTGTTGCGGAAGTCTATTTCAAGTTTCCCTCGGAGCTTGAGGTGAAGAACTTAATCCTTTTCTGGCGCGGCAAAAGCTGTTTCTCGCAAGAAATGTCTAGCATTCTATTACAGTCCCAGTCTCAAAATATGGACTCGGTTTTCATGTGTCGCGCAGAAATATCCCGTTGAACCAGTCTACTAGTCACCAAGTATTAGTAAAACCGGCGCACTGTGAATCAAATTCCCACGTCAACTGTACATTCGACTTCCTGCTCCGAGTCGGTCAACCTATAGTGACATTTCACCATTCGGGTTGTTCGATGAGTCTCAGCCCGGTAAATCTATCTCAGATGAAACCATGGATTGCGCCAGTTCAGCCATATGGCTAATATCATTGCAGTGTCGACTTCCTTCAGAAATGCTACCGTTTTGATAGCAAGTCAGAAGACACGTCGTTCGTTCGAGCACCTTTGGGATAATTATGCAGGGGTAAGCAGACCACTTCGAACGTTTGTACTTAACATCATGTGATGACAAAGTTGGCAGGTTATGATACAGGACATTCGACTCGCTAGGTGTTCTGCCGCGATAGTCCTAATTCTGGACAAGGACCCATCAATCTGGATGGTAGTGATAGTGATCGCGGCAGAAGATATCAATCGCATGTCACCTTGTTGAAACTAAACCCTTCGGCATGCTTATTCAATGGCAACCTGACTCACCCGACTTTATTCGTGGGGAATCTACGTGGATGAGCACTCAAGTTCCAACCCACTCTCATGTAGGACTCGGATGCCGTGTTTGTGTGTGGTAATATGATACTAGACTTAGCTGCGTCTAATGACCTTCCTTAGGACAAAGTCCATGCGCTGTGTTGTTCAAATTGACTATGAAGGCAAATAATATCACACGAGCTTTGCCGACCACTTGATTTTGGTATGTGAGAAGATTCGCCGATCTAATCTTCTCTGCTTATTTGGACGATCGGCTGATCGGTACAGGGGGTGTTTTTACGACAGGAAGAACTTTGGCGCGCGAAACGCTTTGGAGCGGGTACCTGATATTGCGGGTCATCGAAACAAGGTTTATTCGTCTCATGTCACGACTTTGTTGTCCACGTTGTTCGAGATCTCCGTTTCCGCTTAGTGTCCATGGCGAGCTTGCCTGAGACTATAAAACCCTCACGTTGGAATGGAGGGTTTTGATCATTATCACAGAATTCATCTAAAATGGCGCACTATTCCAACTCACCTACTGTCCACAACGGACCTCCGACGCATCCTGCATTACGTGAGTTATCATTGCCTCCCCTAGTAGCTCTGTCTTATGAGTTACAAAGATGTCCGGGATGCCAAAGATGCGCACGTTGTCCTCGAGGCCGTGCGCCTCAATATGTTACCATTGATCAAGCGGCGACTTACTGCTTCAGAAAGAGAGCAGGTGTCCTCCGGGAACGTCTTCGTCTGGGAGGAGGCCGAAAACGATGGGGGACTCCTACGCTGGACAGACGGACGTAGATGGTATTCAACATTACCTCATATGTAGAAGGTGTCATGACCTGTGTCTCCTAGGTCGCAAAGTCGGATGCGTGGTGATTACTTATTCTACGAGGAGAAGATGGAGACAACTCAGGAAGAAAAAGATGCTAAAGCTGCTTTAAGGTAATTTGTCGCGGTTTGAATCAGCGTATTTCTTAGTGTACTCACTGCATCATAGAGCGCTTCGTACTGCGGATCCACTCGCTGTGGCTCCTCCGACAAATAGACGAAAAGATCGTCCCAATCGTCCGAATGGACTGACAAAACAAACTTACTCCGCATTAGTCTACCTTCCGGGCTCAAGTCTCCCGCGTAAATGGCATGTCGTTGCATACTTCACAGTAAGCTTAGTCTTCATAATCAAGAAGAACTCTTGTTCATTACCGCAACAGGGGGATGACTATTCTCAACTTCCTGTCATTGAAAGTTACGATTACCTTCGAAATTTGAAAGTTCCGGCTGGCATCTTTGTCTCCAGCAAAGCCAACGGATCTCGTACCGATCGTTTCTCTTATGCCACTGATGGAATGGAGCCATACAATTCGGCGGGTCATGTACGTGGCCACACAAGTCAGTATTCTACACTTCAAGGAAGTCCCCGACACCCAATTTCTTCCTCTTCCTCGTCAATACCAATGCCTTTATCTCCTACCCAACATCATCCAAGATCTCCGCCGTCATCGGATGCTGCCATGGGGTCTGGACGTGCAGAGACGTCCCTACCCAGCATTTCAATCCTGACCAGTCTACGTGATACTCCAGAATTTCGACAACCTCATTCCTCACAGTCTGTACGACCCGGACATCTAACGACTTACAGTCCCTTGTCCGCAGAAGACAGACGTGTACTCAATAGGTTCAAAGTCGTATTATAGTACTCCCCTTCCCGTCCCGGACATTTTTTTTGCCTCAGACATTAAAGACATTCTGCATTCATTTTTGTTCCTTGGTAACCGCCAGTACTTTTCTCACTTATCTTTTGATTTGTATCCATACCCTTCCTAACCGTGCCAACCTCTCCGGCCGGTATGACAAAGCATTGTAAATGTAAAGAATACATCAGCGGCGCTCGGTCCTAGGATAAGTCCCAAAAGCCAGAACAGAGGTAATGAATATTTCATTTCCGTGAGTCTCCACGCAGCATTGAGCCCCACACTCGAAAGTAGGCAGAGGAGAAAAGAACAAGTGTGTCTGTTCGTAGAGCTTTACGTCGACAATTGTATGGTCCAGCATTGGTATCATGCAAGAGTTGCATCTTTCACCTCCGCCTTACAATCGGAAGCGCTAGAGTAGATTATCTGATAGCGCTGGCCTGAACACTCGCTTAAATGTTTAACATACTCGGCCATCTCCAGCGCTATAGTCTTCTATCCTGTTCTATTGAGTCTCTTCACTTTTTGCGCTCGGTCTAAATCTGTACGAGTTATTTGTAGCTTCAACATGAAGCATGTGGCGACAATGCCAATGACGACAGTACTACGCTTCTTGTGATATACCATGCCTGAATTTGAGGGTACACACGCCGTGCGCGTTCGTCGGATCCATTCGATCTTTGCCCTTGTACTAGATTCATGACCGAATATGATTTCATGGCTGGATGTCTGCAGTCGATACGTGACGATGCATCAAGTGTTGCGCCACCACGTTGGAGATAAGCCAAGGTTCGGCCACGACGGTCATGAGTACCCGATGTGCTCACTAGCTTGTGGGAACTTGATGGAACATGTAAACTAGAGACCCGGACTGATCCTGGGGGATGCCCCAGCTTGGTACCTTGAGTTATATCTGCGACGAGTCCGCAGCGAGAAGCTATGATAAACAAATAATTAATAAGAAGCATCCCTGCGGATTGCTTTCGTAGAGTGCATTACCATGATGAATTTCGATGAAATAATATCCGGGGCATTAGGTTGGAGTTGAAATTGCGGGACATTAACTCTAAAGAGATATTGTTGTGGGGCACGAAGGAGGAGGATGACTAAGTGGCCCGGGCCGTGACACGGCTTGGCGCTCCGCTCAAGCGCTCACCCCGCGCTCGTCGTAGTCGGCGACGTGCAGAGGTCTCTGGGCAACGAGGAACCCGGTGGCGGGAGGGTAGAATAGACATCCAAGTGGCAGTTTTTCTCCCGAACCTTACTTTGACTGACGGGGACATCACAGCCACAATTTCCTTCGCCCAGCCCAGTCTAATTGCTTCGCGGTGAGTTTTCCTCTATAAAATCTGAATAATCTCCACATGCCACTTATCTGCCGAAATTACTGCTCTAAAAGATTTTTGCCGATTGTCCTAAACAATTGTAGCGGGCTATCGCATGCTTCAAGCGTGAATCACCCGACAGTACTAATCAGAGCATACTTTCAATGTGTTCATGAATTTTGGTTTCAGTAAGTAACTATATCATCTCCGTGGATCTTCCGATGGCCTTCGTGCAGGTGTTTTGAAAATGCTTGCGGTAGTTAATTCTCGGACTATGAAGAGGCTCTTTTCATTCGGCGACTGGCTGAGTAGCCTCCACCCGGCGCCAGAGTTCCTCCCGCGGACTGTTTTTCATCTTTTTAATTTTCAGCTGCATAGAAGAGGATATGCTCATTTGACTATCCTTCAGATCATATGATCAGGCACAGTTTCAATCACCCATAAGTGTCTCGCCGTCCATCATTGTGGCTCATGCCTAAACTAATAGGCCGCAGCCAATCAGACTGCTCTGGGGAGCTTCAAGTTGGAGATAAGACTCATGATTAGTTAACTGGCAGAGAATGATATCATATTCCATCGAGTGCGACGCTATCGGCGGGAGTCAAGGAATCTTATTGAGCCTGCTAGATATTACAACACTTGGCGTGTACGGTCAGATGCTGAATCAGGTCGAGACACAATCACAACTCCGCGGTAGCTTACACTTCGCCATGCATTATCCGTTTGCCCTCTTCCACTTTATCCTCCTTGCCAGTCATCTTCCCAGCAATCACCTTTGCCTCACCTCGGAGCTTATCCATGAAACTCACCCGATGTTCCTTAGAGCTTGTAACGCTCGCTGGAGGCGCAGATGCCGGCGACACGGGAGAGTCAGGCTGAGCTTTCGCCTGGCTCGCGCTTTCGCCAACCGGCGGCGGATGCAACTTTGCCGGGTGATAATCTGTATCGTAAGCTCCTGTGCGCGCTCCAGCTTTGTGGGTGTGTTTCATATCCTCATCGCTACCCCTGTCACCAGCCACCTTGCCTACATCGCCTGTCCTACTGTCGACGCCTTTAATTTGTGTCAACTTTTCATCCCCAGGCTGCTGCGACACTTTTGCTTCTTGACCATGCGTAGGGACTTCCTTGTTATCGCTAGCTTTATCCTCGACGCCCACTTGAAATGCAATTAACTTATAGAACACACGTCAAACAACATATACATACCTTCCTTTGCTAACTCAGCTGTGCCTACTGCACTTCCTAACACTGGCAGTGGTGGCTGCCTTGGTCTCTGTTGTCTTGCCTGGTGGTTGGTCACATATCTGAGCCGCTCCTATAGGCGCCTCCGCCAACACCAACCTCAGCATCGTGTCCTTCCAGCACTTCGTGCTTCGGAGTGTGATCAACAGACACGGACTTTGGTTCAGGAAAGCTTTGCGCGGTGCTGATCTGTTTGCTGGGCAGGTGGTTTGTCCAGTTGCTGAGGGTCTGTCTGTGTCCCATACTGGCTGGACTGAGCCCGAGCGGACAGGTCCTTCGAAAGATTAGAAGGCTACAATGAGTACAACGTCAGATTCTAGACACAACGACTCGGAGGGAATAATGTATAAAAGACAGACGATCAAGTCCAAGGTTAACACAGGAGCTTGGCGCTTTCAAGAAAAACCTGAAGGTAGAGCATGGCATAGCCAACCATCCCCGCTTCAATGTTGGAGTCTGAAACATCTCGACTTCTCAACATTTGAAGAGACAATCCGGGGAAATTGCAAATACATAAATTGTCATAACTGAATGTCAGGGCAGAATGACTTGGTACGATCATGATCGAACCTGTCAATAACTCCGCGACATGCAGCGTGCTCCCTCGAAACCCAAACGAAGACAGGGCCAGCTGCCAAAAGGCAGTACAACAAAAAGATAGAAGAGAAACAAAAAACGACCGCTCGTCCGTGAAAACGCACATCAGCGTTGCGGTACTCGCATCAACTCGCCCAAAAATAAACATAGCGAGAAGAATGAAGAGAGGTCAAGGCGGAGACATAGTTGTACTTACTCCTGGCTTCCCAGTAACCGCAGCAGCACCGAAGGGATGGGTGGCGCTCTTTACTTGGTTATCACCTCGTGTTTGAGACTCGTCCTTTGTCAAGTTTACTTGTCTTTGAGCATCTTGCTCCGCCCGTTCATCAGGTAGTAAGGCGACGCTTGATTCTGAGATAGTTCCTGGCAGAGAACCAACACCCCCAACGTGTTCGTGAGGCTGGGCGCCCTTCAACTCTGAACTTGGAAGAGAAGTAGAGAGCTGTTGTTCCAACTCGGACTGGGTCCCTTTAGGCTGACAACCTTCCTCATTGGCTGATAAAAGTTCGTCAGGGCAACTCGAGCAAAAGATAGGGGCCACGCACACCAGTAGGACGCCACCGATTTTTTGACGCCTTGAGGGATAGGAAGGTATGTAGCTGCTGCCTGACCAGCATACTCGACTGTGCGCTCCACAGGTTCGGGCATGTACTGCTTCGCTGCTTGAACAACTGAGGTGCCAGCCGCGGGGCCGTCGGACCCATCGCCGCGAGATTGTTCTTGCAGCTCTTGCTCGTGTTCCCTGGGATAAGAGCCCGGAAATTCGTGACCTGGGGTACTCAAGTTGGTCTTGGTTGTGATGGGGCGTTGTTGAGGCTTGGACGTCGTCCTCATGGCGGGATCAGGGGTAACAACGTCGGACTGAAATATGGATTCTGTTTTGCTCGCCCACTCGGCAGGGGGAGTGCCAGCTGGTACAGGTGTGATTTTTGGTGGTAAGTTGCTCATTCTTGGTGTTGACGGATGTGTCAGAGCAGAGACGAGGTTTTATACTGCCATGCCAAGAATGACGTCACACTGCGGGGACCAATGACCAAACTTTCGATCACCAAGTCTAAACTTGAACTATCGTCCGCCAAGACCATGGTATTACACCCTGCTCGACTAGTAAAGACCACATCGCTCAATGTTAAAATACATACAAATTGTAAGTGATGAGTCAACAAAGCATAGTCTGCAGGCCAAATCAAACGCACGTAAACATACCCCTATGCTCTATGTGGTAAGGATTCTAGTTTCGCCTGTGTTTCAGCCATTTCTTCCTCCCAGGCTTTCCAGGCCTGCGGCTCCTTTTCCCAATGTTCGTGACACTCATGGCATCGTATGTAGTAGGCTGTAGTCACAGCACCATACCCCAACAACACACTGGAGAACCAGAGATACGTCAGAAACCTATCAGTCGAACCTTAGGCACTTACAACTCAGGTAACACATCACCGACGGCATCCATATCTCCTGCAGGCATGCAATCTTCGCAGAACGCTTGTGGGCATGTTTGGCACCTACACAATCTTAGATTGGGTCGTCATTGAGGATATTTACGCACCTGAATAACATTCCTCCTGCTTCAGCAGTGGAGCGTTCGCAAGCCGAGCATGTATGTTGGGGACAACAGATCATTGGTAGCTTGCGGAGTTGCGCTTTGGTAATACCATGACACTTGGGGTGAAATACTAGGTGATTTGGCGTCAAAAGCAAGCCAAACCACATGCTTGTTCAGTCTCACCTCGAGGACACGAGTTACAGAGGATGACGTCGCCACCGTCTCGACAATAAATGCACCAATCCTCTGTCTCGTGCTTTGATTTCGACTTCTTTTTCGAGGCTGGGCTTATTTCCTCTGGCTGATAAAGTACGAATCAGTACATCTTACTTTCCGCAGAGAACACACACGAACTGCACTCTGGCCCATATGATCAGCGATGACTGTGATACCATCTACCACAACCGTCCTGTCAATCCGCGCCCGTTGCTGCAGTTCCTGCCACTCCTGTGCAATCTGATGATTGTTTTGATTGCGTTTAACGAGCTTTCCCTCGAAGAGTCTGCTCTGAACCTGAGCGATACCACTAAGAAGCTTTCGCTCCTCTTCCTCTACATCGAGGATCTTTTTCTCATCGATTTCTTCAGCAGTATCATGCGAAGACACCACCTCTTTCTTCAGCTTGGCATCCCTTACCCCTTCCCGCTCTCGCGAGTCGTCGAGGATCTCTTGGATTGGCGCTTTGAGGAATGTCCCTAAATCCATACCCACATCTGACCGAGACAAGGCGCTGCTACCCTTGCGCAGAATGTCCAGAAGCTCAGTAGTCTTCAGTTGGGTATTATCCTCATTAGAAGATGACGTCGTTGAGGAAGACATGACTTTCAATGATAGGAACATCTTGCGACGAATGCGGTCGAGCATTTGATCCTCGACGCTTCCGCGACAAATAAGGCGATACACCTACAGGAACAACGTTTGTAGGGTGAATTGTGACGTAGCATCGGACACACCTTGACGGTTTTTGTCTGACCAATGCGATGGGCCCTAGCAATGGCTTGTAAATCGTTCTGCGGACGTTTTAACGGACATCGAGTAGATCTGCCACAGGAGGCTTACCTGAGGATTCCAATCGCAGTCGCACATGATGACAGTTGATGCTTTTGTGAGGTTTATACCTACCAAAGTGTAAAACCAGATCTTTGCAAGCAGAACTCCACGTACCAAGTCCACCCGCTTTGGTTGAAACAAGGAAGACTTGATATGCTAAACGGTTTTCAGCACAAGAAACATGGTGATTAAAACCAAGATCCTACGAGATTTTTCTTGTTGAAACTACGGACAACAGATATCAGGGAGCAGCTAGCAAGGCAAGAAAATCATCCTCACCAGTTTGATATCAAGATTCCGCCGAGGGCGAGTTGTTCCACCATCCAGCCGAGCGTATGGTATTGACCGCAGTTCCATGTAATCCTCCAGAAGATCAAGCATGCTAATATCCTTGCATCAAAGCATAATCAGCGAGAAGTACAATTGCCCTTTACCTTGTCCATTGCTACGACTGCTCATCAGTCTCGGGCTGGCGCAGGCATTTTTGTTTCTAAGGACTCACAGAAAATATCAAGACACGTTCTCCTTTGGGCAGGATATCGGTAAGAAGCTTGTCAATGACAATGAGTTTTGAGGAGGAGGCAATGACGTGTTCGCCAATAATATACGGCGAAGGGGATGCGTCTTTTAGCAGATATGGACTATCATCTGATCTGAGCAACAATCACAAAGAGACCAAAATACGACATACTGATCACAGACTTTGCGCAGCTGCATCAACAGATTCATAAGCTTCCGCCATCCTTAGAGTTATAAGCACGTGATAATGACGAGCAAGTACAATTTGAGGTCACTCACTGTTTGTCCCTCCAGAGACATTCCGATTTATCGCTGATGCGATGTGCGAAAAGACTTCCTTGCGTCCCTCATTCAGCGGGACATCCTCCTCTGTAAATATCTCTTTCAGGTCCATTGTATCCATTCGTGTCAACAATCTATAAGTCCAGAACCTCTGTGCTTCCGTCATGGGTATGAATAAAGTAAGTTCTTCGCGTGGCGGTACGGCTATATCGACATTCGCCTTGGTGCGGCGCATCATAATGACGAGCAGGAGTTCCTGCGCAGCCTTGAGGAATGGTATCGAGTATGAGCCACGAGAGAGGTCAAAGGATTCGTGAAATAGTCGCTGTGAAGGAGGAGTGAATATAGATGGGTATAGCCAATTCAAGAGGCCCCATAGCTCAACCAGATTGTTTTGCACAGGCGTGCCAGTAAGGACTAGCAGCACACGCCAGTGAGATGACAAAATACAATACAAAAGGAAACGCCTTACTTAGTCGGTACAGGGAACCTATGCCCCGGACTTTGCTGAAGAGGTTGGTATCAGAATTTTTGATCCTGTGCCCCTCATCAAGAACACAATAAAACCATCGTCGGCTCTTGAACCAATTGTCTTCACAAACATACGCCTCGTAAGTTGTGATGCATAGATCGAATTTCATCTCTTCGTTCCTGACGCTGTTCTTGAGTCGATCTCTCTCTGACTGAGTGCCGTGGAAGCGAAATACGCGCAATGAGGGTACCCAACGGGCGGCTTCCTGAATAGGAAGCCAACATGAGAAATGGTTGAAAATAGAATTACAAATCTTACGTTTTGCCAGGAAGACAGAACAGAAAGAGGGCAGATAATAAGATGGGGATCATGACGGCCTTCACAGATCCTGAGCATTCAGCAAAACAGAATGACTATAGGTGGCATACCCGGTTCGTTCTCTTGAATATGTGCAAAGAGGGATAGTGTCTGGCACTATGTCAGATAAAGCACACGGACCAGAAGGGAAGAAGTACTTGTAATGTTTTTCCAAGGCCCATTTCTAGTAAATCGTCACGATGGATAAAATGTAATGAAAGAACGAAGATTTACCATCACCCAATATACAGTTCATCCCTACGCGCGATCTTAGTCCCTAGGATGCATCATCGATGCAAAAAAAAAACATACCGTTTTTGTACATGTAAATAAGGAATGCAAGACCTTGAAGCTGCAGACAAAAAGTATTCAGGCAAACACTGTGAGCCAAGGATGCGCTATGCGTACTTGATAATCCTTCATTTCACCACCCTCTACCAACAAAGGCTGTGTCATGGGGACGCAGAGTGGGACATAAGCCGTGTTTCCTCCCGTTTCTTTCATTTCCTTGCGCAATGTGTCAAAGAATGAGGTCGAGGGCAATAGTGGTTGAAACAGGTCATGATGGCGGTACAGCCACTTTCTGCGGGCGGATTCGAGCTGTACCCTTCTTGCATTTATGACTATGGTATTCTAGAAAATCAATTATCATAGGGTCATCAGCATCAGCCGCGCAAGACAGCTACTACGGAGCTTACCGCTTTCTTATCTTGTATCTTCTGCTTTTTCTGAGAGTTTGCGCCATTGTCTACGGCAGAAAATGATGTCGTTCTGACGCGCTTTCCCGTCAGCTGAATATTTTCTCCACTTCGTAAATCATTCTTGGAAGGAGAGACACGTAGCCTGATGGTGAGTTTCTCCTCTTCGACTTGAGGAGACCCGTCACCGATTAGAGTCGTACTTGACCTGGAACTGGCGATAACATCTAGCTCATCGGGTTCTGGGTCGAGAAAATCGATTGGCCCAAAGGAATGAGACATGAAAAATTATTAGCAAACGTCCGACAGAGCTTCTCGGAAGGTTGTAAATGGCTGAGACCTAGTACCGCAGCCGCACTGCCACTGAAACTTGAACTCGAACAAACGCGGTTTCCATATATTGGGTTTAGGGCCGGTCATTACGCGCTTCTTGTGGTGGTCTCGGTCGTCTAGCTCACCTAGCTCATCCCCCCTCCGACACGTCACGTGACCTCCCGCCGGCATCCAAAAAAGGCTATGACGGTTTATTTTTTCGTTCTCTCAAGTCTCTCTGAGTTGATTCTTGAACGCTATTATGTATTAAGTATATAGTATGTGACAATGGCAATGAATAAAGAGATATATGTACTGTACTAGCTAGAGGGATTAAGTGGTTAATAGATTGATTATGAATGTGGTCACTGGGATGATGAACGAGCACGATAAAACATTGCGCTGGCGGTCCCTTTTTCCCAGGTTGTTGGGCTCCGCGATCGAGACGAGTTTTCTCGTCGTTCACGACTGAGACAATTATCTGCCAGACGGAGAAATGATGAGCCATTGCGTTCGAGAACGGTAAGCATTCTATAGTCATTAAATTGAATTTGATACTCAAGGCCATCACAGAAATCACGGATCTTGACATGTGTGAGCATGCGTTCCTGGAATGTCCTGGTGTCGAGCTGTTGACAGAACGTATCCACAAGGTCATCTTCCGCACCATCACCAACTTCGTCACCTGATTCCATTTCCCCCTCGTTCGCTGGTTCCAGTGGCACAGGAACAGGCATTGCAGCAGTGGCGAGCGGCGACGGACAGGAATCGAGGGGAACGAGCAACAGATGTGTCCAAAATGGTATCGTGCGGTTCCGTTGCACCTCGAGGAAAAAGGTAGGCACTACGGGGTGGACACTTTGTACCAGATGCTTACAAACGAGAAACCGAGTTTTAACAAAATTCGGGCAGGTGCAGACCCAACGATGGGGATCCGGTCGATATTTGGGGTTGAGTGGTACCGTGATCGGGGTGTTGGCTGCATGCAGCCAGTCTCTTTTGAATTCTTTTCACCACGACGACAACTCCTGAAATCGGCCAAAATCATTGAGTAGGTGGTCAATCTTTTTATAGTATGTTGGTGCGAGTTTGACGACAAGGATCCAGATCAGTAGATCAACTCGTGGCTTCGAGAAGTGCGTGAGGTAGTCAATTTTGATGTGCCGCCAGCTGCCAATGACACGGTGAGCTTTCTGGCTTAAGTTTGATGAGATTGTTGCACTTACTGGCTCTCCATGATCATCGTCGTTTTTAGTTGAGGTATCTTGTCACCCGCTGAACGTGCCCATAGCTCAAAACGGCCCTTTTTGTACCAGTTCTCCCAAAGGTAGGCCCACAGTTCACAGAGGTCGTGCTCCCGGCAAAATGTGTACATCTGGCGCACTGCCCACTGCCTTATTCCTGCAGCGCTTGGGTGTGAGTATCCGGGGATAAGTGGATGTGCGCAGAAGTGCCGTTCCATCATTTCAATGACGTGTTCACGAAATTCTGATGAACAAAAGGTGTGTCGTGATCGTTCAATATCTCCCGATTGAGGTTCCTGTTTAGGTATTTTGATGATAATTTTCAAACCTGTGGGTATGTCCTTGCGATCATTGATGTTGTGATATGAGTCTGGGAGTGGCTGACTTGGAAATTGAGATGGATTTGGGATATGGAATGCCAGTGTTGGAACAGGTGTGTCATCCTGTGTTTTGTCTGGTTGAATAAGCATGCCTCCCTCATGCTCGTTTGGATCAGATGTCCCTGATGGCCTGAAGTTGACGTCTATGAACGAGAATTCCTTGTGTGCCCGTGCTGCTTTATAAGGTGTTGTGGTAAGTTTGGATTTTGATAAGCGCTCTCATACAGCTTTACGAAGATGCCAGTAGCATAATTGAATCTTTGCTTCAGGCCAAACACTTTTCGACATGCTGATCTCCGCCATGTCCTTGTCAACATGAACGAAGGCAGGGACAACACCATACTTGTCTCGAAGACACTGTGCCCACTTCCGCAGTGCAGTGGTGCATTTTCCAATCTCAATTGACGTTGCAGTGGATAACAGGCAGTACGACAGTGGGAACCCAGCATTATCAAACTCGCCAAGGACACTATATAGTTCAAGGTGCTTTGAGTTCGTGTTATCTACTTTCTGTGTGAGACATTGCTCTTGATAAATTCAATTACTCACAGGTTGCATCAAGGGCAATTTCGACGACATTTTTATGAAGGGACTTTGCAATCTTCTTCATCCCCCAGCAGACTTGCTCAACACCATCAACCTCTTCAATATCAAATATATCTACATCCCCTGCGAGCTCGTCAAGCAATAATTTTGCAGATGTGAGTTGATTTTCGTCCTTCTTCCACAGGATTTGGCTCATGCACGACCAAGCAGAATGAACTTGTTTGGATGTGATGTTCGAGAAGAGTCCCTGAATCCTTGGTACCAATGTGCTCGGTATACTCCACTCGAGGTTATTGCAGATGATTTCTGTTGCCTCCGCTGGCATTGTGATGTCAAAGTATGGCGTGTGTGAGTCGTGATGCTCGATATGGATGGACAAGGTCCGCTGATCAATATCGTCAGGGGTGTGTTGGCAACATGACACAACAAGAGTGCTGTAACAGTCGAAACATTTCATCCCCACTGTATCACGGTGTTTGACACCTTCTTTTTGACTTGGACGGGCCTTCTGCTTCCGTGAGACGTCTTGACAGCACCAGAATCGAGTCTTATGACCCATTTTCAACATGAAGTGATCCTTCACTCTGTCAACCTTTGTGAGTCAACTTTACGCTATTCTAAATGGTTGAACTCACTTAAATCTGTATCCAGTAATCTTCCAAATTTCAAAAGCAGTCATTTTGACTTGTTCTCGTTCATTCATGAGTGGATCTACAAGCACGGTATAGTGTCCATAGAAGGAAATGACCTTCGAAGTCTTAAAAGCTCTTCGGAGCTCCATGAAGAGACTTTGACTATCTTTGTAGCTTCGACTATGGATTCCCTGTCACATAATATATGTTAGTATTCATCAATAATTTCAAGCTAGTGGAATCACCTCTGAAGAGTCACTTTCCACAGCTATTGGATGTTCTGCATTGTTTCCAGCTGTTCTAGCTACCACAGTTGGTGCCATAGGTGCCAGTGGAGGGGGTGGGGCAGGCCTCGGCTCTTCGGGTTGGGCCTCTCTTTTTCTCTTCCTCCGAGCAGCTGCATTGATTTTGTCATACTCTCGGCACCTCTCACATGTTTTCCAGGTACTATCATGAGGGAGAACATTTTTGCACTTTGACTTCGAGCATATCTGTAGTTCGGGTAATAAATCTGAGTCCATGGTATGTGCTTGTAGTAGAGTCCAGCTATGTATGGTACAAGGCACTCGTCTCTGTTGGGGTCACATTCCTTTTTTGGATGCCGGCGGGAAGTCACGTGACGTGTCGGAGGGGGGGGGGGGGGGGCGAGCTGGGAGAGCTGCTCGTGACCGTGTTGCTCAGCATCAGTGAATTGAGGAGTCCTTGATATTGTACCCGTGGGACCTATAGAACGGTGCAATTCTGCTCCCGCGCGTCACTTAGCCATGGTTCTCGATTTCATATTTATACAGTCTCAACCAACATCGAAATCGCCATACATCTTGTACTTGTTCTCGCTCCCCTTCACGCACGCTAGGCTTCGGTCTGTGCATCGTCAATGTGGATCGGATGAGTGCGTGTCTGACCTGCTCGACACGTTCTCGCTCCCCGACTTATGGGTGTTCAGTGAGGGACATGATGTATAAATGTGGTCTCACAAAGAGTTGAAGGTATTTTTGGCACGCTTAAAATATTCCCTGAAGAGCCTGATTTTCGACGCTGAAGTGAATGATCGGGAGGGTGTGGAATACATTGCCCTCATGCCTTCCGTTGAAGCAGTAGTAGATCCCAGTCTGAGGAAATTCAATACCTTAAGAGAGAGATGAGCCGAGCCAAGACGCTGGACGACAACCACAACAGCTATCAAACAGGGCATGAAACTGACAAAGGTGACAAGCCTCGTTCGGTACCAAAGAAATAAGTCTTTCAATTGAATGTGCAGCCGGGGGTAGTTTATTAGATTCAGAAACAAAGATGATGCAGTCCTCGAACAGGATCTCGCAGCACGTATGTAATTTTCATATTCCATTTTTTTCACAGATGTGCCTAGAAGTGCAAAGGACCTGACAATTGGTTTCCTGAACTACTTGTATTTCTGAACAAGTACAATGGTGACGGTACGCTACTGGTACCAGCGCTCGCGCAGCCATTTCCGTCGCACCATAGGCTTCGTCACCATAATCGCAATCCCCAAGCCAGTAACCGTCAGCACAAGTTGCACTTTATTGAAATTCTCACTGAGAACGTCAAACGTGCCCGAAGGCGCAATTCGCGTGAAGAAGAGGTCCAGGCCGTAAACAAAGACCAGCGATGTGGACTCTAGCAGAGATGGAGAAGGTAACGATGCGGCGGACGTTTGCGACCTGTAAAGCGCGTGAATATTGCGTGCTTCGGGGACTGAAAGTGTGAAACGAACCTCGTAGTTGTGTGAAAGCACGAGTCGGGCATCGTCTGGCAGTACAGCATCATACTGTACAAGCATCTCTTCCTGCTCTTCACTAGTAGGCTTGTGCTTCGGCCTTCTTGGATTGAGCAATCGCCGAGGAATAGACTGAATGCTGTTCTTGTGATTTGCAACTACGCAATCACCATTAAAAGACATCACTCGGTCACAGGGGAATCATACCTATGATGTCCTTTGTTGATACTCCAAACTTCGTCGAGGTTGGGGATATAGCGGCGATGCCGTGAGGCATGATAAACGATTGTTCGTATGTGCTGATATGCAACGTCTTGTTGGAATATGACGAGAGCTCAGAGCTGTCTCGAAACGTCAGTCTCATACCTGAAAATCGCCAGCAAAAGGCCAACCTTTTTGTTTTGTCATCCGGTCCATCACCCTCGTAAAACTCGACAGAGACGACTCTATATCCTTTACTCTGCCCAGTCCCAGAAAAATCATCATCAAAGTAATGGTATATCAGCCAATTCTCAGTGAGAGTTGCTTGCACGTCGCATACGCCATTGGCAGCAGGGACACTAGCATGGTAGATCACACTACCTTTGACCACGTCCAACACATATATACCACATGTGCCGGATGGTGGGAAAGACGTGAGGACTAGTGTCAGGTGGGGGTTAAGATACTTGTACAGTGTCATACGGTTTCCGAGGACCTTTCCAATCGATGCAACGGGACCGCGTGTGTTCGGTATGATGGCGTGAATTTCCTCTTTTGGTGGCAATGAAAGTGCCCATGTTGGATAAGCAACACAGAACTGAGACAGCTCGAGATTTAGGGCGAGTTGATGGCCCAAGATCTGGCGCTGGCCAGGAACATCCGTGCGGAGAGCGAGATATATGGATGGAACGAGTGATTCAAGCTCAGCCTGAGCTGATGGAGTGTCTGGATAGAGGCGCGCCTATTGACTGTTAGACTTGCAGACTTAGGCAAAGAACCACAACATACCTGAAGGTATTCATCGAGCATGACTATGGTCCGGTTCTCATTGGGAAGCATGAAAACATCGACCAACGGACCCATGACAGCATCGAGGCCTTGCAAAGCAGCTCTAGGACCAGACTGGTGCTCCTCTCCAATGTCGTCTCCCGTAAGTGCATTCACATGGAACAGCACGGTGTCAATAAGAGACTGAGCCGCGTCAACGTAAATCTCGGCTGGAAGGAGAATGGGGCTCACATTGTCAGCCCGGCGTTGTGTGACGAGCACTATTTGAGGTCCTTCTGGATCGCTTACTGTCCGCGTGACGAACATTTTGATAGGAATTATTGTCCCGCCAACTTTTGCTGCCCAACCAAGGCCAAGCACGCGACTCCATAAGACTCGACCATTGCTGGAGTCAATGCCGAAGACTTTCCCATGAGCTGTAGCTGCCACTATGATCTGTCGGAAGCCGAAAGCGTCGCGCGTGAGTGTATCCTCATCCGAGAAAGATGCAGCCGACGTAGTCACAGTAGCATATGAGCCAGTTGCGAAACGTCTAGCAAAGTTTGCCAAGTATCGAGGAAGATTCTTGAAAATACGTTTAGTGCAAGCGACTTCAGTATACGCGAACCCTGTACCTTGGCGTCAGATAACTGACGTTGAAGCCGCTCAAAGTAACCTTCCTCATCCACAGCATGGGACATGACAACCTTCTTCTCAGGAAGTTCTACAAACTCTGCAACTTGAATGGATGCCAATGCTTCTTCCCGAACCCACCGCATTTCGTCATGTTGCCAAAGTTGTATCGAACCTGTCGTGGTGGTCAACAACATGCGAGTATTCGCATGCGTTTCGCCCGTGCTCGAGCCGTCAAACGCCACCTATCATCTAAATAAGATCTCACTCTGGAATAACTGTAGAGTGAACTCACGTGCCGGATGACACCGTGGTCAAGAGTCTGGAAGGGAAACGCAAAACCAGAGGCTGAGGCCTTGCCCTCAGATAACTGGATAGCAAGAGTTTGGTGGATAGCTTTCTAAGTTTCTAGTTGCGTAAGAAACAGTAGCAGGTACAGAGAGGTCTTACATTATGAGCGTTCGACCAATAAACACGCGCAACTCGCGGTTGGCCATCTCGGCTAAGGCTTCCCACGAAATGAGAATCCGATTGTACCTGCGAAGGGGCCTGGGGTAGCCCTCAGTAAACCGTGGTACTTGCATGAAATATAAAATATACCGCGTCACCGAATTCCCAGATTGGCTGAAGCGAAGATGCCTGTGCATCAAAGTGCATGACGTGCGCAGCACCTCCTTCCTTGATCGCAAGGAATTGACCGTTATTCGAAAGGCCAAACTCACTAATCCTATCGTATTTGACGCCCGGAAGAGCCATAATTTGACCTTTCAAATCAGGCGTTAATACGGCAGCCTTAAGGACACCGTCTTCAAGCCAGTTGGCGCAGACACTGATTGTAGGTCCTGTCTGGGAGCTAACAGCAACAAATTTGGATGTTTCATCTTTAATGTTCGCCGGAATGTTGACAGATGCGATGATTTCGCCTGTGCTCGCTGATAATGTCGTAACGTGCAAAGTATAGGATGCAAATGATTTCGCAAGTCCCAGAAGATACACAGTTGATTGGTCGGCAATGATGTGAGAATACAAAACCAAGGACCTAATTGATATCAATGAAGTGAAGACCGTATGATACAAAGAAACACACGCTTGATCTGGAGAGTTCCATGACCACAGAGTTTCCCCAGTCTCATCCAGACGGGTGACAGAGTCTGCATTTGTCAATGCGAGATAACCCGTTGTGTTGAGGGAAGGGTCAGTAGAACGCAGTAGCGAAATGCCAAGATTTCGAGGTTCATGGAGTTTTCCATCCACCGGTCTGTGTAGTTGTTTCTCCAATATAAGGTGGCCAGTTTTCAGTTCATACGTGCGCAAAATTGACCCTCCCGGTCCAGATAGAGAAGACACGCCTAGTACCATGTTTGAGCCATAAATATACTAAATTGGCATGACGCACTATTATCATCATGGCTGAAGGCCATGATTGGGTCCTCTGCATCGTATATACTTCTCCACACTGCAAACCTATTAGTGAAGTCAGAGTCAGGATGGGGCACACACCTATAGAGCCATCCGTGGCATTCAATGCTGCCAATACATTGTTGCTCGTAGCGGTCAGAATATAATCACCACTAAATGTGGGTGCAGTATATGGAGAGCCATCCAGCGGTACACCGATCAATTTTGCATTCCAATCCACCACACCCACATCAGATTCGTGTAGAGCCCATGCTGTGACACACAGCAAAGCAAGGGAGAGCTGACGCAGGCAGCGCATGCAAGATAGTATTCAAATTCGCGTGGGCCGATGAATTGTGGTGTCGCTAGAGGATGAACCCTTTAAGAAATGGTAATAGCACCTATGTAAGCCCGAACGTGTCGTGGTACGTTGGTTAGTACTTGCTTTCTCACGACCTCCTCCACTCGATGAGCAAAGCCTGCGGCATTCAACTAATAAGTATATGAATCTACAGCACAACACCGAGTCAGACACGACATCAAATCAGCTCTAATATCTACGTATCATCCATATGCCCTCTTATAACCCGGACAAATGGATAGATCAACTCATGGAATGTCGCCACCTCCCAGAACCCGATATGAAAGTCCTTTGCGACCGCGTCCGCGCTATACTCATGGAAGAGTCCAATATTCAGCCCGTTTCGAGTCCAGTCACCATCTGCGGCGACATTCATGGTCAGTTCTGGGACTTACTGGAGCTGCTGCGAAAGGGTGGACAGGTCCCGGAGACGAGTTATATTTTCATGGCACGTATGTGTGCTTGTGGTTCGAGGGTTGAACATGCTTAATGTCGATCAGGGTGACTTTGTCGACCGAGGGCATTATAGCTTGGAGACCGTGTCCTTGCTGCTGGCACTGAAAGCTCGGTATTGTCACTGATAGCCCATCGTTGTATCTGTATTGATTTTTTTTAGATACCCAGATAAAGTCACTCTCCTCCGTGGAAACCATGAAAGTCGACAAATCACACAGGTGTATGGATTTTATGGTAAAGCTCGTTGGCGCAGTGCTGCTTTTCTGATAGTACTGATAATTCGTTGCATAGATGAGTGCCAACAAAAGTACGGTAGCGCTGCTGTTTGGAAGGCATGTTGTAGTGTATTCGATTTTCTCAATCTCGCTGCTGTGAGTTTCGCCCGATTGTGTCCAGGAAACGCTCAAATCTTTCGTAGATAATAGACGGAGAGACTTTGTGCGTGCACGGTGGTCTATCACCAGACATTCGAACTCTAGATCAGATTCGTGTCCTCTCACGCGCGCAGGAAATTCCTCATGAAGGTGCTTTCTGTGGTCAGAACTTATTAATGTTCACTCGGCTCCTCCTGATTTACCTTCGCAGACCTCATGTGGTCTGATCCGGAAGACATCGACACTTGGGCTGTCAGCCCACGCGGAGCTGGTTGGCTATTTGGCAGAACAGTGACGCGAGAGGTTCGCCCATCTATCCATATAATCTAAATGTCACCCTGACCTTTTCAGTTCAACCATGTCAACTCCTTGAGTCTCATTGCTCGTGCACATCAGCTCGTGCAAGAAGGGTACAAATATATGTTTGATGACCAGCTCGTTACTGTGTGGTCTGCACCAAATTACTGCTACCGATGCGGTAACATGGCGTCCATACTAACAATAAAGGAGGACGGAAGTAGGGATTTCACCGTTTATGATGCCGCCCCCGAGAACGAAAGAGATAAGGGAATGCAAACAAAAAAGATGGTAGGTTGATACTCGCTCTCCCGGAGACTACCGGAATACACGCTAACGGTTTTACGTGCAGAATACAATGCCCTACTTTGTATGACATTGTGTATTACGATGTTTGTGTACAGCGCTATTGACTTTTTTTGACACTTTGATATTGCACTTTTAGTTGTTCGTCTATTTTGCCCAGTGGGGGATCACGGGATAGTACACAAAATTTGGTTCTTTCGCTGACCAGTGCTTGATGTTTTTCGTAAGATAACGGGCCGATTTTAACATCTCGATAGTCATCCTGGGATGAGTATCAATGGTTTAAGGTTACCTCTTGACTCGTTATTTCTAGTAAATGTTTTTCATTCTGCCCCCCGCAAGCTCTCCCAGCTCGCCCCCCCCCCCCCCCCCTCCGACACGTCACGTGACTTCCCGCCGGCATCCAAAAAAGGAATGTGACCCCAACAGAGACGAGTGCCTTGTACCATACATAGCTGGACTCTACTACAAGCACATACCATGGACTCAGATTTATTACCCGAACTACAGATATGCTCGAAGTCAAAGTGCAAAAATGTTCTCCCTCATGATAGTACCTGGAAAACATGTGAGAGGTGCCGAGAGTATGACAAAATCAATGCAGCTGCTCGGAGGAAGAGAAAAAGAGAGGCCCAACCCGAAGAGCCGAGGCCTGCCCCACCCCCTCCACTGGCACCTATGGCACCAACTGTGGTAGCTAGAACAGCTGGAAACAATGCAGAACATCCAATAGCTGTGGAAAGTGACTCTTCAGAGGTGATTCCACTAGCTTGAAATTATTGATGAATACTAATATATATTATGTGACAGGGAATCCATAGTCGAAGCTACAAAGATAGTCAAAGTCTCTTCATGGAGCTCCGAAGAGCTTTTAAGACTTCGAAGGTCATTTCCTTCTATGGACACTATACCGTGCTTGTAGATCCACTCATGAATGAACGAGAACAAGTCAAAATGACTGCTTTTGAAATTTGGAAGATTACTGGATACAGATTTAAGTGAGTTCAACCATTTAGAATAGCGTAAAGTTGACTCACAAAGGTTGACAGAGTGAAGGATCACTTCATGTTGAAAATGGGTCATAAGACTTGTTACAAGAACATCTAGACGCTTGGGCCCCTACTATTTTTCTCCTAATCCTCCTCGTATCAGCCCTCGCATCATACCCTTACCCTGACCTTACCCTTGTTACCCTCGTCATCCTCGCATTCCCTTTCGCCCTCTACCTGTCGCTTCAGCAAAGCCAGTACATTTGGCCGGATCCTTTCGCTGACGAAGCATACCCATGCTCCGTTTCACCACCTGACTGATCCTGCGGACAGTCCCCTTGCCCTTACCGTCCGGACGGTAACCAATGTTATGATGCACGACGCATCCCCTTTGCCCTGTTCCCTTTTATGATCTTTGACTCGTTCTCTTATCTAGCACGTTCTACCTAGACCGAACGTGCCTTCCTGTTATGGTCTTACCCTTTACCGATTGCCTCTCCCGGTAGTACGAGTTATCATCCACTAATACGTTTCCTGTCCTCTATATAAACTCGCTACCATGTACTATATTCCCTAACTTGAATCTACTTGGTTCTTGACCTCCTACTCTCACCAGAGTGATCCTTCTGCCTCGCCAGCAGTCTATATTCTATCTTCTTATCTGCTCTTCGCAGATAAGCCTATAGTCTCAACCTTTGCTCATCGACTTCGTCGACGAACAAAGCCCCTGTTAACTAGTTGGACTTCTGTCCTTCTAATTAACGACGATCCTTACGATTAACCTTCGGGTGTCGTAAGCCTAGGCCGATATAGCTTATCGTCTCGCACCCGCGTGACATAAGCTACCCGATTTGGACATAGGCGTCAAATCGTACCTGCCGAAGACACGCCAAGTACGACCCCTAACCTTGGGCTAGCCCAAGGACGTCCACAGACCGTTGACGACACAAGCTCAGTTTGAGCGTCGCCAACAGATACCATCCAAGTCATAACAAGACTCGATTCTGGTGCTGTCAAGACGTCTCACGGAAGCAGAAGGCCCGTCCAAGTCAAAAAGAAGGTGTCAAACACCGTGATACAGTGGGGATGAAATGTTTCGACTGTTACAGCACTCTTGTTGTGTCATGTTGCCAACACACCCCTGACGATATTGATCAGCGGACCTTGTCCATCCATATCGAGCATCACGACTCACACACGCCATACTTTGACATCACAATGCCAGCGGAGGCAACAGAAATCATCTGCAATAACCTCGAGTGGAGTATACCGAGCACATTGGTACCAAGGATTCAGGGACTCTTCTCGAACATCACATCCAAACAAGTTCATTCTGCTTGGTCGTGCATGAGCCAAATCCTGTGGAAGAAGGACGAAAATCAACTCACATCTGCAAAATTATTGCTTGACGAGCTCGCAGGGGATGTAGATATATTTGATATTGAAGAGGTTGATGGTGTTGAGCAAGTCTGCTGGGGGATGAAGAAGATTGCAAAGTCCCTTCATAAAAATGTCGTCGAAATTGCCCTTGATGCAACCTGTGAGTAATTGAATTTATCAAGAGCAATGTCTCACACAGAAAGTAGATAACACGAACTCAAAGCACCTTGAACTATATAGTGTCCTTGGCGAGTTTGATAATGCTGGGTTCCCACTGTCGTACTGCCTGTTATCCACTGCAACGTCAATTGAGATTGGAAAATGCACCACTGCACTGCGGAAGTGGGCACAGTGTCTTCGAGACAAGTATGGTGTTGTCCCTGCCTTCGTTCATGTTGACAAGGACATGGCGGAGATCAGCATGTCGAAAAGTGTTTGGCCTGAAGCAAAGATTCAATTATGCTACTGGCATCTTCGTAAAGCTGTATGAGAGCGCTTATCAAAATCCAAACTTACCACAACACCTTATAAAGCAGCACGGGCACACAAGGAATTCTCGTTCATAGACGTCAACTTCAGGCCATCAGGGACATCTGATCCAAACGAGCATGAGGGAGGCATGCTTATTCAACCAGACAAAACACAGGATGACACACCTGTTCCAACACTGGCATTCCATATCCCAAATCCATCTCAATTTCCAAGTCAGCCACTCCCAGACTCATATCACAACATCAATGATCGCAAGGACATACCCACAGGTTTGAAAATTATCATCAAAATACCTAAACAGGAACCTCAATCGGGAGATATTGAACGATCACGACACACCTTTTGTTCATCAGAATTTCGTGAACACGTCATTGAAATGATGGAACGGCACTTCTGCGCACATCCACTTATCCCCGGATACTCACACCCAAGCGCTGCAGGAATAAGGCAGTGGGCAGTGCGCCAGATGTACACATTTTGCCGGGAGCACGACCTCTGTGAACTGTGGGCCTACCTTTGGGAGAACTGGTACAAAAAGGGCCGTTTTGAGCTATGGGCACGTTCAGCGGGTGACAAGATACCTCAACTAAAAACGACGATGATCATGGAGAGCCAGTAAGTGCAACAATCTCATCAAACTTAAGCCAGAAAGCTCACCGTGTCATTGGCAGCTGGCGGCACATCAAAATTGACTACCTCACGCACTTCTCGAAGCCACGAGTTGATCTACTGATCTGGATCCTTGTCGTCAAACTCGCACCAACATACTATAAAAAGATTGACCACCTACTCAATGATTTTGGCCGATTTCAGGAGTTGTCGTCGTGGTGAAAAGAATTCAAAAGAGACTGGCTGCATGCAGCCAACACCCCGATCACGGTACCACTCAACCCCAAATATCGACCGGATCCCCATCGTTGGGTCTGCACCTGCCCGAATTTTGTTAAAACTCGGTTTCTCGTTTGTAAGCATCTGGTACAAAGTGTCCACCCCGTAGTGCCTACCTTTTTCCTCGAGGTGCAACGGAACCGCACGATACCATTTTGGACACATCTGTTGCTCGTTCCCCTCGATTCCTGTCCGTCGCCGCTCGCCACTGCTGCAATGCCTGTTCCTGTGCCACTGGAACCAGCGAACGAGGGGGAAATGGAATCAGGTGACGAAGTTGGTGATGGTGCGGAAGATGACCTTGTGGATACGTTCTGTCAACAGCTCGACACCAGGACATTCCAGGAACGCATGCTCACACATGTCAAGATCCGTGATTTCTGTGATGGCCTTGAGTATCAAATTCAATTTAATGACTATAGAATGCTTACCGTTCTCGAACGCAATGGCTCATCATTTCTCCGTCTGGCAGATAATTGTCTCAGTCGTGAACGACGAGAAAACTCGTCTCGATCGCGGAGCCCAACAACCTGGGAAAAAGGGACCGCCAGCGCAATGTTTTATCGTGCTCGTTCAACCACTTAATCCCTCTAGCTAGTACAGTACATATATCTCTTTATTCATTGCCATTGTCACATACTATATACTTAATACATAATAGCGTTCAAGAATCAACTCAGAGAGACTTGAGAGAACGAAAAAATAAACCGTCATAGCCTTTTTTGGATGCCGGCGGGAGGTCACGTGACGTGTCGGAGGGGGGATGAGCTAGGTGAGCTTGACTAGAGTGCAGTTAGGGTTCGAATGGTGCGACCTTCCGTACGTTTTTTGGACTTGGGCAGATAACATTGTGTACATCTGGTTCTGGTATAGTTTATACCTCTATCTGTACTCTATCTGGATACAGACAATTTCTCGTTTCCGCAGTGATTATTAATGCCATTTCACTGTCTCCCAATGAGCGCATCCTCGCAGGTACACCACTGGTCGGAAAGACAGCATATTTATGGAACCTCGAAACCGATCAACTTATGAAAAACACCAGATCACCCTGAAAACTTTGCTCAGCCTACCTTTTCTGCAGATGGAAAGTTCCTTGTCACTAGCTGCGAAGACGGCCACCTATACACATGGGATGTTTCCGCTATCGTCAAAGAAGCTGGCCTTCCAGTAGATATTGTAAGTTTAGATACATTTCATCCCGAACGACGCTGACAACGGCTCCCTCAGCTTGATGCTCCACCACAACCAGCAGTAAAGAAGAAAGGTGCTTCTCATATACCCCCAGGGTTCTTTGACGATGACATACGCAAGGCTAATGTATGTGATCTCCATCTATTATTCAACCCTTTGGCTTGATATGTTCTCAGGAGCACATTCGTCTATCCCAATCCCATGGACCATATCACCACCCCACGCCAGCACCACGTCAACGCACCTTCAGTCGCTTTCCTTCGTTATGGCATGACTCAAATTTGCACGGGGAAACTGAACACCGTACGCGACCTCAGTCCCACCCTCTTAGCTGGACTCGAAAGCTGGTGTCTAGTATACTAAACAGACGAGATGGTTTGGACATCCAGTTGCAAGAGGTCGAGGTCCCCTACACAGCGGGAAAGCCTGTGCGTTTTTTCTCCTTCACAATTCTTCTTCGCTGCTAACCCTCTTTGCACAGAGGAACCATCATGCAAGAAAGAAGAAGCCAACTACCAGCTCATCTCAACCTTCTAATACTCATACCACGCAACAACCTAGCACGTCATCACAACAGCCGCCCCCAACGGCCGCTGCCTCGACACTTTCCGCCGTCACTGGTACCACTGGGGCAACGGGAACACCCTCACATCCTCATATCACAAATATCAGATGGTCCACTCGTTTCGTGGCCTGGATTTGCTGCGCATCTGTTCAGAACGCAGACGGTCACCATTAGTCAAGCGACATTTTGGCTTCTGTATTCAGTTCGTGTTTTTTGTTGTTTCATCTATAGCTAATTCTTCACAACTCCCACCGTCGTCCTGTACTTCCACAAGTGCGTAGGTAGGGTAGGGTACCAATATCCACAGGTGCTGAATTATACGTGTATGCAAAGTTTGAAATAGATAACGCTAGGATCGAGTATTTCCGAGGTGCTATGCAATAAAAGACTACTTCATCACCTTGCGCTGCGACATGGACGTCTCTCGTTGCCCGATGAACCTGTAATAATCTAAACATAAAGTGACGGGGATGATCAAAACATATCAATGATCCCGAGCGACTGAAACTGTTGAGGTTGGGGTGTGGTACTACTAACATCTGTAGCTAACTAGACTGCATACTAGGAACAGAAGCTTTGAAGTGAGAGATGCTGACTTGATTATACGCAGGTACATTACGATTCCAGCCTCCTGGGCCATGACATTGTTCAAGACTTCTTCCCACCTTGACATGCCAATCCGCTTACCGTACGAGTCCACGTGCCCACTCTCGTTCAGCGTTCAACATAACAAAGCGTGGCACACCGAGAGCCAAGGAAAGGCTGCCTGCTGGTCAGTAGTAGATAAAAGCCAGTGTCAATGTACGCAGGTTTGTCGACACCTAGACAGGGGCGAGGTAGGACACAGAACTTGTCCCCTTGGCCATCTTAAGCCGTGCGTTGAGGTATCAAAAACAAAGAACGCACCGAAGTCAAATAGAAGTTTTGCATGCTGAATGTGATTGAAACATCCCTCGCACTGTATGTTTAGTTTGGCGTATCGATGGTATCAGTGGAACGAGATAAATTAGGAATCAAAAATTCCTTGGAAATTTGTGATATTTTAGATTGAATGGTTCGAAGGGAGCGTAGGATTACCCAACGAAAATGATGCATGAGGTTGACATATGATCATATCGGACCAGTGGAAATAAATGGAATGCATGCTCACAGATTAGCGGGGCTACTAGACATGATGCCGAGCGAGTGAATGCAGGTATATAGATTATCGTTATGAAAGAGGATCGAGCGCTTGATCCGTACAGCATCGAACTTCTAGATGACTTGGATAAGGCCACCTTCCCTGTTTGATTCTGGATCGAACGACACACCCACTCTGTCGCCACAACCTTCATTCCACATTCGTCTTTCTGTTTACAAGTTGGATTCTGAGTAAGGGGTGAATTCGTGCGGCATTTGATGAAAAGAGCTGAAATCATCACATACCCATTAAGTGAATTCCAAAACAGAAATGATGGGGCAGATGGCACATGCAAGGAGGACGGCTAGTAGGGGCGAGGATAGAACATGACTTTGTCAAAAGTCTCCCGCCAAAGTGGGACTGAAGATTCTCTGTACCGGTGTATGCTCCATGGCCAGCGGTGGTAAAAACGCTACAGCAAAGGCAAGATTCCACTCTTATCACTGATGTTGACCTGCTGGGGTAGTATTCCGCCATCCAATGACATGTCCGGGATCAAAATTCCTGTGGACGCTGAGACATCGACGCTCATCAAGGGATTTCGAAGTTCTGTTGTGCAGTGTCAAGCAGTGCTTCGGTTCTCAGAAAACCAAATGATCGGCGAGTCTGACCTCATGCAGACTCTGACTTGGACATCCCCAGGAAGGTCCGTTGAGTGCCAAAGGTCTCTACTTTCATCACTATCATTCCCTGCCCTATTCCGTCCTCTCCTTTATGTTGCACGCCGTCCTCTTGAGGGCATTCTGTACAAAACACGCGACGACGACGTGCCAGCAGACAAGGCGATGGATTGCACAAGGTCTTTACAGTGATGGAGGAAGGTTGTTCATTACGTTTGTTTGGCATTGCCAAAGGTATGAGCGTAGAAGTACGTAGACGTACTAAATCTAGAAAAGGAGGGAAAGAACTGATTGGACGAAGAGCAGGACATTGCGACCGGGATGGCCGGGTTGCGAAGAAGGTAAGAAGTGTCCAGTTGGACTTTCAACGGACATGTGGCACAAGGAGACAGATACGGAGACCGCAGAGTGGTACACATCAATGCAGGCTTAGGGGAATAGTATGGTGATGATGTCGAAGGCAATGTAGATGAAGGAAGCACGTATTTGGTCCGAAATAATATCGTCGAGCGCTTAATCTGCACAGCCAGGGCCCAGTGGTGATGCTGTGAGCGACCACAAGGATAAACCGAGGAAGACGCGCCAGTAGAAGACTCCCCTCCTGACTTGAATCTACATCGAACGAAACGCCCATTTCATCGCAGCTTTCGTGTTGCATTCGTCTTTCCGTCTACACGTCAAGTACTACATGTGGATTCAGAGTAAGTGATAGTTTCATATGGTATTTGATGGTAAGAGCTTGAAGTTATGACGTACTCATCAAGTGAATCCCGAAACCAGAATCATGTCGCATCCACCTCCTGCGAAGCACGAGAATTCAGCGACAATGCCTTACCGAAAGATCAAAGTACATGACATCAGTCACATCCTACACCTGCCCGGTGGACGGGTCATCTGCCATTCATGGAATGGGTCATTTAGAGTCTGGGACTTGGAGACGGGCATACGGGTCGAGGAATGGGAGAACAAAGATACAGGAGCGATGATCATGGCATTGTCGCCGGGCAGCAAGACAATAGCAACTGGTGATCAGGATGACGCAGTGAAATTGTGGGACGTCGACACAGGCAATGTCATCAAAACATTGACGGGGCACACAGGTCTATTGTGTTCTATGTCCTGGAGTTCAGATGGAGGCCGGGTGGTGTGTGGATCCCGGGATGGGACATTCAGAGTGTGGGATGTCAAGAGCGGAGAAACTATCCTGGGACCAATCAACGCAGCGGAATTTATTTGGGCGGTTCGTTACTCACCCGATGGCAAGATGATTGCCACAGTGGCAGGCGAACTGAAAATTTGGGATGCCAACCTCAGGCGAACCGCTCAAAACACTCCAGGGTTTTTTTTTGTGCCTGGCATGGACCTCAATGGAAAAAACACTTATCACCGGCGGATTCCCCCTCATGAAATTCGACACAGCCACCTGGTCACAAACTGTCATTGAGGCGCAAGATTTGGTGAATGCCATTCACTATCTCCCAGTGAGCGCATCCTCGCAGGTACACACAAGTTTAGCAAGACAGCCTGTTTATGGAACCTCGAAACCGATCAACTCATCAAAAACATTACATCACCCTGAATACCCCGTGTGGCGTAGTCAGCCTACCTTTTCTGCAGATGGAAAGTTCCTTGTCACTAGCTGCGAAGACGGCCACCTATACACATGGGATGTTTCCGCTATCGTCAAAGAGGCTGGCCTTCAATTAGAAATTGTAAGCTTAGATACATTTCATCCCGAACGACGCTGACAACGGCTCCCTCAGCTTGATGCTCCACCACAACCAGCAGTAAAGAAGAAAGGTGCTTCTCATATACCCCAGGGTTCTTTGACGATGACATACGAAAGGCTAATGTATGTAATCTCCATCTATTATTCAACGCTTTGACTTGATGTGTTCTCAGGAGCGCATTCGTCTATCCCAATCCCATGGACCATATTCGCCACCCAACTCCAGCACCACGTCAACGCGCCCTCAGTCGATTTTCCTCCTTATGGCGTGACTCAAATTCGCACAGGGAAACTGACCACCATGGGCGACCTCAGTCCCACCCTCTTAGCTGGACTCGAAATCTTGGTATACTACGCAGACGAGATGCATCAGGCATTGAGTTGCAAGAGGTCGAGGTCCCTTACACAGCGGGCAAGCCTGTGCGTTTTTTCTCCTTCACAGTCCTTCCTCGCTGCTGACCCTCATCGCCCAGAGGAACTATCATGCAAGAAAGAAGAAGCCAGTTGCTAGCTCATCTCGAGCTTCTAATACTCATACCACGCAACCTAGCTCGTCTTCACAACCACCACCTTCAACGGCCGCTTGCCTCGACACTTTCCGCAGTTACTGGTACTGCTGGAGCATCAGGAAGTCCTCATGCCACAGATATCGGATGGTGCGCTCGTTTTGTGGGCTGTATTTGCTGCGCATCTGTTCAGAACGCAGACGGTCACCATTAGTCAAGCGACACTTTGGCTTCTGTGTTTCGTTTGTGTTTCATCTATAACTAATTCTTCACGACCCACTCTTCTGTCATCGTATAGTACCTCCTGGTTATTTCACAAGTATGTTACAGTGTGTAGTACCAATATCCATCAGTCATACATGCATCAGCGGGAAGTATCGCGCTACAGGGTGTTACAGGGTGCTACCAAGCACTTCGTAGCAAATTACGTTTTCCTGATGTGTATGCAAAGTTTGAAGCAGATAACGCTAAGATTGAGTATTTCAGAGGTTCTTTGCAAGATACGACTGGTTATTAACGACATGTCATTTTTTCGTTGCCCTAATGATCCTGTAACAATAGAAGCACCTGCGAATAACCGACGCCGGGTCGTTGAACACTTGAACACGGGCGAGGGTAACTGTCCTTAGTCCTAATGAGCGAGCATCAATGTTCGGTGGGAAGAACTCATCGAAACTCGCACCCCATCATACCAAGCAGGAAGTCCCCCTGACATAAAATATTTAGTGTAGCAGACCTCCACAGCGATCCTGCGAATTCACAACTAAGCGTTCGACGAACTGTCAGTACTGAAACGATCGAGGAATCAGTGACAGGGATGATGATCAAAGGATACCATTAACGAGTCGACCCCGAGCAACTGAAGTTAGAGTTCGGCACCATTCACACCTACAGCTAACCTGACGCTGAACTAGGAACAGAACAAGAAATAAGTTATAGAGTGAAAATTGATGATACACACTACATTTTGATTCCGGTCCCCTGCGCCATGACCGTGACATTGTTGTTGAATCTTGATGCATGGATCCGCTCACCGAATTTACTGGTCTACCCTCGTCGAAGATCGTTTAGTTGTGCTTTGGCTAACGAAGCATGGCGTCGAGAGTCAAGGAAAGGCTGATTGCCGGTCACTAATAGATAAAAGCCTGTGATAATGTACGCAGGTTTGCCGACATCGAGACAGGCGCATAGGACACAGAACTTGGGGTATTGGCTATCTTGCAAACGAATGAGCCGTGTGTCGAGATGTCGAAGATAAAGAACGCACAGAAGTCGTAAATCTCCGTGAACTACGATTTACACCGTGCATTTAGATTTGCGTATCGATTATACCTGCAGTGGAACGAGAGAAATTAGTTGTTGACATTCCCCGGAAATGTGTGATACTTTAAATTAAACGGTTTGAAGGTTGTGGTGAGTCTTGACATGGTCTTTAAAAGCACGAACAAACAAACGACGTAAATGTTTCTCTAAAGTGCGGTGGCGAGTCACTGGTGAACAACAAACACTACACCATCCTAATAGCTTGATGGATGATGCTCACCCCATGCTGCGGAGTACATATGACGATCAGCAACACACGAAGGCATGATATCTACACTTACCCCTCAATATCATCCCCACAATGCTAAATTATATTCCGCAGAGGTCCCATCCTCTGCCCGTGACAGGATAGGGCTGACCTTGTTGATATCGTTGTTTTTGCATTTGTGAATTCGAGACGAACTCTACAGATACGAAATAATGATACGATGAAGGTGCCACGCGTCGTGATAACAATCCGCCGATAATGTGCATGATGGATGAGGGTCTTTTGTGAGGTTTGCTGTTAGGAACTGCGGGCGAAGGGTAAGAAGAGTGTGACCAGAATAGCAAATTACAATTTAGCTATGGGGCGACGAAGGACTCGTGCAGGACGTCAAGAACGAAGGTTGAAGAGAAAATGAGGATGTGGGGGTTAAACAATCGTACTGCTTTGAAGATAAGAGTTGGATTTTCCCCGCGCTCAATAGGTGAAGTTCTAGAAGTCAAATCATGTCGTCCCTGCGAAGCAAGATATATCAACAAGAGTGCCCCTACCAAAAGATCGAAGAACACACCGATCGGTCATGTGCCTGCCCAGTAGACAGTTTATTATTACCTATTCAGATGGGATGGCTCACTTCCAATTTCAAGTTGGGACTTGGAGAATAGAATGCAGGTCGGTGAAGCTTGGAAAGACGAAGGAAGTGACCAACATAGAACTACCGGTGGCAAGCGGAGGTTTAGATGGCGCAGTAAGACTGTGGGACATCGAAGGTCATCATGATAGGGATGAGGCGCACAGTGTTGACAGATAACTACATGCTAATCTCACCTGATAGCAGAATTATCGACAGAGACTAAGAGTTGAGCTGATCACCATCATGTGAGATCATTGCAGCACGCTTTGTTCTAGCGTGGGAATAATACCAGAAGACGTGATGATCAGAACCTCACATGCATTTCAAAATTAGTACCTTGCTATGAGAGAGATCATCTACATCCAAGCAGGCCCATTCGCAAACTACGCAGGAACACATTTCTGGAACACACAGGAGAGCTACTTTACCTACGACGATGACGATGAACCCATCGTGAACCACGACCTTTCGTTCGAAGAGGGACGGAATCCTCAGGTATGTGTACCATTTCCAACTCGGCAAAGTCTTCGAGTTTAATATGATCTACCTCTGCGTTTTACAAAGAATCAGCCGACTCTTTGTCCACGCCTGTTGACATTTGACCAGAAGTGTATGCCTTCGTTGGCGCATTAAATCTCCTCGTCTGAGCTGTATCTGAGCAGCAAACTTCGGGACACTCGCAAAAACGAGCCAAGCTGATGCAGCTATTGACGCTTCACTCGATACGACCTGGTGAGTGTGATTATAAAAGCGTTGTCGTATGAACTGATATCGTCCAGGCGAGGGAGGGTAGTTCGCGAGACGCAAGATCCGATCCCCCAAAGCGAATATCACGCTCGTCTTGAAGGCGAAACAGACGAAGGCGATCCAGAACGCACAGATTCAAACATCAGATACTGGTCAGATTACAGTCGCGTTTTCTCTCGATCGAAAATCCATACAGGCCGTCCCTGACGCGCTGGAAAGTACTGAGGCTGGGTGGAGTGTCGGTCAAGATCTTTTCCGGCGATATAACGAAGTACTTTCTTTTACCTGTTTGTGGTATTTATAACATTTCTCCAGGATACAGAGCTCATGGAAGGGGCGTTTCGTCTGCTCGTCGAGAACTGCGATAACTTCCAGGTAGACTCTTTTCATGCCATTTCCGGCTATTCGCTGAGTCAACCCCCACCCATTTCAGGGCTTGCAAATGATGCAGGATACGCCCTGCTTCGGGGGTTTTCGCATGCTTTCCTGACCGCCTTCCGGGACGAGTTTCTTAAGGCTTCTACAATAAACTTCAGCTTCCTTTCCGACGCAGACCGAATCATGCTGGAATCGACAATGTGAGTAAATACACTTTCACGTAGATGGAATACAAACATTTGAAAGTAGTTTCTAGACACGAAGAGGATTATCAACGACGCATTGTGCCTGCAAAGCCTTCATCAGCTCTCGGATATCGCTTTCCCGATACTAAATCCATCCCGATGGTCTGCGTTAGAAAGTAACTTATCGCAGGGACTTGCCTATGATGTATGTCTCGCAAAACTCTATATATACTTTTCTGACGAAAAAGCAGAAAAACAGCTTATATCATACTGGAGTCATCTCGTCGCTGATAGAGACTGCTACGCTGCCACTGAGGATGCTATGCTTTTTGACAAGCAATAAACATCTCATCGACTGATTCGCCACAGACTGAAAGGTAGTCGGGAGGACATCGCAACGATGGCTGACCACTTGAACTGGCGAAAATGTTCTCGATTGGGACAACTGGGAGGCGTAGTCTCCCTGCCCTGTTCTGTGACAGAGGCAACGTTCACTGACCTGTACTGTAACTTCTCGACTGGTTTGTCGAACAAGGTGAGGATCATGTTGACGCCTTGATTGCGCGAACCATGATGAAGCAATAAGTGATTCTAGGGCGAACATGCAATTTTTGCGAGGCGAAATGTAACTCGAGGGTTGCAAGACCAAGACCTGGCAGCATTTGATGCATGGTGTGACTTGTCATCGCTACGGGAACCACTGATTTCTAGGTAAGGCTTAATCGTATGGCATGCATCTGAACTTATTCATGTCATGGGGTCAGCATCCATGCTCCTTCTTATCCCGTGCCGACATCCTTTCCGTCCATATTCCGGCACACTAAACCGACGTCTATGAGGATGGTGTCATCGCTTGTCACAGCACCTTCTACATCGATCCCGCTTATGGGGTATGCTAGGTTTGTAGAACAGACTGCAAGGACGAGGAGGAGTGATGGTGCGCTTATGAGCATGGACTTGGAGAGCGATGATGTGAAGGAGCTTGCTAGTGCATTGTGGGAGATGGTCGATGGGTACGGAATGACAGGATGGATGAAGCGAATGACTGATTATGGAAACATCTTATTTGGAGATAGCAATCGGACAGAAGTTGAATAGTTTAGGTCGGTATAATGAATCCTCCGATTTCAAATATGGAGCACTGTAGATTAGGTTAATGCCCGGTTCATCGAGAGATATTTTACCCGCATCTTGCAAGGCAGTCTTACTACGTTGCAAGTCATGGCAAGGAGGAGAGTTGCAAACGCTGAGTGGTGGGGGAGTGTTCAAAAGGCATCCATTATCATCAGTTGATTGCTTCGCATATACGTGTAGTTCCATTAAATTCGCGAATACGGCCGGGCGTGTGGGACGAAGAGGATTTCAACTCCATTTGAAATTGCCATGTTAACGGAGCGCTATTTTTAATTGTATGCTTACTAATATAGCCTTCAAGCTCTTCGACTGCAACGAGACACTTTTGTGTTTATACAAACGCGTCCAGCCAATGTGAGTGTGACAACGACATGTTAGCTCAAAGGTGCAACGTCGCAATATTATATATATCATAAATGCTGATGTTCGTATGCGCGTTCTTTCTGTCGACACTGCATCTCGTTGAACGAGAAACTAGGCTGTCTGTTCTCAATTATTGCGATGTAGCCAGATCTGGTTGGTACTACCAACGCTCTTTTGGTTTAATTTATCTAGACCGCTTTGTCTGGTCACTTTCACTCAATGGCAGCCGATTCTTTCACCTTCAACTGGCTGGACGCAGTCGATTGTATAAGCCAGCCCCGCGCTCATTCTCCTTCTTTCCTTCGGCGCTGTCATGCGCAGGCAACGATTCAAAAAAGACGCCACTATTGGCCACAAATTATGTATGTTGCAGCATAGCGCACTCCTGGCTTTCCGAGCGCTCTATTATAATCGCAACTCGCGCCGCGATACACATTTCCTAGGGCTGACGCAATTGCTATCGGTCCTCCCATCCAGAGTGCATGCTGCAGGGACTTCCATTTTATCAGTGCTCAACCACGCTCGTTGACGAGCACAGGCCAGGCCGACATTCAGTGTCTGGTACTCCTTGCTCAGCCACTTCAAGATGCTCCGTTAACCATCAAAATAATTCAGCGAAGTTTAAGGACAACACGTGGATTACCATGATTCGGATGGACAGGCTGAATTAAACTTCACATCGGTTCCACTTATACTCAGCGATCATGCTGCATCTGTTTTTACACATGCAGGTATTTGTCCCTGTTGAACTTCGGAGCTTCACGCAAGATCGGTAGAGGTATCGACTCAGACACGATGAACAACACGCCTGACATATATATAAATTTGCCTTGCACCCTTGTGAGTGTACTTTTATTCTGTTTGACATTCTTCTAAACTGGTTCTGCATACAGGCCCGATTCCATATAGTATTTGTCCTGTGTACAATGCGCCGTGAGTCAGCACGATGAGACTTGATGCGAACAAGTCTTACTAAGAATCGAGGCTTGGTTCCAGAGTCCCTGCGTACAACAAGGCTTACGCGCTCCCTACTTTGTTTGAGGTAGGCTCGGCCTGCACGCATCACCTAGTGAGTTTGAAAAATTCGGTGCGGGACAAGACTTACGCGATCAACGGGGTCCTTGGTTCCCTGCATATGACACATGGTGAGTTTGAAACGTCGGGCGGAACACAATGCTTACACGAGCGAAGGCTTTGGTAGGTTCGGCCTGCATGCATCACCTGGTGAGTTTGAAAATTCGGTGCGAGACAAGACTTACGCGATCAACGGGGTTCTTGGTTCCCTGCATATGACACATGGTAAGTTTGAAACGTCGGGCGGAACACAATGCTTACACGAGCGAAGGCTTGGGTAGGTTCGGCCTGTACGCATTACATGGTAAGTTTGAAAAGTTCGGTGCGAGACAAGACTTACGCGATCATGGGGTGGCTGGGTGAACTCAGACTGCATGTGACACATGGTGAGCTTGAAATGTCGGGCGAAAAAAATGCTTACATGACGCAAGGCTAGGGTAGGTTCGGCCTACACGCATTACATGGTAAGTTTGAAAGTTCGGTGCGAGACAAGACTTACGCGATCATGGGGTGGCTGGGTGAACTCAGACTGCATGTGACACATGGTGAGCTTGAAATGTCGGGCGAAAAAATGCTTACATGACGCAAGGCTAGGGCAGGTTCGGCCTGCATGCATCACGTGGTGAGTTTGAAAAGTTTGGTGCGAGACGAGACTTACTCGAGCATCGTGTAGCTGGGTGAAAGCTTCGGACTGTGTATGCGTGTCGTGTAAGATCAACAAGGTGAGGTCTGGTGCAAAGCTAGACTTACCCTGCCGACATGGCCAGGCACGCGAGGGAGCTGCAAATTTTGCATGACAACATGACAAGATTTGACGCGAGGAGAAGCTTACTGGCACTCCAGCGCTGACAATGGCCGTCAGGCCGAGGAGCATTAGGAAAGGAGTAGAGAGGGGGATAAACATGATGATGTGCTGATTCTACTTGTGGAGAGGTTGTTGGCAATTTGGTTGTTCGTGCTGTCTGTTTTATACTCCACAGAGGAAGTCGTCAAATCGTATCTTGTACATACTAACCCCTTTCAACTCAATTCATTCCTATTTTTAACGAACGAGTGTATATTGCTGTGGGTGAGAAAGATGATAAAATAATATATTGAACTGCTGAATATGTTGTTCGACACTTGTCATCGTAGCGTTATCTATTGCCAAGTAGCTATGTTAGCGCCGTTTGGGTGCCGAGATTGGCCTCAAAGCTGTGGGCTTAATGTCCAATGCAAAGGGTTTAGTATACACATTCGGTACTCCTGAGTCCTGAGTATGCGGGGAATGTCCAAACTAACCTAATTTAATGCGCTACCTTGCGCCCGCAGTGCCCCATCGGTAGCTCAATGCATACATGGCCCAAGTCGATGGGGATCGAATACATACTTGTTTAGATCGCTGCAAGTTAGACTCTGATTAACCGGAGAGCCTGAATGCACGTATGGAGTTAGCGCTTCGAAGGCCTTGTGGCAGACAAAGACTTCTGCCACGACCCACCTTCTGGCCAAGTGGAGTAAAAATCGTTGACAACCACTGTTCCATCAAGGTTCGTCCTAGTACCAATAATTAACAAAGGGAGAAAACGTTCCCTTTGGAACTAAATATCATGACGAACAGGTACATTTACCTGTAACAACTCACAGTGATCAGAATTTGGAATTCGCTTGACGCGTTAGGCTATATATGGACACGAGGACATCTCGATCCTGGGATATCCGACCGTCCGACCTCATCCGACCATCCGTCTGCGTCCGCGCCAGCATCTATGGTGCAGTTCACTTATGCGCCGCTACTTTGGCCCGGCAACCGCCAAATTGAAGGTTGACCAAGCCCAACCCTAACCCTAGTCCAAATATAGAAAGTGTACTTGAGAACTCGAAAGACTACTATCATTCCGGGTAATCTGCAACATGCATGTAATATGCAAAATGTTCAAAACACCACAAAGCACTGCTCAACTCACTTCAAAAAAATTCATGCATATGTAGACTACTTATATATGATATACTGTCCAAGTAAAATGAAAATTTCTTGAGTGTTGCAGCTGCGAGAGATGAAAAAGTGGTAATTTGTAAGCATGCAAGAACATAAATCACCCAGATCCCATAGATCCTGCAGGTATATTCACGAAGTTATACCTAGAGCATAACATGATCACCTTATCAGGATTACAGTGCACAATTTCGATAAAGCTCATCTTGTCATTTTAAGATGCTATAGAGGAAGAATTGACGACATGTCTGAAAATGTGACAGCCAGATAGGAGAGTGTGTAACAAATTCAATCTCCTCTACGGCACACTCGGCAAGTGCACGAAGTCTTGCATTGTCATCTCTTGCATTATTACAATGGCACCAAACCGCAGACCTACTACCAGGCAGAAGAAAGCTGAAGAAGAGATTCGCGAAGCCAACTTCACTGCTGCTATTCAGGCTATCAGAGAGAAAAAGACCAAGAACCTCCGAACAGCAGCTGCAGAGTTTAAAGTCTCATACCATACTCTTTGTCGACGGGCACAGAACCTCACTAAACCTCATTCAAAAGCCCACAAAAACCTCCAATTACTTACTGAAGGGCAGGAAGTAACAATATGTGTGAACGAGTTATGCGATATAGCTGCGGCCTTGCGATTACCAGAGACTGGACTTAAGGCAGAGTTGCTCCAGCGAATCATGCAGTTCTTCGACGGCCAACCAGAACTCAAGAAAAACCAGCGGTATGAGGGTTTATTTAATCCCTCTTGTTCTCGCAGGCGGTGTTACGACTTGGATGGTATCTGTTGGCGACGCTCAAACAGAGCGTGTGTCGTCAATGGTCGAGGACGTCCTTGGGCTAGCCCAAGTTAGGGGTCTTACTTGGCGAGGCTTCAGCAAGTAAGATTTGACGCCTATGTCCAAATCGGGTAGCTTATGTCAAGCGGGTGTGAGACGATAAGCTATATCGGCCAAGGCTTACGACACCCGAAGGTTAATCGTAAGATCGTCGTTAATTAGAAGGACAGAAGTCCGACTAGTTAACAGGGGCTTTGCTCGTCGACGAAGTCGATGAGTAAAGATCAAGACTATAGGCTTATCCGCGAAGAGCAGATAAGAAGATAGAATATAGACTGCTGGCGAGGCAGAAAGGATCACTCTGGTGAGAGTAGGAGGTCAAGAACCAAGTAGATTCAAGTTAGGGAATATAGTACATGGTAGCGAGTTTTATATAGAGGACAGGAAGCGTATTAGTGGGTGATAACTTGTACTACCAAGAGAGGTAACTGGTAAAGGGGATAACCATAAAAGGAAGGCACGTTCGAGGTGAGGCACGAGTGAATCCTGAACGTGCAGATAAGAAGGTGAGTCAAAAGTCAGAATAAGAAGTGAAACGCGCAGGGGCACAATCGTGCAGCTGCAGAGCTAAGTATAAGTCACATGTGCGACTGCGCATCGAGTCAGAGATCAAGAAAGGAAACAGGGCGAAGGGGATGCGTCGTGCATCATATCATAGGTTACCGTCCGGACGGTAAGGGCAAAGGGGACTGTCCACAGGATCAGTCAGGTGGTGGAACGGAGCATGGGTAT